TAAATAATACTGATGAATGCATAAAATAGTGCTTCAATTCCAATACGAGTTTCACTATAGAGGAAGATGAATAGATCTGGTAGTCTTATATCTTTGTTTTTATAAAGTCCAATTCATAGCAGTGAGAAGAATAGTGGCACTCTTTGGTCTAAGGTAACTTGCAGTTACAGGGGATTCCTTACCAAACATGTTGAAAAGTGCAACACTTGCTCCCTGACTAACCATTGGTACAATAGCAATAAAGCGGTTACCAAGTACGTTGGAAACTTGTTCTAGCTCCAGGCAGCAAACCAAAGTAATTTCAATGAAGAAAGCCTTGTAAGATATTAATGGTTTCTATATGATTTCCTATTTTATGATAATTAAAAAATATTGTAGGAGCTCAAGGCTAAGGTGCTGTAAAAGGCTGAGATGAAGTTAAACTTTACTTTAGATTATTACCACTGTGTTCTAGGATAGTATCTCAAGTGACAAGAAGCAGTGGAAAGGCGATCGGAAAGCAAGATGACACGGTGTGTGTTCTTTTGGTTTTGCTCAGACCACGAATATCCTGCAAAGAAGTGACACAGTAGATCTTATCCACAGGTGTTTCTTGTATTGCTCATCGCAGTGAACTTCAAAGTAGCGATGTAGCTGTAGAAATGATCCTAAGTAGTTAAATAGCTCTTTTTATTTGTTTCTTAATAAAATTGTGTTTCTACCCGTACTCATTGTCTTGTCACCGAGTTGGACATTTGCACCACATAGACAGCCCACCATGTGTCACTGTGGTCTCTCTAATTCCGCATTTTACCCTTATTATTTAACTTCTTCACTTGCCCACTTGTTTTTTGGGCTCTTCTTTTTATGTCTCTATCAAATCTGCTCTCTCCAAACTCATCAAGAGAAACCAGCCAAATATTTAACTTCAAGATATTACCAATTTAAAAATACAACATATTTTTAATAATGAGCTTGTATTTCTAAAAAAAAACAAGGTTTTTATTTTTATTTAATTTGTGTTCTTTTCTATTAAAATGTCGAGTCTTTTTTTCTTACTATCAAAATATACTACTGTTTCTTTTTTCTTTGAATGCTATACTTTTTTTAATATCAATGTCAATTACGCTTAAATAAATATGCTTAAGCTTTATAGTTTTGGATTGTTGTGAGACGGGCTGTGTTGATTTGTGTAAAGAAGTGACCCAAACAATTCATAGAAAAAAGAAATATGTATCAATATCTTCTAACAAATCCTTAGCCCTAATATTGTCAATTGGCAGCTTGTTCTCTTGAGAAAGATAAAAAGAAAATAGAAGTGATGTGTAAGGATGTTCATTATTGCTTTCATCTTTCGATGTTTATATAGATATTTCGATAATAAATAAAATAGTATAATTAGTAAGCTATTACTAAGAGGCTGGGATAAACTATGCTTCATAAAAAAAAAGAGAGAGAAATAGAGGTAGATAGTCATTTTTGGGGTTCGCTATTACAATCCTTATAATTTTCAATTGATTGCTGCCCCAGTTGTAACAATCATGCTCTTCCCAAGATCATGACTTAATCAATTGGTTTACATACTTGATACAAAAAGATTTAGAGATATGGGATATGTTTGGGCCAGCCGAAAATGTGAATATACACGCAACGTGTCAGTTGGATATTTACACCGTGTGTCAAAAGGGTAAAAATACTTTTGAAAAGTAATATCATATTATTCATAAACTTCATTCTCTTGTAAGATTCAATAATAGTGACACATGGTGGGCTGTCTATGTGGTGCAAATGTCCAACTCGGTGACAAGACAATGAGTACGGGTAGAAACACAATTTTATTAAGAAACAAATAAAAAGAGCTATTTAACTACTTAGGATCATTTCTACAGCTACATCGCTACTTTGAAGTTCACTGCGATGAGCAATACAAGAAACACCTGTGGATAAGATCTACTGTGTCACTTCTTTGCAGGATATTCGTGGTCTGAGCAAAACCAAAAGAACACACACCGTGTCATCTTGCTTTCCGATCGCCTTTCCACTGCTTCTTGTCACTTGAGATACTATCCTAGAACACAGTGGTAATAATCTAAAGTAAAGTTTAACTTCATCTCAGCCTTTTACAGCACCTTAGCCTTGAGCTCCTACAATATTTTTTAATTATCATAAAATAGGAAATCATATAGAAACCATTAATATCTTACAAGGCTTTCTTCATTGAAATTACTTTGGTTTGCTGCCTGGAGCTAGAACAAGTTTCCAACGTACTTGGTAACCGCTTTATTGCTATTGTACCAATGGTTAGTCAGGGAGCAAGTGTTGCACTTTTCAACATGTTTGGTAAGGAATCCCCTGTAACTGCAAGTTACCTTAGACCAAAGAGTGCCACTATTCTTCTCACTGCTATGAATTGGACTTTATAAAAACAAAGATATAAGACTACCAGATCTATTCATCTTCCTCTATAGTGAAACTCGTATTGGAATTGAAGCACTATTTTATGCATTCATCAGTATTATTTAATGCAAATATTATATTAATAAAAGCTTGATATTAGTATGATCTCTGGTTACTTTAAAGGTTAATAATATTAATTCTAATAAGATTTGCTAATTAGGGGGGCATTGATATTGCAGGTGCTGTTGGCCATTTTCGATTGTTTTTGTCATGAAGTGAAAGAAAATTTAAATCTTGTATTAAAAAAGAAAATAGTAAAGCTGATAAAGTCTACATATGTGCAGGATTTGATTCAAAGAATTAAGATCTCATATTAGTTTTTGGATATTTAGATTCTTATGTAGAGTTTGCTGAAAGAAGCTTTTTTTTTTAGAATATCTAAACATTTACTTTTTCATTATGATGTGTAGTATTTGTGCTCAGAAATTACTAGAGTTGGTCTTTGCCCAAGTATTAGCAATTGGCAGCTTGTTATCATGAAATAGAGAAAAAGAACATTGAAGTGATGTGTAAGATTGGTCTTTATTGCTTTCATCCATAAATGCCTATATATATTTTTTTGCTAATTACTGAAATGTTGGGATACTATGCTTCTTTAGATAATTAACAATAAATAGAATGAATAAATAAATATTATTGGTGTTTATTGATACAATTCTTATAGCTTTCAATTAATTGCTACACCAGTCATAACAATCACCTTCTTCCTAAGGTCATGGCTTAATCAATCTGTTTAAAAAATGGATACAGAAAATATCTATAAAGATATGATATTTTTGAAACAGCTGTAATTTTGAAAACAGATACAACTCACCATATGTAGACTTGATTTATTTTCTTTTTTCTATATCTTTAAATAAAGACAAAAATTATTTGACTATGCATAACAAAAAATACATATTCATGCACAGATATATACTAACATTAAGGACTTCACATATTAATATTAATGATAGAGACTAATAGTTATTAATTTAGTATGATGCTCTTTATCTTTATTAAAATTTATACTATTCAATTATACCATAGTATTAATAAAGTCTGTCTTTAATATGATTCAGTAATAGCAAGATATGTATTTAAAATAATAATGATGAGAGAATACACAAGATATACAAAATACAAAAAAATGAGAATAATACAAATCATGCTAATAATACATATAATTATAATAATACATATAGTTATAATAATACAGGTAAGAATTATAATACAAATAAGAATAATAATACAAATAATGATAATAATACAAATAAGGATAATAATACAAATAATGATGATAATACAAGTTTTGCTTTCTTTCAGTTGTTGCTTTCCTTTTCGTTTTTCGATGTTTGGTGTTTGCCTTTTGTTTTCCATTTTCCATTTTTCAGCCTTGGTCTTGGAGTTTTGGGGTTTTGACCTATTGTTCTACTGTTTTGGTAATGGGGTTAGTCGTTAGTAGGGTTAGTTCCTGTTGCTTGTTAGTATCTGTTGCTTGTTAGTATCTGTTGCTTGTTGCTTCCTGTTGTTTCTGCCGGAGCCACTTGTTTCGTTTTTCCCGGCCAGGAACTTTGGAGGGTCATCCCTCTACCAGAAGAAGAACCGGAAGACTGCTGTTGCTGTAGACACCACGCCTGACCGGAAAATTGCCAGGGTGTCTACAGCAACAGCAGCGGAAGAAGGAGGGGAAGGAGGAGGTCCAGGAGGAGGAGGAGGAGAACCGGAAGGAGGAGGAGGAGAACCGGAAGGAGGAGGAGGAGGAGAACCGGAAGGAGGAGGAGGAGGAGAACCGGAAGGAGGAGGAGGAGGAGGAGAACCGGAAGGAGGAGGAGGAGGAGGAGAACCGGAAGGAGGAGGAGGAGGAGGAGAACCGGAAGGAGGAGGAGAAGAAGGAGAGGGAGGAGGAGAAGGAGGACCAGGAGGACCAGGCGGAGGAGACGGAGGGGACAGAAGGGAAGGAGGGGAAGGAGGGGAAGGAGGAGAAGGAGGGGAAGGAGGGGAAGGAGGGGAAGGACTAGGTGGACTAGGTGGAGGAGTAGGTGGAGGAGAAGGGTCAGGAGAAGGGTTAGGATTATCCCTTTCCTGAGCCTCACTCTCCTCCGCTCGTTTTATCAGATGATATAAAATCATCTGCCTACTCCTCCACCGGAGAAGCTGTACGCCGATGGCAGGAGAAAGCTTCCTGCCACTTTTTCCTCTCTTTCCCCGCATGTTATCCAGGGTCACGATCCGACCCAGCACCTTTTCGTTGCTGGGTGGATCGTACCCGAAATCGGCAGGGCACGGCCGCTTTTTCCCTGTGATTGCAGCTAAGAAATAAAAGATATATATTAATATTAGATGCAAAATTAGATACTACAAATAATAATAATTGTGATAATAATAAAGACATTCTTACCTTTTACAGAACCGCCGTCTGCAATCATAGATGGGGCCCACTCAGAATTTGTATCTCCTTCATTACTGAGTGGGGAGGAAGCAAAGCATTGATGAGGACCCCATCTTCGGCGAATGGAGCGTTGCTCCTCGTTTGGGTCAGCTCCGTCGATCACAGAGGACAGCTTTCTTTTTGTACCTCTTGTCTCGCAAGATACTAAATAACAATAATAATAATAATAATAATAATAATAATAATATAAAGGCACGATTAGAATTGCTGGATTTACTAAACGTTTTGTGAGATAAGTGCTTACCAAAATTGTCCGTCGGCTTTGTGACATCTCTGCCAGCGCAAGAAGAGGCACCAGAGGACGCACCACAAACAGCGCCAGAGGACGCACCACAAACAGCGCCAGAGGACGCACCACAAGCAGCGCCAGAGGACGCACCACAAGCAGCGCCAGAGGACGCACCACAAACAGCGCCAGAGGACGCACCACAAACAGCGCCAGAGGACGCACCACAAGCAGCGCCAGAAGACGCACCACAAGCAGCGCCAGAGGACGCACCACAAGCAGCGCCAGAGGACGCACCACAAAGAGCGCCAGAGGACGCACCACAAAGAGCGCCAGAGGACGCACCACAAACAGCGCCAGAGGACGCACCACAAGCAGTGCCAGAGGACGCACCACAAGCAGCGCCAGAGGACGCACCACAAACAGCGCCAGAGGACGCACCACAAACAGCGCCAGAGGACGCACCACAAGCAGCGCCAGAGGACGCACCACAAGCAGCGCCAGAGGACGCACCACAAACAGCGCCAGAGGACGCACCACAAACAGCGCCAGAAGACGCACCACAAGCAGCGCCAGAGGACGCACCACAAGCAGCGCCAGAGGACGCACCACAAACAGCGCCAGAGGACGCACCACAAACAGCGCCAGAAGACGCACCACAAGCAGCGCCAGAAGACGCACCACAAACAGCGCCAGAAGACGCACCACAAGCAGCGCCAGAGGACGCACCAGAAGGAGCACCAGAAAGGGCACCAGAAGGAGCACGAGAGCCTGAGGAAAAAAATTTCCTATCAGGGTTGGAGGAAAATGCCTCAGAGTCACCCACCAAAGGCCTGCTTTGGCGAGGACGCTGGGCGTGAGGGTATGGCCAATTTTGGCGAGAGGCGTTGCTGTTTTTGGTTTTATTATTATTACGCATGTTAAAGGAAGGATATAAAGAGAAAAAAGTATGGGCGAAGAAAAGGGCTTTATATAGTTTTTTTTTTCCTTGTAGTGGAATGTTTTGTTGGAAAATAATATGGCGTATAATTACTCATACAAATGCGAAATTTTTCATGTGAAAGTAACGGAATATGTGTATATGCCTCTTAGTTAATCTACAAATTTTGGAATATAGTATACATAGTATTAGAGAAATTACTACCTTTTGTTATTATTACTATTATTATCATTATTTCCTTTGGAAAAACAATACAAGTCTGGCTGTTGAGTGGCCAAGACAAATATGTGCAAATCACCGAGTTAGATTATCAGTGTCGCATTACATATTTTGTTGCATACCTACATGTGTAAAAAAATAATAGCTAGCTAATTTTGTAGTGATTTCTTTTTTTTTCCTTTCTTCCTCTCATAAGAAAAGTAATATATTTTTATTAAAGATAAGACAGTAATACAATATGTAATCATGTAACAGATAATAGTGAATCATAAGAGTACATTCAATTCTTAATAGCATAATGAATTAGATACTCATCAACGAATTTAATTGAGAGAATATACACAGTTTAAAGGTTGTCCTGTTATATAAGATATAGATTATATACTCCGTGGATTTGTACAAATATCAGAGCATCATCAAAAAAGAGAGAGAGGAAGAATTTGATAAACTAAATAATTTTGATCAGCAAAATCATAGCATTGGATAAAATGTTTGTAACCTTTAAGAGCCCTCTCTTCCTCCATATATATATATATATATATATATATGCGTAGGAATATATTTTCCTGTAAAGAAACAACAACAGATGATTAGTTGATAGTCAATAATCTTAATAAGATTATTTAATTAATATAATACTGAAATCTTATGCATGTATTCAAACATTTGGCTAGTTCAAAGATATCATATTTTTCCAAATGTTCCTTGTGTCAATTATGTAGGCAAATTGATTTAGCCATGGCTTTTCCAGATATATGATTTCTACAACTGGCAGCAATCAATTGAAAAGACATACAAATTGTTACAACAAACCATCACAGTGTTTATATCTTTTCATATTTCTCTCTTATTCATAATTTACTATTCAATTGAAGAAGTATAGTTTATCTCAGCATCTTAATATTATATTAACTACCTTTATTAGCTATTAGAATACTTTTATAAGCATAGAAAGATAAAAGAAATACATTCCATCATACCATATCACTCGAGTTCTTTTTCATCATTCTTGAGAGAACAATCTTCCAATTATAGATGCTTGAGCTAAAGAGTTGCTAGGGGATATTAATATTCATTCTCATTTCTCTTCAAGTATTCGTCCTACTGAATCGTATAAGCAAATATCACCGGTCTCATGATAATATTTCAGAATACATCTTAGACGGAAAAATAAAATATCGTGGATTACATATCAAGTTGTGTGCTCTCAAACAAAAGGGTTGGATAAGCTGAAGTCAGCTTTATTGAAAAAAAGTGAAGGGAAATATACATATGTTGCTATAGGGCTTGTTGTATGTGTACACTCAAACAGTTGATAACTTTTAACCAAACCCACTCTAAGACTATTTAATATTATTTATTTCTTTTCCTTTTATAATATTAATATATATCAGTTGAAGGTCTATTATTTCAAAGTATTATTCTTTAGTAACCATTGTATATTGCTAGACATACATTTAAAGCTGTAAAATCTTCTTTACTATCCGGAACAGATATTAAATAGGGAAAACATTTCTTTCGGATCATATGTATATATAGCTAATTAATTAGATCAACAAATTAAGCACATTTACGCAGACACGATATTGGATCAACCTACTAGCTGTGCGCAAATCTACCTTTATCAAGTCAAGCTTGAAACCATTCTTGTGAAATTGGGTACCTATAGTACATATCTAAAGCTTGCTCTACACTATGTATAGTTAATGAAAATATCCCATGTTTCTCCAACTCCTAATATATTTCTTTTACAGTATCCAAAATTCAGTGCTATTTTGTTTTGGAAAGAATGCATATCATTCTCCAAGGTTACTAACTCAGTAGCTTGACTCAAATATATATATGTTGTTAGTCTTGTATAATTTCCAGTCAATTCCTGAAATAGTTCCATAGACGAACCCAAGTATATTTCCTGTTCAAGATTTTTATTAAAATTAAATCGGATTTAGGCCATAGGAAACTAGGAAAGATATAATTGAATACGTCTTTATAACAGTCTGATTCACAGTGTATCTTTATGGGTTACTTGTTATCCCGTTTTATTGCCTATATATATATATATATATATATACATATATCTCTTTTATCTTTTTAATAAAAGCTTGGCTTTGAGGTATTGATAGTTAGACAATATATATTTGAATATATCTTTACGACTATTCGATTCATAGTATAGATTTATGGACCAATTACTACTTTATTTTATTTTCTATATACCTTTTATCGCTTATTCATCTATCAAAATCTGAGATATATCTTTATACATACTAAACCTTTAATACATCATTATTTTATTTATTTTTTTTGCTAATAAGCTTAAAGTAGAACATATATATATTTAGCCAAAGCTGATTTATCCAGGATATTTAATTCATCCGAGACTATTGAGCTTGTATCAAGTATTATATAGTTACACACAAAGAAACTATACAAAACACCATCAAGCATCATGCACCAAAAATAAGGGCCTACAGAAAAGTATTATTGAGTTATTTTTTTAACAAGATTGTGGCTATACATCAGAGGGATCTCTAGTCTTATATATATATTGATATTATACTTTGGATAGATTGTTACCCCGATCTGTTTTTTTTTCACCTACATATATTCAACTACTCACCAAATTGCCTACAGATATCTTCACAGTATCTATTAGTTAGTGAAACAAATGTGTATATGTGTATTTGATGTTCGAGCCCGAGACCTTGCTCGTTGGTCTTGTTTGTTGAAAATAATATATACCAATAATCAAAAGTAAGATATTTTTTAAAGAAACTGGTATACCTGGAACTTTTGATGAAGAGTAAAACATTAATCGTTAGCCGAGGGTGTAAAAAGTCTATAAAAATAAAATTAATAGTAAGAAAATATACAGAGGCATATTGACACAATGGATTTTATCCACCAGTGTTTCTTGCATCGCTTATTGCAGTGAGCTTCGAGGTAGTGATATAGCTATAGAAATGACTCGGAGTAGTTAAATAGTTCTTTTTATTTGTTCTCTAATAAAGTTGTCTTTCTACTCGTATTCATATTCTTGGCACTGAGTTTGACATCTACGCCACATAACCAACCTACCATATGTTATAAGGGTAAAAAGCCGTTTTTACAATCAAAGATATATACATATATTTTATTCGCTTTCTTTTTTATACTTTTTTAAATAAAAGTAAAACTATCTGTCTATGAATAACAGAAAAACTACATAGCCACAAACCCATATATTTACTAGGAGCATCTTCAGCAGTGGGAAATTTTAATTTATATAAAGCCAAGCACTGCCACTTTATTTAAAGAAAAATATTACTTTGCCCAACAGTTCAATTTTATCTTTTTCTTTAAATAAATTTTGAGAGCGTTTTCATCAATCAATTCTAAATTCTTGTTATCTTTAACCAAAAAGATTTTAAAAAAATAGAACTACTGGGGGTACCAATTTAAATTAAAAATGGAGTTTTTTAAAGGGAATCGCTGAAGATGCTCTTACCATTCAAATCCCTGCTGTATAATGGCTCGTTGCTTTACACTCTATAAGTGTGTAGTGTACGTGTACCTGATATATAACAACTCTGGAGATTGTTAACTTTCCGGGCTCATTGACAAGAAGGAGACAAGAGTTTGGTTGTAGAGTCTGTATTTCACTCAATTGTGGGGTATATACCACACTTTTCGCCGCATATTTAGTTTATTAGCGTATGTAATATGGATGCATATATCTGTAGTAAAAAAAAACCTGTTACGACGTTACGTAATTTGCCAAATTAAATACAGAAAATTGGATATAAATCCAAGCTAATCAAGTAAAGTGTTCCTGTATGTATAAACCACCTAATAAGAAACAATGAGATCCACCATTTAAAAGCTGATTGATATTGATTACTCAAGTATTGATCAAAATATCCTATCTTTTCACTCTTAAAAAACCATTTACTAATAAAATTGGCTATTTGCACCAAACAGTCCATTTTTGATACCCATTTTTTTCAGGACAGCATCTGAAAAAAAAATGTTGAAAAACATATTCTGTTTTATTAAGTAAAGTTGTAGCAAACGGCAATTCATGATGGCCAGTACTTATGTGATCAATAACTTGCCGATATTAATGGAGATATCAGCATATTAAAAATGTCAATATCGATATTTATACCACCAAAAGATGTTGATTAAATGTCCGACTGTAAAGCTGTGTATGCCAAAAATATCATTCGCGTTGTGTGTATGGCAGATTTTGTAGTCGTTTAATATATGGTTATTAAAAAAAACAGTAAATCTTCTCAGTAATAAAATATTATGTGCGTATAATTTTATTTCTTAAAGCATTTTCTTGTAATTAGAATAACACCATGTTTAATCTAATCAGCATAGTTCTTGGACACCTTACAATCTTTTCATGTTTAGCTATATTAGCATATTCTATCAACAATCCTACCATTCACCAAACTATTTGTATAAGTATAATAGCTTCTCAGCATAGTGTGTACAGACCACTGCAAGGAATAGTCGACAAGAATAAGAAAGGGTGGAGATATATTATTACTATTTTCATAAAAGTAATGGGTCAAAAAAAGTCTCCTCTAAAATTGCTTCTGAGATTGCCCTTGAAATTAACTCTTTTGTTGTTGTTGTCATAGAGATCTAATTAAATAGATAAACAAGTAAAAAGGTTGTTTATATCATTATACATCTTATGTATATATTTATATATAGATCAAATGAAATTAGAGTATATCGCCTTTCTAATGTGCATGCCCCCTTCTTTGTGAATATGCATGGCTTTATTCCAAATAGCTCATCATGGTCATTAGGGAGCCTACCACTTTTTACTTAATAAGACAAAAGAAATTACCATCATTTTCACTGTCTACAAAGTCTACATTTTACTTTTGTATATATATATAAAAAAGAGAGAAAAACTGATTTTAATGCAAATTTATATTTTTATTTTCATTTTCTCTTATTTTGAGAGCATATTCTTTTTTTTTTTGTTTTTTTTTGTTTTTTTTTGTTGGCTTTCTATAGATGTATATGTATATAGCTACATATTATAGAAAGCGTTTAGGATCATTATTCACCACCATTGGATACACTCAGATTTCCAATTGCATTTTCAATTAATCGAATATCACCATCTTCTGGTCCATGAAGAACACGGCGCTTGTTGGTACTAATAAGCGTATTACGAGCCTCTACCATTCCAAACATGCCAGCCAAGCTCTTGGATTGATTTTGTTTTGCCTTGATTTTTTTCATTGTTTCAATACCTTCCTCTAGGATGCCTTCTAGTACATCACACCGAGTTTTGATTGAATCGTCCTCATCGTGTAATTCGTATTGTCCTTCAAGTAAAGGTATAAGTCCTTCATTTAGTAACTCAAGAGAGTAAGTATTGACTTGGTCAGTATTGTTTTGTTGGTCGCTGCTGCCGCTGGATAATAAGTTCGTTCGCTCGACAAGATTTATAATGGCATCAATGCATTTTTGTGTGGGTTGCAAAGGCACATCTTGAGATCTCAAAAGATGTACTAAAGTGGCTGGTACTTCGTTTTCATCTTTTAGAAATTCTCTATAATATTTTTGTTAAATTCAAACGAAAGAACAATAGCTTGTCTGAGAGCGCACACATACACATATTATTGCTATAGTCTCTACCTTCCACTATTTATCATTTTTCTTTATCTTGACAGATATATATATATATATATATATATATATATACATAAAAGTATAGAAAATAATTTTACCTAACACAGGATGAACTTCCACGAGATATAATATTAGATATAATGGATAATGCTTCGCTTGTGATCTTCCATTCTTCGTCGATTTCACAGTACATGTATCCTAATGTAGGATCCCACTGCCTTGTTTCCTGATTGTAAATCTTGCCTGGAACTCGGACATGAGCAAGGACACACTTTATAAGATTGTTGTTGTTGATGATTTTCTGGATCAACAAACCCCCACAGACGGCGATGTTTCCTATTAACAAGAATGCGTCTCGTCGGATGCCGGCCGGAAAATCTGGGGTCATCAAGGCAGGAATATGATTTAAGAGGCCAGATTTAAGTAATATTACAGAGTGTTCGTCTGGGCCTGATGTGATGTTGATAATAGCTCGTAGTGCAGGAACTATGATAGGAATACTGCTGCGTCTGTAAACTCCAAGAGATGAGATATTATGTCGCTGATTAATATTAATATTTTCATTTTTCTTATTGTTTTACTAAATAAATGTAAGTATATTAAACTATACCATACTATATATCACCAATTAATCCTTTTCACTTCCTATCGCTCCACTACACAATAGTTGGACTAACCTGAGAAGTTGGGATAACCTTGAGCATAATTCAAAAGAAATGGAAACGTTTCTGTAAAAACTTGGTACCTCGTGCATACTGTAAAGTATACGAGATAAACCCCAGCTAATAACAAGAACAAGATATTATTTAATTTTATGGCCATGTCTATGCTGATCCTTTGTTTTGCTTTGTTTTGTGAAATATGCAATAGTAATCCACAAATTGTACTTACCAAGCGTCTGTGAGAATATCATTATGATCAAAATGAATAAGTTTCTCTAAAACTTCAAACACAGGGCAGTACTATAGAGCATTTCATTATCAAAAGAATCAATAAATAAACCGAATTTATATTTATATTTATTTTTATTTTTATTTTTATTTTTATTTTATTTTTAAAAACAGGAGCAAGAACAAGTAGTATACTCACAACAGACCAATAGTTTGCCGTTTTGAATCCTCCGCGAGACATGTTTGCCAAAGACCATACTAACGCCTTGACATTTGTGCACATTTCTTGATCGGTAATGTGCATCTTTCCGTAGGAATATGAGTATGTATACACTTGGGTGTATATTTCGTCGTGAATGGTCTTTAATACTTCGGCCACAACAGCAGGCGCACGCTTTTCCATAAGCATCTCTCGAAGTTGTGCTGATTCGCCAGCAAAGTTGGACAGTGCCCATGCAATCTAAAATCACATTAATACAACAAAGAAATTAGAAAAGAAGAGTTTGATACAATATGTTATAGTAGACTGTGTGTTTGTAAACCCAATTGAACGGATCAAGATCTCTGAGTATTTACTTCACACCATCTTATATTATATTACCTGTGCTCTTGTATTTGGAGAGCAGTTATTACGACGTATGCAAATCAACAAGGAATCCACAATTCCAGATTCTACCAATGCATAGGTCTGTTCAGAAGAGCCTGCCTAAAAAAAACAAAAGAAAATAAGAAACAGAGAAAACAAAAGAAAAGGGTTGAAGTAGTATATGTATATGGGTGTGTAGATAATTAAAATAAGTTTATTCATTCTCAAGATTTTACTTACTGCAATGTTGGTCACAATCCAGGCACACTCAAACTAAAGAATAAAAGAAAAGAAGACAAGTGTCAGTATATGGTTATAATCTTCTTTGATTATAAAGAAGCCCATTAAAAATATACATATATATATATATAGATGATTTACCTGAATACTACTAGCTTCATCCCAGGTAAGAATCTCATTAATACGTGGCAGTATGTCTAATGCCAAAATATCTTGAGCAGACTCAGAGCTACCCCCAACTGATTATTATTTTAAATATTGTTAATTACAAAATATAAGTAACAAAAACCATAGACATAAAATATAAAGTGTAAAAGCATCTATTCATGACAATAGTAATTACCCTGAGTAAGATATCGTCGTAGCATTTCTACACTTTGCAAACACATTGCTTTATCATGCGAATAAAGATAATATCGAATAGTAGGCAACTGTCAAAGAGGTATAAAAAATAATAATAATAAAAGTTGAATTAGTTTTCACAATCTCATTCCTTTCCTCTTCTTTTTAGTTATTTCGTTCTATCTTTCATATATATACTTGCAGTGCTTTTTTCAATCGTTTCTGCATCCGCATCTAAAGACATGTTGTGGATGTTGACATTGGCCAGCTTTCGACTGATTTCATAAAGAATGTCATCAGGCTCGTATTCATCGATCGTCATGGTTGGCACAGCTAGAATTGATAGTGATAAAGAAGAAGAAGGAAAAATCAGACATGGTAAGTTTCCTTTTTTATTTCTTTTCCTTTATTTCATTTCATTTTATTTCATTTTATTTTATTTTTGGTCTTTAGTTGATCTCTTTTTATTTCTCTTTCTTTATCTCTGTTTCGATATTGGTTGTATTTCTAACCTTTGAATGGGGAGTAAGAGGATGAAATCTTGTCGATGAATCTGGTATTTTAAAACCAAAAAAAAAAACAAGCAAACAAACAACAACAACAATGCGTGTGCAGGAAAGTAATCAATAAAAAAGAAAATGGCCTAGAATAAGAAATAGTGTCTGAGGAATTTTTCCTGGTGAAACCAAGAGCATAAACCGGAAGTCACGACAATTCCAAAGGGAGAATGAAGATGGAGACAAACGTTTGGTTCAAACAAGCCGGTTAACATTTGGTTTCACTTTCCAACTCATCTCTGTTCTTCTCTCTCTGTATACATGTATATTTGCGCATGCTTATTCACTATGTTTTAGAAATAAGATTATATATATATATATCTATTTTAAAGATCTTGTTGAAATTCATCCAAGCAAAACAGCTTTATGTTGTGTCTCAAATGATGATCAACAGATAATAATAACCTTCTTGGGGTTTGTTTAATAAGCTTATTGCACAAGAGCTTGAAAGGATGATATACTGTATACAAATTGACTCGTAGGCAAGAAGATATATATAAAAGTATCATGATGATACTGTAAATCAAGCTTTAATACATATTTGCTTTGAAAGGATAGCAAGTCATTAGTATCCATATCAATACAGGTATTTCCTAATAGCAAGATAGATAATCTATACTTTCTATTGCTTACCCATGGCATTTTACTTACAAATTTATAAGCAACTATATATGAGAAAATCTCTTTATTGAACCTTTGAATGTAAAATTAGAATGAATTATAAAAACAAAATAGTCCAAATGGCATTAGAGACATTTACCTGCAGTACACATCTTTGTGAGAATACATGCTGTTTTGTATATGGAAGCGAGAAAGAGAAATAATTAGCAAATCGATCAACTAATCTACCAAAAGCTTTTAAATAAATATATATATATATTTATGTATATTAAAGCAATAATGATCTCCTCTGATATTTGGCTTTGATGACCACATTTACATATATCTTGTAATTGTGGATATTCATTGATATAAAGCTGTGATTATCTACAAGTATCGATCGCCATTCTCTGTTCTAGTTGTACTAATTATGTAACCTTGAATATTTTATATCCTATTGATGATTGGTGTCCAAATTTAAATATCTATATACATTATAAGGATATGTATGTATGTAAAGCTATAAGCATATATGTATGATCACCAAAATGATCACTACATGCCAATGGAATAAAAGTAGTATATATATATATAATATTCAGTGTATATTGATCCAATATTCTAGTAATATCAATAACCTCTCAGCTCAATATACCATTCGGAATATTAAGTTGGTGGGACGTGCGTATCCATACAAAGATCATTCCCGTGAGGTTTTGCTTTTGTACTATTGTTTTGTTTTATTTGATGTACTCAAGCATTAAGCCATATATAGAGAAATATTGACAGCAATATATATATATATATATGATTATATAATTATGTAATTGATCTACAACAGAAAACAAGAATTACTACAATACTCTTACAGTAAAAGCAATACGCATCTTGATCATGATCAAATCCTTAAAGAGTCTTGGAAATACCATAGTATCCAAATATATAAATAATAAGCAGGTTCTTATTTTTTTAAGTTAAATTAGTTAGCAAATAGATCTGTCGTTGATCCTCATTTTGCATGGTTGACTTTTTTTTATAATAAAAGAACAACCCTAATCCAATGATGTTGCTTAAATATTTGACCGTTTTAATCTGTCCACCCCAGATATGTCCATATAATTCTTATTTTCTGGTTTCCTATTCGAGTAGGATATGTAACATTTCCTAAAATAGAGGTCATTGCATTGCATTATATTTTGTATTTTAAAATAATCAAAAATAAAATAAAAAAAGGTGATTATAGGAAATATTATATATATATATATATGTGTGTGTAGGCTGTAAATCTGGACTTAAATAATTTTATAATTTATTTATTTTTAGTGTTTTCTGTATTGTAGAAACTGATTAATAAAATAAGAGGGAAAAACTGGCCTTATTGTACAATTGCTACTATTGAACAATGAAAAAAAAAAATGAAAGTCGCTGGGTATTCATTAGTATTCGATCAATTTGTCTTTGGAGCTTATCTAACAAAGAACAAAACAAAAAAAGAAAGGACCCAAAGACGCGATAAGCTTGGATGATGATGACACAATTTGCTTGTATAACCAGCTTATGATATTAATATATACAAATAAATACATTAATACATAAAATACGATTACATTGTACAGTTTAGTAGAACATATACAAACATTCAAACAAAAACTCATATCAATTCATTCATTCAATCGTTTAAAGGATCCTTATATGTAAGGTCAGTAGTAGTCTCCAAGCGTGACCTTGTACACAGAATGACTCGATCTGCGTAGTTATTAGTACAAAAGAAAGAAAGAATATTCAAGGAATAATATTTTCCCAGATCATATTCAAGAAATTTTGTGTGTTTTTCTTTTGATTTTTTTTTTGGTTAATTTGTTTAAAGCAATGCAGTTGATGTTTTCCGAAAGATTAGCCATAAATCAATATAAATTAAAGAAGAAGAAAAGAGAGAGAGTAGACAGCAGGCTTTTATAAACAAGCACAAGAAATCCTTCTATTTCAATGCAATCGGTATTAAGGTTGAGTTCGATAGCATACAAAAGTAAAAGGGAAAGAAACCCTTCTTTGATTCCGCGAAAATATAATTCCGGGCCAAGCATTTGGTTTCCGATACCAGCAATTTTTTTTTTCTTTTTCTTTTTTTTTCTAAAAATTGCTTTAAAAAAAGAAAGCCAGTATTCTTAGCATATGTTTAGACTTCTTCATTGTACTCATTACATTCATCACACTTGGTCATGGTAGAAGTCAGACCTATGCCTTATAGGCAGCTATTCATTCTATGTGCTTGCCGTTTTGCTGTAAGTACACCAACACTTCTAAAAATGTATTTCCTTTTAGCCTTTTAGTCCAAGAATATATTCTATATAGACAGACAGACAGACAGACAGACATATATACATTTAACAAATAAAAGCTTTTCATTATTATGATCAATAATATCAATATTACAAACAATCACAATTATAAAAAAAAACCCAAAAAAACCCAAAAAAACCCAAAAAACTAATGATTTTATTTATCATTCATTCAAATTTTCTTACAGGAACCAATCTGCTTTACCGTCTTATTCCCCTTTATCGTCCCAGTAAGCTTATTACCTTCCTTTCTTTCTCTCTTTGGTTACATGCATTTAATTATACTGGATCATACACATATATTATATTATATTACTTTTCTGAATTCTACCTTTATATTTAAAAACCTAAAAATAGGATATGATATATCCATGACTAATATTGCGCTTTTTTTTTTCTTAGATGGTACGAGACTTTAATATCACAGACGAAGCAAACGTTGGTTATTATGTTGGATTTATTACCTCATCGTTTGCGCTTGCACAATTTCTTACTGGTATGATATGCACAGATCATAATATATATAAAAATTACAATAATAATAATAATAATAATTATGATTATGATTATGATTATGATGATATAATGCAATTGCTTACTCATAAATACATATATACATTGATCTAATTAAGGTATGCCTTGGGGTATGCTGTCTGATCGCATTGGACGTAGACCGGTTATCTTAACCGGTATGGTCGGAACGGTTATCAGTATTCTTCTGTTTGGATTGTCAAAGTCATACATTTGGGCTCTTTTGGCAAGAAGCTTGTGCGGTTTGTTGGTAACGTCAAAAAAATAAGGATTCATTCATTTGTGCGTGAGAACTTATATTCTTTTATTATTATTATCACAAGAACGGAAATATCGGTGTATTGAAAAGTATGGTGGCAGAATTGACTGCCGGACAACCAGCAGATAAACGAGCAAGAGCATTTTCTCTATTGCCATTGATGTACGGCCTTGGAAGTATCATTGGCCCAATCTTGGGAGGTAAGCATTATTGACTCAATATATATTTAAATACAGACTTTGACTTTCTGTGTATGGATTTGTGTAGGATTCCTTGTTCATCCTGTCGAGACATACCCTGATATATTTGGAAGGGGCGGGTTTATTACAGACTTTTTGACAGAATACCCATATTTCCTCCCTTGTTTCATTGCAGCCATCATATGCTCCCTTGGACTGATATTTGGTCTTTTCCAGCTTGAAGAAACCTTGAATGTCAGCCGTGAAAAAGAGGAAGAAAACAGTATTACCGAACAGACCCAACTTCTTGCTCAACCAGAAGAACCTTCTGCGTATGACACTTTCAATACAACATCCCAAGGAAACGTAACGATCTCACCTACACCTACTCTTCAAGCCAAACCAGCCCCACCAACCATCAGAGAATCCCTCACTCCTGCTGTTCTGGCTATCTGTACCACTTATGCTGCTTTTTGCTTCCAAGCTGTGTTTTATGAAGGTAAGCCTAAATAGCTATATAGAAACACTTTGTTTTTTTTTTTATTTGTTTGCCTGTTTGTTTGTTTGTTTGGGAAGGATCTCCAAAATCATATATGTATATATTGTATATGTATACTTATTAGCCTTTATTTAGAACTCTTTCCTATCTGGACATCCAGTAGTAGAGGGGCCGGTGGTCTCGGGTTTCAAACAAGCGAGACGGGTATGGCCCTTGCCTTCTCTGGTGGCGTTACTTTGTTCTCCCAATTGGTACTTTTACCCCCTCTTGTATCACGCTTTGGACTCGTCCGTCTCTTCCGCTCTGTGCTGTTTGTACTCATATTCCTGTACGCCTTACAAGGCCTTGTCCGTTTACTTTATAACGTGCCTGACTTTGATGGCCAAGTGGACACCAAGTTATGGGTCTGGGTGGGTCTGTTGACCTGTCTGGCCATCAAGACCATTTGCGTCACCATCTCATTTACCGGATGCACTATTCTTGTCAACAATGCTGCACCACGCGCAGATGCACTCGGTACCATTAACGGATTCTCCCAGTGTAAGCCATGGCATATCAGATCAAATCAGATCAAGCCTAAACAATTTTGTAATAATATTACTAACAAACAAACCCTAAAAAAACTGCATTTTGTTTGTCATGATATATAGGCTGTGCTAGTGCCACGCGCGCTCTCGGTCCAGCCACTTGCGGTATTATTTGGTCATCGTAAGTAATTTCTCTACCTTAAATATATTTATAACATAACAAATCCAAGGTTATGCATTAGTCAAATCAAGTTTATTAAAAATGTCTTTTTTCTTTTAAAAAACAAATTATATAGTTCTCTTGGTGCAAAGTGGATTCCTTTCCAACTTAGAGTGCACATCAGTTTCATAGTACTCTCGTTGTTTGCCATATTCACATATTGTTCAAGTGAGAGACTTAAAAGACTCGAATTTGAAGGACCATATTCAAGAGAAGAAGTTGTGTCTACTGATGAATCAGAGACTCAAGACCAGGACCAGCTCAATCGAAGAGCTTAAATTAATCAAAGAGACAGAGAGAGAGAGAAGGGAGAGATCCCTTTGTTACCCCATTCTTATTCTTATTCTTATTCTTCTTTTCTCTGTACATATGCTTCTGGTAATAGCTAAATAACCAACCAACCACACCTCATCCAAAAGACAAAGAATAAGAAAAAGAAGTAGAAATAATAATAGCACCAAATAGATATCTTTATGTATCATTAAACATAAATTTTAGTATGCAATCTATCTTACCATAGAAAAGAGTTAAACCCTCTCTAGTAGTATTATTCCTCGATAACCCATTACCTCTTCTCCATCACTCTTCTTTTATATCTCTACACTTCTTTTTAAAGACATAAATAAAAATGGTAGTGATAATTACACCAATAATGATATTATTTAATGTTATTTTGAGTAAAACAAGATGTTGTTATAGTAAAAAATCAATATAGAGCGATACTTATATATATATATATATGTGTGTGTGTGTGTGTGTTAAATGATTACAAAACCTGTCATATGCACAATGCGAATGATATTTTTACTTCACACAGCTTTACAGTTGGACATTTAATCAACATCTTTTGATGGTGTAAATATCGATATTGGCATTTTTTAATATGTTGATATCTCTATTAATATCGGTCTGCTGTTGATAAAATAGGTACTGGCCATCATGAATCGATGTTTACTACAGCTTTACTTAATAAAGCAGAATATGTTTTTCAACATTTTTTTTCAGATGCTGTTATGAGAAAAAATGGGTATCAAAAATTGACTTTTTGGTGCAAATATCCATTTTTATTAGTAAATGGTTTTTTAAGAGTGAAAAGATAGGATATTTTGATCAATACTTGAGTAATCAATATCAATCAGCTTTTAAATGGTGGATCTCATTGTTTCTTATTAGGTGCTCATACATACAGGAACACTTTACTTGATTAGTTTGGATTTATATCCAATTTTTCTGTATTAAATTTGTTATTTTTGATCAAAGAGATCATTTTCTATTAAACTTTTACTTTCTTCATTTCAGCAATAAACTGGATAATATTCGATATACAGTTGCTTAATTAAATAAACATTTTTAAAGGTTTATTAGCTATGACACTGAAACCTCAGCGTGCATTCATAGCATACAGATCGATATAGCCAGCACTGAAACTATCCGAGCCCATAACAACCCCTCCAATTGACCCATAAAATATACCAACTTCCAAAAGGTTCAGACATAGTTACAGCTCCCAATCGATCCAGGCGCCACTGTAGCCTTCAATTGACTCACGCAATACCATCTCGAATCTCATAAAATATATACTCGTTTATTCTGACCATGGCACACACAAACCCTTTTTATATTTAAAATGTTTTTAAATGCCTGTATTCTGAAGATCGGTGAATGATGTTATTGTATTATCAGGTCCCTTCAGTGTGTGTGTGTGTGTTCTCTTGGATTTTTGTGCTTTGACAGGCTGCAAATAATTTATATACGGTAATATAAGCCAAAGTACTTTCCTGCAAAATAGAATAAACCCCGACGTACAAACAGCTTGGAAAGATCGAGGCTCAAAGAAGAAAATAACTATCAAGCGTGTAAAGTAGGTATCTTGAAACAGTGATTCCTTCTGGAAGTCGTTATTAAACCCTATGAAATAGAATTAAGCTTTTTTAAAAGACCTTTCTCTTGTGTTTTGCTGTATATTATATTGGACATTATTAAGAACTATACACAATTATTGGTATCATATATAACTTAGATATTATTCTTGTAATAGTCAAAACTCAATTATATTTCTAAGAAAATCAATCAGGCATCACCTTTATGTATATATTCCAAGTACGTTTAAGAGTCTAACTATTTTTAAACGCGTGTGCTTTCTGGTTTTTACCCTAAAAACCCTTGTTTTCTATTATGAGTGGCTGTTAAAAGGATGCGCGAATCAACATCGGGTGTCAGTTTGAATGAGAAAAATAGAGAATTGATCTTTAATGCGCAAAGTTCTGACAGACTCATTTCTGCAAGAACATGATGAGAGCTCTATATAAGCTAATGAGCTATTCGCATGAGCAGAATTGTAGTTCTTGATGGTAAATAAGGTTTCGCATCGTTGTCGCTCGTCTTTTTCTTTTTTTTTGCGCCCTTTTTTGTTTACTTTTTGCTTTTTTTTATAGTCTTTAGCTCTAGTAGTCACATGCATATAAAACCGGTCACGCATTTCTCCCCTTAGGTTTTTTTTGCAGGTGTATGCGCGATCGATGAAAGGATACAAGAGATGTGCAAAGTAGATGGAAGACTCTTCATTTACTTTGATCCTCTTCACTGAAAAGGAACTCGTGAAACTCAACTCCGTTAAAGTAGTTGAAATGACGATTGACGTTCTTTCAAAAAAAAATGTGTGTGTGCGCGTGTCAGGTACCACACTCCTCTGTAATATTTTTGGAACGAGTTTGAGTTTGACTGAAATATACACGGCTGTACTGAAGCTCTGACGATATTCTATAGAGTTAGAAAGCTCAATAAGAAATATGAGATTTTTAACGGTTTGTAAAAGAAAGGAACAAAGCTGTAGTGGTTTCTAGCAGAACAAAAAAAATTAGACCTTTTTAAAATATAAAACATATAGAATAGAATGTAGAATAAATAATAGAGAATTAAGAATTAATGGAGCTGTTCGAATTGTTTACAGAATCCCCTTTTTCTTAAGCTCTCTTAACTCGGTAAGCTTCATCCAGAACGCCAAAAATAGAAAGAGTAAAAACAGTGCTTAATAAGAATAATAATAATAAACTCAACCTTTATAAACAACCCTTGAACTACCCGGGCAAAAAAAACGAAAGTCTGCAGAAATCCCTTACTAAAAACTCAAGCTTTTTATCTCTCTCTTTATAATGATGTATAAAAAAAAGACAGCATTAATCTAATTCATTTGAAGATTTCATATCGAAAAGACCTATATTGCATCAGTCTAACTGCCTTGCTTCAAAGAAAACCAATGATCTTCTAATAATGTGTCAATAGTCTTTATATATTTGTATAATAAATACAAACCTAATACACATACTCATCTCGTTTTCTTCTTTTTACTTTATTTTTATTTGGCTTGGTTTGCGGCCATTTGTACCAAAATAGTAAAAACAAAAATAGAGGTATTATTATCAATGACATTATCATTATTAGAGGCACTTGTATAGCCTTCACTAAGCTAATATATAGCCGATTCACTCCTGTAAATAGTAGTTTCACGAGAAACAATCGTGGTAATTTGACTTGCTCACTGTTACAGGTACACAGTCAAACCAACGTGAGATGTTTACAATGAAATAAATATGTATTTGAACTTGAATTCAAACCTTAATCTCTTATTGTATAGATGCATATATATATATTGTCAATAAAGAATACAATTAAACAAGCAATATAGCTTAATGATAGTAATGAGGTGCATTAGGATCAACAATTTCTAGCTTTACTTCAAAGCCTTGGACTCTTTTGCTTTTATATATGCTTTTCTTTCAAGCCAAGAGCAACACTTTACTCAAGATCGCTTTCTTTGATATATTATAGTTATTTATATAATGTTTAACCATGGGCATGCTTTATTTGAGAATCAAAATACAGTCCTGCCACGAAAACATCTTATATGCATACATCATTAAAATCAGGATTAAGTATAATTTAAGCTTTTTTATATAAAAAGAAAAGAACATGTAATAATTATACATCAATGATAGAATATACAGAATAAAAATTAAAGTATATGGGGGGAAGAGGGGATAATGAATATATAAAAGAAGAAGCGGGATGTAAAGAAGATACAGTTTAAACATTCTTCTGTGTATGTGGCAGGCGGTCACGCAAGACACCCTCGCGATCGAGGATCGAAGATCGAGGATCGAACATATAAATGTCGATTTTTGTGCACAGAATCACTATTTTCTATTATTGGGCAATATATGGATATGTACACATATAGACATACAAATGTACATGTATATAAATATATGTAGCATACTATTTTCTCTGCACTTCCTCTTGCCTATTCCCAAAGACTTATTATTTCTAAAAAAAAAAAAAAGACAAAACTGCTAGAATATAATAATGGACAACGCTTTCTCGGAAAACCAACAACAGCAACATCAAGTACTCACTAGCCATGAAATCCAAGCCATGACTGAATTCACGCAACACATCAATTGGCCGCTAAACATTCTACAAGAATTACGCGACATAGTTCATGTTCTGTCCCCTAAGCTTTGTATCCTTGTATGCTCCCAGGCGTCAATCGAGCTATTAGGTTACCAGCCCTCAGAGCTCGTTGGACACTTGTTTACCGAGTTCATTCACGACGGCGAGGCAGAAGTATTTGTGAGAGAATATTATGCAGCAATGAGCGCGATGAAGAGCTTACGGATCTGTTATCGAATGTTGAGAAAGGACGGCAAATATATTATTATGGAGACAAAGGGGCATTTCAAACAAAATCGCTTCTTTGGGTCTGCTCGATGTGTACCAACACGACCGGCTAGAATACTCGACACGTTTCTGGATTACAAAATGGAAAACGAGATATTGAAAAGGAAAATTGCTTTTCTTCGTCTAAACATTCGTGACACGGATGCTGAGATCTCAGAAATCACGGAGGGCTCAGATGGCTCCAAGGCTTCGAGAAATTACAGTTTACAAAACCATGTCAAGGAAAGCGACTCGGATGAAGACTCCAACCGAGACAATAGTGGCAGCGACGTCGATTATGATTGTCATAATGATATTAATTATGACGATCATTGTGATAATAACTATAGTAATGATTATAATATTGCTGATATTGATAATGGCGAAGATGAAGACCTAAAAAGACACAAAGCCGATGAGAAAAAAGACAATGGGTTTGTCCAAACTTGTCCTACATCAGGGGATATTGTACAAATCTTGCCAAATTCTTTCAACGTTCCAGGGAACGTGGTACCTATTTATGACGCTTCCTCCTGTCAAGAAAGAAAATATTCAGACGATAATCTTTTAATGGAGCTTAGAAACAAGGTTCTAAACGCGCCAAACTTTATCAAGCTGGGCAAAAATGATCTAGCAATTGAAAACAACCAAGTTTACCCACAAAGAGCCGAGAAAAGGGTATGTATAATGAATTTCAAGTACATACATACATACATACATACATACATACATATAAACGTATAAAAATGACGATTTTCCATACTAATTGTGTGGGTGTGTTTTTTTGGCATTTTTACATTTTTACACTTTTGGACTTTTGCATTTTTGTACCTTTTCTATTTATTTATTTGGCGTGTGTACACTATAGAGATTTACAGACACAATTGAACAAAAAATATGTGTTGGCTGTAGTACAACGAACGCACCAGAATGGAGAAAAGGTCCAAAGGGTCCAAAAACGTGAGTAGTTTTGGTTTATGTATACATTTACAAACTAATTAGATCTCATGAACAATATATTGAATTAATTTCCCTTGTAGTCTTTGTAATGCTTGTGGACTTCGATGGGCCAAGGCAAGCAGAAAAAAATCGTGACTTCCCAAAGGCCCTACAAATCACCATTTTTTGTATACGATTTGGCAAGTCAAAAGTGCAAAAAAAAAGGCTTATTTACATTACACTGAGGTAAGAACCAATACTCTTTGTTATTTGATAGGACAAAAATTTAAATTTTTCTCACTCACTTTGGTCTTTAAAGCAAAAACAAAAGCGAGCATGAATGAAATAGAAAAATTATAGCTAACATAACCATTGCTTTCTTAGTAAAACAAAAACTGGAATTCATTACAAAGCACAACACGGAATAGCGCATAACAACATTATAACTATAATTTACTTTGCTACATTATATCATATCATATTTCACTACATTACACTACATTACATTTTGCTCAACTATATTATATATTATATACTATACTATACTATACCATTCCATACCATTAACACTGTAAAGATATACTTGCAATGCTTCATATGAATATCTTTTTATCACTAGCATCAATAAATAAACATAATTTGACTTTGACTTTTGGAATAAGTTCAAGATAAAGGAGTCGATTCCCGAGATACTACAAATACACATGCACACACGCACACACGCACAGATAGCGAGGGAGAAAGAAAACAGTTGTGGTTACACACATCCTCTTTATACTTGGGTACGGGTGTGAGTGGGTCACATCGTCTGTTGGTGAAGAAAACGTGTTTTTATGTTTTGCACTGCTTTGCTTTGCTTTTGCGCTGCTTTGCTTTGCTTTATTTCCAAAAGGATTAATCAACCTTTTTCTTTTACTGCTCAGTAAAATCTAGATTTTTCTTCTTCATATTTCTTTATTGAATTTATTTTTCGCCCTTGGCCATCCTATTTAAAACAAATATATCAGTACAGACTTTTGATAGATGTATGTCTGCAGATGTATACTTTCTAGACTTACTTGAAGGAGCCGTAAAGTGCACCAGAGAGTCCGATACCAAGACCAGCAAAGACAATGGAGACGATGAACTTATCTCTGGGACCCTTGAGCCAAAGAGGAGTATGTGAAGGGGCCTGGAAATGACGTTGGTTGGCAAGGACGTGGTTGGGACGGTTGATAAACATTTTGTTAGAGTCTGGTGAGAAAATAAAAATCAGAAATCAAAAGAGTAAAAGAAGAAGAAGAAAAAAGAAAAGAAAAAAAAAGTGGGCCGTTTCTTTCATTTTTATATTCACTCGTGATGAGGTTGTGCAGTGTTCTCTTGTCGTACATGATTAGAACACTAATTTTTACTTTTATTTTTATTTTTATTTTAGGGCATTTGTAGTCAAAGGAAGCAGATGTTTTACATTACATATACAAATAAGTATGTGTAGATGGGTTGGAGTGTAAAGAAGTGTAAGGAGGTGTGAAGGAGTGTAAGTACAAGTGCAAGTGAATATATAAAATGTCTAAGGAAGATGTACTTTTTTTATTATTATTATCATGCTTTAAATATATATATTTATATGGAGTTTCTTTTTCGTTTCTTCTTTTAATGACTTCCACGTCCACCGCGTCCTCCACGGCTTCCACCGCGTCCTCCACGACTTCCACCACGTCCACCACGGCTTCCACCACGGCTTCCACCACGGCTTCCACCACGTCCACCACGACTTCCACCACGTCCACCGCGCTGTGCTGGTGCATCACCGTTCTTTGACTCCCGAGTGCGGCTGTGAATTGGGGTTGGTCGTGCAGCCTTTTTCGCTGATCGTGCAGCAACCATTTGTCTCTTTTCGTCATGTTCAGCATCGTCTTCCTCCATGGCCTGTGCACGTCTTCTCTTGACACGGCTCATACCAGCATATTTATCACGTTTCTACATAATCCACAAATAAAGAAATAAAAATCAATCAGTCAGTCAGTCATTCAGTCATTCAGTCAGTCAATTAATGAAACTCTTTATATAATTAGGTATATTACACGGACTAACACACAAATTCAATAATAGTAATAATACAATTATTCGATTTCTTCCTTTCTTTTCTTTTCTTTCTTACCTCTGGCTTCTTGACTTCCTCTGGTTTGATACCAAACTTGCTCTTGTGATCATTCTTGCCGATCTCCTTTGCCTTTTTCTTGTCCTTCTCTGTCTGGAACCAGGTTCTTGCAGGACGAGCATAAATTTCGTCGCTGTGAAGGATCAAATTCTCACTCTTACGGACTTCCATTTCAGCCTGTCTGATTGAGCGCTCTTCCTTCTCTTCACGCATGACATCCTGAATCTGAGGACCAAGATCCTCAATCTTCTTCTTGTATCGCTGAATTGTCTCAGGTGACACAACGCGATTCTTCACTTGTGAGTTTGTTGCAGATTTAATGGCCATCTTGAGCATCTTACGATCAGATTCGCCAACAAGAGTAACAGATCTATAATACACACACACAAAAGGTATAGCAACAACAATAAATATATGTCCATTACACATAATAAATTACACAAGCATATATGTGTGTAATAAAGATCCCTTCATTAACCATTCCAACTCACCGTCCATTGCGACCAGCTCTGGCAGTTCTTCCGACACGATGGAGATACTGTGCAAACTGAGTTGGCATGTTGTAGTTGATAACAGTCTCGATACCCTTGATATCAAGACCTCTGGCAGCCAGATCAGTGGCAAGCAAGTAATCAACTTCGCCATCACGGAAACGCTCCAAAGATTCTAGGCGCTGTTCCTGGGTGAGGTTACCGTGAAGTTCGGCAGCGTTGAGCCCCATGAGACCAAACAAGATCTTCATTTGATGTGCGGCGGCCTTTGATCTAAAGAAGACGATCACCTTTTCCTTAAAGGTCTTTCTGCACATGGCCAACAAAACAGCCGAACGATCGGCTTCACGATGGGCACGGATACGAACGAACTCTTGGACAAGTCGAGTGGCGGCCTGGTTGCTAGCGTCGACAAACAGGCGGACGGGGTGGTTGAGAGACATGCGGATCAGCTGGTCGACGTTATCAGTCATGGTAGCAGAGAACAGCATGGTCTGTCTGGACTTGGGGCATGATTTAATAATTTCACCCAATTCGTCTGCGAAACCATCTTCGAGCATACTAAATTAACACATTAGACAAGAGTCGTTAGATGAAGAAAAAAGAAATAAAGAAGTAATAATAATATATGTATCCTTGATAATCCTTATTGTACATATCCTTTCCTCTTTTTTTTCTTTTTACAACTTACCGATCAGCTTCATCCATAACCAAAATTTCACAGCTGTCAAGACCAAAGCCAGTAGAGTTTCTGACGTGATCGATCAAACGACCTGGAGTAGCAACCACAACATCGGGCTTCATCTTCAACTCGGCTTCCTGAGACTTGACACTCAAACCACCAACACACAAACAGAAACTGATGTCGGTGTAGGAACCCAACTTGACAGCCACACTGTGCACCTGAGCGGCCAACTCACGAGTAGGACAGAGAATGAGAACACGGGTGGAGGCAGTCTGGCGAGGGCGGTAGAGAAGACGTTCGAGAATAGGAACAATGAAGGCAGCAGTCTTTCCGGAACCTGTGACGGCACCACCACAAATATCCTTACCGAGCAGAGCAACAGGAATGGTGCGGGCCTGGATATCGGTGGGCTTGACAAAGCCCAGAGAAGCGAGTCCCTTGAGGATTGGGCGAGACAAGTTCATTGAAGAAAAGGCCTGGTGATCACGAGCTTCGTTTTCTTCTTCAGGAGCAAAGTATTCTCTTTTGCGCTAGAATACATATACATATACACAAAAGGGATATATCCACACATTCACATATAAAACATACATAAAGAGGAAAGGAAAAGGAAAAAAAAAGTGTTGGTCGCTTTTTATTTTTATTTACATTTATATGTACATTTATATTTATATTTGTATTTATATTTATATTTGTTATAGCACAAGTCAACACCTTGAAAGTATTGGTGCTCCTATTGATTATAATGATGATGATATATCTTACCTCAGCTTCGGCTTTTGAGCTCTCGGTCTCTTCTTCCTCTTCATCGCTATCTCTGTCTGCATCCTCGACATTTTCTCCGTCAGATACACCTTCTTCTTCAGTATCGCTTGCCGAATTTTCTTCTTCCTCTTCTTCCTCCTCTTCTTCGTCTTCTTCAGCTCCACCACCGAAACCATCAGCAGCCAAATCTTCGTCGTCGTCTTCAACAATCGCATCTTCTACTTTATCTTCGTCATCGAGTTTTTCGTCTTCTAATTCCTTTGCAGCATTTGCCTTTGCTTTTTCCTTGTTCTCCTTTCTTTTTTTTGCGATAATATCATCAATTGAGACTCTAGGAACATCACCAGTCTATAAAATAGATCAAATATAGATATATAGTAGATGAAGAAAGGGTAAATAACGTTTGTTCGTTTATTCGAATATGTGTGTGTGTGTCTGTGTCTGTGTCTGTGTGTGATGCACGTACCTGGCTTGCTTTAAGCATGCCTCTTGCGGCAGTGAAATCCCATGCATGGACAGGTCCGACGTTTCCTCCACCATCGTTGGCAAAAGTAAATCCGGAATCAAAGTCTGTAGGCTTCTGTTCCTTCTTTTGCTTCTTTTTTTCGCCCTTGACTTTCTTGGCCTTGAGTTGAGCCTCATCGTCATCGATCACTTCTTCTTCTTCGTGGATCATGACAGTATCATCGTCTTCATCGATCGTCATAACAAAGTCATCGTGAATTGCCATTTGTATTTAATTTATTGTTTCTGGATCGACCGGGAATGATTTTTCTTTTTTTGAAATGACACTTTCTAATTTAATTAAAAAAAAAGACCTCCACGATTGATAAAAAAAAAACTTGCGTTTAGACTTTTTTTTGGTGTTAAAAAAAAAGTAGCTGTGACGGCTGTGACGGTTGAAGCTCTGTCTCTGACATTTATTTTATTTCTATATCTTTATTATATCTTTAAAAAGTTGGAATAGAAGCACGTGACCTAGACCCTTCCTTTAAATTCTCTGCAAATCTTCTTACCATTTTACAACCACACCACTTAAAGTTTACTATCCATTCAATAAACTGCTCGACTTATTTTTACATATTAATTGTGATGTATAGTGACTAAACTTTTAATAGCGAGGATGTGCATAAAACTTGAGGGGAGCGGGGGGAGCTCTACTTTCAAAAAGTATGCTAATTATCTATTAATTATAGGTCTATGAATTCATCACAAAAAAGATGTGTGTGTCCGAATGAATTTGTGCGTGTGTGGGTGGATTTTGAGTACCAGACATGGGACAGCGGAGGTACAAATATTAAGAGAGGTAAATTGAATAGGAAGAAAAAGAAGGTCTTTATCGATTGGTATATACATATTATTCTATCTCTTTAATAAATAGCACTCTCACAGTATCTAATTTTTCTAATTTAAAGGTACTAACCCAAAATCAGCTCCCAAAATCTCGAATATTACTTTAATTTTCTTTAATAAATAACACTCATAGTATTTATTTTTTTTAATATTGAGATACTAACCCAAAATCAATTATAAATATCTTAATTACAATGTAGTAGATATTTAAATAAAATTATAATTGAAATAAGAGGGTCAATTACTTGTTATCAAATAATAATAAAAAATTAAAGACTAATTGAAAGATTGCAATAAAGCAAAAATAAAACAAAATAATAAAATAATTAATTTGAATTTCAAATGTCAAGTATTTCTGGCAGATTGCAGGGCATTTTTAGAACTCAAACTGTCTAAGCTGTTTTTAGTAATTTAAAAACACCTGGGAGCGTGGCGTTTTTGTGAGGCTAGCAGTTTTCGTCCACAAAACAAAATGCGACGTTGTTTTAATTTATTGTTTCTCCTAATGTCGTATAATAAAAAAGGCAAAAGGTTCTCACTTCGGAATTAAAAGCTTACTTTAGAAAAAACCGTACTAAACTGTCTACTTTTGTATGTGCTACAAATAAAGTAGCAAAAAATGTCGGCAAGTGAAAATTAAATACTGGGATTTCACATAGTGTTGCCCTTTGGTGTGTGTGTGCGTTTTTTTTTTTTTCAAAAAAAAAATAACTAAATCATCTTAACTTTGTTTTGTTCTATCTATGATTTAGAGCTCGAGTTTTATTTTAGTTACTCCAAAGAAAAAGAGTAGGTACTCATTCAGATTCTACGTAGAAAACCAAATTCGGGCACTAGTCAATAAAATTGCTTCGTAGTTGAAGACACCAAAATCCAAGAGCAGAATTTTGGTACATATTTTAATGTGCCAGTATTTTTAAGTTGAATAAGAAATCCAAAGGCTTAGCAAAATAAAATAAAGTAAAACAATAGATTCTGTGGCTCCTCACGACAAGCAAGATTTGTATAAGAAATGGTTATTCCTTACATATAGAATAGCGAAAACTAGATTTCACAGTAATATATGTTTCCATATTTATAAATTCTACGTCGCTATAGTAATTATATTCCAATAATATTATTTTTGAATTTAAAATTCTTGATAGAACTCGATTGAATGAGTTCATAAGAGATGGGGAATTAATACCATTTATCTTGCAAGCTGTTTTCTTTAAGACACTAATAATATATTCAAATAAAGACATTTTTTTCTAATATACACCTGTACAATTTTTAAATTATAAGCTATCGTTTGTGACTGCAAGAGACTGGTGCACTCTTTAATGACATCGAGGTATTTCTACAACATAAAGGAGAGATGGGCAAAGCCGAAAATCTATATTTAGGACGTTGAGAAACTTAGTGGTTGGTGGAGAAAGCATCTTTTTGGATGTACCGCTTTGGTTTTGGTCTTGTTGTTTTGTCTTGTCTCCTTGTACTGTCCTGTCCTGTTATGTCCTGTCTAGGACTTGCGTCGAAAAACCACTAGTATCTTGTTTGACACAATTTCCTTTGTCTTTGTAGATTTTTACGATGTATCCAAGAGGTTAAATAAATTGGTTTTCAAAAAGGATCTTCGCCACCATATCCAACATGAGGTCATTTCAAATGAGTCTATAATAAATGTAGTCCCAAAGACGAACAATAAAGTAGCAGAGTTTGATGTTCTAACAACAATTCACTGCTATTGGAGAGTACCAAATTACTGCCACGATGAAGATCAAATTCAGGGGATTGCAATTTTGTACGCTTTGTCATTGACATCGTTTTCAAAACAGGCCAAAATTAGTATTGAGGTTGTGAATTTTCTTATGTGCCTAAACTAGGTGTCTATATGTTGCTGATTTTTTACATCCAGACAATTCACCATCGGGAATGCAAAGTTGTCCAAGTAATCAAAGCGGATGACTACAGTGTCTTTGCAAATATAAGAAGAAGACCAAGACCAAGACCAAGATGTTAGCGACGAATTTTTGAAGTAGCAATCAGGAATTTCTCACAATCGTCAGTGATTATGTTAGCCTGGATCACACGTTGCTACCGACGATTGTTATAAAGTTGCTTCGAATTTGAAAACTGTGTACAACTTATCTTGTTTGCTGCAATATTTACAGTCAGTACGTCATTCTCACAATTGACATGAGACTTCGGTACAGGTATTTTCAAGAAATTGTTTCCTTCCGAAATTGGTTCTACATTAGTCTATGTCGTGTTGACAACTGAAGCGGGGCAAACAAAAGAAAAAAAAAGAACTGAGTGTTTCAATAACACAATAGATCAAAAACGGTAAAATATCAGTCGGTGCTGACAAAAACCAAAAAAAAAAAAACGTAAGCTAAAATTGATTGGCTGCGACATTACTTCTTGGGAGCACTGTATGGAATAGCAATTATAGTAATCGCAGTAACGAACGGCTGTGGTACCAGCATTAGTAGTATTAGTAGTACTAGTACTAGCAGTAGTAATGACAGTAACAACAGCAGTAATAGTAACAGTAATTGTGTATACATGTGTACATATATTTATATTTATACTTATATCTATATCGGTACGGATATGGTATGGATATGGATAACTAGAAAAGTTTAAGTTGTACTCAGAATTACCAAGATCCAAATAGATGGTAAGCTAACACATCTTTCTTATTCTTATTCTTATTCTTCATCATCTTCTTATTCTGTATTTGGCGTTTGCTGGAAATGGCCTAAAATAGATACATGTTTTGTCTGTATGTGTGTGGGTCTATTTTATGGTTTTAGGTATAAAACAAAATGCTTGTATTGGTGCATTTATTACAAAAAAATAACCTCTTTCTTTCTTTTGATCACGTCTTTATACAAATATAGAGCAACCGCAAGTATATATATATTTAAGCTTTGAAACAAACAACCAAAAATTCAAATCAAATAAAACCATTATTCTTGTGTGTATGTCTGTGTGTTTGTACAAAATGTCATATTATTTTCAAGATGAATGAATAAAATAAATTAACAAATAAATAAAACAAATAAATAAATTAAATAAATAAATATAAAGAATTAAAAGCAAAAAAAAAGCAAAAAAAAAGCAAAAGGATGTGTAAGCATATACATACGTTATTTCTTTTGAATTTCTTATTTAAAGAAGTATTTAAAAAAGAAAGAATATATATAAAAGAAAAGGAAGTAGAAAATAATATAACAAGAAGAAAGTAAATAAATAAATAAAAGTTTGCATAAGTAATCAAGTGGGGGTTTTTTTTTGGTGCCTGAGTGTGTCTTTTTGTTTTCTTCTACCTCTTGGTTCTCTTTCTCTTTAGCTCTCTATATATAATGTATATACAGTTTGTGGAAGATTGTGTGTAAGAGTGTGCGTGAGAAAGAGAGAGAGAGCTAAAGAGAAATAGTTAGAGTTTGAGTTAGAGAAAGGGTGATGGTGAGGGTGAGGAGGGAAGGGTGTAATAATATGTCATGGTTCATATATGTTTCAGTATGCCCACATGTGTACGAATTAAGGAAAGAGGGAGAGGAAAAGGAAGAAGGGTAGATGGTTATAGGAATAGCAATAGTAGTAGCACTGGTAATTAGCAAGGTTACTAAATACTGGATACTAAATACTAGATACCAAATTGGGAGGGGTAGAAATAAAAAGAGAGAGAGAGAGAATAAAAGAAGCATGAGGCTTGTCTCCTTTTAAATGTCAATGATGCGCTTGATACGACTGCATTCGTTCAAATGTTGGCCCCGGTATTTAATCAAGTGTTCCCCATTTTCTCTAAAGGTCACTGTTTTGTTGACAAGGCAACCCTAAAAAATGAAACAAGGAAAAAGGACAATTACAATTACAAACATAAAATTAGTTTACAATATTCATTATTATCATTATTATTATATGTACCTTTGCGCTATTGGAACATTTGTAGTAAATGCTTTTGTGGCCTGTCTTTTTATGGACCGTGTTTCCGTTGTTCTTCCAGAGATAGTTATCGTTGTAAGGAAACTCCCGAGTTTCGATAATGGTCGTAATGGCCTGCATTTCGCGCCGTTTTCGCTTGGACGAAGTCTGATCAACCGGACTTGCTTCCCGTGTGTGGTGAGGTCGTTTCGAAACCAATTTTTCCTCGGTCTTGGGTTTCTCGAGAGCCTGATCCCGAATTTTATTCTGAATCTTGGACTTGGTCTGATCGTGATCGTGATCGTGCTCCTGATCCTGATCCAGAGCCTGATCCTGATCCTGAACCAGAGCCTGGGAAATACCCTGGGAAATAGCCTGAACCGGAACCTGGGATTGTGGTTGTGGTTGGGGTTGGACCTGAGCTTGAGCTTGAGCTTGAGCCTGTGCCTGAGTCTGTACCTGTACCTGAGCCTGAGCCTGAGCCTGGGATTGAGGCTGAGGTTGGGGTTGGAAGGTTGTGGCCTCGATTGGTGGAGAGGGAGGAGGGATTCCGGACGACAGCAAGTTGCGCGACTTTACCAAGTTGACAGGTGGTTCGAGGGAAATCAGTGTAGGTCTAAAGAAACATGCGCAGATATAGGAAGAAAGATGTTATAAAAAGGTTAGGAACTTTCAAGATAAAACAAAAAATTGAAAATACAAGATTACTTACTGTTTGACAGAGGGCTGAGAGTTGTTATTGTATTGGTGATGATTGTGAGCCAAGATGTCATTCTTTTGCTGCTGCTGCTGCTGCTGCGGTTTCTGTTGATACTGCTGCTGCTGTTGACGTTTATACTGCTCCTGGTGCTGATACTGTTGCTCCTGCTTTTGTTGTTGTCGTTGTTGTTGTTGTTGTTGTTGTTGTTGTTGTTGTTGTTGTTGTTGTTGTTGTTGTTGTTGTTGTTGTTGTTGTTGTTGTTGTTGTTGCTGTTGCTGTTGCTGTTGCTGTTGCTGTTGGTGGTGCAGCTTATAGATGGATGGAGAAGGGAGTTGCTTCTGTTGATGAGCTGGAGAATGACTCAAAAGCATATCAATATTGTTGCTGGAGTTGCTACTCTTCCGGCGAGAATTGATCCGGGTCGGATCGGTATAAATACTCCTGCCATTCCCTTTGCCACTGTTGTTGTTGCTGTTGTTGTTGTTGTTGTTACTGCCGTGCGCGTCATCAAAAGTGTCATCGAGTGTGTCAATGAGGCGTTCTGCGTGACGAGGGAAGGCATTGATTGTGTGGGTTAGACTGTGGCGTTTCTTGCTCAGTTGAATTTGAGAGTGAGGATAGTCCATTGATGGCGAGAGGGGTGAGTAAGGCATGGTTTTGGCGGTTAGACTTGATCTTCTGCCGGGAAAAGGTAGATAGAGTCTTGAATCACGCTGACGAGAGTCTCCTCCTGCTGCTGCTAGCTCCATTTGTTCATCAACTGAAGGGTGTGAGTGATGACTGGCAGGTGAGCGTAGTTGTGATTTTGGTGATGATGATTGTTTCCACGAACGAATGTTACTGTTATTGTTGCTGTTACTAGTATTAGTGTTGGGACGATCGAGAGAGGAATCTGTAGACTGGTGACGATGTAGTAAATAGTCTATTTCCTTGCGTCTCAGTTTGGCTTCTTCAGCTCTGCGTCTGTCTTCTTCAACTTTTGTGGACAGAATAAGCTCAAGTAGTTCAGGTCGGGATCCGTATTGTTGGACTACTCTCTCTAGACTGAGAAAGGAAGATGGTCCTGGAGATTCCTGGGTGGCGGCGGACTGAGTGGCGGCGGATTGTGATTGTTGTTGTGAGTGGCGGGATTTTTGGTGAAATCCGCTGTGATCTGGGGAGTTTGATGACATGGGGTTAAATGTGGAGCAAGGTGCCTTTAGATAATAGTAGGAAGATGATTCTGCTGATGAAGATGAAGATGAAGAAGAATAAGAAGGTGACGGTAAAGGTAAAGAAGAAGAGGAATAAGAAGGAGAATTACTGTTTTGGCTCTGGTTGTTATTATTATAATTATAATAGTAGCAAGATGAAGAAGGCGAAGAAGAAGAAGTATTTGAATGATGTGCACGAGCAAGCATTTCAGTTATGAAAGGAAACAAACAATAGAAAGTATGGAAGTAAAAGTAAGAAAGAAATGTTTAAAGAAGAGAGATAGAGTATGGGTATTGTTGCTATTATTTATTATTTAAAAGAGAAAATAATATTATATATAAAAAAGGTATTTAATATTCAAGACAGCCAAACACCAAAATGGGGAAAGGAGGGGGGGTGGAATTTGAGTGGAGTAGAGTAGAGTGGAGTAGAGTGGAAGGTTTTTTTTTATTTTATTTTTATATTTGTATTATATTCTTATTCTGGATGTGCACTGGATTTGTCCAATCATTTTTGTCTGGTCTGTGTAAAAAAGAAAATGAAGCCCAAATTTTTCTTTTTTGTATACATTTTCCTTCTTCCCGTTCCTCCCAACCCATGCGAGCGATCCTCCAGCCGGCTGTTGAACCAATGCAAGCCATTTATGACGTTATTCCCCGCACTTCCCCTTCCTCCCCTTTATTTTATATATATATTTATATATTTATATTGATTTTTCTCTCTTCTTCTCCTTCATATGCCCTTTTTTTGTATTTCCCGCCTCTTTATATAAATAATCATAATCTTTGGTTATTCAAAAGATTGGAAGAAAACTGGCTTTAGTATATATGTACTATAGATTTATATAAATATTCTAAAGTAAAAGGCACGCTCAAAAGACAAGCAAGTTGAAAAGATTATAATTGAATTCTCTTTAGTATCTTTATACCAATAAAATAAACTGTATATATATAAATCGAAAGATAAAATGTGAATGTGAATATATATGTATATAAAAGTCGATCTTTCTCACGTAGCCAAAGGGCTAAATATATTAGGATCTTTGGCTTTTGGCTTTTGTATATATATATATATATATTTATTTATTGTCCACAAGGTGGTACTTGACTGTTGTAGACAGAAATCATCTTATAGAAGCGAGATTTCCAATGAATCGTTATTGGTTCCCGTTTGTAGTGTATTCTTTCCCGAGGTATTGCCTTTTATAATGCAATTTATACAGCAAATAATTCAGCTCACCTCCCAATTTCCCAGGTTCTGTGCTCCCCGCGTTCTTTAATTACAATACTTTAAAAAATAAATAGGGACCGAAGGGTCCTCCGGTTTCGCCCTCAGTCTCTACTAAAAGAAAATTTCTTTTGATTTTATATAATTTTTTTTTTTTTGGTTTCTCCCCCACCTCCCAAGCTTCATTATGTAACACGTCTTTCTCCATGGTTTCCCCACACTCTTGGGGACAAAACTAAGCCAATGAATCTCTATATCTTTTTGGTCTGGTCTGCTTATATATACAATATATTGTATTATATTATATTCACATTCACATTCACATTCACATTAGAATAACCGTCTTAATCGGAGTATTATTAATAATGAGAATCATAATAACTATACAGCTTTAAGCCAGAGCTCCGGGAAAATGTCCTTTTCATTCATTTATTCATTCATTTGATTTTAGTCTTTCTAGTAAACAAGTCTAAATACACCTTACAGAACATGAGTTTTCTATTGTACATATGTTTGTATTTGTGTGGACATGTATTTAGTATAACTCTAATTGTTTCTTATACATTTTTTTGTACAGTCACAATTCAAAAAAGAAAATTATAATCATAAATTATTGATCATAAATCATACTCATAGTCATTGTAATTAGTGTGGAACAAGAAATTCCAAAACAAGCAACAGAGAATATTTGATGACAAACAATCGAACGACAAGCAAAGCAAAGCAAAGAGAAAAAAGAGAAAAATGGAAATGGAAATGGAAAAAAAGAAGAAAAAGAAAGAACATACTGGATCATGTAATATTTTTATTATATGTTTTTGGTTTGGTTTGAGAGAGGATGACCAATTGTTAATATGAATCGGTATAACAACAATGGTGTTTATTTAAACATGCAGTTGAAATAAAGCCACAAGCATATGATATCGAGCTACTTTTGGGATACGAGGAGAGAAGAGCAGACGAGGGACAGGCTGGAATAAATCGAAATAGTACATAAAAGAGAGAAAAAAAGTCATTATGGACCAGAATAGAAAGACCTTGTACCCGAACATCTCCGTAGGGACCAAGGGGACCTTGCTTATCAAATGAGACTTATATTATTCTATTGTTATCATTCAGTCAATAGCAAGCCAGCTGGTCAAAAAAATATTTTATTTGGTTTCCTTGTGCCTTGAGGATGACTTTCTTTATATTATATTATCAATTGAATGGCAGGAAAGTTTATTATTATCTTACACGACAATATTTCCCTTTTAGTCTCCCTTGTCCTGTCCTTGTGCCCATCCCACGACTTTATGTTTTACCGTCCTATTCATTAAAAGACGGGAAGAATACACAAAATACGGGAAATTATACTAGCGCAGTCCAAAATAATAATAATAATATTGTGGCAATCTACTGTTAATCCTTTTTGATTGATCTTGCCAAGATGTGGAAACATCAATATATCCTATATAAAAATAAAATCAGCCTGTTTGTGTTTGACTTTCCTTTTTTTTTTATTCTTTCGGTGGGTGTGCATAGATTGAAGCGCTGTGATTATCATAATCACCATCATTATCAATAATTAATATCGGTTTATTAAGGTATTAATCTATGGTAGAAAGTAACAAAAATCTAATATGTAATACAGTTGAACATATTTAATGCTAATATTTATATCTGCATTATTGTAGTATTAATAAATAATGCTAATCATAATACATGTACCAAATCATTCCGCGGATTAAGAAAGCAATATTAATGATTACGATTATGATTACGATTATGATAATCTTAATGGTAATGGTAATGGTAATAATTAAGCTAAAATATATCATAGCTGGAACAATAAATATATACATATACATATATTCAAAGGAACCTTGTGATATTCGTCTATTCAATCAGTCATTATCACTTTGTTTTATTTTGCTCTGTTTTTAGTTCGTTAAAGCATTCAAATATACCGAAATAACCAAAAGAAGAAGAAGAAGTGCATAGCTAGAGCCTGGTTCATTGACTTTATTTCTCTCTTTATACATATATATTGACTTTGAGCTATTATAATATACCAACAGCTTGCCAATCTTTATACAAGTGCGCGGACGTATACGTGTGGATAATTAAATAAATATATAGATAAAATATCAAGTACCTAAAGTGGGTAACAATAAGTCCATTGTTCTCAACTAATTGACTCTTGCAGCGTTGGACAGAAAAAAAAGGTAAATTACATTTGGTGCTCTATTTTTTGTGGCTTTATTTCTGTTTATTGTCTTTTTCTATAATTACAATTTTTTTAAAACTAGTAAATCTATTGATAAGCTTATTTTATATTATTATTATTACCTGTTTGTACTATCCGCAGTTCTGAATTGCTCTTTTGAATGTATTATAGTAATATTAACAATAGTAAGACGATGATGATGAAGTAATTAGACAATATCAAAGCAAAGCAAAGCAAAAACAAAGATATATCCTACAATAGACTAACAGCATTAAGGCAGAAAATTTTATAAGTAAAAATTCTCTTCAGTCAGGACAATTAACTAAATGGAGAAATATTAAACTACAGCTATAATAAAGAGAGAGAGAGAGAGAAACCAAAAGAAAAACGTTGGTTACACTACACACAAACTATATATATTTTTATATCTTTTCTATTCTTCAACCCCCCACTCCCCACTCCCCACTCCCCTCTTTATTTATTTATTTTTTCCCTTCCCTCCCCCGGGTCGAACTGAATTTTCGGAAATTCAATTTCAGAAAAAGAAATAAAAAATTAAATGCCGAACTACGAGCCAAATTGGTCACCGTGGTAACTTGTATCTAAACTTCTTTTTATTTTATTTTTTATACTGCAGAATTCGAGACTTCTTTATTATCATCATTTACTCATTATCTCTTCTTACATTATATACTATTTTCAAATAAAGGAAAATAAAAAACATTTGCCCTTTATACGCAAAAAATTAAACCATTTTCTACAAAAACTATGTATATCATTATCATTCTCGATCTATCTTTTCAGTAAGATCTGGGCAAGTCTTGGAATATCAAATAAAATTATCCAGTAGGTATTTTTTTTACAGTCTCGTACAAAGAAAATAAAGTCAGTTTATCCTTTTCTCTCTCTTTCTTTCTCCCTCCTTCTCACTTTCCCTCTTTTTCTCTCTGTTTTCATGGTCTTTTCTTCTATTTTTCTTTTATAATTGTATGATTATATATATATAATATAATAGTAATAAGCAAAGATTGGTTTATTGTTATTACCCTTTGAAATGCTTTGAGTGATAATTTGAACTTAAATATCTTTTTTTTTGGCGCGAAGTATTAAATAAGATGTTCGCAACATAATAATTTGAATTCAATATAAAAAAAGAATATATATATATATTCTTTGTTTTCTATTCACAATATTAATAGTAATAATACTTTTTCTTTTTACGCGCCAATAAAATAAGATGAGAATAAGAATTCAGCCGACAAGTACTTTATTTATTTTACTTATTATAATAATTGTTTTGGAATAGAATAATCCCTGCAGGGACTGTAAGATATGAATATATTTATATATACATATATAATATAACCTTTTTATCTTTGTTTTTCCTTATTTTATTTTCAAAGATGTTTATAAATCAAAGAAAAAAAAGGTCATATGTTTCAAATATCCAAAAAATAAAATAAAAAAGGTATATTTTACAATAAAAAAACGTTTTAGTATCGTTGTTTTTATTGTTAGTTTAATAGATACATTATTTTACCTATCTGTAATCTGTACCAATCTATCTACTTATCTATATATCGATCCATCTATATCTATTATATATACGTATATTTCCTAGGGAAAAAAAATGATATGCTTCCATTCCAGAATGTATATCTATATACTCTTCATCAAAGCTCTGACAACAAATACTAACAATAATTATGATAGACCTTTACGGTTATTGTTTGTATGTAGTCAGAAATATTCAGATAGAAATAACATTAATAAAGTAATTCCAGGTCTAAGATTCATACCTATACTTTTTAAATTGCATTACCATGCAACAAATTTATCATAGCAACATAATCACCATGACAACACATTTACCATGACAACCATCAATTTTGTTTTAAATATAAAAACTATTAGCTATTTGTACAGATATCTGACTACTGGCTACAGTATAGACATTAATAATGATAATGATAATCAAGACTTTGAATGGATTGCTTATGATTTATGATACTTGTATATATCTTTACAGATAAAATATCCTTTTGAGTATTCTTATTATTATTTATTACTGACTTCCTTGTCTATCATACATGGCTTCGTGCTTTCCAATATAATTCTTATTAATATTTTAATAACAATAATAATAACAATAACGCTCGAATTTACAGGGGGACATTAACAGCAAACTTTGATCACTATAGTAATACACAAGACCACGTACAAACACACACACACGTACACATTTTTCTTCCCGATTCTTTCAATAAGGTTACTCACGGTATTTTTTTGTATTATTGAAATTACAGTTCGCTTACAAGGCTTTACAACACGCTAATATATTTAAAGTATTCCTGATGTGACTTTTAGCTGTTATTTGAAGTAATGAAATAATAATAGTCTCCATCTCTCTCTATATATATATCCCATTGAAGTTAATATGATATACATGTATATATGTGCCTATGAATGTATAGTGAATGTATCCTAACAAGAATTAGCTGCTATTTTCGTATACCTTTATCTTCCATCGTATCATAAAATATTATATCATGTGGCTTTGCTTTCTTATTACTCTTTATATATATATATTTGAGAATTAAAAATGGTAAAAGATCAATATGTGTGTATGTACAGAATAGGAACAGCATAAACATAAAAGGCGAAAGTACTTGCGTTTTTTACTATATATATATTTACTTTTTCGCCTTTTTGTTTTGTTTTTAGCAATAAATGTTTACTTTGGTTTGTAGTTAAACACTTATTAAAATCAATATACAACAAAGAAAGGAAAATGAATAGTAGAAATAAAGAAATAAAGGAAGAAAAAAGGAGTAAATATTAATATAAGTTATTGGCTATTCTTAGATACAGAAATTATTCTAGATAAGCTCTATAACATATCAAATGCTTTTTGAATTTTTGAATTTTTGAATTTTTGAAGTTTTGAATTTCTTGATCCATCATTTTTTTTTTCTGAAGTTTTTTTTTTTTTTTTTTTTAATTTTTTTTATTTCTTGATCTTTGATCTCTGATTTTTGATCTAAGATTTTTGATTTTCGATTTTTTTCCCAGGCTATAATATATGAATGCTTTGATTATTATATTAACACTAATACTACTATTATAATTTCTATTATTCTTTTTTTATGATTTGCTTGGGTGTATTTGAGTTTTATGATCCAAAGAACAACAAGAAGAATACGAAAAAAATAAGACACAGATTTGGACAAATAAAGACATTTTGCATGTCTATTGATCCTTATTTTATGACCATTATGTGGAACTATGATTTATCAAACCAAGTGTTCTATATATATATAAAAGCTGGGGATCATGGAAACCAAATCCTAAACGTCAACCCAAAAAAAAATAACCTTCCTAAACACTCAGCTATTTTCACATCTATTGTATTGATCAAATTTGCCCTCTCTTTATTACTGTTGCCCTGTTTCACCAAATCAAAGCTTCTATATATACATACATTTTTCTTACCGTAGTCCAGATTTCAAACAAACAAAAAGGGGGAGGCAAAAAGACTACATATATACTTTTTACAATTATTTCTTACTCTCTTACTCTTAGATATATAACAATAATTCAAGTCCCCATATTTTTTTTAGTATAAGTTGTTGGTAGGGTCAGATTTATTAAAGTCCTAGAGACCAGAATATATACAAATCTCATGATATTTCGATATTTTCAACTAAACTTCCGATTTATCGCATTTTGGTCTGGACAGATCAAAATAAGCTTAGCCTATCAATTTTTTGTGTGGGCTTATATATGCTTATATAATCATATGTTTTTATACTTACCGATTGATTATCTCAAGGTACGTTTTGTAGGGTTTAAATACGAGACATTCACATATATACATATATTATATTCTATCTTATATAAAACACACACACTGACACACACAGAAAAAGAGATATAAAGAGAGATGTTTATAGTATAGAGAGTCACAATACATACATATGTAGGTATATATATATTTTGAAAAATAAATAATCAAAGTAGTATAGTATAGTAAAGAAATATATACACATATATAAACTACTCTAGTAGATTGTGTACAAGAAAAACAACAACTAACATGCATAGAATAAAAACACTATAGTTAGATATTGAAGAACAGTAAAGAAATTGTGAGGTATTGAACAGGATAAAGAAAGAAAGAAGGATATATATGTAGAGAGGAATTATTATGGGATTCATTTAAACTTTCTTCTCGGCAAGCTGCTCTTCATCATAGTACTGCTTGACCTGAGACTCGGCATCCTTCTTGGCCTTTTGTCTGTCGAGATAATCCAGACCCTTTGTTTCAATCCTATAATTCCAAAAAAAAATTAGATATATATATTATTTAATAAATCAACTAAAATAATAACGAAACTTACAGTTTGTCAAGTGCACCAGCAGCAAAACCAGCAAGGATTTCCTTGGCTATGGTGTGATCTTGAGGCTTTCTATTTTCATAAAAAGAATAGATAATAAGAAACAAGTTCGAATAATAGCAAATAATAATTGTATGTATGTTTATAATTCTACTAACTTACCCTTCTTTTTCACAATGATCATTGTAAGCCTTGACAGCTTCATATGCAGCTTTAAAAAATCAAAAGAAAATCATGATGTATTTAGTTTTTATCCAATACAGATTATATATAATCCCATGCACACCTGCTCCTGCAATAACTTCATGAGAAATGGAACCCTTATGCTCGCTCTCATCGTGCTTGTTGACTTGCTCGTGCTGCTGACCAAAGAAATCAAAGAGACCCCTTTTTTTTTTTGAAAAAAGTAAAAATAAAATAAATAATGATTAGATTTGATAAAAAAAGGCATATTAACTAGTTATTCAAAATAAGATATACTTACATTTTTGTAATAGTTGGTTGGTTTTGTTTTGTTAAGTTATTTGAAAGTAGTGGTTGTAGAGGTTTGTATGTAAGATACAAAAGATGTTGATGATTCTCAAAACTCTACAAAAAATTGGGTGTTTTTATACATTTTTTTAGTCTTATTTTTCTTTATTTTTATTTATTATTAGTGTACATGATTTTAAAAAATAGTACAGGTCTCGATTGTTATTTTACGTACCAGACGTATAGTTTAGCTTTGGTTTTAGTCTTAGATTTAGTTTTAGCTTTAGCTTAATTTAGTTTGTTAAAGAATAACGTAAGTAAGATATTCCATTTGAGGTTTGGACGAGGGATTTTGTTTTTTGACGTTTGACAGACTTTATTCAGTAAGCAGTAAGAAGTGAGCAGTAAATAGCGAATGTCAAAGGGTAAGTAGTATTGCTCATCTATTATATTAATTATTATTATTATTATTATAGTTTATATTTCGTCATGGCTCCCAAAGTAATCCCTCTTTCTTTCTTTTATTTACTTGCTTGTTTTTGAGTAAGCATTCGGTCTAACTTTATTGAACCTTGGCAACAAATAACAAAAGAAAAAAGGTGGAGGATTCTTTTTTTTTGGTAACCATGGATATCATTTGTATTTTAAAAAGGAAGAGCCCAATGTTGGTGTTCTACTTTGTCGTATATATGAAGTCATTCATGCTCTACTAAAAGAAAATTTTCACTAATCATTCGTTCATAGACCATTTAAGGTTTTCTTTAGCTTTTATATATCTAATTTTTTTAAAACGAAGTTATTTGTATTTTTTATTGTACGTACGTATACACCATACATTTTACACTATATACTTGACACCTTGTAGCTGTAATGTCTACTAATATCCAGTGTCTAGTCCCTAGTGTGTTGTTGGATATAAACTATTATTTTTATCGCCAAGTATTAATCTCAAGCTCATTATATATATATATACCTTTCAAGTGTGAGGAAAACTCGCTTGACCAAATATACTACAAAGAGTCGTACAAAATAAAAGAAAAATCAAAGGTTTGTGACTCACAGATGAGTGTTGTCTGAAATTCCTAGCCCAAAAAAAAAGGCTTTTTTTATTCTACCCATCTTGGACAAGCCAATCTTTGTTGTTGTTTTTATTATTTCATTTTTACTCTTGAGTACTATTTAATAGTATGTTGAACAGAAATATAGCAGTTTTCCAATTTCTTGTTTAGTTTCTTTTAAAAAAAGAGCATAGGTAGATATACTATAGACAATCGATGTGGTCTTGACTAACAATAATTGTAATCGAGAGAGGTTTTAATCGGTCTTGAATAAATAGCGTGTGTGTGGCACTGAAAATAGGCCAGGAGAATATTTAAAATTGGCAATTTTTTTTTCTAATGAACTACTTTTCACGCACAAGACATCGCCATAAAACACAGACGCAGACTTAGAGGCGATGGGCATGCCTGTTTGTATCAGAACATGCTGCTGGCCTGATGAAACATACTCAAAATATACCCCAAGAATAAAATAAATAAAAATGGGAATCCAATACAGATGCTAGTATATGTATAAAACCTGATTATACATGTTTATTTGTATTGAATATTGACTAAAAGTTGGCTCTAACTTAGGACAAAGGAATAGAGAAAGAAGAAGAAAGAAAGGTAAATGTCATACAACACTACACACAAACAAACACAAAAAGAGATAAAGAGATAAAGAGATAAAGATAAAACAAAAAAAAAAGAGGGAAATGGTAGTGATTATGTCTTTCAACTGTGAAACGAATACTTGGCAGGTTGTACAAATGGTTAAGGAGAATTCTTAATCATGTCGTGTGACAGCCCACATTAGTTCCCAAAGCACCTTGTTTTGTAGACTTTGCTTTGTTTCTATATTTCTTATAATAATGTGCAATAAACCATTATTTCCAAATGTCAACACCAATGAAAATGACAATGACAATTAATCTTGTTTTCGTTTTGGCACTAAAAGCATGTGTCTAGAGTAAAAGTGCTTGAGTATATAGAAGTTTTCTTAAATATGTATATCCAATTTGTTACTACCTACATAAGCTCAGTGTCATTATTGATTCTAGGAATATGGAAACACAATTCAGGGCAGATTATTGCGTACTTTATTTAGGGTGGACGGATGAGAGATGGGAAAGTGAAACGACAACCTAAATTACTCGGAAGTATAATCGACATTAAATATCGAAAAAAATAGCTTTTATAGCAAAATTAAAGCAAAACAAAGCGACGAGAGAAAGGAATATTTAGTCCATCTACTCATAGTGAAGACGAGAGGATGTATTATTGGTCTCGGTAAAGTTCATTCAAAAGAGTATATATCCTGTTTTTAAGAAATTAAATACAGTATATATATATCTATATTAAATAAAACACTTTGGACCCGAGAGAAATTAAAAAAAAAAGACCATATGCTAAGAATAATAATATTGGCACCAGGATATGTAGAGTATTCAAAAGGAACATTAATTGTATATAATTTGCTTATTCTATAGAGGCTTTTAACGTACCAATGAGTAAAATTATCAGTGTAATATATATTCTAAGGTAAGATGTAAGCAGCTTCTAGACTCCAACATGTGTTCTCCATGGTTTGAACAGTTTGTGTTCCAACTGTACAGGGTGGTTTATCTCATGGTTGTGCACACAAGACCGTTCAGTTCGGTAGACTTGTTAGTATTTTTATTATTGTAATTCAGATATGTAAACTGGTCGTGAAGGGTTTGAGTTAATAAAAGATAGATAAGCACAAGATGTGTATGTGTTGGGATTTCATTAGTGTTACAATACCATGGCACACAAAATGGATTATAATCAACGTGGATTCTTGTAATTATTATTATTATTAAATCTATTAAACTTTTTTGTGCTCCATTCTCACAGCACAAAATCATATATATTTTTTCGATGCAGCTATAAGGTATAAGAATAATGTAAAAGAAGTGTAATCTTATCACTAGCTTAAAGAGAATTGATGGTATTTATACCAATTTCTTTAATAGAAGTAAAAGATATGTGCCATAAGCTATCTTATCACGTATCAGTATCTAATTTTTAAAACCCTTTATCTGCAAAGTAACTGCTGTTGTTTTTGATAAAAGTAATAATATTATTACTTTTTTTTTGGAGTGTATTTGATAAGCAAGAACCCTGGAATATAGATATATATAAATATGAATTTAAATTAATCTTGCTGATGTAATTGTGGCACCTCAACCGGTTAATAATAGAAAGACACAGCTGTATATGTAAGCAAAACAAACACAGACACAGACAATTAATTACCAGTGAATAGATACATACAATTTACAAAAAAAAGGATTGAAATTATCGAGATATATATATATTTATTCCACATACAAAGTAATAATAATAATAATTAATTTATATAATTCATGAATATATTAACTATGCATAACAAGTCAAAAGAACCTCCAGCACCTATTGTCTCTATATATGTTTGATTGTTTGTTAGATTAAAAGCAGTGCATAGACACATACATATATTACATAGCTAGAAATGAATTCTTTATAGTTATAAGCCAATAGACAGGATTGTTTGTCGTGATGCTGTTACAAAAGGAACGGCACCTATAATCACAAGTTTTACTTATTAGAATACCAAGAAAATCTTTTTTGTCCCTCTTTCTTTTCACCTGCTGGCTGGATCAGGGCTTAATGGGGACCCTTGCGTTCGTGTGGCTCCGATAGTAGCCCTGTTCTTTTTCTTTCTTACTCTGGTTGCTTACTTTTTTCTTTATTTGTTTTCCCCACATCCCTCCATATCGACCCTTCTTGATCGGCGCCACAAAATCATACAGATATACAAAATAATCCAGTGGTGTGTTACGGTCTTCCGAATACACCCGACAATGAGTATAGTAAACTTTGGGCATAATTTGATACAAGTGTCTAAAAGATGTATCTGGAGGATAAAGTAGTTCAGTGCTATAATTTACGAGATCAACCATGGTTATTTAGTAGTATGATCAATAAGTAAATAGATAAATCAACGGAATTATAGCGCCAAAAGACAGCCCTATGCGGAGTGTACTTTGGTTTTTATTTTTAAAAGAATACACACACAATTATATGAAAAAAGGGCAGACAACAAGATACTAATATAAAAAAAAAAGAATTGGTCTTCTTAATTCCCCACTGTCTTTTTATTGGTATTCAATTAAAGCTCTCCACGGTTGCGGCCAAATATCTCTTTTGAATATTGCTATTTCTATTTGGAAAACCAGCCCGGAGTTCAACTATTGGATCCAATGGGCTGTCTTCCAGCTATTCAAAATATGCGGGGAGACACAAGAAAGTAACCATTTTCGCTTACTACAAAACCTCAGCCATCGAGTAATATACAATATTATACTAACTACATAGCATAACATAATATAGCATGGCGTGGCATCACAGCATATCACATTACATTGCATGTCATGACATGACATGATATGATATAAAATTGTATTATATTATATTACATTGCATTTCAATTTCCATTTTTGTATATTTCCCATTTCTTAGGTCAGCTGGGAAGGTATGGTAGAAAGGTTATTAGGGGCGTTTTAATTCTCAGGGTTCAAACAGGGTTCTTTTTTTTTGTTTTTCTGATATCACAAATAAATATGACCTGAATAATGATATATATATTAAACATGCATTCTTTTTCGACCTACCTTGGCTACTAAAGAACATGCTGATATTGTAAAAAACAAGAAGTAAATAATAAACGCTATAAAGAATTTAAACATCATGATGATTATAATGATAATGATAATAAATATAAAGAAAAGAAAAAAGACTTCTTTTACTATTAGCGTGTAGAAATTCAAAAGTGAATATGAATTGTAAGTATATGTTATGGAAAGTACATATTTGGAAGAGCGTGGAAGAGCGTGGGAGTCGGATGATTTGGTAATGAAATAAATATAAAAATAAAAGTCGGTTGGTAGGACAACCATAGACAAGAAGTACCAATCCAATGAACCTGTCAAAAAAAATTGGACCCTGGACAATATATATATATATAACCCAGGCCAATGAATAAAGTTTTGGATATGTATATATAAATTAAGAACATTTACTTTTTTTTATTTTATTTTGAATTATTTAACTTTCTTCTCTTCTTCTCCTATTTTTCTGTTCTTCTTCTTCTTTTTCTTTTTCTGCCTTTTTCTTCTTCTTTAAATAAAAGAACACGAATTATATATAAACAATTAAACATAATGGGATTCAAATTACCCTTTCGGTACAATGATCCACACTTCCAGATCTTCTTGGTTGGCTTCATCTGTTTCTGCTGCCCAGGAATGTTCAATGCCCTAAACGGTATCGGTGGTGGTGGAAGATCTTCTACAGACGCTGCTAACAACGCCAATACTGCTCTATCTGTTACCTTTACTGTCTGCTCTCTTATTGGTGCACCAGCGTAAGCTAGCTTTTTTTTAACTCTTTAATTAAGACTAAAATAGATAATTCATAAATAACCAATCGTCAATGGGCCACTGGTCAATAATCAATGGACAATAAACCAATCAATCATTCTAATATTTTCTTTAAACATTATATTTTATCAGTTATAATATCTTTGGAAACCGCATCATCATTCCAGCTGCCTTGGCTTATGTACTCTACGTTGGATCCTATCTCTCGACCAGTGACGAGTTCACCATTGCCACAGGTGCAATCCTTGGTATTGGCGCTGGTTTCTTATGGACTGCTCAGGCAGGTATCATGATGTCTTACCCTGCCGAAGAAGACAAGGGAAAGGCATTCTCCATGTTCTGGATGATTTTTAACTTGGGTGCCACTCTTGGTGCCGCAATTCCACTCGGTAACGACTGGAGCAACGCAAAGGGCACAGTCAACAACTCGACCTACATTGCATTCATGGTTGTCATGGCATTCGGTGCCTCGATGGCCATTGCACTTTTGCCTGCAAGCAAGGTTATCCGCAAAGATGGCACAGCTGTATCCTCACACAAGTTCTCTAACTGGCGCCGTGAAGCCATTGAGGTCTTCAAACTCTTCAAGGACTGGCGCATGCTGATTCTGATTCCTTTGTTTGCTGGCTCCAACTGGTTCTACACATACCAATTCCAGGTCTACAACGGCGGTGGATACTTTAACCTTCGTGCCCGTGGTCTGAACAATTTGCTCTACTGGCTCTTCCAGATCATCGGTGGTGGCTTCTTTGGATGGCTCCTCGATCAGGGTTTCCTTGGTGACCGTCGCCGCCGTGCTTACATCGGAAACACCATCGTATTCGTTGTTTTGGTTGCTCTCTGGACTGGCTGTATCTTCATTCAAAGACGCTTCGACCGCGACTCGGTGCACGCCCCTGGATTCCAGGAGATGGATGTATATGACTCTGGCTATGCTGGCATGGCCATCGAATACGCCTTCTTTGGTCTGGCCGATGCCATCTACCAGGGTTTCATCTACTGGCTTCTCGGCACAATGACCAATGACAGCGAACGCTGTGCTCGCTATGGTGGATTTTACAAAACTATTCAGAACGCTGCCAATGCCATTGCCTCTCAGGTAGACGCAACCAAAACCCCTTACGATGTCGAACTCTACGTCGTATTTGCTTTGAACGGCGTTGGCCTTCTGCTGTCCTATGTTGTCTGCGCTACCGTAACAACAGTGACAGTCGAGGAGATCGATAATCTCGCAGACGGCCACAATGCCGAGGTGTCTGTGGGTGGAAAGATTCAGACCATTGAAGATGGAAGCTCAGCCGAGAATACTCTTTCTGTAAAACTCGATGAAAAGCATTAATTCATTTTATTTTTTATTTGTTTTATTATTCTTTAAAAAATAACAATAATTAAGAAAATTTCTACTTTTTGCAATTCTTTTTATTTTATTTTATTAATCTCTCAACCCGTTGTTACTTTCTATTATTGCTATTATTCGTATTCTTATTCTTATTCTTATTCTCATTTATATTCTTATTACTTGTATGATATTTCTTTTACATTCATATATCTATTGTTATTTTTGTTGTTTTTTTTTTGTATTGACTTAAAAGCACGATTATATATATACATATTTAATATTCATAAAAACAAACAAACATATACCATTGATAAATTCATACACATATATACACTCTTTGGGAATTATGTCTGGAACGAGTATAATTTGTGTTGAGTTGGGTTGAATGATAATAAAAAATAAAAATAAAAAAAGAAGAAAAAAAGTGTGACAACGGGAAGGACACCCCCGGTGCCACTTGCAGCTATGGATTCTTTTTTTCTTAGTTCAACTCAGTTCCATGGAAACCTGTTCCCGTTTCCCGGACTTACAGTCCCCACTTTTTTTTCGATTCAGTGCGCGGAGATCAATTAGTTTCTATAGAGACGGAATTTGTTTTTATTTTTACTTTATTTTTGGTAGTCAGGCTTGTAAACCATAAACTTCTCTATTTTAACTCACAGCCTTCTTCTTCCATCTACTCCTATTTTTACTTATAAAAGAAAAAGAAAAAGAAGAGGTATTGAGAAGCTGGGATGTGTACATACAGTTATGATCGGAAATTATTAAAGAATAAAAAAAAAGAAATTAGGCTCAACAAAGGAACACAGATCTGTATATATATTTATATATTTTTAAAAAAAAACTATATCTTAAGCGATAAACGCAAAAGATCTATTGGCACAATATAAGATTACATTAAGGTTGTGGTACACGTGATACTCTCTTTCTCTTCTTGTATCATATACCAAAGTAAGCAGAATACTAATCATTTACAAACCAACGAGAACCTGTCAGATTATATGCTGTCAAATGATTTATTAATTATACTAATACTAATACTAATAATTATTAAAGGCCTATTCACACTATAAGTAATAGAATAAGCACAGGTACAGATATAAATATACCTATTCTTATATATACATTATGTTTACATGCACATTTATCTTGTGGATATTATAAAAATCTTTTTACACATTCAATAAGAATATATCTTATATTGCTTTCTTAGCAGGCAAACGTATGGCTCGCTTTTTAAATGACAATAGTTGAGATACCAAGAAACCCTCGCACAAAGTAGCAATCGGTAGTTTGTTGGGTAATAACAAAGTCCGTAAGATAAGATAACAATTTGAGTGTCGCTAGCTATTAATGAATGAAAGAAAGAAAATGAAGAGGTGTGTTTGATATAGGTTGTAGTGAGGATTATGTTTCGGAAAGTTCCTTTTTTATGCTTTATCTTATATTATATTTCTTCACTAATTAAGCCTTTATACCCCTCTTCCTTATCTCCTAGTTAATTATATTTTTTCCTTGTCTGCATGTACCCAAGTCTTGGCAAGATTTATTATTTGTTGTAACTGTTTTTCTTTTCTTTTTCTTTTAGCCAGTCGTAGCATTAGAAATCACATTATCGAGATTGTATATTAATAAAGCTAGAGTTGTGGCTGTAGTTGATTTTAAATGTATAAGAAGGATGCTCGGAAAGATCTTTATTCTTAAAAAGATCATTGTAGCTTCTATTGTGTATATTCTCCAAATATATTAAGAATATTGGTGGTAGAGAGGGAGGGTTCTTGTTCTTGTTGTTACTGCTGCTGTATATATATAAAAAATTTTAAAAAGCTCGAGAGAGCTATATAGACCTTGTGTAGGCTGATTTATTGCTAAAAACCATTGTTGTGTGGCATAGCTAGGTACCAGATATAGCTTTTGGAGTCTAGGCATCAAGCCACACTTTTGAGGCGTTAAAACCAAAAACATCGTGTCCCATAAATAGTTATCCTTTTCCTAATTAGTACATGTCGTGTCCCTAACACTGTAATTTAAAAAATGGATGCTACTAATTAAATAAAATAGAAAAGAAAAGAAAAAATATGTCTTCCTTCATTAAAGTAAATATCAGTACATCAAAAGTTCACTTAAAATGAGAAGTATATATATATATATTTAAGGAAATGATTGAATTATCATATTTATAGCAAACGGAAGAAGAAGAAGGAAAACGCCACCATTAAAGAAGTCCACCAGTTCCAAAAATGTGGCTCAACGGAAGTACTTTATTTTATTTTATTAAAAAAAGGAATACATCAATGACATCACCTCAAATTGTCCTCTGCATGTAACATGTCTGTGGGTTTAGTCTCTGGCTTAAAGGCGCGGCAGAAGCTGACTGGTTCAATCCAGTAAAGTTATATACTTTAGGCCACGCCTTTTATCCTCTTTTTTTATTCTTTTTTTTTAGTTTACCCTTCCTTTCCACTGTCACTGCCACTTCCATCTTTTTACCACCCCCCTTTTTTTGTTGGTTCTTATTTTATTTTCTATCTCCACTCTTTCTTCTCATCATCTATTCGTCATGATCCCGAGAGGTCTAGCAGCGACCTTTCTATGCTTTGTCCTCTGCACAAGTCTCGTCTCAGGCTTTTACCTACCAGGTGTTGCCCCTCACGACTATGCTGAAGGAGACCCTGTAAAGGTTTTCGTGAATTCATTGACACCAATGTCCAATTCTCAACTTAAATCCGTCATTTCATACGACTACTATGATCCCCGTTTCCACTTTTGCAGACCAGAAAATGACTTAATAGAAGTTCCCGAGAGTCTTGGAAGTGTACTCTTTGGTGACCGAATCATGGGAACAAGTTTCGAGGTACCTCTTCTTCTTCTTATTCTTCTTTTAGTTTGAGGTTATATACATATATATATATATGCGTGTATACATATACAATATAAGATTTACACCAAACCACCTTACGTACCTACTCTACAAAATAAAATATCAAATACTTACAGCTTCTTTTCTTTTCTCTTTTTTCTTTTAGCTGTTTATGAAAAAGAACGAAACCTGCAAATCACTGTGCATCACTAAACCTATCCCTAAGAAGGATACTGCTTTCATCAACCAGTGCATTGCTGAGGATTATTCTCTCAACTGGTTCATTGATGGTCTTCCGGCTGCTCACCGCAAGCAGGACGAGCGCACTGACGAAGAATACTGGAACATTGGATTCCAACTTGGATCGGGTGGAAAGGAATCACCGGTATTGAACAACCACTACGATATCTATATCCATTATCATGAGCGTACAACTCAGGCAAATCGAGTTGTTGGTGTTGTTGTCGTCCCATCGAGCAAAGACACCAAATTGGAGGGTGGTAAACCTGTCTGTAAGATCTCTAATGAAGCCTTTAAATTGAACCCTGAGGGTGGTTCGGAAGTGGTATATACCTACAGCGTGTATTGGATCGTAAGTTGTTTTTTCTTTGTGTGGTGTGTGTTTGTTTTGAAGCTTCTATTGAAGCTGATTATACTATTTGATGAGCATAAACGAGAGATAGAGAAAAGTTCTTTACTAACTGATAATTATGCTTATCGTATTCTATCATTTTTTTGCCTTATAGCCCTCCGCCACTGCATGGGCTACACGTTGGGACAATTATTTGCACATACTTGATCCTTCGATCCACTGGTTCTCGCTTGTTAATTCCATTGTCATTGTCCTTTTCTTGACTGGTATGGTTGCAATGATCCTTATCCGTGCCCTTCACAAGGATATTTCCCGTTACAACGCCGTCGAGGCTCAGGTAAGACAAGATTTTGCCACATCGCAGGTTTCGATCCAATCTCACTCAATCGTAAATATTATTTATATATACTATGTGTAGGAAGATGTCCAGGAAGATTATGGCTGGAAGCTTGTGCACGGTGATGTTTTCCGTGCTCCAACACATCCTATGCTACTGTCTGTATTTGTGGGTAGTGGTGCTCAATTGATGGTCATGACTGCATTGACTTTGAGTAAGTGGATCGGATAAGTAATGTTATATATAAGAAACTTTCAAGGGAAATTAAGCTGATGATTATGGGGGCTCTCTTTTTTCTTAGTGTTTGCTGTTCTTGGTTTCCTTTCACCTTCAAACCGTGGTGCTCTTGGAACTGTTATGGTGATATTCTTTATGGTCTGTGGCTGTATCTCTGGATACGTGTCTGCTCGTATTTATAAGATGAACGGCGGTGAACAATGGAAGCTGAATGTGCTGCTGGCGGCTACCTTGTTTCCTAGGTAAGACTGAGATAGTCTATTTTTTGTCGAGTTTATATTGATTAGAAGAAAAAAAAAAACTAAAATCTGAAAACTCAAATTTATGCATTTACAGTATGCTCTTGGTCTCTTTGTTTGTTCTCAACTTTGTCTTCATCGGCTTACAATCCTCGGGTGCTGTTCCCTTTGGTACAATCATGGTTGTTCTCGGGATGTTTGGCTTGATCTACATCCCTCTCAGTGTTGCTGGATCTTACCTTGGTTTCCGTAAACCTCGTATTGAACATCCCGTCCGTACTAACCAGATTCCTCGCCAGATTCCTGATCAGCCTCTCTATCTTCGCAGTGTGCCCTCAATTATGATGGGCGGTATCTTGCCCTTTGGAGCCATCTTCATTGAGCTCTATTTTATTATGAACAGCATCTGGTTCCATCGTATTTACTACGGAATTGGCTTCCTGTTCTTGGTATTCATTGTCCTCATCCTGACATGCTCCCAGGTTACTATTCTGATGTGCTACTTCCATCTCTGTAACGAGGACTATCACTGGTCCTGGAGAGCATTCTTAACCTCGGGTGCAGCTGGATTGTACGTCTTTTTGTACGCTGTGCTTTATTATTTTACCAAGCTTGAGTTCCGCACATTCACAAGTTCGGTGCTCTATTTTGGATATTCCTCTATCATCAGTGTCATGCTCGGTATCATGACAGGTAAGATTTTTTATTACTATTAATGGGATAATAAGAGAAAAAATGTTAGTCAGAGAATCTCACACAAACCTTTATTTTTCTTTGTTTCTTTTTAATAATAATAGGAACAATTGGTTACCTTGCCTGCTTGGTATTCTTGCAGAGAATCTTTGCAAGCATCAAGGTGGATTAGACATACACTTTTTGCTTGAATTGAAACAATACCATAATAGTAATAAAAGAAATAATAAAAATAATATATATATATATATCAAAGCAAAGATTTATTAAGATCCCAATCATTATACATAGTATATGTGTGTGTGTTTAAAAAGCAAGAAACAGTTCCTGTGAGTCCTATTGTAATGAGATTACAATAAAACCTTTATTGTAATTAAATCTGTATTCACTTTCTTTGTAACTCGGTGAAGCGCATTCTAACATTAAAGTAAACAAAAATACAACCAAACCTTTTTGTTAATGACAGTATTTGAAGTTGTTTAAGCTTCCATTTTGTTTTTGATTTCTTTAAAAACAAAGATTTAGTAACTATAGTCTACATATCCCTGCAACCTAAAATGAATTCGTCTTTTACACCAAGTATAGACCTGCTGCTGCTGCTACTTATGCTGCTGCTGTAGATATGTATTTATAGGTAATTGACAAATAATTGCTTAACAATCACCGTTCTTTTATTTTAAACCCTTTGTCAGACTTCATGTTCTTTAGTAATATATTAAATAACCATTGAAATGGTATGAGATTTAACTCATACATGTACACATGTGGATATGTATGTGCACACACACATACATATAGATGCTATGGCTGAGCTGCAGAGAAATTAAACTTAAAACACTGGGACATTGAAGACATTATAATTGAAACACTGTGGCATTGAAGACATTGAAGATAGTGATATTGAAACACTGGGAACAAGGTGCATTGACGTAACATTTAGTCGGACATGAAATAAGTATTTTATCTCCCTTTCTTCCTGCGTTTACTGTCCCATCATTATTATTTTATTTTATTATTTTACACTGGCTGGACCATGAGCAGCATTGACAATCAATCCCATTCACCCGACCCACAAGGAGGAGGAGGAGAAGAGAGAGAAAGAGAAGAAGGAGAAGAAGGACCTTCAACAAGCTTTGACTACTCACCGCGTCACTCAGAAATCACAGTGGATGAGCCAGACCGACCCTTAGTAGAACAAAGCACCCCTCTATCAAGATCATATTCACAAGAGAGCGTCGTCAGTACTCAGTCTGCTCCACCGCCATATGAGCTCTACCCACGGGCGAGGTCATTAGGTGGACGTATTTACAACTGGCTGCGGAAGATTCCACGATTTGGGACCCATCAAGCCATCTATCTCCCCACTCTCCCCACTCATCGCCCCTTTCGAAGTGATTCTCATTCAACAGCGTCCTCATCCGCTGATTCAATTGCTTCTTCTAATCACACCCCATGGTGCGTCTCATTCTATGAACGTATCTACAATGCTTGCCCCACTTCACCTCGTTTTGTGCTGACAGGCCATATGGCTCGTCTCCGAACCCTTCTTCTTTGTATCTCATTTTCGTTTCTCTTCTTGTTCTCCTTTCTTCTATTCTGTGCAGTCTATTTTTCACCTGCACCACTTCCTTCGCCTGTAGTTCCCGATAAGGTTGCTCTTTCATCCGCGAATTTCCTGACCCTCAATATCTTTATGCGTCCACCCGGCATTCAAAACAACTGGTCGGATTACAAGGACGACAGATTGGACTACATTGTGCGCTTTGTACTGCCAAAGTACGACGTCATAGCTTTTCAGGAATCTTTTGCATTTGGTACCCGTCGAAAGGACCATTTGATTAAAGAAGCTAGGGCTCTTGGATTCAATCATCATGTTGAATCCGATAGACATTTTCCTTGGGAGCTTGCAGTTGACGGTGGTCTTTTGCTTCTTTCCAGATTTCCTATTCTTGAGTCTAATGTGGTTGAATATCCTCGGGGTGCGCACAGTGATTGGTAAATTCAGAAATTCTTTTTTTTTCTCCTTCTTTTTCTTCTTTTCTTCCTCTCTCCTCTTTTCCTGATATGTATATATGTATATATACCTATACACACATACCAAAACAACAACTGTGCAACACAAACTGACTCGCCTGTTTTCGTTTTTATCCTGTAGGCTAGCACGTAAAGGAGCCTTACATAGTTTAATCCAATTGAAACCAGGATACTCCATGCATATTTATACAACACATGCTCAAGCATCTTACGAGCCAGATAATATGGGTGATGTTCACATTCGACTGTCACAATTTGCAGGATTACATTCTTTGATGCGCAACACTGCCAAGGAAGACAATTTTCCAATTTTACTTATGGGCGATCTCAACGTTGATGCGTCTGTTCACAAAGTCGATGAGCCAATCACACGCCCTTCAAAGGAGAGTGGGTACGAGTACAAGTTAATGATGGGAGTATTGTCTGGAGAGGGTGCTCAGATTAAGGAAGGAGGTGGGCGTCTCTATGAGGACCCTGAGTGGTCATTGCAGCTGGAAGATATTGTCTACAAGACCCACAAGCACCACCCGGTTACCTTTGGAGATGTGATTGAGGTTGATGGCGAATTTGTTCCAGCAGAGACGGTCTTGACCGATGCAAGTGAGATGATGACTATGGAAAGTATCGATCGAATGCTGTGGGCAAGCCGTGGATCCGATAGGTTTGAAGTCAAATCTGTCGTTTTGGAGAAGTTTTTGATCAGGGAGAACAAGGCACTAGGTGATGATGAGAAAGAAGCCATACCGTTTACTCAAATTTCAGGTAAGAGAGAATTTTAAATAAGAGATGTAAAAGAAGATAAAATATCAATTTAACAAAGAAATATATCGACTGACTGATAAACCATTTGTTTCTTTTTTTATGTATTTAATTTGATAGATCATTATGGATTAAGTTGTGTTTTGGAAATATTATGATAGTGTTAGATGATTGCTTTTCTTTTTCTTTATATAAATAAATAAATGCATACACATATATAAAATGTCGTCCATTATCAAAACATCCAATAAGCCTGTTTTTCTCTCTCTCTCTCTTTTGTCTATCAACCTCTTTCCACCATCTTCTTGTCATTAATGTACAACAATTGGTCCAAGCGCGCTAATATAGTTTCTTCGTTTTTACACTGGTACAAGATAGAAAGCATTGTCGACTATCTCCAGAGTCTTCGTGACTATATTATTCATCCTGGAGATGATCATAAAAATATAAAGGCCATTCCCACTTTGGTCCGAACCGAATGCCCTGTGGGTACAGAATCCCGCTTTCCGGAAGATGGATTGTTCGTCTGTCAAGGATATGGAAAATGGGGTCTAAAAATCGACATTATCCAAATATTTGTTGACACAATCGTGCACCCAAAGAGACTCGAACGAAGCTATTGGAATTTAAGCTCCCAAGGTCAATCAGAGGAAATTCTACTGAGTCTCATTGATGATCTATTTCAAATCATCGAGCAAATGAGTGACGTCGTGGATAGAGCTAGTTTTGAGAAACGATATGGCCTTCAATGGGTGGACCTATGATCGTCCTCCAAACAATCCCATCTTTGTAACATATAGAGTGAAAGGGTAAATAAATAATTAAAGTTTCCTTCGGCCAAAAGGAACAGGACCGGGAAATTTAAATAAGTAAGAAAAATAATAAAAAATGGCCGCATAATTGCTATTCAATTCTCCTTTGATCCGACCTCCATATAATTTACTATTGAAAACACACGCACACACACACAAAAAGAGGGGAAAATAAATATAAAAAATAGTAATAATTAAATTTCAATTGAAAAAAGTTTATTTGCCATATATATATATAAGCTTGATTAGAAAACTCCAGAAAAAAATATCAAACAATTCATTCAACAACCTCTCTTTCTCTTTCTCTTATTCTTTTCAAACAAGAACGTACCTCTTTAAATACAAAACAAAAATGGTTAACCAGGATATCACCATCACCAGCTATGAAGTTCGCGACATTCGCTTCCCTACCTCCAAGCACCTCGATGGTTCTGATGCTATGAACAAGGACCCTGACTACTCTGCCGCTTATGTCATCTTCTACACTGATTCCGATATCGAAGGCCATGGCATGACCTTCACCTGTGGCCGTGGAACTGAAGTCTGCTGCAGTGCTATTGAAGCCTTGTCTGTCAAGTTTGTCAACAAGAAGTTGAGTGAGCTCACTGTCGACATGCGCGCCACTCACCAGATCTGCACTGGCGACTCCCAGCTGCGTTGGATCGGTCCTGAAAAGGGTGCTATTCACTTGGCCACTGGCGCTGTTATCAACGCCATCTGGGACTTGTGGGCCAAGGCCGAGAAGAAGCCTGTCTGGAAACTCGTTGCCGACATGACTCCTGAGCAGTTTGTCCAGTCCATCGATTTCCGTTACATCACTGATGCCATCACTCCCGAGGAAGCATTGGAGATCTTGCGTGAGAACGCACCCACAAAGGCTATCCGTGAAGCGGAGATGCGTGCCAAGGGTTACCCCGCTTACACAACCTCTGCTGGTTGGCTCGGTATGTATTCAGTGCCATGTGCATAAATGGCTGTATTTTAATATTATAAAAATCAAATAGGTTACAGTGATGACAAGGTTCGCAGACTCTGTCGTGAGGCTAAGGAGCAGGGCTTCACTCACTTTAAGCAGAAGGTCGGAAGTGATAAGGCCAGCGATATCAGACGTGCTGCCTTGATCCGTTCCGAGATTGGATACGACAGTGTCTTGATGATGGATGCTAACCAGGTCTGGGATGTCAAGGAGGCCATTGACTGGATGGAGGATCTCCTTCCTTACAAGCCTCTCTTTATCGAGGAGCCCACTTCTCCCGATGATGTTTTGGGTCACGCTACCATTCGCAAGGCTCTCTACCCTCGCACTCGTGTTGCCACTGGTGAGCACATCCAGAACCGCGTCATCTTCAAGCAGCTCTTCCAGGCCAACGCCATTGATTTCTGCCAGATTGACTCGTGCCGCGTTGGTGGTGTAAATGAGATTTTGGCTATCTTGCTCATGGCCAAGAAGTTCAACATCCCTGTCTGCCCCCATGCTGGTGGCGTTGGTCTCTGCGAGTATGTCCAGCATTTGTCTTTGATCGATTACATCTGTGTGTCTGCCTCTACCGAGGGTCGTGTTCTTGAATATGTTGATCACTTGCATGAACATTTCTTGGAGCCTGTTGTGATGAACAACGGTCGCTATGTAGCTCCGCTGGCGAGTGGTAAGTAAAACATATATATATATATATTGAAATAAGTGTTTCTGGGAGAGTTTGTGTGAATCATTTTCTGACGGTTTGTTTTGGATAATAGGCTACAGCATCCAAATGAAGCGTGAATCCATCGAGGACTACACATTCCCTACTGGAAAGGTCCACCGTGACGCATAAAGAGGATAGCTTATACTATACTATATACTATGTTTCTTTCTTTTATGTTTTGAGCTATTACTACTGTATGAACAAGCCTTTTGTTTTTGTTTTTCTTCTTTATTTTCTGTTTCTTTTTTGTTACAAAATATACTTCCCTTATTTACCATATTCCCAAGTACCAAGACTGAGATCGAATGCAATTGAGACTTTATAGTATAAAGAAAATGAATATTCACTAATTTATAGCGGAGAAACTACTGGAAAAGGTGGGGAAAAATCTATATATTTAGTTTATATATTTAACCAGCTCTAGCCAAGTCCCAGATTTCCCCTCCAATTTTGAGGAGAGGTGCTTTAGTCTAATTTCTATCAAACACAATAAGAAAAAGGACAGGTAAAAGAAAAGCTATTCAATAACTTTTTGGGCAGAATACACACATAAAAACAGACATATATATAATGTAAAGGGAGTATCTTTTTTACTGCTCTTGTTAATTAATGACTGTAAATTATAAAGCTCTTTTAGTTATTTGACTTTCACACCTAACGATAGATTGTTTTCTAAGAGAATTAAAAATATATTGAATCAACTGTATTAACTTTGATGTCAAATTTTTGGAAGATTTGTCAATACTTTTTCTTTTGGATGTAGTACTATTGCCTTTAAGCCTTGAACCGTTTCACTGAAATTCCAAGTCGGTTTCTTTCTTTTGTTTTTGTATAACTCAAAAAGGTCGGTGCTATTTCTTGTTTTCTAATTCTTGATCTGTCTACGCCTACAATTTTTTACATACGCGGCTTATTACTTTACCCCTGTAGAATACTCTTTATTATTTTACTCTAGCTTATATCAAGACTTTTGACATTATAATTAAATATAACTGCAGTATACATAGACCGGCTAAATAATCATCTCTTTCAATTATCACAAGGGATGAACGGAATTTATGCTGCACAACAGCTCATTTTCAACTACTTATTTAAAATAACCAACAGCTTTAACATTATTTACGAGATATGATACAATTATATCAAAAGAAGCTTGCTTAAGGCTTCAGGAGGTAATGAAAGGCTCGAAAATTGGAATTTGCAATGGTGAAAATAGTATTACTGGTATGCCTACTATCAATAAGCAATCTCGGTGTGTGTGTATGTATATAACAGATTACAAAAGAATACATGATAACTTGTCTTGATAGCTGGTAATAATTTCTTTTAGAATACTAAATGTATCCATATTCTAGAAAAGTAACCATATAAACTTCGATGCATGTCAATTATAAATTTCTGCAGCGATATTCAATAGAAAAGGCTAGCAACAAACTAACAATAAATCAGGATTGTGCCAAAAAAAAACTTAAACACTAAATTACACCAATGTATTTTATTATGGTGTCTTCCTGTATTTATTATTACCAAGTATTATTTAAAGTACTGCGTATAACAGTAATATAAAGAGTTGTATGTGTGCTCAGTTGGATACCCCAAGAAATATAGATGTTTACGATTTGATAAAATCGATTATAGTAATATTAATGTTCTGGAGTATATCAGATCTTGTGTGGTTAATAATTCCGGGCTGTCCTATTGGATCCGGAATTGATAAACCCGAATCTAACGCAAAGATGTCTATCGTGTCGTGTTGTCTCGTGTTGTATTGTATGGTGTTTGTCACTGGTCACTGTTTGGATTAGTTGACCCTAAGTTAAGAGTAAGGGACGAAGGGAGAATTAAGCCCACTACATCGCCTTTTAGGAGATTTTATAAGCATCTCAATTGCCATGATACACCCTCGAATAAAAGGCTAAAAGTAATGAAACACGGTCTGTCTTTTTTCTTGTTTCTTAAAGGTAGTCGCTATCTGTACATACCTTGTACAAAGTTCTTTTTCTTTGTGTGTACGTATTTACCGTACTGCAAAAACATTAATTTATAGGATGTTTAAAGGGGTGCCTAACTTCAGTTGCATAATCATCTGTTTGTGATGCAGAAAGCTTACTGCCCTCAGTTGGTAAATTATCCGTGTTTTACACAAAAAATACATTATCGATTGTCATGAAATGGTTTTTTTTCTACGCATAATTAAAGTCAATATTTAATAGCTTTTCTATCGATATAATACTTTATTGATATAATAGAGAAAGAAGAGGAAGAAAACTATGACTTGTGTAGATATTAGTAAGGGAAAATTGAGAGGGTAAAAGCCTTTCCACTGATTCAAAACAGAGGTCAAGGGATCAGAATAGAGCTGAACGCAGGGCTAAAGAACAGGTACATATAATAAAAAAGTATTAAAAATCTGACAGAATAAGCTTTAATAATGTAGAAGATAAGAATATATAAACTTAATTGATAATGAAGCATATAGAAGAAATATGATGCATGATAGTATGTACGCGTTGACGTGAATTGTGATAGTAAAAATAAAGGATTTTGTAAAACGGGAAATACTTTTACAACCTACAGAAATTAAAGCTTGAATTATTATCAGATGTGAGATAGTCTGCGTTATATTTTTTTATTGAGTATATTGTTAAATACATATGGTCTTATTGAGGTCTCACAGCCAAAACTTTGGTTTTTCTTTTAAAAAATAAATAAGAACAATAAAGTGATTGGTTTCAATAATAAGATTATCACACTAAGGAAGTATTTAAAGATCAACTAGGGTTGATAATGTGATGTGTGGATCTGTATTGTGACAAAGGCTATGGTGTGTAATAGAGTTCTTACAGATAATTGTATATAATTTAGATATTAATAGTTTGTGGATTGGGCACAAAGGTCCACATGAGCTGCATGGTTGCAAGCATGACAAAACATACGAGTGGTATAGACAGAATACCATACTGATCTGCAATTAACCCGGCACCATAAGGAAGTACAGCAGCTCCACTTGCACCAATGGCTGAAATGAATCCAATTGACGTGGCATGAATGTGACGCGGTAATAGTTGGGAAACCAAAGAGATTGTTGTAGGGAACATTGGACCGATCAAAAATCCAATGGTTACAAGGGCTAAGGTAGAATTAGATTAGCAAGTATTTTTAATAGAGACAAAAACAACAAAAAACATCTTTCTGTATTTATACATACCAATAGAATCTATTACAATCGATTCGGCATATCCGAATATGATCAAAACCACACCACCTGTAATAGTCAAAGCAGTGATAGTACGCTTTTCTCCAAGGCGACCAGCAAGGTATCCAAGTACCAAACGGCCGATAGCGAGACCAGCCCAGTAACCGGCTGTCACATGACCCATCATTTCCTTATCACCATGACGACCCTCGGTCAGAAAAGTGTAACCCCATCCACCCATAATAATCTCAACTCCAACATAAATGAGAATATATCCGGCCGAGAGGAGAGTTACAGAATTTCGAATAGGATGGCTTGGTATAGCAATTCGGGCCTTTGGAAGTTCATCCGTATCATCATCTTCAATTTCATGTTCATTGGGCTGCTCCATATTTGTTCCGCTGAATCCAATCATAACAGACAAGATATTGAGAAAGGCTGCTCCTGCCAAGAATCCATAGACAGCTCTCCATGTGATATTGCGGACTAGGAAAGCAGTACCAACCAAGGGACTAATCATTGCACCTACACCATAGTTGGCTTATATATTTGAAATAATAATAAAACATTAGGAATCACGGTAAGCCAAAGATATTTTAAATAGACTTACCATGTAGAATATTGAGCATAAGTGTGGCCATTGGAACATTGGCAGTATATACGTTTACAGCGGCATCCAAAAGAGAGATGCTTCCGCCCTGAAAGACCATGAGGCCCAACATGATTTCAAAGCGTTGTCCTGTTAGGGCAAACAGATAGACGATCATCAATGAAATTGAGGCTGTGTAGACAGTAGCTCTCTGTCCAATATGCTTGACGATAAACCCGTTCAAGAATCCGCTGATGAAGAAACCAATGGCATTGAAAAGGAAAAGGAGAGAGACTGTACTGTTCGAAATATCATAATGTTCCTTGAGACGTGGGATCATTACACCAAAGGTTCCGTCATTTAGACCAGCCATAACAGTGATAATATTTGAAGAGATTAACGGCCAGATATATGGTTTGAGGTCACTCCATGACTCAGCCTTTGGATCAGCTTTTGCGCCACGCTCAGACCCCAGAAGACTGGTGGACTCGGTTATAGAAGAGGTAGAACTATCGTTATTTGGCATTAATAGCTCAACACAGAGAAACTTGTATAAGTCAAAGCCAAGCGAAAGAAAGGGGATCGGGAAAAAAGTAGGGCTTATATAAATATACGTGAATTCGAGTAGATTCAGGCACCACTTAAAAATAAAAAATAAAAAATAAAAAAGATAAAGAAAGGGGTACGAAATTTGCTATAATTTTCATGGTAGACTTTTGAGTACCGCTACAACCACACAGTATTAATTTATCCTTATACATTTCTTTATCTATTTTTATTTCCAATACACTTCAAATACATACATACATACATACATACATACATACATACATACATAATAGATACTAAGATAGGGCGGCTTATCTCAAACTGGTAAAGATATATATATATATATATATATATAGTTCTGCGTATTTATCAATCTACAATTAAAACCTATGAGAAAATAATCCTCATCAGAAAACAACTGTGGTTCATGTAATAAAGATGATCCCATATCGTGCAATCATACAAAGGGATATTCAGCCTATTCTAAGTTGTCTTAAACATTTGATCTCTGGCCTGCAAATAACGTACAGACCAATTGTCTTCTTGACAGAAAATTCCAGACAAAGATGGCTGTAATAAACCAAGAATTGTGTCAATTGAACAAATGACTATTTAAAAAGCATTGATCTATCCAATAAATTCAAATTCATAGTTACCAAATAGTAATAAATGAGTCACCAGAATAGTATTTCAATTGGAAATATATATATATATATAAAACACCGCCCTTGAGACGACGTGGGAAAGGGACGCGGGATAATCTGAGGCTGTTACGTGCCAGAAGATTTTTTTTTTTTTTTTGGTTTTATTTATCAATGGTACTATAAACCAGGGTAAATGTGCAAATGATCTGACTCTGATATTTCTGTGGCTCAAAAAATATGATATATGCACCACAATTGAGTAGATTTTTTTTAGTAATTAGTATACGGCTGTGCATTTTCTAATGAACCAGGAAGATTAGTATATCAAAGCTCGTTACACAAAGCCACTGTAAAAAGTCGATCAAGTATACCTTGTGGGCTATAAAGTTACTATTTTTACTATTATAGTTATTATGTAAATAATATAAATCACTAAAGCTAACAATAAGACTAATTGTTATTAATAAAAACAGCAAGTCCTTTGATTCACGCAATTTATAAAAGCAATTTATATAAAGATATGCATTAACTGCTTGTCAGCAAACTTTTATATATGTGTTCACTTTGTAGAATTCAAATAAGCATAATACCTTTTCTTTAATTAGCATTTTTTATTGGGATTTAATAATAAATGATATTTGTCTGTAATATACATAATACTGTAGACTTTTACATTTTGTAACAAGTAGCTATTATCATTCATTTAACTAAAGTTGGTTCGTTGACGGTTAATAATATACAGATAGCACGAGAGCAAATACGATGATTTAACATTTATCTAGTTATCATAGTTAAAAGTAAATATACCAATAAATAAATAAAATAAGGTAATTGAGGTATATTCAAGTACTCAAGTATATCTATACTTAAATAATTAATATCAGTTCGAAATAACTAGAGAGATATAATTTAAAAGCTTGCTATAAGTGCTCTGTGCTGTGAATGTCTCGTTAGTTTGGATTGTGCGACAAAAGATAGGAATTGATGTAACTCGAATAAATAATTTGACTTGCTGACAGGTATTCAAACAGTCGATTGAAAAACTGCAAGTTCTTGTTTCTGAAGATGATGATGCTTTGTAAATCAAAACGTAAAATAAAATAGCACACATGTTTATACACAATATTAAGTATATAAGGCCAATGTAACTTACTTTGTGCGTAAGCAAACATATACTTATAATTTAAGTGTTTCAAGAAGAAACACTATCAATAATAGCGTCTGATTGTACTAATTAACAATTCGCATCTTACTGACATAAGTTTATTGATAATATTCTTTCTGGAAAGGATAGCTTGGATAATAGTTGCGAGGATAAGACAGTTTAATTATTGATTTGTACAATTTTGACAAAATCATGTATGGAAGTGCTGTAAAAAATTATATTACGCTTGTACAGTTGATATAAATTGATGGATATTATCACTCGATAGAAAAAATAATACTACAAACACCATATAATCAAATGCTTTATATCATATGTATATGGTATATTGGCATAAAATGTTAATTGTATCTGTATTAATGCAATTGGCTTTCAAACGGCTTGATAGCCATCAGTATATTAAAAGTTGACAGTCCTAATGTTGCAAAGTAATATTCTAATAAAATACTTGGCTTTGGATTGAATTTGATAAAAGTAAAAACAGATGGTACCCATTAATTTGTTCGAAATTCAAAGGGTATGCTTATAAACTATACATATCTTGGGTATGTAAAAGAAAGAAAGAAAGAAAAATAAAATCAGAAGCAAAAACAGTAGAAAGCGTTGGATCATGAGTTCAAGTTAGTATAATAGTAACGAAAGTAATTTTCTGTTGATATATTAATGTATATTGGATCATTACTCTTTAGTTCCTGTAGAAATTCTTTATAGCTTAATGTCAAGAGCGCTATCTTAAGCGAATCGATCATTAAAGAAATTCCCCTGAGCAAAGAACATCTCTTTCAAAAGGCAATTACCCGGTCTTTAAATATTCCGGTGGCTATAATGTTCGGCACGGATATACACGTGACCGTTAATTGCAGCCGGCGAGGATTGTCCCCGCAGAAACCATTCAAGAGAGACAGTAAGGGCCACCCTCATAATCCTTCTCTTTTGTGAAATATCAACTATCGCAATGTATGTAACAGCCTCATCAAACAATACAATGAGATGCAGACGATCAACAATGATGAATGTCTGAGGATGGATGGATTTATTCTTCAATCATCAAAAAGAAGAATCAACCTTCCGCCCTAGCTACCCCCAAGCCATCAAACCACTGACTTTTTTTTATGTATTCATACTTACATTAGCATGTCTGCCGAAGAAATCGTCATTGACACCCAGGAAGTCGAAGTTGTTGCCGAGGTCTCCAAGGGCCAGATGTCCGTTGAGGAAGCCCTCCAGGAGGTCCTCCGTCGTGCCCTTGTCCACGATGGTCTTGCCCGTGGTTTGAAGGAAGCCGTCAAGGCTCTCGACAGGTAAAAAGAAAACAACAATGTACCTGTGGTGTACACTTTTGTGCCTTTAATGCCTTTATTGATTACATGGTTCTAATACTTTATATAAAATAGACGTCAGGCCCATTTGGCTGTCCTCTGCGAGTCCTGCACCGAGTCTGAGTACATCAAGCTCGTTGAGGCTCTCTGCGCTGAGCACAACATCAACCTCATTAAGGTCTCCGATGCTAAGAAGCTCGGTGAGTGGGCCGGTCTCTGCAAGATCGATCGCGAGGGTAACGCCCGCAAGGTTGTCGGCTGCTCCTGCGTCGCTGTCACTGACTTTGGAGAGGAGTCTGAGGCCATGAACGTCCTCTTGGATTGTAAGTATTTTATTTTAAAAAGGCTACTTTGCAATAGAGGTTGAATATATTTACTAAACCCGTGTTTCCTTCTAGACTTCAAGACCCGTTAAATTTAATATATTGGTTTCTTGTTTTAATACAAAATAAAATCCTGACGTATACTCTTTCCCAAAAAAATCTTTACAAAATGGTCAACCTTTTTAATTTGTTGAAGTGGTGTATATGCAGAGCTTTAAATTTTGTTTGCACAATACTCAATTTAGCTATAGTTCAATTCATATACTTACGGGAAAAGTTTTAAAGGAAGGCTTAGCTAATTCTACTTGTACAAACAACAGAGCTTCTTTAGATTTTGTTTTTTCTTTACTTTTCACATTCATAGTCATTCTCAAATCGTAGCAATTGAGTTTTTTTTTTCTTGTAACAGTCGTCAGTCTCTTGACATGAATTGCTGTAATGAGTTTGCGAATTACATTGTTAATGAGAAAGTGTACATTTTAATTTCGCTAACAACTAAGAAAATTAATAAAGCTTGAAAAACATATCGCGCAAATTAATTGCATAGAAACAAAGAAAATAAATTTCCTTTTTCTTGATGTGTCTTGCAAATATTTGTATAGCAAGTAAAGATACATCAACAATACTTTTCTTTAAAAACAATGGTCAAGGAATATTGTCTTTGAATACGTACTCCTACAAAGTCTCATCTTTTTCATTATCTGTAGAAGTGCAATTTATGTTGTTTGTTCCTGAGCCAGTATGTTTTCAAACAATGAAGTTTTAAAGGAATCAAGAACTATTTTATCTAAGAAATCAAAAATCAAATATACTTTATATTTCGTTAAAAATACAAAACATTAATAGGAAACAACTTTACACCTACACAATTTTTAATGAAGTGTTGGGTAATTCTGGCATTCCGTTAATATAGATCATGCTTATAATATTGATTTTTGTGCTGAACAATAAATCAGAGTGTTTTTTAGCTGAGATACATTTGAATTAATTTTTTTTGAAGAAAAAAATCCAGTTTGATATATGCGATTGTATCTTGGTTAGAATGTGTTATTTGAACTATTAGTTACAGCTTCTTTCATACGAATATAAATAATGGCTGGTTCATCGATATGTGTAGCAACAAACTCACTGTTTAGCGGACTTTATGTAGCACGCGAATTAATGGTATAAAAATCAAAACATTAAAGAATGTACATTTTCTCATTCAATCCAATTCGCAAACTCATTACAGCAATGCATGTCAACAGACTGACTCTATCCTTATAAATAAAACTCAATTACTATGATTCGAGAATGACTATGAATGTGTGAAGTAAAGAAAAAAACAAAATCTAAAGAACCACTATTTTTTATAGAGATAAAATGAGCTAAGCCTTCCTTTAAAGCTTTTCCTATAAATACAACATCTAAACTATCACTGAATAGAGTTTTATGTGACCAAGAGTTCAAGCTTTGTTGATACCCGACTTTAAAAATAATAAGACTGAATATTTTGTAGTGTTCTGTCGTCGGGAAAGTCCATTAAATGCTATATGTAATTATACAGACATACCCACCATTTACCTATTCCATTTCTTGGGAGTGGGTTTGATTCTACGCACTATTTTTGCTTCCAAGTGTAAATAAGTAAATGCTTGTTTTGAGACAATTACTCCTAAAATTACAGCCTTCGATACTTTGTAGCTATTCACTTCACTAATAGTTGCATTCAAATGTGTATTTTCATATGTATTGAGATCCGCTTTTATTATTTTGTGGTTCCAGAAAGGAAAAATTCATAAAAGAAAATTGATCAAACAAGCGGTTCCTTTAGATGAAGCCGATCTATAATAACAAAATATAATGAGTTAAATGTGTAAAAAAAACTCTCGCTATCAATTTTTTGTTCTTACCTTGTTGGCAACATCAAGAGCATCGACATCAGCGGTCAAACGGACGAAAGCCTTCTTGTAGCCATCAGGTCTAAAAAAAAACTAATTAGTCTCTTTGTCTTTTTTCCACAAAAAGAGAAATAATAAAGCTCTCCCATTTATAAAATATTTTACCTGATGAGGGTGTTGATCTTGGCAGCCTCGACATCATAGAGTCTCTTAACGGCATCCTTGATCTGAGCCTTGTTGGCCTTGACATCGACGATGAAGGTCAAGGTGTTGTGCTCCTCAATCTTCTTCATGGCAGTCTCAGTGTTCAAGGGCTGACGAATGACGCGGTACTGGTCCATGCGGGGAGCATGGGGGATAGACTTGCGGGCAAACTTGGGCTTGCGTGCCAACTTCAAGGTCTTGGGGATGTGGAAGTGGGTGGAGGTACGGACCTTGCGGGAGGTCTGACCACTGACGCCCTTAAGGGCAGCCTTCTTGGCAGCGAGAGCCTTGTTCTTGGGAGCTTTGGTAGAACAGAAAATTTAATTAGCATACAATTAAATTCGATGGTTATATCCATCCACATCCCCTTGTAGTCCATCAATGTATCATCTTCACTTCCCACGCATCCATATGCATCTATCTTTAATATACTCACCAGAGTTGCTCTTGGGTGCCATCGTTACGGATTAGAGAAAAAAGAGGCTGGACTGTTGGGCCACGGTGCCCATCGGCCTGTAAGCTCAGTTAGTTTGCCCTGACTTGCGCTTACCCGGGGTCACATGCACCGTCGATCGGGGTTCAATAAAACTGCAGAATGTTTAGGTTTGGCTTTAATTTTGAATTTCGCACTGTTAATTCCTTCTGTATGCTATTTGTTCTATTCAATTAAAATCCACCTAGTTTGTTGATAAGTTTCTTTATTTTTGTATTTAGCTTTGCTTTGGGACTGCAATCAATTAAAAAGTTTCAACACACTATCAATAAAATTTATTCATTGAGATCATCTCACATGTAGTAAGTGTATTGACTAAATGTGGATTTGGTGAATGTTACTCATTCTGTTGAGCATAGAATGTATTCTTCAATTCACATTAATAAAAAACTGCTACTACCATTAACACAATAGACGTTTTACGGCAAATTTTTTGATGAGCTACTTAAAAAAGAGTTTTGGGAAAATCAAATTTACTACATCTAAAAAATAAATAAATAAATAATGTACATTGATATTGATTGCAAGGATGCCTATTATGACCTTAAAGTCCCTTCAATAACAACTCTCGTATATATTTTGTTTGGGCTCTATAGACTCCTTGCAACCCTCATTTATTCTAAAAAAAATAGTCGATTTAAAGAATCTAAGATTATCTATAAAGCTCTAATATCACTTTATCCATTTAGCTTGTTTGCCGAACTTGAATACTTTCTGAAAATATATAAGTTGTGTTGAAGGGCTTACACTAGTTGATTTTTTTAGAGCCTGGAGAATCTCCACCAGGACTGAATTATTTATATCGCTAAAGTACTGGATCGAATTGTATTCATAGCTTATAAGTATTTGCTCGTATATTTATAACAGATAGTAGCTTATTTCCGTGAAAAAGTATAATGAAAATTTATATGATTTCATTACAGAGGCTTTCGAATATCCAAGTTATAAAGCTATCACTGGGTAATGACTAAACAATGTTTCCTAAAGATTTTTGTCCAACAAAAGAAGTTAAGCTAAGCTATATCTCCTTTTCCTGGATCTTTATTTATTCGACCCCAAGAATTCGTCTAGTAACAGTTTTAGTAGTCATTAAATACCTGCACTCAATTATTTTCAAGGTCTCTCAAAGTTCTCAAGATTGTAATGTATATCTCTCTGTGTGCTACAGTTGATTTATTATCATCTACACAGCTTGTGTTTTATTTAAAAAAAAAGAGAGAACTTTATGATGAACTTGCTTTTAATATTAAAGCACTGTAAGTCACTCTCGTATTTGAATTTTGAACTCAACTGTAGTCCCCTTTAAAAATAGCTGTACAAAATAAGTGTTTCATGAATTTCAAGAAATTAATCTATGTAATTTTACTCTGTGCGGCTGTGTGATAAAGTATATATTTTGGGAGTTCTCGAGACTAGACACTATGTTTTTTAGTATAAGGACTGCTACTAGTCATGCTCCTTGTTCGCCGTTATTTGTGCCGATTGACTTGTTTATCCATGAATTTAGTCAATTTGTCAATCCAATACACAATTTTCTTTATAAAAAATTAACCACAGGACTTTCTGACCACGATTTCCACCCTTTCCCTCCTATTACACAAACCTATGAGTATTCTTAAACCCCAGAACATTGGTTACACCAGTTTATTTTCAGAAAAAAAAACTCTCACCTCAATTGGTATCCAGTAACACACGATGGTACTATTCTCACATTTTACCAAGTGATCAGAGTTCTAGACAATTAGACTATGTAAAACAACTTGGAATACGAAAGCCTTTTCTTTACCCTAGGCTGTTCTCAAGCGTGCTCTGTGTATTACATGAAAATTCTAAGTTCGGTTTAATGGACAAATGTAGCAACATTCGCTATTAATATGGTAATGCTAATAAAAGTATCAATTAGGTGACTATCTGTTTCAATGAACTTCAACGAGTTTTATTTGAAATATATACATTAGCACCATTAAAGCCCGAGTAGAAAATATCAATTTCGATCTTTCATTGGATCTGTCAGGCCGACTAGATCAGTAAGCTGAACTGATGATCGGGATCGTTGCTGGATTATATTGAGCATATTCGACTTTTTACAAGACTTCCAAAAAAAATGGCAAACAAGGAGTAAAATATTAAGGTTCTTGAGGTTTCTAAACACAAGAAGCTGCACCAAAGAAGAAGGGAAGTCAAGGTGGCCGATTTCACACATCGTATAAAGCTTGTCATGATCGAGTCTTGTGAGATAAAATTTAACGACAAGCCTTATATTTACAAATTGGGCACTGTCAAATGAATACATATAGATATAAGAAAACAGAATCACCATGGACCTGAGATGATATTACCGACTCGAGAAGATGGCAACCGATGGCTTCCTTGCTAAAACAAGCGATTCTTTGTCAAGTCAATACATAAAGCTGCCTTATTGCAAGTCGGCTCCGCAATCCTCACCTCACCATAAACAAGGATTCCTCCAAATTACAGCTGATCAATGATCGAGGTGACAGTATCTGATCGCAAAAGAATGCTTGAATTAACAGTCTTGTTCAGCCATCTCAATAATATAAACCGCTATGTATCTACAACACATGACAAAAGAGGATCGAACTATGTACTCTATAACTCTGTTTCGCTAATGGTTGGAACATTATGGATATGATTTATAGGTATTTTTTGAATCAAAATAAAAGTGAGAGCGATATTAAATGAGAAGGCACACTTACAATATAGCCAAACCAGTGACAGCTCTCTGCTTTTCATATGACATTGATGATGCTAAGCATAATATTTTGTCGTGGTCGATAATGCTGGTATTAGCCCAGAGTCTAAGTTCATAACGTTTTCAGCGAGAACCATATATTACGCTGAAGAGAACTTTATATTAAGTGATCCAACATTCACTAAAACGTCACTGTGTGTTTTTCTCAGCAGAGGATCAGTAAAAACTGAACGCATCAATCGACTATGTTTTAGTGGTGTCAATAAGAGAATGCTGTTCGAGGACAATAATTCTTGGATTGCGTTTCTATTTGCTAATCTTAGGGGGACGACATTTTTATTCTACAGGACCACACATTGCGACCTTTTTGTTGGCATGAAATAACTCTGGTCCCTAATAATCAATTCTTATTATACTATTAATACACGCCAGGATGAAACATATTCCTATCAAGGTTTTCTTTTGTGCTTTGAAAAAATAAAAATAAAATGGTAGGTAGGGATTACTTACCTGTTGGTACTTTTAAACTCTGGTAATATGTGTATGTATATATAAAATAGGCGAAATAAAGAGAAAGTCATGATACGCATAAGAGGGGCAATAAATAGTAAGATATCCTACAAGTGTGTCACACTTTAATAACAACAGCTCATTATAATATTTTGCATAACTGGCTATTAATATAGTGTATTTGTAATGAATTATTATCATTTCTTTATTGTCAAGTCAAAATTTAGGATGCAAACGTCTATTAATTGAATTCACAGGATTTGCTTTTCGTATGAAACAGTATTCTATTATTAAGTTGCCCAAATACAGACTGTGGCTCTTAAAATAACGAGAGTTAGGTTACTGGGGAGATATTGATAAACACAGACTATGGAGACAAAGTAGTAAGCTAATGCGTACAATGAATATATTGTATTTTTTTCAGAAAACGCCATTTTGCCATGAAGAATCATAAAAAGAAACCGGACCCCGGATAGGTAGTCGCAATGAATTAGTTCAGTTAGATAGAAACATTGTACCCCACCAAGAAACATCGTCCCCGTAAGATTGCTAGTCTTTTATTGATATCAATTAAGCATTTATACTAATGTTGAGAGATAGAGAGTTGTGGTATACGTAAGCCTATGAACAGCACGGCAGCACAACAACAGAGACAGAAGGAAAACGCAGAGTTGATCCATGTGTTGAGAGATGCAAACAATAGAAGAAGACCGCTATATTGGAAATCAGAGATACGATTCAAATAAACCATTAGATACTTTTTTGGATCTTATAATAATGAATGTATATATATGTGCAAATTGTGTCCAAATAATTATGAGCGTTTTTCAAGGTAAAAATGGTGCAGTCCTTTATAAGTCCACAGCCAAGAAAAATAAAAAAGGCTGCTAGCTTGTCTCATTAAGCTCGTTAAAGAAGGTGGATCAATATAACTTATCTTGCAAAACGTTTTCTTCAAGGTACTGAATAATATATTCAAGTAAATCTACCCTTTTCTAATTTATACTTGCACAGTTTTTAACAGATAGGCTATGATTTGTGACTGTATTTCCCTGTAGCGTGTTTAATGATACTGCAAATGTATATATTCGGAGTTGAATAAATTGCTATGTAAAGTAATTTTTCTTTCAATTCCCTCGATGCAATTCCCTCGATGATTCCCCCGTACACTGGCTAATAGAGTGAGTAAGGAAAATACATCTTCCTTCCCGAAGTATATCTTGTATGTTTTGCTAAGCAAAAAGAAATACTTTTTTTCTCTCAAAGATATCTGCTTAATTTAAATTCCCGCTAGAAATAGATTCAGTCTCACAAAAGTCTGAGGGACTATACACTGTAATATTCCCAAAGACTGCGTATTAATAAAATATGCTTCTATTTGTAACATTCATTTAGAAGGTCACACATTTTAGCTTTAATGCCTGATGCCCCGTTGGATAAATTATATATAAAAACAACTGCTTATTCAGCAATACCCATCAGTCATGGCTGGTGCTAAATGATTTGACATGAGCCCATCTAGCTCAGTATGATGGGATCATTGATAGATTAATATTTATTAAAACAGGTGTTAAATCAAAACGAACGAAATGAATATAAAAATAAAAAAGGTGAATATTTATAAAAGTTATATATGCGGAGGTGAAAACATCCCACGGGCAGGGTTACACGCTGATGTATATCCTATCAAGGGCTAGATCTGGCCATTCCATAACAATGGGTAAGGTATGGACGATAAACCAATGGCATGGGGCAGCAAGATCTAAATATGCACTCAAAATCACACAAATGGTAATGTCAGATAAAGGATACACTACAAAGCTAAATCTGGAAACAGCCAGAAGCTCAAGGACAAAAACGACAACTCTAAATTACAGTAATTCTAACGTTGTACACTATTTAAGTATATATCACTGATAAGCATTGTGTTGAATAGAATTGCTCGCTGTATATTCTTCTTCTTCTTCTTCCTTCTTTTAATACTTATTCTCTTTATTTTACTTTTTTAATTATGAAAGCGTCCGATTTACCCTTCGAGATTCTTTCTTGTATCGCATCATATCTAACAAACGATCATAAACTACATGCCTCCCTTGTTTGTCGAGCATGGCATGCACCATTTACAGAAAGCGTGTGGAAGAAATTAGACATCGTTACAGAGAGAAGCATGGAGGGTTTATGCAGCATACTCTCCTCCTCATTAACCAACTACAGGAAATGTGGGTATCTTGTTAAGGATCTGGTCTTTCGTTCGAATGTCCGGGTTAGCAATGATCAGTTTCGTCTGATACGAAACCATTTCCAGTCACTATATTACTTGTGGATTTATAGTGGAAATATTTCTCCGTATTTCTTTCAGAACACGAGCTGGTGGATACTTCCGTCCCTAACAAAGTTACATTTCTCGATCAATGAAGATAATCTCGGAAAGCAAGAAGTTATGGACGTCATCTTATCCTCGCCCACTCTTAAGCATCTCGAAATTCATCAGTATCCATGGGTTTCTAAGATAACCTTCACAGTTTCGGATCTTGAGACAATACACGAGCGTTTACCAATACTGGAGTTCCTATCCTTGGGGGTCAATCTTGGGCATGTGTCAGATAGTGATATCGCACTTGTCCTACAAACTACACCAGCAATCAGACTGACATCATTGGAGTTCCAAAGCATACAAGGCGACAAACTATGGCTATACTATTGGGGATTGAAGTATCCAAATCTAACTAATTTAAGTTGGCCCGGAGATGATAGTATGAAAGCCAACCAAGCTCATCACGATATACCCTTGAATGACATCCTAGAATCGAAGAATTCATTTCGGCGGTTAAAGAAAGCTACTATTGGAACTATCAAGTACAATATTTCAATATACCAAGCTTTTTTTGAACTTTTATCTAGGCTAAAAGTCTCTCTTCAGCACCTTAAATACACTATATACATTGATGAAAATACCCCGGCTTTCGCAACCGCCCTGATCAAAGATACCATGCGTCTATCCTGCAAAACACTCAAAACACTTGATGTAGAAATATTCAATTCCCTTCCCGATCCCCTTGTTATTCCCACAGTAGTTGGCTACTGTTCCTTTTTGGTTGATATTAGTCTAAGCGCATATCACATGGACTTTGCCCTGGATGTTTTGTTAAACAAATGTACAGCCCTGAAGAGCTTACGACTGATTGCCGGCACAGTGTTCGTACGCCCGGATGCGTTTGGCATTACAACACAGCATAGCTTGGAAACCTTTGAGTTATGCAATACCAAAGTAGATATTCACTTGTTTGACTATCTCTCTAGCCGATGCAGACGTATTACACGACTCAACCTTTTCAATCTGCGTGTGACAGGTGTTTTGTGTTTAGAGGCCGGAAGTATTTCGATCAATATGCCCTATAACCACTTTGAAACCCTCGAAATGTTTCGTGTCGCCTTCTATTCACCAAGTGATGGTATTACTTGTAATGAAAACACTAGAATGAGTCTCCTGGCTCTCACGCAGCTGAATCCTACCATTTCACAACCCGGATCACCCACAGGGTATATACAGTCGATTGATCCAGTCCCTAGTACAAGACCTGCTACACGATGGTACCACCGATATGGTCCCCTGTGCCACAACGTCATGGCGACCGAGTTACGAGAACTAAGAGAGGATGATATCGAGTACGCAATGGACTATTTCAAATCGTTTGAATATGAGCCCGTGACTGACGAGCAAAATGAAGAGCTAGAGGCTACGCGAGGGTCAGTGGAGTATTCAAACACCACCAATTGGGTGGACGACCTTCCTCTAGGCTATGTAGATATACGTTGTGCATCTATTCGCAACTTTGTTTTTGATAACCCAAAGTTCTATTGAACTCTTGTAATAATATAGAAGTATGTGTATATACATATAAATAATTAGCTAATTAGTATTTAACAGCACCTACATAATAAATTCATTAAAATCTTTGTTTATATTCATACCAATCAGTCCGAAATCTTTAAATTTTATTAATTATTGTTTTTGTTTTCCTTTGATAAATACAAGAATATAAAAGCTATAAGTTATACGCCAAAAACAAAATCCTTGGTTGTACAGTTTTCTGTACACCAGAACATATCTCGATCTTTATATAACGTGTCATGGTGTAAGTACAATCGGTGTTTTTTTTTGTTTTGGATAGAGGCAAAAGGATACAGACTCACAGGATTCCCTGATTCTAAATTAGTTATTTTTATTTTTCTTGTGATTTGTACCATTGTTTAAGACAATAGACAATAAAGACCGGACCTTAATACACAGAAATGCTTTTTTAGGTTTTGATAAAAGTAATTTATTGAGTTATATCAATATTCAATATAATAATATTAGCCGTCTTTTGTTTCCTTGGTCTATTTGAGTTGTTTAATCTTAGTAGTTTTTATAGTTACCGCTCAATGACCTCCAATTTCATAATCTGATTTTTACTTTAAATAGGTAAAAGTCTGTGAACTATATGCATACGACGTCTGACGAGATTATTTGTTTAACAAACAGTCCAAGGTTTTACTCTTCTGTAAAATCTAATATCTGATAAGTGTATGCACAGCCTCACATATCTTTATTTATTTATTTATTTAGTAAATGTATTGTAATTTATAAAAGTTAGGTTTCCTTAGGGAATTATTAATCAAATGATAACCCACAATATAATTATCTTTATTTTTAACGATCATAAAATACTATAAGATGACACAGGTTTAACATATTCCCACCACATACATATACGTATATATACTTAAAAGGTTTCCACAGTTATTATATTAGCTTTAGCGGTAAAAAGGTAAAGTTATGTGAATTTATTACTGGTATTACCATCATAATTGGTTGGTATATATTTCAATGACGCCAAGCCATATCATACATTATCAGATAACAAAGAATGCTGAGCCCCAACTAAATTCAAGCAATAGGCATGTCAAACCATTCACGTTTATTTAGAGCTCAGCAATATAGGTACAACAATTGAGCAGGTTTGGAGCCATGTATACTAGCCACATAAGCAATCCTACGCTTAATATACCATTACATTTCTTAATTACTTGGACCCAAGTCTCAAGTGTATATTCTAGACTGCCTTATTCTTGTACGGTAATATATATTTTTTATTTAGATCCAAGATCTCGGTGAAACGTCTAATAAATAGAGTTTGGTGAAGATCCGCCAGTAATTTGAACACATTATCAAACTAACCCTATTTTGCTCATTGTATAAACCATAATTTCTGCAGTACATTGTTATCCAGTTGGAATGAATGGTTATGGGGATACAGTTAATTGGTTACACCTTGGAGTACATAAGTTTATCCATATTTTATTCGGATAAGAAGAAACACTTTTTTTCACTTTTGCTTGTTTGTAAAAGAGAATCTCGTTACAAGGTTCAATGTAGGGGTGGTTATAATACAGTGCTATTTTTTTTGAGCTCTTTAGCCCGTTACATGCAAAGTATCACTATTTTCTGATATAGTTACATTAATAAATAATAAAGCTACCAAATATCAACTATCCTATCCCAAGTGTGTTTCTTTTTGAGCCATAATATTTTTTTTTAAAAAAAATATTGTTTATTACTTTGAGGCAACATAATAAAAATTAAGATTTCTCTTCTCTCTTCATTATTATAATATCGAGCTTTAATGGTACCAATAGCTGCAGTAATCGAACGTTCAAATATCCATGTAACACGGTGGAAAACCGAAACAATGGAAAGCTCACTTTAAATCCAGTATATGATATGAAAAGCTGTAAATGATTAAAGTATATTGTATAGAATTTTTACTTATATATTTCTAGTATATCTTTCCGAGACCTATTTACAGTACATATTCCTGCGACAAAATCCACGTATTTCTTGCTGTCTAAATTGCTAACCGTACTCTTTTAAAGAGCAGGACAAAACTATATTTCTGGTTTACATCAATCCCAGATTTTTTTTATATAAGTAAAAATGTATTAATACTTAAATTGACCTTGAATTGGTTGGTAGTCTAGTAAAGACAAAGATAAGCAACTCTCTAATCAACCATTTTGAATGGACATTACTTAAAGCAAGCTTTTTTTTTCTCTCAGTAGATAACAAATTTCCAAAATGGTTAATAATAGTAATAAAGTAATAAATAGCTACAGATACCAAGCTCAGAAAGTATCCCATTAAATTGAATTGATTAAAAGACTGAAGAACATAAACTTAAAGAAAAATATTATAGTAGATCGTGTCGTTAAAAGGTCTAATCCATTGCTCCCAAAAACAAGTAAGGATAATTGAAAGTTGGATAAATTTCCCAAAGTTTGAGAAAATCCTGGTTCTGAAAAAATGAAATTTTAGGCCTGTCTCAGATCCTGGCTGACAAATATAGAAACTTATAAATGTCTCCATTTTTCTGGTGAGATTAGATTTAACGACATTATCTGATATCTTTAGATAAATACAGATACACAAAGCATGTCACAATAGTCATCAAACTTCACGCTACAGATAGGTTTCTGTAACAAGTTTTAGTATAGATATGTTATTGTTCTAATAATCCATAAATATACAGCTCTGGTGTAGGAGGAACAACACCATATTTTCTGCTTGTCTGGCTTCCTCTATTATAACAGACATGGAGGTTCTTAAAGAACGTTCCGACAATATAATATATCCCCCCCCCCCCCCATAAGATTGACTATCTGTTTGAACCTGTGAGTACTTTAAGAAACCCCACAAATTTCCAACATGAGCAAACTCATGCTCTACAGAAATCCGTACATCAGACATACTTTTGTTGATGGCGATTTCTTGCTCATCAGCCGTTTCTAAAAACAGAAAATATACACACCATAAGACTTTGCTGTCGGGACGGATAATTGTACAATACTTACGTCTTTTGTAAGGGATCATCATATGGTCTGATTCGGTATATGCCGAATCACCATACAAGTAATAGCATGGGCCATTTATACTTGAAAAGTCAAATGCTTCGCCCATCATGCCATCCAATTGACCTTCATGGTACAGGCGCACATCATGGTTTCTACCACTGTCTGGCCCCATGATGGATGAAGTAATACCATCAGGTGTTACCACTGCTTGGTACTTCAAACCATGTCCTCTCTACACAAAGTATAGGGATTGAGTAAATAAGCCATACGTCAGATCTGTACGCGCAATCTTTCACTTACGGAATGGCCATTATATACCCCATCTTGGTCAACAATAGACCTAGCCATCTTGTTGAATGTTCCATCAATGAACCCAACACAGTTCATTGCTGGTGCTTTTTATCCGAATAATATATAGAGTGTAAGTACTATTAAATTGATATTGCATTTTGCAAGTTTGATTTACATCTTTCTCTGATGGCTCGGCTGAAGCGAATCAGGTTCGATTCACGGAATTGACAGTAGTCGAACCTCAAAGCTGAGTAGAACTTAAAGTAAATCTTCTCTATCATTTCGTGGAATATGTCACTGAGAGTAGACTTTGCCTTTCCAAAGAGCAGAGACAAATCTGCTGATCGAGCAGGGAAAACCATTCCGCGAAGCAAAATCATCAGAGCCTGTATTATTGGCAGAGAAAATTCACTCGGAGTGCCTTCTCTAAAGTATACGATGTCTCCCATTTTAAGGAGTGGCCAAGAAGCGTATCTGGTTTTATAGGTATATCATATCAATACCTTTTCTTTCTTGAAAGCAGTTATTAAATTATACCTCAGATGGTGTAAATCTAAATAGAAGTTTAGAGTCTTCGTCAGAAAAGGTGCTCGGGTCTAAGCAACCTTGATAATGCAAAGAGACAGCTACACGCTTCTCTTCTTGCTCATAGTCTTGGGCATATTGAGCAAGTGCTTGTTGGATTTCTTCGGCTGTGGGCTCTCGATCTTCGTAATCGTCTGGATGTTCCTCTTGTTCTTCAGCAATACGCCGAGAACAGTAATTGATATAGCGATCTGTGAGTTCGATAATAGGATCAAGACGAGACATTTTAAAATTTTGTTAAAGAAAAAAAAAGGGAAAAGTGCTGGCCTTTCAAGCAACAGCAATATTTTTATGTTACTGAAAATTAAGTCACAGTCGATAATGACAGCTTGTATGTTTTTAGTTAAAATGAATGTCCTACGATTTAATGTAACAAAAATAACTCAACTATGGCATTGTAACTCTACAAATCTGAATCTACAAACGTCTCTAAAATATAATAAAAAGTCCCCAGTCTTTTTGCCTCGATGCCACCTATTCAATTTCACCCAGAAACGACAAAGTGTTGCATACTTTAATCCCTCACCATCCACAAACAGTAAAAGGATTCCCTATCACATACATGGTAGCCAACAATCAAATAGTCATTCAGATAAACCATTGGCTTTTTCAACTTTGCAGCAGTAGTAGTTTTATCCCAATACATATCACAATTGATTGCAGCATTCCAGAGGTCAATGTAATCAAAGAATCATTGCCTCAAACAGCAAATAATTATTGTGATTTTCACGTTCTTCGTGCTTGGCAACACAGTCTTGACAGAAATGTTAAGTCGAACACATCAATTACTTCAGAGCAATTCTAGATCGATAATACTACAGTGAATACTTATTTGAGACAAGTCCTTATTGATTCCAACAAAGAAATGTTCCCGAAAGCCATTGCTGATTTCAAACGGTTAATTCAAAATCAACCTCAATTTCAAAGATGCCTTGAGAGAAAGTTGACCAAAAATGAAGAATTGTTGAGAAGACGAAGACGCTCTTAAGTTAACCAACAACATCAAAGATACGTAGCCAATAACTATGTTGAATCACGACACAGTCAGCTCGAGACTATCTACTTCAATCGTGCACGCATCAAAAAATTGGATTGTCTCATACTCACTTTTACAAATGATGTCGAGCGTGTCCACTTCAATAATAGTAAAATGGGGACCACTAAAGATGAGCTGTCAAGAAATCTTTTACTGCTTCAAAAATACAAGATGTCATGCTCATTTTCATGATTTTCAACCTTCTGGGTGAGACTGGCAGTATAACTAATGATTATAATAGTGAGTAGCAAATACAGTCTTTTATAACAAAAGATAAGTGGTATATTGTCAATGGATCAAATAATTTAATACGAGGCTGCACCTGCCCGAGCTTCTTGGCTCGCCAAATCCCGTCCAGGCATTTGTATTTGCTGAAGCGGTTACTGTGGAGCAGGATTCAGTTTCATTGAACAATAAGAGATTTCAGGAGCAGAGTTGGACAGGCAAGGTAGTGTTAATGCAAATGAAAACCAAGTAAATGAATGGCACGTTGTTGAGCATATATATATATATATTTGACAGCATTGCCACTCGCTCTGTAACGATGTATCACGGGTTTGAAGATCTTCGAACTTTGAGGACAATTCCTGGTTTAGACCAAACAAAAGCTGATACGATAGATAGAGCGCTTGCAGATGTTATGATATTTATGGTTGAATACAGAAGTGAAAATCCTTCATAGTTTAGAAACTTGAATACTCAAAGATAATAATAAAAATAATAAAGAAAGATATATCTTTAAAAAAGTTAATTTGCTTGTCAATGTTGAAACATTTATTCCAATCAATTCTACCATACTAATTTTTGAACTCATTAAGGGAACCCCAATTTAGGTTTTATCGGTTCGATAGATGGCACAATATCACTGTGTGGTGACTTGGACGACAAAGACGAATCTAATGATGCCTTTCTTGTTGGAGTTGATGAAGGTAACGCTTATTTTACGATCGGATACACCTGAGCTGTTAACTGTGCTGGTATCGGCCACTGTACATGGGGTATTGCGCACTCACTGGAGCCTCGTTATTGAAGAGTATCCCTTCTTGACCAATATGGTAGCCGCAAAAGTCTCTAGAGTAGTGCTATAGAGTCTTTGCAAGGAGAACATCAGACATCGCTCAACCTTATTAACTTTATTTTGTGACCATCTGTTTGCCTGCTTATCCCTTTTCACGTATTTCCATCTCTGATATGATAAGCTCTAAAATAAGTGCGATATGTTGAGACTGGAAGTTGCCTTAGGTAGGAAGACATCACAAGGGTAGTTCAGAAGAACTGTTTTATTCTAATGAAGCAAGTTGTATTTATACTATGTTAAAGGGAATTTGCTAGAAGTTCTCAGATACTATAAACTTCCGGAAAAGTGTAGTGTTTTAGAGAGGGATTGGATTGGCTAGATTAGGATCCAGATTATGGTAACATGTTTACGACACTATCTAAAACCAGTTTGTTTGGTCAATGAAATCCAGCCTTCTTAGCCTTGGTTTAAATACCCTTTTGATATGAGCATTGTTGGACAAGATGAACCAAGAACATCCTTTTACTCATCATGTAACATATTTGAAATGACTTCAAAAAAAATCAAGTGTAATTTAGCTACCGCCCCAGTATACAATAAAAAGCTTATCTTTGTCTCTTTCTAATTTTTTACGTATTTAATGGGTACTCTACTTCTAAATAATGCATCTACAGGGTTTTAAGCAATTGAACTTTTAGCTGACTATTTTATGCCCCTGGGACATAGTATTGAGTTTCCTTCATCCTTTGACGAAAACCAAAAGAAAATTAAGAGTAGTGTGACAGTATGGATACACCAAGTAGGAGCTAATTCTAATTATTATTATTTTTAAAGTTTAACAGGTATTTGGTTTTGCAGCGGTGTATTATGAATTACTTGACGCCGGCGTGTCATATAGAAGCAGTTGTATTTGAGGTGTGACATGCCCTCTCAGTAAGAAAATATTAAATATATATTTATATCTTTAAAAAGGCGTTTGATAAGAAAGACTGAAGTCTGGCTGGTTCAAATGCAAGTAAATTGATCATAAAACCTAGTTTTCTAAGTCACAAAATTATTGTAAAGAAAAGTAGAAGAAATGCACATTTTATAAGTATAAGGCTACTTACCAAAACTTCTCGAGGAATTGGTTTTTAGAATATTCCATATCACTTTCCCTTTCTCTTCTTCTTTTTAATAAGTACGTTCCGTCTCTCAATTAGTAAAGATACACAAAGGCAATACAAGCATTCTCAGAAGAATACAGGATAACTCAGCTTCATCTATTTGGAAGCCAACAACTGGTCAACTACAAAAAAAAAAGAGAGCGTGAAATATCAGATTTCAAGACTTCTTTCTTCTTTATCATATTACTCAACCATGAGTAAATTTTTGATAGCCTTAATCTTGGGCCCACCGCTTGCCTTCTTTACAACCAAGTACATTTGGGACACTCTTGCAGAATGGATGGTCGATCTCATTCAAATGTGCATTGATGCGGTCTATCACGATGCCGACAATGGCATTCGTGGTGTTTACACTGGATTTAAGCATCTCGACATGCTCGCCACTCTCTATGTCAGTCTTTTCAAGTTCTCATTCCGTATCCCAATTGGCCGTGCTGTTGATCAAGTCATGTTGAGCTTCTGTGGTGTTATTCTCGCTATAATGAATGTCGAAGGCTCCCGTCGCAACATTGCATCTACCCCTTTGTCATGGACTGTTGTGTGGGCAATGATCGGTAACATGTGTGGTGTCTCTGCCATTTTCCCCGTCTACGTACCTCTGTATCTCTACTACTCTCCAGCCCCAACTGGCAAAAATGTCAGTGGTTATATCGTGTCTCCCAACCGTGCCAATGCTATCCTGATCACCGTGTTGATTGGATATTTCGCTCCTACTGCTTATATGATTGCTGGTGTCACACCCGAAACTCACCTTGAGGAGACATTCATTGCACTCTGGCAGATTGGTCCTCTCTGGACAATACCAATGTGCCACGCATTCGAGTACCTTTTCGACATCATTAGTCCTATCACGTCAAATGAGAAGGACAAGGATTTAGCCGAACGCATGGCAATTGTAGATAGCAAGAACGCAGTTGAGCGTCTTTACCTCTTCCTCGGTGTCCTTTGTATCCTTGTTTACTATGGTACTTATATTCATTTGTCTTGGTCTGGTATTAAGGTTTGGGATGCTCTTGTGGAACTTGTCGCTGCTCCTGTCACCCTTCCCACTGGTTTGACTTACTTCCAAGTTGGTGGTTTCTTGGCTTCTTACACATTCTTCATGGACCTCTTCTCGACTTTGCTGGGATGTGTTCTCTGGGGTGTGTTGGATGATGGTTATACGGGAGCTGCAATTTTGCTGCTGACAAGTCCTATTGTTGGTCCTAGTGCTGCAACATGTATCTATGCTGCATATAGAGAAAATCGCCTTCTCGACACCAGAAAGCTGGTGAAGAAGACCGATTAGTTTGTTGATGGTCAAAATATTTTGCAACACTTGTCGCGTCAAATTCTTTATACTCATATATTACTTTAAATGAATCTTATATTCGATAAAAGCAGAGCTTGTCAATAAATTCATTTTTACTCAATAAATAATAATAATAATAATAATAATACATTCATATATACATTATATAACATATTTCTATATAATAGTTAGCCAATTGGTACAGATGTTGGTTTTTAATAAAAAAAAATATGTTTAAAAAGATTAATATTAAAGAAGAAGATAATAATAATAATAATATAGATAAATAAATAAGTAATATACGAGTCAATCGTGCCATTCAATAATCATAATATTGGATTTACAAGAGATATTTAAAGTCTCTGCCACCACTGCCAACCTTTCCACCTGCATCGATCACCTTGTTCAAGCTAGTGAATTTCAACTTTAGGATAAGGGCACAAACGGCAGCTACCAACATGGCACCTCCGTTAATCATATTAGATCCAACGTATCGAGGAGCATCTGCGGGCCATCCCGAATAGAGAGCAAATGTACAAACAAGAGCACCAAAGTTTGCAATAGAAGAAACAATTCCGGTAGCAGTAGCAACAGCCGTTGCTCCTTCTTTCGAATTGGCTGTCCATGCCATGCTCTAGATAAATAAGGTAAGAAATACTTGTATTGCTATTGTTGTTGTTTTGTATATATATATATATATTAAAAATAAATTCGTGCTGCTTACCAATGGTACGGTTGGGTAAGTACCGCCGGCTACAATCATCAAACCGAAATAGCGTAAACCTACTGGGCCACCAAAACTGAGGATTGTGAATCCAACAAAGGAAGCAAGAGAAGTCCCGATAATAAACCATCCACGATCTTCGTAACGGTCACTTAGGCGAGTGATAATATAAACCATAATACCGCCGAATACATAAGGTGGAATGCTCATCAAACTGACTTGAATTGATGTGTAAGTTCCAATCTCCTGTACAATTCTTGGCAGAAAGTATCCAAGGGATGTGGCAGCCATGACAGGTGTAAAGTATAATACACAGAAAAGCCACACTTTGTAATCCGTCAGTTGCACAAATATTTGATGAAGATCTCCTTTTGCGGGAAGACGTGTTTCGGTCTCTTGAGGAAGTCCCTGGGGGACCATTCCTAATCTACGACGTATGAGAGCACGCTCTTCTTCATCCAAGAACTTTGTCGAGGCCTCTGGTTTGGATGGCAGATACCATATTGTGGCCACACCAAATATCACAGACAAGATACCAGATATTACAAACAACCTAAATTCAGCAATACACCCACCCAGTTGTTAAGTCAAATGAAGATATCCAGTCAAAAGAAGAAAAGAGAAGGCGATTGTATATGGAAGAATATAGTTACCATTGCCAACCGTAAAGACCACCCTTGGTGTCAATCAATTGAATGGCAGCCGAGATTAATCCACCAAATGCACCTACAGGAATATGAATAAGAATTGAGGTAGATTATTAATAATTCAGAAGGCCTCTAACCTGATGCTGGTCCTGCCAGATATGTAACGCCAATACGAGAAGATATTTCGTTGGGACGATACCAGAGGGTTGTATAGTATGCTACAATACAAAGGTGAGTTAGGGTTGGTATTTAAGGCGAGTATCTTTTGACTTACTGATCCCTGGCCAGAAACCAGCTTCAAAGACACCCTACCAAAGCAAATAATATTTACAAATAAAAATAGATAAAATAAAATAATGGTAAAATATTAACTTTTTTATTATTATTTTACCAGCAAGAATCGCAGGAGGTAGAAATGCCATGGCTTTGTAATAGCTGCCAAACATCCGGTTACAATACTCCATGTAATCATAATACGTGCAATCCAAAAGGCTGGATTCACGTGTGTCATAATAAGGTTGGAAGGTACTTCAAAGATCTAACGTGTGTATAAATTTATAAGATAGATAATCCCCCACAAAACAACAGTAACATTACCAATCCCTCCACAGCATCCCCCCTCACACACACACACACACACACACACACACACCCATCCACCCACCCCTCATTTATTTTATTTTACATATATTTAATTTTTATTTCGAGTTTTTATTTATTTATTTAGTTATTTATTTTTACCAAGACTTACAATATAAGCTACGTAAAAGAGACCCAGACCAATATTGTTCTGGCTGGAATCTAGACCGACTGTCTGAGCCATTGTATGGCCTGCTTGTTTGTTCATTGTCATGGCATAACCAACATTTGCACGGTCTTCAACACTGAGAAAATAAAGGATAAAGATCCAAGGAACAATACGCCAATCAAGTTTTCTTAAAAGCTTTTTTTCTCGGGGAGAAATGGCCTGACTGCGACTTCCTTGATCTTCTGATCTAGATGAAGTTCTACTCAAGACCTCTTGAAAAGAACTTATTATGGAATTAGCTTTACTACTCATGGTGAATTTGTTATGGAATCAAAGTAACTATATAATTCCAACTACTCTCTCTCTCTCTTTATCTGTCTATATTCTTTCTTTCTTTTACAGTAAGGTTCTGTTAAATAAAAGATAAATAAATAAAGGAAGGAAGGATCGAGTTTGGTGGTTTTCTAATGTCAAGAAGATCCAACGAGATGGGTAAACAAAGCAAACCCAGTCCGATTTTTCAAGGGATTTGGTACGAATCACAAATGTTACAAAAAAAATGGTAAATACACACAGAAAGTAAATGTGTACAAATTCCAATATCTGCTATATAATAATATAACCTTTTCTTTTTTGATAATAACAGCTTGATGGGCAATGTATATAAAATTGAACTTTTATGATGATTATAATTAATAATTGTTTAATTAATTATTTATTTATATTATATATATATATATATATATATATATATAAATGTGTGTGATTTGGGGGTATTGAGTTTCTAGACTTTATGTATATTGTATGCTGTATATTGTATATGAATAAAATTATATGCGTTTGTATGGAATTAGAGAGAAAGGCAAAAAGAAAGAAAGAAAGAAAGAAAGGTCAATTGGGAGTTTATGAAAAGAAACGAAAACAGAAAAGCAAAATATAAAAAAAAATAAAAGAAAAAAGAATATAACAAAACAGCAGTTGGAAAGAAGACTCTTTCAAACCTAGCTTACAGTTTAGAATAGAGCAAGGGCGCTTTTTTGGGTGTTCAGTTAAAGTGTCCTTTCAAAATGTTTAGGGAGTGCAATATCTTGGAATCGACGAGATAGACGACAGCGTAAACTCTTTTCGTTCGAGCGGTTCCTCGGAATAGGATCAGATACAGCAGTCAGTTCGTTTAGCTCTCTGTTAAGATAGCTCGAATCTGTGGTATCTGTTGTATCTCTGGTCGAGTTGTAGTCTATCGATTTGCGGATATCCTCAACCTCGATGCATTGAGATAATGTATATATACGTCTCTGCTTCTCTCGGTGACTCTTGGCATTGTAGTCAGAAGAGTTGTTGGATGCCTTTGAAGTAGGGGGCAGTAGATAAGAAGGGGTACACGACGGGATCTATGGTACTTGTGTCAGAAATACGGGTGCTTTATAATTCGTGCTTGATATTTGATGGCGTTCAAGCAAGTCTTTAAACCTACATTTTTACGGGTCTTGTTTAACAAGTAATAAAGAGACTAAAGAGATAAATTAAATGCAAACCAAGCCAGGTTTGGTATTTATTTTAGCATTCTTGGTCAGCGTATGCATGTATGTATATATGCAAACAGTAAGCCAGAAAGATTATTCACCTTTATCCAGACCGCATGAGTCTCATGACTTAAGCACTGAATCTTGAGATTACGTGTCAAGGTGTTGATGGTTAGACTTGGTGGCTCTTTTGTTTGTGCTTCAACAGGATTAGAATCCACCTTGAAAGACTCAACAAGTGCTGTAGATAGGTGTATATTAGAAAGTCAATAATAACCATAATACATAAAAAAAATAAAATAAAAAATAACATTAAGAAATAAGCAATAGAAGAAAATCATTACCACTCTTGGCATCAGATGGACCTCCTCGAGTGCCTGGTTCTTGGGTTGACCAATAGAGCGTCATACTATAGGGGTGGATCCAAAAGAAACGACGATGCTTCTTTTCAGAGATTCCCTGCCCTACACGCTTACGAGTGTATTTAAGCATCCAATCACCAATCATTGTCCGCGCAACAGTTGGAATACTCTGTGTGGATACAGCCTCTTGTTCTTCTGACCCTATGTGTGGCGTATGCTTTTGAGACCGATTCTTGGAGACCGAGTGTCTGTGTTGTTTGGATGACTGGTCCGATTCGTACATAAAAGTTCCAGGATCCACCATGACTGAGCCACATCCCTCTTTTACAGACTGTTCGTTCTCAAACCAGGGTCGAGGATACACCACCTGGGATGGAGGATGGGATATTGCCGGTAGTTCGCAGTGGGTCCAGGATTTGACATCTTCTTTATCTTTCGTGTCCAAAAAATCAATACGTTCTATGGTTGCGCTGCCACGGTATGTTTCTTCTTCTCCTTCTTCGTCTTCTACTGGTTGGTAGATATGCTCAGTTTCAGAAACAGTAGGGCATCTAGGTTTTCTAGACATCGCATCTGCTAAAAAGAGTTCATCACCCAGGGATCGAGAGCGGATAAGAAGTGGCGGAATAGACGAGTCTAGGTTATTATCGTCATTGTAATACGAAATGTTGTATGTGTCATTCAGAGGTTCCTCGACAGTGCTGTCTGCAGACGAATCAGTCCAGCTTTCTAATCTAGTTGTTCTAGGTAGCTTGCAAAAGTTCTCAATCGTCTCTTGAGATTCCCGCAAGAGCGCATCGATCTCTGATCTCTCAAGCCTTTCCTTCTCTAATTTTTGATGAAGGGCTTGAACGACAGAATGGGAGTGAGCTAGCGAAACCCTCAGAGTTTCGACCTCGAGCAATGAATTTGTTCTCTTCTTGTTCTGCCGTTTGTTTGTCGTAGTTGACACCAAGGTTTCTTTCTCCGGTGTGTGTGATAAGGTGCTGGAGGTTTCTGGTGAGATGGATTGTGGTACTGTGGGGCTGGGTTTGGTAGGTATAGATGCTTTATACTGCTCTAGTTCTCGGGCAAGGTTGTCTCTCTCTTGTCGGACACCTTCTAGTGTTTGGCGCAAAGAGGCTAGTTCATGCTCATAGTTGTGCTGTGTCTTTTCGATGGATTTTGACCAGCTCTCGTGAGAAGCTTTGAGGAGTTCTAATTCTTGGCTTATAAGACCCTCTTGTCGTTTGACACGAGCTTGATCTAGTCGCGATCGTATCAGACTTTGGGACAATTCTTGTATCTGTTGTGTTAATTCTTGCTTTGCTAATTCAAGATCCCAAATCTCCTCTTTTAATCGTTCTAATATATACAAATATAGTTATATGTAATAAGTAAAAGCACCCTTTTCTTTAAAGAAGAAGAAAAAATCAAATATGCTTCTTCTTTTCTTTTTTTTTTTAAAAAAAAAGATGACTACAACCTTCAGCTATACACTTTTGACGAAGTTGTCGAGATAAAAGGTCAATTTTTTGTTGGCCATTTGTCTTGTCCGTCTCGAGGAGAGCAGAATTTTCCTGAGATTCTTTCAAAAGACGCTGAATTTTATGAACCTCGGTCAGAAACTCCTTTCCCATGGTCTTGCCAAGCATTATTTCAGCCGGATTGCGATCTACTTCTGGTCCTTCTGATGTAGACCTCTGCAATCTTTTTCTCATGCTAAGCGCGAGTTTGGAAGACGGACTGGGTAAATGAGCTGGTGCAGTACGCCCAAAAGAGGCGGAAGAAGAAGTGGAAGACGAGCGTGAGGGAGCAATATTTACGCTGTTGATAAATAATAGTGAATTTCTTTTGGAACGTGATCGAGAAAACGAGGGGGTAGAGGATGTATTTTCTGGAGAAATTATTGTAGAGCTCATGTAAGGCTAGATAAGAAGCTCATTATTAGTTTCTTGATAGCGTATATATATATATATCTATAAATAAAGTCGAGGCATCCAAGTTACCGTGGCAGTGCCTTCATATAACGTAGCTCTCGTTAACGATTGACGGCATGTCTGAGAATGATTAGAAGATATTGAATTCTATAAGATAAAAATTGGGGGTTTTTTTTACGAGTTGTAATACCAAACTGCAATTAGATGATGATATATTTTTTGTCTATTAAAGACGAAAGACTCACTCGACTAGATAACATGGCGTTCTTTTTGGATTAACAGAATCCGTGGCTTTTTAGCACAAAGAAACAAATAGGCAAGGGGTCTGATGTTGTACTAGGTAAAAAAAAAGAAAACAAAAACAAAAACAGAGGAATACAATCACAGTAGAGATAGTGTAAAATTTGGTGAGAAGAGCAACGAAAATAACCACAACAACATCTGCTGTACATTATAGTTTGCCTACACTCTCTTATGTAAGGGGGGGTTGAAGGGGAGGGAGCTGTGACTGTAAAGACAAGAAAAGAAACAGAGCCAGACATGATAAAAATCATAGTATGGTAGATTAAGGAGGGTCTGGTAAATGTGTGTGTGTGTGTGTATTGCAGACGTACGCATTGACCCCAAGGCTTTCACTATCAGTAAGTCTAAAATTTGCTTGGGTTTGACTGTTAAAAGATCGTATACTAGTGAATGTTAGGATATGTTTGAATTGACTCTTCATACGAAATATTAAATAATAATTACAGGTTAAAAGGTACATCAAGAGATATGCGCCTATTACCTTGAGAAGTAACATGTGTTTCTACAGCTCAGAAGCTTCATTAAATAGAAATATATAGGTTATGTATATAAGTTTCCTGCAATATCCTGCATTATTCTATCTTTGGCGCGAAGACTTGCAAAACACCTGCATCAGGCACTTCTCGTTATTCTACTAACTTAGTTATGTAATACATCGGTCAGCCACTGACGATGGTATATTTTGCTCTGTTACGATTAGATTGACAACAGTTGACACACTAAATCCTAGACACAACACGTCCAATTGATTTCTCCTGCCTATTTATTTTTCATCCAAACACCCTTTGATATCCACTGAAGTAAAATCCCCTAAATCAAAATGATAATAATAATAATAAAAAAAAAGCACATCACTATGGTTCTTTTGACGCCTATATTTATTGACCTGTGTAATCTAAAAAAAAAAACTATTTTGCCACACCCAAAGCTTCAATTCTAGATGCCAGTTCCATATTTTTTATGAATTGATCTCGCTTGAGTACAATTAGCTTTTCAAAATCATCTCCCTTGTTGGCGTGAGGCCATGGAAGATCAGGAACCTCTTTTCCAAGAAAAGCACAAAGCCGTGACCACCCTTCACCAAGCTGCATTACCAGCAAATTTTCGGGACGAACAATTTCCTTGACTCGTTGGCTGTGTCGAGTGAACTGATCAATCATCCGTTGCTTGTCCTGGAATCCTTTCCCACGCAGCTCACCATCACACACAATGGTCTTTGCCATCCGTCTTGCTCTGAGAATGTGTTCTGGCCAAGTGTCATCCACACCCGGCCACTCACGGATTGTTTTTGAAGCAGAGGTATACCATTGATCGGGATCGCGTTCGGTCAAGATGACCTTGGCATCAGGATATTCTTTTAGGAGTTTCTCAAAGAACGCAACAGCCGGCCAGTCAACTGCAGCATCATAGCCTTTGAATACATTGTCCCAGTCGACAGGATCTTCTGGAAACAAATATGCATCCCGGAATAGATCTGGATCTTGAGAAGGGTCAGTTATGACCTTTGCCATGTGGTGAGTATTGTATCTAAGAGTTCAATTTATGCTTTTAATCATGTTTAAATATCATTATATCTGATCATCTCTCTTTCTATTTTTTTTACCCTAGCTGATCGAGTGCCAAACATAAACTGAGTGTTCCTGTACGTCCATATCCTGCTCCGAGAATCTTAATTAAAGGCTCTTTCTTTTGACTTGGAGAAGATATAGGTTGGTCTTTTGTCATAGTAATTGAGATATAAAAAAAAAGTAAACACAACAAAAAAGAAGGTATTGTCAAGGGGAAGAGATATTCAGTGTAGTTTAAAGTCTCTCTTTTATATATATATATATATACATATACATATGCTTGGCTGATACAATGGAATTTATATGTTTGTTTGATTTTATACCAGCTGTGTAAGTTTATTTTATTAATCATGCAACCGAGATGAAATATTTAATCTTGGACTTGACTTGGTTTTTAGAACAATGATGATCTTGAATGACAAATATTTGCAAGCATCATTAGGAGTAAGTTTAATAGTTTAATAGCTTAATAGTTTAATGTATACATCCATGTTCAAATAGAAAAAATCATTATTTAAGCTAATAGATGTATAGTAAAGACTGTCAGTATTAAACACAGTAATACTAATAGTATTCTCCAACGATAATGATTTTAAACAATTTTTTTTTGAAACTTGGAGTTTTGTTTTTATAATATGACACAATTTGAAACATGTGTGTTTGTATCTATTAAATATATCAATTCAATCCAACATACCCATGCATGTCTTGATTTTCTACTTGCATACAGACCATTTTTTCAGAAAATGCCATAAATAACAGTATTTTAATCGACTGTAGAATCTTTGGTTTCCATTCTAAATACATACAGATATATATATATGCTTTCTAAAAAAAATATAGAGAAACAGAAGGACTAGTTGAGAATGGAAACTTATATAGATGTCCCGGGCAGTTTCATATGATGAGTGAACCTGAGTACAGTCTAGCTACATGTGTTTGACCAATTTATGGGGTTGGAATATAAAAATACACTATATATATAAATTCTAAATTTGTGCTTATATTTTCTATACCAAAAAAAAATACAACTTCTTTAATTGACTGCAAAGGAAATAGAAAGAGAATAGAAAACAACCTTGGGTCGTATTCCAAACAAGCTGGTGTGGGGAAATCTTTAAATATAGTATGATTTACTAATAGCATTACAGTGATAGTGATAAATAATAAATCCCTTGTGAGTAACCGTTTGTTTAGTCAGACTAAAATAAATGCCTCGAGTCAATATTCAAAAAGGACGTGTAACCTTGAGTGGGTACTAAAATGCTTTGAGTTCAAGCCATGCTGTAAGCCCCCCTCCCTCCCTCTCAATTCCTAGTCTCTCCTTTAAACATTTTTGCCCACCCCTGTATCATTTTCACTTTCAGTCTCACTCTCACTCTCACTCTCAGTCTCAGTCTCACTATCTCTATATTGTATGTATATATTCTCTTATAGTTATATAATATGCAAAATAAAGAAACAAATTAAAATAATCATAATCATAATCATAATGCCGTATACATATATACAATGTCTACTATGTATGAATATGTATGTATATGTATGTTTCTGTATAAACTAAAGAAAAATGTATGCACGCCCCCAATAGTTTAAAGGATTCAATACATAGTTGATTGTTCTCTCACACTCAGGAGATTCGGTGAATCTGTAGTCCACTCCATTGGTTTAAGAATAGTCGTTTCCAACAACAACAAAATACAAGCCTTGAGATACTATCATGTCTGTTTCCCCATATACGCCTTTTTTTTTTGGAAGCATGATTATACATAGTTACCATATTAGACCACGTAAATATCAAATGTACAACCTTAATGTCAAACATTTGGTGGCCATTTATGTCTATATATATATATATACACTTGAGACTTTTCATTTTGTTTTATAACTCTGTATAAGTTTATAGAAATATATTATATTGTATTGTATTGTACTGTAGCATGTTATATGTATAAGTGTTTGATTGTGTGATTGTGTTGTGTTGTGTTGTGAATATGTAATAATACGAGAAAGATAGAAAATAGAGAGAGAAAGAGAGAGAAAGAAAAAAGGGTTCTAGAGGAAAAGACATTTTTTTCGTTTTGGAACATTTTCAGCTGGACCCATACGCGAGGCTCGAATAGTTTTGACAACTGAGTAGAAAGAGCGTTCGACATTGACACATGTTTTGGCAGATGTCTCAACAAACTCACAGTTGAATGACCTTGCCATAGTCTGGCCTTCATCTCTCGAGACTTGGCGTTGGGCTACATTGTCACATTTGTTGCCGACTAAAATAATCGGTACATTGTCGACATCTTTAACCCTAAAAATCTGGTCACGAAAGCGTCTAATACGCTCAAATGTTGACCGTGCTGTGATGGAATAGACTAATAAAAAACCTTCTCCATCTCGGATCCATTGATCACGCAATGCAGTATATTCCTCTAAAAAGCAAGAGTCAGTCTGTCAGTCTGTCTGTCTACTATACATAAACTAGAATTTTTTCTTAAAAAAAAAATCTCACTTGCCTTGACCTGCTGTATCAAGAACCTCAAGTATACATGGATGGTCGTCAATAACTACCTGCTTGCGGTAAGAATCCTCAATTGTTGGATCGTACGTCTTTATATAAGTATAAACACGCACATATACACACACACACATATATATATATATGTATGTATGTATGTATGTACATATGTAAGTGCGTATGCGTATGCGTATGTGTTGTTAGTATTGTTTTAATGATAAGTAACAATATTAAATTATACACAACATACCTCTGTAAGTAATATAAAAAAATTATGTCCGTAAACAGACAAATATACGCATTTATATCAGTACATATATTATATATTCTTTAAAACAGATTCCACAAAGAAGGAAAGCAAAAAACCTTATTGTGAAGTACATGAAAAAAAAAAGACTTACCAACAAAATGGTTTAAACACAACTACAAAACGTACAATCAAAAGATTATTTTCAATCGTCTGTAAGCCTTCTTCTTTTTCTTCTTTATCCTTTAGATTTTAATTTAGGTAAAGCATAGTCAAATTCTTACCTGTATTGTCAATGCTGTCTAGATAACCGAGCCATATATATATATATTAAAAAAAAAGAAATTAAAGGAAAGCAACCATATAGTACAACGTCAATAAAAAGAAAGAAAGAAAGATAAGGTCGTCTTTTACAGTAGATCAAGAAATCTCTTTATGATCCCTCTGTTCATTTTCCTATTTATTCATTACCTTTCCTACGCCACCATCACCAAGAACAACAATCTTGTATAAAATCTGGAGAGCCTGTTACGTAAATTGGTGTTTCATATTGCCATAAAAATATATTGAAGAGCATACCATGTAGAACAATGAAATGTGTGCTTGAGCGTACTTGCGTGCTTTTCGTATGTATGCGTATGCGTGTATATGCGATTGTGTTTATGTTTATGTTTATGTGCGTGTGTGTGTGTCTGTGTGTGTGCGTACACACATATATATATGTATTACAGGTACAGAATGCTCTTTAATTTGCTACAAGTCACAAGCAAATAAAGACAATATGATCAAGCGGTCGAGGTCGACAAAAGAAATTGCAAAAAAAAAAATAAAAAAAAAATAGAGATGCCCGAGATTCAACCAAGACGATGACAAACTAAAACGAAATCTTGAGATGTTGACCGAGAACAAAAAAAAATGTAATTCTTGGTAAAAATATAAAGACAGTTGTAAGAAGAAGAATACAAGGAAGAAGAGAAGAAAGAAGAAGAAAAGAGAGAAGAAGAAAAGGAAGAGAAATAAATTGGTCTTACTGTTCTCCTCACTTGTAGTTCAAGTCAAACTGATGCAAATCACCTGATCTTCTGTTTTTTTTTATACTTCTTGTGCCTTCCATTAATTGACACGAGTGTTACGTCTAACTTATTTGGATTTCGCTGCGCCTCTCGTTTGATTTATAGTCAAGAACCAAGGTTGAATCTGTGTGTGCGTGTGTGAGCCACAAATTTCCTTTTTACTTCATTTTCATTTTATTAAAAAAGCAACAATAACAACACAAAACCCTCATTAGATTTCGCTTACTATACCCTTTATAGTTGGCTTGGTTTCCTTACGTTTACATATGCAGGGCCTATCGTTGAATCATTAAGTAACCCTGAAACAAAGAGGAGATTTCAGTCTGTCTGACTACCTGTCTGCTTGTTTTTCTCTTGTCTTTGAGATACCTTTATTAACAACTAATATCTTGTTTTGCTTTGTTTTGTTTTGTTTTGTTTTGCTTTGCTTTGCTTTGCTTCTTCTTTTTTTTAGTGATAAATTACCTGTGGCGATTTTTTTTGTGTGATTACAAATGTCACAATTATCATTGTTTTCCTGTTTTAGCAAAACTATGGATAATCACCCAGCCTTGATAGCGCAGTGAGAAGAAATAAGAGCTCCTTTGGTCGTCTTTTGTATTAATAGACATATACATATTTATGTATCTGTGTACGCATGCATTATAACTATCCTTTTTTTTTTGCATCATAACCCCAGAGCCTGGTTTATGCAAGGGATTCCATACATTTATCTACCTACGTATTATTTTGCAAGTGCTCGACCAAAATTATCTAATTCAAGAAGAAGAAGAAGAAGAAGAAGAAGAAGAAAAAGTACTCTAAAGCTTAATTCATTTGAACATAATATTCTGGTGTTTTTATTACTTTTGTAATCAATCTGTAGTGCTTATATATACAAAAACTGTACTGTAAGATAGAAAGCTATACGATTGATGCTTGTTATTTGATTACTTTACAGTAAAAATTAAAGCGTGCACTATGCTTTAATCTTCCCTAGGTAATACAATCGGTGATCCCTATCTAAATAAGTATACAAGAAAGAAAGAAAAAAGCCGTAAATTCTATCGGGCTGGTAAAAGAGGCTGGTATTCCTTGTTTCAAAACAAAACAAAAGAAAGGAAAATAGGGTCAATTGAAGCACAAGGGAGTACTACCTCGCCTCCCTTCTTTATTTCACATTCGTCTGTCGTAAGAGAAGAAGTGCATCAAAGTATATTATACAGAAAAAAAACAAAGTTCACTGTTAATTGCAGCTCCACACAACACCTACATTATAGTTGTAATCTCGCATAGTCTCAAGACATATATATATATATAAGGGCTTGAACTGAAAGAATAATATTAACAACTATACGGTATCTCTATATAAATCCTTTGAGAACAAAAAAAAAGATATATTCTACTCTAAACCATAGCCTTTGTTTCTTTCTCTAATATTCTTATTTAGCAGTCTTTGAATCCAAACTAGCATTAAAGCATTACTTCATTAGTTTTTTTTTTTGCAATACTCAACTTATTACAACTTTCATATATATATATAAAAGTGCACAGACCATGTGGGTATACCCTTGATGATTTCATTTTATTTGACTTCGTTATGATTTCTGAGAAAGAAAGATTAAAACATATAATATTTAAAGAGACCCTTTTTGAAGGATCAATAAGTAACTACGGGTTAAACTGATAAATTACAATTTGTCCATTGAAAGCAAAAACAAAAACAAAAACAGACTCAAGCTTAGCTTCTGAAATACGGGTCCATACAATAACCATTATATGAGGTTTGGTTGAAAACAGAAAATAATAATGATTCTCTGAATATGTGTTTAATACTCAGTAGATTGATTTAGGCTGACAGCTATTGATTAATCCTAGTTATTGAAATCTAGCTATTTGTAACATGATGGTAGGGGATAATGAGTGAATCAATTACCGGAATAATATATGTATATATATATATATATATATTTCAGCAAGGCCTGTTAATTGGCTTTAATGTATGTACCCCACTGTAATTATATTAATTAACTATGGGTGCGTTCGTAAGCAAGAAGAGAAAAGGAAAAAGGAAAGGAAGAAGGAAAAAGAAACTCAATTTCCTTGGAAAACCGACTCTCTCACGATGGAAAATAAAACAAGGCTAATAAATCAAGCTCTTGGGAGTCAACATTTTTTTTTCGATTTGTACCTTACACACACACACCTATTACTTAGGGACACAGATATACCTCCCAAATATAATCATATAATCCCAAAACAGTCCAAGAATCTTGGTGACCAAAAAAATATATCTATCTATCTATATATATTTTACTATCTCTGCGTCACAAAAACCGAACGCAGTTATCCTGGTGCTCTTTTGTCCAATAAAAAGTAAACCGTCCATGTGACACCCTCCAAACTCAAAAGTGATATTTTCGCACGGTACGGGTATATAAACCCAAACCATACCAGTACTTTAAGTGAGTAGTTATCATCTCATACCCCCCTTTTTCTCTCTTTCTCTTTCTTTATTTCTTTATTTCTTTATTTTTTCATGTTCTCTCTTATAAGGTCCAGAACTCTTTTGAGGTAAGATCAAGAGCTAACCCAAAAGAACCTTTACAGGCCTTAGATCAATCGACTGCATATATACAACAGTGTTTCTAAAAAAAAACATCAAATACTTTAGTGCAACCAGAGCACCTGCCAGAAGAGCCTTTTCGACCAATTTCCCTGTTCTCCAACAGCTTACTGGAAATGGATCGATCCCCACCGTCAAGAACTTCATAAATGGCGAGTTTGTCGAGTCAAAGACAGACAAGTGGATTGAGCTCCGTAACCCTGTAAGTTAATAATATAATATATATATATATATATATATTTCTTAATTCGATATTAATCAACTTTTATAACAAAACAAAAAAAAGGCTACCCAAGAGATCCTTTGTCTGGTACCAGAGACCACACCTGAAGAACTTAACGAAGCAACCACATCTGCTGCAGAAGCTGCAAAGTCCTGGCGTAAAAGCAGTGTGTTGGCTCGCCAGCGCATCATGATGGACTTTCAGTTCTTGATCCGTCAGCACCACGATGAGCTGGCCGAGAACATTGTGGCTGAGGCCGGAAAGACCTTTGTTGATGCAAAGGGTGATGTATTCCGTGGTCTTCAGGTTGTCGAGCAGGCCTGCGCATTGACAACTCAACTGATGGGAGAAAAACTGACCGTTGCCAAGGATATGGAAACATGTAAGATCTCTTTAGTATTGTGTAACATTGCACAGACTGTGGCTAATCTATCAACTCCTACTCACAGACATGTTCCGCGAGCCTTTGGTAATATATCTTTTACACCCACACACACACTATATGTACCTTGGATAATTAACTAAATAATCAATGAATAAATTTTATAGGGTGTGGTTGCTGGTATCTGTCCCTTCAACTTCCCAGCCATGATTCCCTTGTGGATGTTCCCCTTGGCCATTGCTGCCGGTAACTCTATTGTCCTGAAGCCTTCTGAGCGCGATCCTGGAGCCACCATGTTGTTGGCCAAATTGGCTGCCCAGGCTGGCGTTCCCAAGGGTGTCCTCAACGTTGTCCATGGCTCGGTTGACTGTGTCAACTACATCTGTGACGAGCCCCGCATCAAGGCCATCTCTTTCGTCGGCTCTGACCGTGCTGGTGAGCACATATATACCCGTGGTAATGCAAATGGCAAGCGTGTCCAGGCCAACTTGGGTGCCAAGAACCACGCTGTCGTACTTCCTGATGCCAATAAGCAGGCAACTCTTAACGCCATTGCCGGCGCTGCATTTGGCGCAGCTGGTCAGCGTTGCATGGCTCTTAGTACACTTGTATTGGTCGGCGAGTCCAAGGAATGGCTTCCTGAATTGGCTGAGCGTGCCAAGCAGCTCAAGGTTGGCTATGGAATGGACCCTGAGACTGACGTTGGCCCTGTCATTACTGTCCAGTCCCGTGAACGTGTCGAGCGGTTGATTGAGAGTGGTGCTAAGGAAGGTGCCAAACTCTTGCTCGACGGTCGTGGTGTGAGTGTCAAGGGTTACGAAAACGGTAACTTTGTTGGTCCTACTATTATCACAGACGTCAAGACAAACATGGAGTGCTACCGTGAGGAGATCTTTGGCCCAGTCTTGGTCTGTTTGACTGTGGACACCATTGACGAGGCTATTGAATTGATCAACAATAACCCCTATGGTAACGGTACTGCGATCTTCACCAACTCTGGACCCAGTGCTCGCAAGTTTGAGCATGAAATTGATGTCGGTCAAGTCGGTATCAATGTTCCTATTCCCGTTCCCGTTCCTCCTTTCTCTTTCGTAAGTTGTTATAAGATATCTTGATGTTCCCCAAAAAACTTATGTGGATATTGACTTTTTTTTTTGGTAATAACAGACCGGAAGCCGTGGATCCATTTTGGGTGACATGAACTTTTATGGCAAGAGTGGTCTTCTCTTCTACACTAAGCCCAAGACTGTCACCTCCCTATGGAAGGAAAGCGACTCTACCCATACTCGTTCCTCTGTGTCTATGCCCACCATGAGCTAGACTTCTTTATTCTTTTCATTTATATTTATTTTTTTCACACAATCAAAAAAAAAAGAAGAAAGATATATATACACTTATGTACTGTAGATTAAACTTATCATCTATCTGATAATCAAAAAATTAAACTAAAATAATAAAAAATCAGGTTTTTTGAAAGCAACAAAACGATATCTGTATCTGCTATCTGAGCGGTGATAAATGAAGTGTATAAAAGCTATTTGTGATACTATATTTGTCATCAGTGAGACATTGAAGATTAACTGGTTGTTCGATAAAATTACCTATCTTGATTAAAGCGGTAAACTATACAGTGCTTCCAGTAAGTAATGTCACAGCCAATCAAAATCAATTTCATATTTTTAAATGGGAAAAAAAAATGTCAGAAACCTCGCTTGCTTTTAGACATGATTCATGGACACCCAAAAGAAAATATAAATAGAGAGCAAGTACCTTTTTTTTCAATGCTTTACGATTGAATATGAGTACAATATCTTTATATGAAGATTAGCGTGGGAATGTTATTGATGATAATGGTGGTCTTGGACCCATGGATTACATCGTTGAGACTATTGCTACCCACACAGATTACTTGGGAAATTCAGTCCCCAGTGAGTCTTCTCTGGCTTGCCCAATCTTGTTAGAAAAGCCAAAAAATAAAATAAAGATATTCGTATGAAGGAGGCAAAATTAAAGCGAGAATATGTGTGTTATATAGTCCAGGATAATGCTAGGTTTTTCGATCTGAAGATTGAAAAGTGTATGGCTCCAGCAGTTGCAGCAAAGCAGTTGGGTATTCATCCTTGAGCAGCTTATAGAGGAGTTGACCAATATAGTGCGTACCCTGATAGTATTTTTGAGAGCTGTAAAAAAAGTAGGTCATAAGTGCATCTTAACTGAAGAGCATACACCGGCTTTTATCAACTTCATCAATACTAATCCCTCTGCTACTGCAGTTGAAGTGACTAAGAATTTTATTGAAATGATTCAATGATCTTAAAGTATCGCGCAGCACTGGTAAAAGCTTCATGAGACGTGAGTGCAATCTTTTGTTGAAAAAAAAAAGTAGTTTTTCATTCTATTGAGAGAGACAGTCCAGCAAAGCTTAAGGAGCGGCACAATTGGACTTGTAAATGGGAAACCCCAGACTAATTTCCTGACGAGTTGCATGTCTCTTGACGAGCCTGCTTTTGGCATTAATATGAAATTCTCGGGAGCTTGGTCCAATAAAGGTACTCGTGCTATTGTTACCAGGTCTACTACGAGAGCAAATACCAAGTCTATATTAGGCACTATCTCTGCCTCGGGTTTGATTACCGTCGACGTAAAAAAAACGTAGACCTGCAAAGAAAAGAAAATCTGCTGGATATAAAAGCTCAGGAACTGTAACAGGTCATTGCATTAGCTTCTTAAAAATTCCACTATATAAAATGAGCAAGTATTTGCATAAGAAGGTCAATAAGTAGTAAAATATCCAACAAGATTGCGTCACAGTATAATGACAACAACTCTTTATAATCCTTCGCATAACTGGCTATTGATATAGTGCATTCGTAACTAATCATTGTTATTTCTTTATGGTTAACTTAAAATTTAGAGCGCAAACGGTTATTAATTGAATATATTGTATGAATTTCAGGACACATCATTTTGCCCCAAAGGATTAGAAAAAGGGCATTGAGTCAAAGAGAGGTGGTCAGAATTGATTAGTCCGGTTAGATAGAAATGTCGTGTCCCACAAAAATGTCGGTCCCGTAGAATTAGCGTTTTTTCTTTTGAAACATTTAACAAATATCAAAGTCTGATCCCTCCAAAGAATTGCTTGAGTAGCTTATGCGATATAATACTTAAGCTATTTCTACAATGGATTTTTTGGCTTATATACTGTACAGATTATCTATCAATACCAACACACACACACACATACATACATAGAAAAATCCTTTATATCTTTGAAACTTTAAAGACACGTCTGGCAAGCTCTCTCTCTCTCTCTTTTTATGCATTTGAATTAATGCTTAAAAGTGGCAACTTTATTTTCAGTGATTCCATTGTATACATATTAGCTATTATCTTGATCGTCATTAAGATATGTATACAGATCATATGTTTTCTTCTTCTTCTACTTCTTCTGCTTCTTTTTGTTAGCAGAATAATATGTAGCCCGACTATCAGGGTTGCATAGGTTTTATAAAGATCATTACTATCATTTTATTAAAGTTTAAAAATAAGAATGCTAGTTATAGTAATGTAATATTGTGAATTATACCGCACAATAATAAGACTTTCTAAACAGGTTAAGATGCCAAGGCTAGCTAACAAGACTTTGACGAGTGCTTGTTGACGACAATATATATATATATATATATTAGATATCCACTACGCAATATGTTTGTACATTTTCCAAGGGTTCTTGTAATCCTTTATTTTACTCCTATATTCTAGACTATATCCTTTCCTTTCCTTGCATTTGTATATTCTATTATTGTGTACCTATACATGTTCCCCTTTATTTGTTGCATTTCATACTTTCCATAACCAGCGACAAGCATACTTCCTCTTCATTGCTCTTCCTCTTTCTATGAAATAAACAAAACATTAGTTCTATTATTATTATTATTATTATCATCATCATCTTTACTAATACTGTCATGAACACAACAACTCCAACAAATGAGGTTTACAAGCCATACAGTGCCGTACCAACAGCATCATATAGTCCTCTTATCCTTTCACTGGTCGGCGTACTGATATTAGTGACATGCATCATCTTAAACTGCAGCTGTATATGTCGTCGGGTCACCTCTAAGCGTATAAACACAAATGAACCAGCGTGTGGTGTATTGAAACAAAACATTAGTCCAAATCATGTCGTGCTGGATATAGAGTCCACACAAACAACACCCCAATCTCAGGCAACCGCACCACCATCATCATCATCAGGATCATCGTCGTATTATGTCAAGAATTCCGACTTATCTTCAAGTTCTACTCTTAATAACGCGACTACTGTAAAGAACCCGGTATTGATGTCGCAGAAATTATTGCACAAGCCAGTATCAGTCCCACCTTTTGCAAAAACACCACATGAAAAAGTAACCAGATCGCCTCCTTTGGTGTCGTTTGCAAAAAGTGAGAATTCAAGAAATCATCGTCATGACCTACGCCCTAATGGATACGACAGACCTCATGGTCCTACTACTACCTATCGTAACATCAACACCGGGAACCACAGTAGAGCACAACACCAGCTTCGTCAGCTCCCTGTATCTCGCCATTAGAATCGCAATCATAATATATATATATACATAAATAAAAGTATTTAAAAAAAAAGAAGAATAAAGATAGAAGCGAATTTAAATATTCGTCTTTAATTATATTTGTATTTACTCGTGTATTTTATTTTAATCTATACACGCACATACATATATACATATATACATATACATACATATCTACACATATGAATTTAATCTATTTCAGGTTTCTTTATCTTTTGCTTAACCTTGAAACCCTTGGAAAATATAGCACTTGTATATTTTAAGGGTTCCGGCTCTCTCCCTCCTTCCCCTTGTATATATATATATATGTGTGTGTGTGTGTGTGTACAAATGTAAATTAACCCGATCAATCAAGTATTTACAAAATTTTCATATTATTCTCTTCGTTTATATTGATTTAGATTTGAATTGATAATATACTTTCTTCATCTCTCTCACTTGTATCTAAATTCACCAAAGACAGAGTCACTTGGATAGGCTACTTCATTATCTCCATCCGGTGAATAAACTTCACCCATATTATGTGCACTCTCTTCTAAACGTACGCTTGAAGACCGACTCTCTTCTTCGTCCTCGTCAAACCGGATCAATGAACTGTTTTCAAGGTTATTCTGTTGCTGGGATGTAAATCCGAGCGTCTCGTAAGCCGTGTCAAGCCCAGGTGCACCACCCATACTAATCAAGTATGCGTCTTCGAATGATAATGACGAAGTTTGCATTGGTGAGCGAGCAATTGATCCTGAACTACCGTGGCTGCTACCCATAGCACCTGAGGAAGAAGACAGCCATTTTCCGATTTGAGATGGGCTACTACCAAGAGGTGTTTTAAGGGTAGGGGAAGAAGCAAATGAAGTTTGCATTGCCTTTGAAAGGTTATCTATAGAAATAATAATATGCATACATACATAGATACATATAAATTTCAACCAAAAATAAATAATTGCTTAATAATACAAAAAAGAAAAAAGAAAAAGAAAGCATTAAAGAAAGAAAGAGTTTACCTTGAAGTTCCGCCATTGCATCTTCAAGATTCTCGTCTGTTTTATTGGTGATTCGTGTAGTTGTTTTTCCAACTCGATCAATTCTACTCGAGTATGGCTCTGGTATTTCTCGTCGAACACACACGGGGTTTGTGGCGGGTATGTCGCCACAGCTTAATATGGTATCTAGCTTGCTCGGATCTTGCTGTTCATACGTCTGTAGACTAAATTGACACAAGGTCCACAATGCTGGTTCTTCGGGTGGGCTCATGTAGGTATTTATCTCCGCACTTGAAAGCCACGATGCATGTTTTGCTTTTGTATCTTCTGGAATGTCTTTGGGTGTGGCTAATTTGATTGTCGAAGGATTCGGAGGTGTCGATGCAGGAGTAGATTGAGGAGTAGACGATTTAGACGAGCTCAAGGTTTTGGCTGCCTTGATGTCTTCTGCCAAAACATCGCTGGTCCCCGCAGCATCCGAAGCAGCGACAGCAGCAACAGCAGCATCGAGTGGGAATTTGACTTGATCCCACTCAATACTGCGGTTCACTTGCCATTCAGCCACATCCTCTTCTTTGATCGACAGCTCGAGTTTCTCAATAATGCGCCCCTGCTCTCTGCGTTTGACGACGCTTTTCATGACCCAGCAACGGTGAAGTGTGAGAACACCATTTGGATGGAATGAGTAGAGATCTTGGTATCCTGTCTCATCATGAACCATCTTTGCCGCATCATCCTCAAACGACTCTTCTTCGTCAAACTCAAACAGGCGGTTCTCATTGGCCTTATCTTTCGATGTCCACGTCGGCGGACGTGCAGGTAGAAGGGACCCAATCGGGGACCCTGCGACAGTCGACCCAAAGCTTGACAAGACAGAGCCGATACTAGAGGCCGGATTGCGAAGGGCCATAATGGGTGCCTGAGGGGTATTTGTGGTGTTTAGGGTTTGGCGATGCTGTGGATGCGAGGGAGACGCTTTGCCGGCAAAGCTGCTATTATTAACGAGGTATGGGGTCCGGGTAGTGGACAGAAATGTAGTAATAAGCTTGGCTCGTAATGGTTTTATGGGAGGGGAATAGAGGGGCGAACTAGAGTCGTGCGGGGAAGTCGGTTCGGCAGGCATTGGCCGGCGCTGTTTAATTCTGACTACCGAGCCAAGACACGTAACCTTGGAGTCCTCATGAACAGTTCGTGAATATGGATTCCATGAGTCTCTTGTAGTCTTTACCTGGTGAGGGGTCTGTCGGGAGAGTGGGTGCTGGATTTGATTGTTGACTCTTCCGCTGACGTGACCTGCTATCTCTGGCTTACCACCATACGGGTTGATAGCGTACACATGCGCAGTACCTCTGGCGGTGCTTATCACACACCACATCGAGTCTGCCGAAAACTGGCAGTCCTCTACCTGAGCGTCTGTGTAGCCGCGCGACAGACTATATAAATGAGCGGCATTACCTATGTGGCGTCCACTTGGTAAGATGGAGAATATGTGGAATGTACGGCCTTGTTTTGATGCAGACATCAGTAAGGTGCCTGCACTATTGAAGGTAAGACAAGTAACAGCATGTAAATGAGGTCTAAAGTGAGCCAATATTGTATTTGGCAATGTGCGCGCAGTAGGTGAAGGACGTATATCTCTGATCATAATCTATCAGAAATGTGATTAAAATTCTGGTTATTGTTGCTACATTAATCGTTTTTTTATCACTAGATATATATATATATAATCACTAATGATGATAAGTAATAACATTCAATGATGTTATAAAGTTACCATTCCAGAAGGTGCGGTCTTCTTGGGAACAGTGGGCTTTTCGGTGTCCTGCCTGAGAGGGGGTGATACATTAGGACGCAATGCTTGAAATGGTGCCTGCTCCTGGACTGGTTTTGTCAGATAAGTCGAGAGGGTCTGATAGCCAATCCCACTCAGGGTTTTCATGCCATTAACTACTTCTTTTGCGATGTCCTTGGCAGCCCCCTTGACATCCTTTTCTCCATTGAGAACACCCATGCCCGCACTGCTGATATGAGAGCCCGAACCCATGACCGGATCTGAGTTGCTGACGGCCGTGCTGGTTGCATAGGCCAGGAATCTTGAGCCCAATGTAAATACAGGACCTACAATCGGGTCGTGGTAAACATCCGTCAAGGGGACACACGTTCTACTTGGATCAGTCGAAGATAGTAAGCACAAGGCTGACCGGTTTCGTAATACACATCCCTACAAATCATGATTACTACAATAAGATATAAAGTAAAATAAAGAATATTTTTTATGTATATATAAAGGTGGAATATTGTGCTTACAAGTACAATAGTATCTTGATTACTCTTGATATCAGTCATCTTTATGTGCTCTGCACTTGTGTCTAGTCCAAAGTCCTTCATTTCTTCTATAAGTGCATGAGTCCGTAGAGAATAGAATCTGAGGACAGAAGAAGCATGCGATGAGGTCTCTTGACCAGTTTCCTCCAAAGAGGCCTCCACAGTAGATCTATTGAACATAAAATAAGTTAATCTGAGAAAAATGATAATCTATATATTTAATCTATATATGTATAAACAACAGTGATTTTATTACATGACAGCCAACAATGGTCGTAGTGTACTGTGAGGATCTTCTGTACCAGGACGAGGATTCTCCAGAACATGCACATGGGAAACAGTCCCAAACGTTGATTGATCTCTCACAGAACACATTTCATGCACATTATCTGGATTGGTAAGGTCCCACACCTGGAACCCGTCATGATAGCCGAGTAGTAAGCACGAACGTCTGTTTCGTATACGTATATGTGTGATAAGAATATATTATAATCGATTGGATATCATCTTTTTTTTTTAAAAAAAAAAAGATATATATATTGGTCAATTGCTCTCTTACCTTGACAGACGTTGGTCTGAACCAGGTAAATCGATCTTTTGAAAAGAACTAAAGGTCACTGGTTGATGGCCTTGTAAATCATCCTCTTCTTCGTCTTCTTTAGAGTCATATTGCTGGTGTTGCTGTTGTTGTTGTTGGTGTTGTTGATGTTGTTGTTGTTGTTGTTGCTGTTGCTGTTGTTGCTGTTGCTGCTGATGTTGATAGAGTAGTTGTTGAAGTTGGGGGTCATGCATTGGTTCGAATGTACGCATTGTTGGTTTTCGTTTAGGAAGATTAGAGGAAACATAAGATGAGAAGCGAGAGATGCCGGATGATAATGACTCGAGGGAAGTGGGGTCTCTAAGGAATGTAGATGAATTTCTTGTTTCTCTGTCTAGTTTGTGGCCTATGGTAGAACTCACCTAAGGAACTTTGGCTCCGCTCTGACACCAGGAAATTCCATGGTGGTATCCATTGGCTGCTTGGTTAATATGTTGTAAATAAGGGTGTTTTAAGGAACCTTTGGTATGCGCTTATATTTATATATATATTTATATTTATATTTTATATTTTATATTTATATATGAAGTGTTTGTATGCTGCGGTTATTGTATAGAATTTAATCCCAAAAGTCGGCAAAATTGGTCTGTGTACAGCTTGATGATATCAAAAGAAGCAAAATCTTTGAGATAGAAGAAAGAGGAAAAGCTGTTGCATAATAGCGGAGCCTATGGACTCAAAAGTATAGAGAACAGAAAGAGGGCTTCGGTGACGCATACAAATCACATTACCAGTACAAAAAATTCACACTATAGAAATTAATATTAAGTAACCCCTCTTTTTTTTTCTTTTTTCTTTTTTAATTCCTTCTTTTGGTTTCAAATTTTGGGATTCAATCATATAGAGATAGAAATGTATATTATTATTATTATTATTATTATTATTTTAAAGAAAAATATAATCTCCATTAGACTTAATCCTTTCAGTTGAAGGTATCGTTATTTAGGCCACCTTCGATATCGGCAACAACCATCTCTGTAACCAATTCATCGTAGGTAACCTTGCGTTTCCAACCCATTTTCTTGTGGGCCTTTGTGGGATCACCCAGAAGCAACTCGACCTCGGCTGGGCGGAAATACTTTGGATCGATACGCACACGCACTTTGCCGGTATCAGCATCCTTTCCGATTTCGTTAACTCCATGACCTTCCCAAACGATCTTACGGCCAGTAACTGCGAATGCCTTTTCGATAAACGATCTTACGGTGTGGGTCTCACCAGTAGCAAGAACAAAGTCTTCTGGGGTGTCTTGTTGTAGCATCAACCACATTCCCTCTACATAATCGCGAGCATGTCCCCAATCACGCTTGGCATCAATATTTCCAAGATAAAGGCATTCTTGGCGTCCCAGGTGTATGTCAGCCACAGCACGCGAGATCTTGCGAGTGACAAATGTACGTCCACGACGCGGTGACTCATGGTTAAACAGGATACCATTACAAGCATACATGCCATATGACTCTCGGTAATTGACGACGATCCAATAGCCATACAGTTTAGCCACACCATAAGGAGAACGAGGATAGAATGGGGTGGTTTCTTTCTGAGGGGTTTCAACCACCTTACCGTACAACTCAGATGTCGAGGCTTGATAGAACCGAACGCGGTCGGTCAGTCCACTGGTACGGATAGCATCCAATAGACGCAGAGTGCCAAGAGCGTCCACGTCGCCGGTGTATTCTGACATGTCAAAAGAGACCTTGACGTGTGATTGGGCTGCCAGATTATAGACCTCGGTCGGTTGTACTTGAGAGATTATGTGCACCAGACAAGTGGAATCTGTCATATCACCATAATGAAGAAAGAACTTTACGCCTAGTGGGATATCAAATTCGCTTTTGAGAGTTTTAATACCAATCTTTTGTAAGACCTTGCTTTTTGTTTAAAGAAAAGAAAACCACACTTGCCTTGTTCATGCTGGTCTTTGTAGATGTGCTCGATACGACCAGTATTGAACGAAGACGAACGGCGGATGATACCGTGAACTTCATAACCTTTTTTGAGCAAAAACTCTGTCAAGTAGGACCCATCTTGACCAGTGACGCCTAACATTATATGTCAGTATATTATTTATTTATTTATTTCTTTTTTTTTAAAAAAAAAAAGGTGCGCCTTATTTCAATTGTCCCAATCCTCTCTATGTCTCTTTTACCTGTTACTAAAGCAACCTTACGCGCCTTGTACTCTTCTAGTGACAATGATGATCCACGTAGGATTGTGACAGGAGCAAATACACTTTCAGACATCGATTGATAGGTATATAAAAGTTGTACTTTTATATTTAAAGTAATAGTAAAAAAAAAGGGATATAAAGAGAGAAAGAGAGAGAGAAAGAAAAGAGAAATTAAAAGGAGGATCAAGTTATTATATGCTCTAAATTTTCATTTCTTTTATATATATATTTTTTTGTGTGTACACATTGTGGCACTCATTTTTGCCATTAAGATTATCTTTATTGAGCTTAGCCTAAATCCTCGCCCAAGGTGGATAATGTATGTCAATAAGCCAAAGAAGGATAATTAGTGTTAGTAGAGAATTGTACAGAATTTTACAAGCCATGTAATTCTCTTTTTTCATTTTTGCCTATATACACACTACTCTTTAATATTGAAGCATAAAAGGTTTCAATTACAATGATTGAAAGCAAACATGATAATGAGACTGTGTGTAAATGTGTGTATGTGTTTATAAGATTTGTATATAAATGTATATAGTATATATATACATGTGCGTGGATGTATGTATGTATTTATGTATAGTGGAAGATGTCTATAATTCTCCCTTTTCTTCTTCTTTTCTTTAAAATTGTGTATCAGCATATAATATATATATATATATATATATTCTTCTTAGCATAGTAGTGATCGAATACTCATTCCAACCTTCCCACTAGCATCTGTATTTCCAGATGCCTTATCTGTACCAGCCATCGTCGCTTCTGAACTTGGTATCGATAATGTTCGACGCGTACGTTGGACTGCGGCAGAAGCTGCTGCGTTCAGTGTACTACTCGAAGTTTGCAAAAAATATTGCTGTGTAGGATGTGTAACATTAGGTGCGCCCCGTGGAGAACCTGTCATCCGGGCTGCGATAGGTGCGAATCGATGAGGCATAAGAGCTGGCAGTTGCATTTCCTGACCATTCATAGTATTGGTCATTGGTGCCACATTTACTTTGGGAATATCTGGATGTATGTGTCGGCTTATTATTGTATTGTTATTTGGATTACTTGCGGTGCTTGCTGTGCTTGCGTTACTTTTGTTGCTTGGGTTATGTTGATTGAGTAGATTGGTATTATTAATATTAGAATTTGCATGGGATAGTGTGATTTTCTTTGATGTGAATATTGATGGTGTTGGGGGTGTTGCTGATGATGGTGATATTGATAATGATAATGCTGATAATGACGATGACGATGCTGGTGGTGGTGTTGTTGTTGCTGCTGATGATGCCCAGCTTGACATACTAGATCCAATCATTGGGCTAATTGGTGTCTTTTGTTGAAAGGTAGAGGACAACGGATGGGATGAGAATGGTTTGATCTTGTAACAGTGTTTACGAAATTCGGCAACAATGTAAAGTCTGGTGAGGGTGCCAATAGAATGGAGATTGGCGCCAAAGCCTCCTCCCAAAAAAACAATCACCTCATATAATTCATTATCTCCTGAGCGCTTTTTGATGTGTATTGTATCTGAGAATCGACTGGATCCTATTGCTGGTGTGGCGAGAAGAATAGGATCTGTACGATGAAAGAGATCGGATGTGGTGCGCTCTGTAGGTTGGGTCGGCTGATAATTTGGGTCGGACTGCTTAGCAACATCGACAGCATTGTCCAGAACCAGTCGATGTAGGCATGCTAGACGATCCGAGTCTTTACTCGGCACAAAGTCATACAGTGATCTATGAGCAAGTTCCTGAGGGTAGTATCCCCAAGCCTCGGTCACTTCGTCTGAAATGCGTGCGCAACAGACTTCCATTGACATAAACACAGTGACTGTCTGGTTCTCTTCCTTAATTAGAGGTTCGGCAAATGTATTGGTAAATGATGGCTGAACTTCGATAGGAAGAAATGGCGAGAAGGCCGCAAATGGAGCTGGGGCCAAAATAGGTAATATTGGAGCTGGTTGGGATGACTGGGACGGTTGCTCTGATTGTGAATGCAGTTGTGAGTGTGGTTGTAGTTGTATTTGTATTTGTGGTTGAGATTGAGGTTCAGGTTGTGGTTGCAGTTGTGGTTGGATCGATTGTGATTGTGATGAAGATATAGCTATGGCTGGTCTTATCTTCTTTGGTGTTTGAAATGACTCGAGTGGTTCGTGAATAAATGAAATGGCAGATGTATGACCAGGAATTGGTGTAGCAGGTTCATGTTCATACATGCTTGAAGTGGAATATGTGGCGGAAGTAGCAGAAAATGATGGCATGTGAATTGTACCATACATCACTTCATACTTTCCATTTGGACCCTGAGATTGAGACGACTTGCTGTCTCTAAGTTTTGGCCTTCCTCGCTTTTTGTGTTTAATATCTTGGCAAGTGTCAGTCTTATTAAGCGAGACACATCGTTTACAGGGACGGGATACTGGATATAAGCAAAGAATTTAATACATATATATATATATATATATTGCAATATCCACAGAAACAAACATAAAATTCACGCCTTACCATCACACGCCAAATGGGCCTTCTTACAATTGATACCTGTATTTGAGTGTAAATTCTTCTTTTTCGATAATTATTACATTATATATATTTATATTTATATTATATAAATGAAAACAAAAAAAATAAAGAAGAACAAGGGCTTACAAGCACTTGGTACATGGGATTTGTATCCTCTTTTCGTTGGCATGGTTGGACTCTTTGAAAGATCTTCATGTGAATGAGGTGTGTGAGGAGTTTCTGGGTTTGTGGCCACTTCGAAATTCATAGGAAGAAAAGAAAAAGGAGAGGGTTCGCTGGAATGAGGAGGGGATGAGGGGAATATTGCAGCAGCAAGATCAACTGCAGATGCATCAAAGGTTTGTTCCGTAATATTGGATGGTGGTGATGATGATGGTTGTTGGTCTGTGAAATTAAAAAAGTCTTGGGAAAATGGTGATTGCAATGGAATAGGATCTGGCTGGATGAAAGACGAGCCGTAATAAAGTTCCATAGTTTGTAGATAAATAAATAAATAAATAAATATAAAGAGTTTGTTTGTGTGTGTGTATATGTATATATTATGACAAGGATAAATAAAGAAAAAGATAAAATGAATATAAAATATATAATAGAGAAATAGATATACACTTCTTTAACAACTTTTCTTGCACTTAATTATTAAAGAAGTCAGGTTGCAAAAATAATGATAAAAAATAATAGTAATAGTAATAGTGATAATAATTTTTTTTTGGTATCCAAGGAAAAAAAAATGAGGTTGTTGGGTGGGGAAAGGTAAATGCGGGGAAACATTATCACTTGACTTTAGCAGCTGATTTGAATATTATAATATATATAATATATATATATACAAACCATACAATTATCATTACCATGGAAACCCACTTTTATGTATTATCAATCTATTGCCATGGCATTATACACGCATATACACATATATATAGACATATGTATGCTGTCATGAGAATATAATGGTAAAGTTTGTCATGAAAATGTGTAAATATTTATATAAATACCTTTGGGAAATATATACAAACGCCTGTGTATTTATATTTTAAATTTAAATCTAAATTTTACTCATTGACCCTATTACAAGTGTAACATGAATATAGAATAAAAGAGTATCTTCCGAACTTAACGAACCCTTATTTTTCCGATTCGCCCATTTGGCCTTTTTCTTTCTTTCTTTCTTGTTTTGTTGAACTGTGTGAAGTTGGGGTATGTATCATCACTCCAAGGAGAATATCCTATGTTTCTGTATCGTGGTTACCAGTGATCGGTACTAAAAAAAAGTTTATCTTTTTTTCTTCCTTTTCTTTCTTTTTGAGCTGCTAATATCAATATATGTTGGAAAGAATATAATAATGTGAAATTTCTTGAGTTTCGAATAAGTGGATCAAGTAATACAGGTGATTTTTGGTTGTCGAGGGTCTTCTTTCTTTTTTCTTTGGAAAAAAGAAAACTTTTGTATTTATTGATTTAAGCGCAGTTGTGACAGAGATTTTCAATAAACAATATAAATAAAATAGAGTATTCAGTGCGGAACTGACATTTTAGAATACACAACGTATACAATATACTAAGCAGGTACGTTCTCATTAAAAGAGTGTTGTGGCAAGGGAAAGAAATATTCTGTGTATATATATATACTTACTCTAGCCCGGTAAAAAGAAGAAGCTCCACATAAAGTCCGGTCTAAAAGAGAGTTTATGAATTCCCATAGCCCAAAGAAAAAGAATAGGGAATATTAAATAACGTTGGTTCTTTATTTATTTTTTATATTTATAATGGCTAAATTACATATTTCAATTATCACACCCAAAAGGTAGTACTTTGACAAGTAACTTTTCTTTAAAGATGTATATAAAAAAAAGAGAAGAAAAAGAAGAAGAAGAAGAAAGGTTTACTTAAGTGTATTGATAATTGATTATATAAATTTATTCTTTTTTTGTTGTTGTTGTTGTTGCAAAAATTTGGTCACAAACATATTGATGCTGTATTCAATAATCTCTTTTTTTTCTTTCCCTTCCTTTTCCTTTTACCTTGTCCTACTATCGTACACTATCATCGATTGGTTTATTGACTGTTTTATCTAAGCCAAGAATAACTCTCAACACATCATCCCCCACAAAATAGAATATACACAAATCCAGGGTTCTCGGTAAATATTCATAAATCCTGAGTACATTTTTCAAGCATTTGTAAATAAACTTTCGTCTATACAGATGATTTATATTTACTCAAAATAAATATTACACGCCATTTGATTGTTATTCCAGAAAGTAAATCTATTAAATTTTATTTGACCAGAAGAATGATATGAGTTTGCTTTTCAAAGTTGTTTCATCAGCTCATAATAATCTATCAATATTTGATATATTCTTTTTAGGACTTAGTTCACACTAACTTTTCTATCACGTATCAAACCTATATACCTATGCATACAAAAGAACAAAATTGGAGTTATAGATTCTTTACATGTCATTATCTTGAAAGACAGGTTGAAAGAACAGCTTTGAACCACTGATGTCTTACGCCAATATTCTTACAAGACATCATATGAAAATGATTTATGTTGTTCGCTAGCGTACGCGGCTAAATATCAGGTTAATTCAACCAGATATAATTTGATAAAAAAAATCGCTTTAGTAGTTTATTAAACTCCAGATAAGTATATTAGCCAATCACTTGGTTAACTGGTACAAAATTAGAAATATAAGTAAGCGGAAATTGATTTAACTCCACAAAAACTCAAGGAGGTAAAGCAACAAAACGGGTCTGGCTTACACCTCTAAAACCACTCATAAAACCACCTCTAGAATACCACCTTTTTATGTTGTAGTGTATATTATCTTCTCGGACCAAGACACAATTAGTCTACGTTGAATAAGGGTCTGTTAGACCTCAGAGAGAGAAAAACCAGTAATAGCCAATCCTTCAGAGCAAATAAAGTCTAGGGCTAGCTGTTATTTAGCTTTTGTATACATTAAAGTTGGGAAAATGCATCTTAGTGTCTAGCACTTCAACATAAAAAGGTGGTATTCTAAAGGTGGTTTTATGAGTGGTTTTAGAGGTGTAAGCCAGACCCGTTTTGTTGCTTTACCTCCTTTTTCTCTCCTTGAGTTTTTGTGGAGTTAAATCAATTTCCGCTTACTGGTATTTCTAACATTTTATTACTGTAATTTAGGCACTCACAAAGAAGCTGATTGTTTAGAAAAGCTCTAATCGATCAACCACTCTATGAGTACTTTATATAAAGATGATATTTATCATAAAGATGCACTTTAGCTTCAGTAAGTATGGTGTTTTCCAACGTACGCGGACAGATATCCGGTTAATTTAACCAAATAATTACCCTGCGTCATATGTAAACCCAAGCTTTACTCAGCTTCTGTACTGTATTTTATTTTTTTATTAAAATACCCTGTCGATATTTATATTTTAGTGGTGTTTTGTCTTACATCTTCTACAAAAAAATTAGTTTTATATATCGTTCAGTATACCTATTTGTGTAAGCAAAGTCTTTATTTTAGAAAACTTGTCAATTATTTGATATTAACGTGATATTTAACGGCGTACGCTGGTAAACAAAATAAATCGATTTAATATGGTGTATCCAAAGTCCCTATTGATCATGCGCCATTTGTATACCATCAATCTCATCACCACAGCCAATTTCCTGCTTTCCCGTCTACATGCTGAATAAGATACTGATCAACAGCTTTTCCCTATCTAGATATCTTCCAATTTCACATTTTATTTTATTTTACTTTACACTTTAAGAAAACACACACACATACATATATACATACATAAAGCATTTAGATAATAGAAAAATCACAGACAGCCTAGGTGTCTCTTAAACCTTATTGGACAAGAGACCTACCAATAAGTCAGAGCTCTTCTCCTACAAACAAACGATGTTTGTGTATCTGTCATAAAGTAAGATTTTACTATCTAGATTTACCCAGAAGCGTTTCAGTAATTGCAGCAAAAAATATGTGATTTGTACAGATATACACATAGCTATTAGTAAAATGAACCTGAATTCACACTTGACAATTATCAATTGTATTTTTGCCAGCACAGGCAGAAAAAAAATCTCCTCTAATTTATATATGGAAGCAGTACATCTAACCTTTTTTTTTTAAAAAAAAAAGTAAAAACAAAAACTTACCAATACACTTAAAACCAAAAGATGATTTCCTCTCTCCTTTCAAAGTCGTTAAATATTGTAAAAAATGACAAAACCTCAAACCTAAAAAAGAGTCTAGAAGTGCAAGAGTTTATTTCAACTACCCGGCTTCAATAAGAGAACCATATAATCACAAAGAATACTTGTAGAGAAAAAAACTCTAAATTTGACATTATAAAATGTTGGATGTCCTGAACATACACTATGATAAAAGAAAAGGCCGATCTTACCATGGTGCACTTACTACAGATATACTTATATATTCAAAAAGAGACAGAAAGAGAGGTGATGATTATACATATAATTGACATTATACTTTTACTTTTACTTTAAAGAATATGCTTACTCATTATTAAATGCATATTGAATGCATCTGCTCTTTTGCTTGGCTGTTTTATTAGTGATTGTTTTCCAAGACTCTTCTAGATATTCTTTTCTTCTTCTTTTTCTTTTTAACCTACATATTGGTAGAACCTTTCTTTCTTTCTTTCTTTGTCTAAAACACAGGAGGCATATGTGTTAAACATTACAAGAGCCAAGAATAATGTTCCCCCCTTCTCTCACACCCCTTCTTTTACATTTCTTTATATATTATTATCTTTTCTGTTCTGCCCGACGGCAGTATAGTTCATCTGTGAGATAACAAAAAGGACAAGGGGTCTTAAAGGGGAGAGGAGAGGAGAGGAAGGAGAGGAAGGGGGGGAAGCTTGAGGGGAGTGAAAAATATTGTAATAGGATGGCCTTGATTTTGAATACTAATAGTAATAATAAGAGCAATAATAAGAACAAGACCAAGACATAAAAGTGTCTCCGATGATTGTGTCATATTCCGTGTAAGATTTCCGTTGCGTGCAAGGTAATTACGATAATAATTATGGCCAATAAATCTTTATGACAAGTTTCATTGAAGAAACATACTTGTTTGTTGTAGTAGTAAGAGTAAGAGTAGTATTGGTACTAGTAGTAGTATCACTAATAATTGCTGCTCTTATGGTTGGCATGGAAACATATATACTATTATTAATAATAAACAAGTTATTATATGTATGTATAAAGAAGGTCGATGGCCAAACAAGATGAATGTGTGGGAAAACACTATGATAAATTGTAAACCTTACATAATTTCCCAGCCTTCCCCACTAACTGGGTTTTTCCTGCCAAGGTGAAACAAAAAAAATAGAGAGAAAAATAAAAAGAAAGATAAAGTTTGTATTGTCTAAATAAAACAGAATGGCACAGAGTTATTTACAGATTGAGTACTCAGGGTAATTCAAGGAAGTGACAATAGGCTTAATGAGATGATATTTTATTCCTAATTAAAAACACACACACATATATATATATACCCACACATTTTGGATATCGTTCTCTGTATCATATGAAAAAATCCAGTACATTATACATTACAAATGCATACAGAGAAAGAGAAAGAAAGTTAAAGTGAATGACAGACTAGGCATTGCGTGACTTGTAAAAGTCAGCATTGAAAAAACACAAGATGCCAAAAAGGTTAAAATTTCAGACAGCATAAAAGAATATTGGATTTTTTTTTGTAAAGCAAAAAAAAAGCACAAAAAATAAAAACAGATCCCACATTCAATAATGTAAAGTATTTGAATCGTCTTTATCATAGTCTTGCACCACAATACACTACATTACACTATGCTATGCTACACTAATGCTGTGTGAGATCAGACGTGTATTTTTATATATACTCATGTGTGTTTGTGCGCGTTTATATATATATATATATATATATATGTATATGTATGTACTTTGTGTGTTAATGTTGTTTTAGGGGTCGTCACTGTCAACTTGTTATGGGTCCTGCTGGTAGTGGCAAGGTAAATTGGACTTTATTTTTTTTTGAAAATAAATAAAGAAGAATAAGAATAAGAAAAAAAAAGTAAAAGATCTAGTCTTTACCTTTGGCATTATCTTCAATCTTTCCATTCTCATGTACTAAATAATTAGTGTTTATCTTTGTTGGCTTGTTTGTTTCTACACAGTCCACGTACTGTGCCACAATGATGACACATTGCCAAGCAGCTGGTCGTAAAGTTCATCTTGTTAACTTGGATCCTGCAGCAGAACATTTTGAATATGAACCTACAATTGGTAATTCAATAACACCAACAATATATATATATATATATACTAAACTCTTTTTATGATGTGCAGACATTCGCGAACTGATTACTCTTGAGGATGTCATGGAGGAATTGGATTATGGACCGAATGGTGGTCTGATCTACTGCCTTGAGTGAGTTGATTACAAATCCCAACTATAGCTTAAACAAGCAAATAATAATAGTAATAATAATTAACTAATTAACTAATTGATTATAAAATAGGTTCTTGTTGAATAATATTGAGTGGCTCGAAGAAGAGATCGGAAGTTATGATGATGATTACCTGATTATCGATTGTCCTGGTCAGATCGAACTCTACACACATTTTCCTATCATGCGTCGACTCTGTGAGCAATTGGGTCGTTGGAATATGGCAATCTGTGGTGTGTACTGTCTCGAATCCCAGTTTATTGAGGACAAGAGCAAATACTTTTCTGGTGTATTGAGTGCGATGAGTGCTATGGTGAATTTGGAAATTTCACACATCAATGTGATGACCAAGATGGATTTGGTCCAGGGGGACTATGGAAATCGAGCTGCAGATGAAGATATTGAGGGAGAGACCGAGAGTGAGAAGAAGAAGAGACAGCGTAAAAAGAGGGCCCAGATGGAGCGTGTGATGGTTGAGCGAGAGATGGACCGCTATCTTGAGCCAGACCCGTTGCTGATCGCAGAAGAGGCAGGCGCATTGGAAGAAAAACCGAGTGCATGGACTTTGAAATTCCAAGCGTTAAATCAGGCAATTGTACAACTGGTAAGATATGCATTCACTCATTTATATATACATAAAGGGAATTCAATCTGTTGGCAGTAGTAGTAGTAGTAGTAGTAGTAGTAGTTAGTCTGTAATTGTAATTGTAATTGTAATTGTAATTGGGATGATTAAACTTCTTTTTTAGATCGATGACTACAGTATGGTCAGCTTTATTCCCTTGAATATCACTGATGAAGAATCTGTGGAATATGTGCTTTCGAGTGTGGACCATGCGATGCAGTACGGAGAAGATTTAGAGCCAAAGGTAATTTAATGGGTGTTTCTACACTAACCTTTTTATTTTTATTTATTATAAAATATTATAAAATATTAACTTTTTTTCTTCTTTCTTTATCTCTATTTATATATTATATTATATTATATTATATTATATTTGTCTGTGTGTGTGTGTATTATTTATTAATTTCCTTGTGCTTCGATGACGCAGGAACCTGATGACAAGGTTGAATATGACTAGTCCTAAAGAATTGTAGTAATAATTTTATTCATGTACAATAAATAAATAAGTAAATAAATAAGGGAGGACTAATAGCTGAAGAGATAAATGCCGAGCCGGTTTATTGCTGTAAGGGAATTGGATATTTGGTTCAAAAGGAGGGAGGCACAAATAATTACTTATTTTGTGGATAGAAGAGAGAGAGAAAACAAGCAAATGTACAAGAGAAGGAGGAAATGGAAATGGAAATGGAAGAGGAGTAAGTAAGAAGAAGAATAAGGGAGAAAGGTAAATAGCTAGGTAACTAGGTAGCTAGCTAGGTAGGTAGGTAAGTAAGTAGGTAAGTAAGTAAGTAAGTAAGTAGGTAGGAAGGCAAAATGAGACACATAGAGACACAGTGCCCGATAGACAAAGAGAAACAAAGAGAGAAAGAGAGAGAGAGGAGGGGGTGAGGTGGGGTGAGGTGGGGTGGTTGGTTAAAGGAGTATAATTGTACTGACATGTTATGTATTTTTAGGCGGAGAAGTTTGGGATTTCCTCACACTTGGGTGTTACCTGCTTTTTTTTTCCTTCTTTTGATATGTTCTTTTTTGACCTGGTTTTTTTTATTTTATTTGTTTACCCACCTTAATTCCATTTAATGCATCTCTTCTCTCTTTCCACTACTTTGTAACAAAACACTCTAACTACCAATTTACATATATATATATATATCATATACATATGTATATCTATATATCTATATGTATAATATATATATATGTATAATATATAACCTATTATTTATTGACCATTACTGATATTTGATATCAGTGATACGTATTCTATACATTTTCTTCTATTTAATATAACATATATCGTTATCTATTCATTATTCTCAAAAGCATACGCCTGATTGTTATTGTTATTTATTGTTATTTATTGTTATTCCTATTCTTATTCTTATCATTCTTTTGTACCCAAGCTGTGAATGACTTTATTAGAGAGTACGCTCTGTCAGCAAAAAGGAGACAAAGTAGACAGACCAATTCAATCAAACACCAAAAACGAAAATGAAGAAGCGGAAGTAAAACCAATCGCAAAACTAAACGTAATCGCAAACGCAGTCGTAAATGCAAACGTAAACATAGACGTAAACGCAAATGCAGACGCAAATGCAGACGCAAACGCAAACGCAAACGCAAACGCAAACGCAAACGCAAACGCAAACGCAAACGCAAACGCAAACGTAGAAGATGACGACGTTGTATTATCAAATTTATTGACCAAGCTCAAAGTGGACCAGGCAAGTTGCTCTTGAATATATAATTCTATACAATTTCTATGGGTAAAATAAAAAAAGAAGAAAGAAAAAAGGGGGAGGGTCATTCAATGGCTTGGACTAGATTAGGAAGTGTGGGTTATTTTTAAAACATCCTCTTAGCCTTTCACTTGTTTATATATACATATATTGTACAATCTCTTTAATCAAATACAAGGCACAAACAAAGACAGTGAGAAAAGAATCTCCTTTAATGATTGTCCTTCTCCTTATACCTATATATTGTTATTATTATTATCATTACATTACACTATATTATATTATATTATATTTAATCCGATTCGATTGAATTTGGTTGGATTGAATTGTATTTAGTTGGATTTGGCTGGATTGAATTGTGGTATTTATATAAAAACGTGTGTATGTTACATATATTCTTGTAGTCTCCACAAGCATTGTGGGCCTATCCGCAGTCCCAGCCAGTTCTTGGACCTGATTGGGTTGATCCATACACAAATGCCTACTATACGCAACAATATCACCATCAGCAATACCTCCACTTACAATACTTACAGTCTCAATCATGGCAGCAGCAATCATCCCAGTCACAACGCATATACGCACAGCCATCAAACCACCAGCGTGCACGGCCACGCAACAACCACACAAGTACGGGCTCAATTAGCACCGTCGGCCATTGCGGCCGAGATGGCCCGGTCCATCGGTTGTCATCCTCAACCCCCCTTCCGTCCCTGTCGACCACCTCATCCTCGTCCACTTCGACCGCCCGTCACAGCAAAGACGGTCCCCCGCCCACCCAGACAAGGCGTCCGTCCGCACCCAAAAGGAGAAACGCTCCATCAAACTTTTCTTCCTCTTCTTCTCTCCCAATGGATTCTCCAAGACGTTCTTCTGTGCTCTCAGAGCCGGCCTCGATATTCTCTGATGCTACCACTGCCACCACAAACACATCTGCATCCGCATCCGCATCCGCGTCCGCATCAACATCGTCTCTTACTTCCAATTCAACCCAACCAAAGGGTCTTGCCAAAAGATCACTTTCCAAACGACTGAAGCGGGTGTTTAGTATCGGCAGCTCACGGTCACCGCAGGAGCAAGACAGCGTCTCCCTGCAATCTACAAAAGTAACCCGCAGACGGTCATTTGGGTCTATCTCGGGGTTTTTCCAAAAGAGCCACCAAGATCCAAATGCTTTGGCCAAGGATGATAATGGCAGCAGTAACAACTCGAATAGCAACAGTATCAATTCAAATACTATTATCAATAATAATAAGCATAACAGCAACAACAAAATCGGCAATAGTAGCAGTCCAAAACAAGATATCTATATTGAAAAACCATCATTCGGATCTCAATTATCAGTATCAGTTACCAGCAGTAGTAACAGCAATAGCAACAGTGTTATTAGCAGTAGTAACAGCAGCAGTGCCAGCAACATCACCAACACCACCAACAAAAACAAAAACAGTTACAACAACAACATGACCAGTATCAGTAATAGTACTAGTACCAGTACCAAAAGGACCAGTCGTCTTAGAACCCAAGAGCCTACCAATCATAAAAACAACAAAAAAAAATCCTACAAAGAAGAGACTCCTAAACTCGCGTCAGATCCGAGCACAGACAAAAAACGCTCCCGCCGACTCTTGTTCTGTCCCACCCTTCAACTACACGAGACCTTTGCTGCGTCTGAATATGACCGCCGGTGTGACCCCAACGCCACCTGCCAACGACTCACACCTGCCCTGGCAATGCACATCAAACAAGAACTGAACGAATTCAAATTGACTGAAATGGCTGTTCATATTGAAAGCCGCCAATACACTCATTTCTTCTTGTAATATATATATATATATATATATAGATGTATATATATATATGTATACATACATACATACATACATAAAAATAAATAAAATACCAATCCCCTCTACCTTTTCAACTCTTTATTCCTCTTCTTCTTCTTCTTCTTTTATATACATACATACATACATACACACATACACATACACACATATATTTATATTTATATTTTTAAAATAAAATAAAATATCAATAAAGATCAATTAGTCCATTCATTTAATGGTCATTCTTTAAGCTATTTGAATACACAAACGCACATGTAGACTATATTGTATTTATATTGTATATTTACTATATTTAATATTAGTATTATATGGTCACCCTTGTTTAATATTAGAAAGTACAAGAATTATAAATTTGTGCACTTGTAAGGGGTGAGTCAAGGAGAACCCTTGATTTTACAATACACACGGGAAACAGTAATTTATTCATCCTTTCTCTCTTTATCTCTTTTTATCTCTCTTTTAATAACTGTAATTATTATTATTATGAAACAAAAGATCATATCATTAAATTAATATTTATTTATTTATATATGTATGTATGTATGTTATGCATGGACAAAAGTTGATTTTGGGCGGTTAATTACTATTCTAAATTAAATATACATAAATGTATATTTAAAGAGCTTTTGTTTTCGTAGAATTTCTTGAACAAAGAGACACAAGGGCAGTGTTAAGGGCAAGGGCAGAGGGGTAATATAAAGGGGGGGAAGTGATATATATATATATATATAAAGAGAGAGAGAGAGAGAGAAATTATATGTTTCAATTTTGCAAGTGTTGTCTTTGTGTTGTTTATGATCTACTGGTTCCATTTCTTTGTGATCATTTTTTTTTACACTTACTTATTCCATCCTCGTGTTTCTTGTGGTTTGACAGGTCAAGTACAATATGTGTAGATCATAGGTAATTGGTGTAATGCTCACCAAATGTAATAAAAAACACTTACAGACATTCACATTTACATGTACAGATACACATACATGTACATATGCATATACATATACATATATGTAATTTGTAAACCAAGACTCTGGTAAAGTATAAAATTTATTTATTCCTTCATTTATATACTACTAGCACTTACACACACACACACACACACAAAAGAAATGCATACAGTAATACATTATTTCATCTTCTTCCTCGTCTTCCTCTTCTTTATTTATTTATTTTTCCCTTTCATATATACAATATCGAACCATTACTGGAAAGAAGGGGAAGGGATGAAAGGGGTGAAGGAGGGGGATAACGAGGGGGTGGGTTAGGATTTATACTTTTTATTTTTGAAAAAAAAGGGAGTCTAGATCACCTTTATTTCAATATATTAAAAAGGAGATCCTTAAACACTATATATACAATTTTTTTATTCATTAATACATATATTTCATAGTATATTCGAATACTTTATGATATATATATATAAAGAATACTTCTTTACCGATATACAATTTATATAAAAAATATGTAAAATTCACTTTGTATTATGTTTAAAGAAATGCAATATATATATTTGCCCAAATGGCTTCTCCTTTTACGGGAGTTTTTTTGTTTGTTTGAAAGATGAAAAATAATAATAATTGGAAAAAATAAAATAACAACAGCAACAGATATAGAATATGAACATTTTCTCTCTCAATCTCACTAACCCACTAACACTCTAATGATAATAATAACAATAATGATAACAGTAACAATAATAATAACCACTACTAGTACTAGTACTACTACATCATCAAAAACAACAGAAATAGTAGTTGTTGTAGTTATTGTTGTTAAGGTGGTAACCGTAATCGTAGTCGTAGTCGCAGTAGTAATAGCAGTACTATTATTCTTTCTTTATCGCTTGATAGGCTTCTTGGAGAGCTTCTTGGGAACAGCATTCTTGCTCTTTTGCTTGAATTCCTTGACAGGAATCGAAGACTTGCTCATCAAACCCTGACCACTGACCAAGGGAGCCACGGCAGCCTCCTCCTGGTTACGCTTCTGTCTCTTGGCATTCTTGTCTGTCCGGGCCTTCTTCTCCTCTCTCTTCTTCTCGTACTGATCTGCCATGGGATCAGTGTTGTCGGGTACCTCCATCAACCAATCCTCATTGCCGTCCTTGGCCCCACCAGAGTAGCCATAACGAGCCTTGTATTCCTGACGATCATCATCCCACACCATACGCTCACGCTTGGTGTTCTGGATACCCTTGATCTTGGCAAACTTCTCCCAGCGAGTCATGGCCTTCTCCTTGGGCAATGCCTTCTCACGAGGAAGAGGAGTGGTGCGAGCAGGAAGTTCGGCAACAATACCCATGTCGGTTGACTTGACAGGCAATTTGAAGATCTCGTTGATGAGCAACTGAGTGTTGTCACGGATCAACTCTGTCAAGTATTTGTTCTTCTCACTACTACTCGACATTAAAGTTTTTTTTAAAAAAAAATTAGTAAATGAATACATTTATTTGATCAATCGTAAATTACTCCAATTGATATATTGATGATTGTAATATACTTGGATAATGTCATGATGGTTACTTACGTGAGGCGGTTCTCATCAATGGGATTGCTGTCGAAACCAGCAAGTAAGTTCAGATCGAATTCGAGAGGAACAAGCTTGTCAACTGTGATTGGCTTGCTATTAATGAATTAGTTGGAATGTAAGTATAAAATATTAAGTTATTATTATTATTATTATTATTATTATTATTATTATTATTATTTTATTAATATATAAAATAAAAAGGAAAGGAAGGAATCCAAGATCAAAACGATTTATTTACAATTGAGCTTGGTGAGCTGCTAAGACTTCGGTGACATCCATTGCGATTTATGTATGTGTGTGTTTTTGGAGTAAAGGGAAAGAAGGAGAATGAAGAGGGCTCGAGAAAGGTAATATACAGAGATATAAGTCCGTGTATGAATGTATGTATATATATATTATATATGTATAAATTTGCTCTGTCTGAAATATGAAAAAAGTGAAAAAAGTTAAAGGAACAGGCACATTTGTGGCTTTTTACCATATGTGTGACGGCGTTTGCTTTCTACTGATAAAGTAAATTGAAAAGATTCATGCATTTAACTCACTCATGGCGGCGCGGATATCGGGTGTAGTAAAAGTAAAGATAGAGTAGGACTGATCAAGCCGTCTAATTAATCTTTTCTTCTTCTTCTTCTTCTTCTATAGTAAATATACAAGACATAGCCATTGTTTCTAATACGTTTGAATGCTTGGTTTAGTGCTCGAATTGTCTGAAAAGACACTCGAATTCCTATAATACTAAGTTTTTTAAACTAAAATCAAAATTAACTAGACTTTATTCGTATAAAGAAGTTATATTTGTACATATATTTCTTTTCTCCAGGGGAAAAAGTTTTTATCTTGAAGCCATGTAATGCTTAATAAAGGAACAATAAGGAAAAGAAAAAAAATCAAGATATAAAATGAGTTTGAAAAAATAATATATATATTATGATTTGTTTGATACTTCACCATATCTCTTTCTCTTTCTCTCTATCTTAAAGAACGTACACCCACCCACACACTCACACATATATTTTATAAACTTCAATAATGGAGCAAGCTAAATCAAGTGACGTAAAAGAAACCTTGTCCAGTGAGTTGTATATATATTATATATATAAAATCCTAATATTATTTTATGCAACTTTTACATAAAGATTGATCCTTATTTAATGACTTTATAAAAATTATTAGTTCTTACGGAAATGGCCAGTTTGTTGAATGCTAATCTTGATTGCGACACATTAGCTTTTTGCATTTCAATGTGTGAAAAGGGAGTTAATCCAGAAGCATTGGCAGTGAGTTGATTATTATATTACATCTTGCAGTATAAAAAAGAAAGAAAGAAAGAAAGAGTCAATTTATTGATTTACTTCTTTGTTTCTGTGTGAATAGGCTGTTATCAAGGATTTGCGAAAAGAAGAACAATTACGTGGAGCATCTAGCAACGACACATCAATGCTTAGTTCATAAAGAAAACTAAACACAGAAACTATCTCACTCTTTCTCTGCTTGTTTGTTTGTCTATTTGCACATACACACATACATACACACATATACGTACACAGCAAAAATAGTGAGTGAGTTAGTATTGTAAAGGTAGAGAAAGTTACTTTTTATATATGGATATTACTTTCCTTTTGTTATTTTAAAAAGAGATTTATAAATATGTTTATAGAATAGTACTTGCATTACATGATCAGCTACATGCGCATGTATACTTATAATCTTGCAATTAACTAGATGAAAGCACATGTACAATGACTGCGATTGAGTGAGATTTCAAACGCTGTCATTATATATAAAACAAAAGAAATGAAAAAAAAGTCCTATAAAATTCTAATACTTTTCCTTTTGACTTTTTGTACACCTTTTCTTTCCTTTTCTTTCTTTCTTTATTTCTTTATTTTTCTTGTCTTGTCTTTTGTTTTGTTAATGAAGCGTAGTTCATCAGATTCATTGGAATCAACAACTAAACAAAAAGGCAAATAATGATAGTAACAATGAGGCGATTGTTATGGTTTGGGAGGGGTAGGGGTGTTGAATGTCAAGGCTCAAAATAAAACTAACGAGGGATCTCGTAATTAGAACCTAAACGCGTTCATCCGTTTTTTACAGAAAAACCAAAAAATAATTCTATGAAACGATCGATTCGTTGGATATCCACAGTAGACTCGGTCTTGTTTGGTAAAAGTTCGGGTAACGAACAAGGCCGCAGTAAGATAGCTGCTTTTGATTTGGTACACATACATACAACAAAATTAAAGCCAATTGACATATTCATGATTTAATCTTGTGTGCATGTGTTAATAAAGGACGGCACCTTGATAACTACAAAGAGTGGACGTGTTCATGCAAAAGATGAAAATGATTGGCAGTGGTGGCATACATCTGTACAAAGTAAAATTGAAAATTTGCACCAACAAGGGTAAATATTTGATAGAAAAAAGATTATCAAAATACAAATAAAAATACGAGTACAAATAAAAGTCTATTGGAAAAATCGTAATTTCAGGTACAAGATTGTCGTATTTTCAAACCAGAATGGCCTCAATACAGAAACTCGTATAAATGGTTTCAAATCCAAAGCAGCAGCAATTCTGTCTCAAGTAAGAAAATAACCCTCCTTCCCCTCCCAATCTTTCCAATTATTCTTTAAAATTGTGTGTGTGTTTGTTTGTTTCAAGGGCTTAGTATGATTAATGGAAATTCTTTTGTATATAAATACTCTCTTTTATAGATATCTATTCCTGTTTGTATATTTGCTGCGCTGCATAAGGATATTTATCGTAAACCAAGTACTGGAATGTGGGATTTATTGGAAAAGGAAGCAAATGACGGTGTCATAATTGGTAATGCCACCAATACATTAATACATATACCTATACATATTGAGATGCAAGCAACATGTTATTTTTAATGGTACTAATGGTATTTCTGAGAGGGGGAAGGGCACCCTAGGGTGGTTTCTTTTTTGTTGTTATTGTTGCTTTTGTTGTAAGTATAGATAAATCAAATAGTCTATTTGTTGGTGACGCTGCTGGAAGACAGGATGGCTGGAAACCTAAACTCAAAAAGGATCATTCTTGTGTAGACCGGTAAGAAGTCAATAAAATTAATAACATGTATATAAATGAATGAACGAGGAATAGAGTAGGAGTGAATAGAGCAGAAAGGGAGATGGAGGAGGGGAGAGGGAAAGAGGGATTTGTCGATTGATCTTAAATGTCAACAATAGAAAATTCGCTGCTAATATTGGGATCGAATTCAAAACACCCGAGGAATTCTTCCTGAATGAACCAAAAGCACCCTTTACTTGGGGACCCTTTGATCCTCACATCATTGATAAAGGTAAAGAAAGAAAAAAAGACCCGCGATTTATCTATATGCTGTTTACACACACATAAATATGTGGGAGGGTGTCCCTGTGCCTGTATAGTATTATCTACAATGAAAATGTAAAAATTAATACTTATGTAGATTCTACTCTAAATATACCTGAACTTGGGCCCAAACCACATGTGGTTGTTTTTGTTGGATGTCCCGCAAGTGGTAAATCCAGATTTGCAAAAAAGTATCTTGTTCCAAAGGGGTACATCTACGTCAATCAAGTAATACTATTTTTTTGTTAGCTATTATGTATTTACATCGTACTCATCTACCCATTTCTGAATTAATTTCATTTTCAGGATACTCTCAAGACACGAAACAAGTGTGTTGCGGTTGCCAAAGAAGCCATTGAAGAAGGAAAATCTGTTGTTATTGGTAAGAGTAGATATAGAGGTGTATCTATAAAAAGAAAATAAAAAGCAAGATTTAACTCGAATATTCTATACATACACACGCGCGTGATTTTTCTTCAAATAGATAATACGAATCCAGAGGCTTCAACTAGAGCTCTTTATATTCGCCTAGCAAAGAATGCTGGTGTGTCTGTACATTGCTTATATTTTACTGCAGACGAACACCTTTCTCGACACAACAATTACTACCGTGCCTTGAACCCTCCTCATGACAGGGAGGTACTGGGTGACATTGTATTCAGGACTTATAAGGCTAAGTTGCAGGAACCCAAGGAATCCGAGGGATTTGATACCATCCACAAGATACCTTTTATTTTTGAGGGACCAGATCTTGAGGGATGGCAAAAGTGGTGGATTTAAATAAACAAATTCTCTACTTTTCTTTTTTACTTTTTATTTTTGGATATTTAATTTGCATAATTAGACAGTTTAAGCGCCAATTTTCTTCTTTCATTTCCAAGGAGTAAATATATAGTTTATTTAGCAGTGTTTTAACATGAATAATTCATTGAATCCATGATTCTCCAACCTATATAGACATGCCAGGGTTTTATTGTTATCATTATTAATTTTTTTAATTTTTATTATAAGTACTATCATTTTTTGTTTTATACAAACACGTGTTTTTCAATTGATCAAAGAAGACAAGCTAAATATACATGCATTAACATATGCATATAAAGAGGGTACCAGTAAAGCAGGCAATTCAAGTCCAATTGATTGCTTTCAAACAGTATTCAAAGAAGAGGAAGAAGAATGATAAGAAGAGGTGCAAGGTGCAAGTTGGATGTGTGAATGTGTGGGCGGGTGGGTGTGTAGTATGTTTTCGATTTTAGCACAATCTATGTATATTCTTGTAAGATGCAAGCCAACTTTCTTTCCTTTCTCTTTTTTTTTCTCTATGATTAGAAACAAGTCCAAATCATAAAGAATAAAGAGGTTTAGTTCTCTTCACGCAAAGGCCTATTGTTTTCCCATTCTAAAGCAGAAAAAGGACAGAAAATAAATATTATTATCATTTTAAAACCAAATGAAATTAAATGAAATGAAACACCCTGCTTACTTGTCCTGTGTCCTTGGTCTCCATTGTCATCATGGGCTCGACCATAATCTCCTCTTCCAAAGTATCCTCTTCCTCTGTTGTGAACACCACGGGAGGGGCGCCCACGACCACGGCCACGGCCACGGCCACGGCCTCTATTCTGCGCATTATCCTCACCACCATTAAACTGATGAGGTCCAGATTTTGTTTGCCAACCTCCTTCTTCCCAACCCGTTTGTTTCTTTTCGTTCGCAGAAGATACATCTTTACCAGGATCTTGAGAAGGTTCGGGTGTGTCAGCAGTGGTCCCAGAGACTGGAGTAATTAAAGGACTGCTATTAGCAGGTGGAGTGGATCCTTCATTATTCGCTGTAGCGTCTGGAGTTGCTGGGGTAGCTGTGTCTGTGTTTGTTGTTGTAGATTTGTCATCTCCTTGTATTTCTGACTGAGCACCACCACCACCACCACCACTTAGTTGGGTGTGAACTGAACCTTTCACATCACTGGCATCATCGTCGTTATCATCGTCATGATCCCTACCGGTATCAAATGAAGGACCGGGAGACTGAGGGGGGAATTGAGGTTGAGGGGATGTAGTGAAAGAAGAAGGGTCGATCATGCCGGTATAAGGCATAATGAGCCAAACAGGTGGTGACTGTAGATTGGGCGCAAGTGCAGTCGATGGATGAAAAGGACCCCCACCCATACTCAAGCACGTCCCCATCAAATGATCAAGTGAATATCGAATATCGCGGTAAGTTGTATTAAATCCAGGGCCAACAGCAATATCTGATTTTTGACGAAGGTGCCGGACTACTTCCATAACATGAGCCTGTTTCTGTGCACGGACCGCTTCTGAAGGATCCTTGGCTGCATAGAGTGCACCACCCACCAATGTATCACACACATAAACCACTGCACTAGCCTCTAATTTTGGATATGTTGTTGCTAATACAGAAAACAATCCTTGCTGGGCCAACCTAACCAGATAGAAGAATTGAAGTAGCGTCAGAGTCTGTTCGTCTTCGTCTTCCTCGTCTTCCTCTGGCGATTTGTTTGTTTCCGGTGGAGGAGTGTTGGTTTTGTATTGAGATGTTTTTGGAGCCACATCAGACACACACTAGTCAAAATATGGATCAGTTTCCAATCCAATCCAACCAAAGAGAACATAATATATATATTTAAAAAAATTGTTTCTTTACCAGTTGATCATACATCTTCTCAAGCTCATCAATCACAGCCATAGCTACTGCACGCTTCTGGTCTTGTGATTGTCTGTAAGCTTCAAGATCAGTCACATCGCCAGGTACAGCATTATCCAGATACGAGTCTCCCTAAAAGAATTTACACATATATAAGTTAAATTGAATTAAATTAAATTAAATTAAATAAAAAATGAAAAAAAATGAAAACTTACCAACTCCTTCTTCATCTGTTCAACGCGTTGAAGAATGGGATCGAGATGAGAACCCTTCTTTTTAGTTTTATTGCGATTCGCCTTCTTGGCCTTCCGCTTAAACTTTTGAATTTCGTCGGCTGTTTCTCCTTGCTCCATTGTAGATTTTGGTTGATCGATCTGCAAGAAATGTTGGTTTTGATCGAGAATTTAGATCATGTATGCTTACAATGCTGTGGTCAGAAGCCATGTTAATAATACTAGAGTTGACGGCCGCGTTTGATAAATACAGTTGGGCTTTATAATACGTATTAATATATAGAAGTAGATATAAGTAAAGCGAGAAGAATAGTGAGGGAAAGAAAAAAGAAGAAGAAAAAGAAGAAGAAAAAATCAAATAAAATAGTGCAGATTTAATATATATATATATATATATAGCTGTGTGTGTGTGTGTATGATTGTAGTGTATATAAATTCTATATAATTAAATGTAATTTGTGTGCGTACGTGTGTACAATTTGAAAGGTGGGACAGAGCACCAAAGATGAGAGAATTAGAGTATTTCTTTTTTTTTTCTATAGTAGAGTTTCAGGAATTTGCTTTTTTCTTTCTATTCTCTATTATCCTCTTACAGTCTTTTACATAAGCATTCTACCTTTAGAACGGGTGTCGATATGTTGGATTCAGTCTTGGCAGTCTTCAACTGTGGTTTTACGTCATACTTAGGGCCAGACGATTTGTAAGTGGATCATCAAATTCAAGTTTTTTTTTTCTTAATGTTTGATAAAAATTATTCAATATAATTCAATAAATAAAAATAAAGAAAGGCTTGAGAATAATCTCAAGAAGAAGGTTAGAGTAATGAATTCTACGATTATGTTCTGGTTAACAATATAAATAAGTTCTTCATTGTCGAATGATAGATATATACATGAATTTATCACATCTTAAATTAAGACTCCTCAGAAGACCTCTTGTGATAAAATACTGCTGAGATTGGCTATAGTGACAATACCCATTTGTGTCTAATGCACTCTGTGAAGAGACACAGCTCACATCTTTATTGTTATTGTTATTATACAAGGTTTATGAGATAAAGAATATCTCCTTCAGGCCCAAACAAACTAATCAGAATCTCTTTGTGCTCTTTATTTATTTATTCTTAATTTACTTGCAAGGGGTTCCCCTCACACCCATTAATTGTATAAAAGGACAGCTTCCAAATCCTAAATTATAGTTATATTTGGTTAGGCATTGGGTGACCATCTATATACACCACAATCATAAGCAAAAGCAAAAGTAAAAGCAAAACACAAAACACAAAACACAAAACTTAATACAGGCGCCTCTATTTATTGGGGCACGCGAATTAAAACGCGTAATCCGCTCAGGTTCAAATCTTTACTTTTGTTTTAAAATAAGTGAATAATATATAGAGAGAGAAAAGAAACAAAAGAACACACAACATCAACTAGAGATCGTTAGCTAGTACCAAACTTATTGTACATTTAATTTCATGAGCCACATCTCCCGTTTCTCATGCAAGAGTTACCCACAGCACACAAGAATTCGTGTAACTACTTCTAGAAAGCATATTTAAGCACCGGCCTGTTTATCCCTGCAGGGAAAACAATCGAAATTTCTTTATGCTACCCGGGTTGGACCTGCACACGGTCCGGATTTTTCTCGCTCACTTACTCACTTATGAATATGTTTGAAATATCTATTACTGGCTTTAAAAATATCCTTACATATTTCAGCTTTGGGATCTTCCAGTACTTTGTAGCAAAAATAGAGAGAAAATAGAGAGGGTATGTACATGCGTTAACTCGATGCAAAATTACTACAAACCTACACCTTTTCTACTATATTGAACTTGGCTGTAATACATCAAGCTAAATAATCTGGGTTAAACGCGGACTACAAGCGGGGTATATGGAAATGTGAGTCCGCGGAGTGGTCTAATGAACCGGGTTTGGCACAGGCTTTAATTTTTTGTTGAACTTGGTTCTTATCACGATTCATTAGCATAGAAGTGCTCAATACGATTTTACGTATAATAGTAAAATCCAAAAACAATATCATTAAACAAAGCTTATTTTAACAACGTAACAAGCCCAAATCCTATCCAATACTCTTTTTTTGGAAGGTGCTCGTATATAGGAATTTTATACTATTATATAAAGCGTTTTGATAGCTAATTTTGTAAGTATTTCCTTCGATCTAGTTTTAGTTGAATCTTATCACGTAATGCTAAGGAACATTGTAAATAACCACAAAGATTAGTATTTTTATTTAAGAATAAAGAACACAAAGAAAACTATTCATTTTTCTTGGGAAATACTTGTCTAACATTAAGGTTGATACGCGAGGTTTGCATATAAGTCCCAAAGGGTTCCCAGTCCGGAGTATCAGTAAAGGCAGTTTGAGGCGATAAATAAGCAGGCAGTGTGTCTTCTATAATCTTTGGGACACCTACAAATTGAATTTATTTAGCATATTTGAAACCTTTATATATACATATACACATTTATTTTTATTTCATTTAAGTCTTACCATGAAAGTATTGTCTACAATGTTTAGTCATGACAACAATGTCCCCACTTCGCAAGTAGATAGAAACTGGAACAGTGTCTTGAGTAGGTCCACCAAGCAGGTAAATACAGGTATGTCCCAAACTAAAAATAAAATAAAATAAAATAAAATAAAATAAAATATAAAAGTAAATAAAACAAAATGAAAAACTTATTGTTCTAGTAAACACGGCGCTAATTATTTGAGTACGTATAGGATTATTACCTCAAAGACACCAACGGGGCATCCATATTCAGCTCACTTCGGTCTACATGTCCCATAAGAGTATCTTTGTATTGATAGTAGTTTACTACACCAGCCTCTGCTTTAAAATCGGCTCCAAGATACTCATTTTTCCAGGAGCGTGATTTATCCCCTTCATAACCAACTCTTTCAACAGCATGAGCGACTGCTTGCGTCAAGTCTCTCACATCTTCTGGGACAGGAAATCTACGGTCAAGATGATATGTCTTTGTAGGCCAGTGATAGTGACATCCAATAGTTGTCCAACGCATCTTTCTAAAGAGCTCGCGTGGAGACAAAAGAGGAACTGAAGGTGCTGGTGGCGGATCAGGCTTGGGTTGCCATTGAACTGGCTCAAATTCCCTCGAACATGCAGTTGGTGTCGGTACTGTTTCTTTTTCAAAAGTATTATTAAAATTGCTTATGCTATTGCTCTTGTTGTTGCTGTTTTCATCTTCTGAATCACTACTGTCATATCTTTGTTCTGATCCGGTGAATCCGGCCTTTTTTGCCACGAAATAATCGGCATCACCTTCCTTTAGATCCTGGAGGTGTTCTCGCTCATAGAGATTCCAGAATCCATTGGGTGGAGTAACATAATGTGTATCAAGATTGGAAGTACTTGGCGACAGAGTGTACTCTGACAAACATTGTTTAACAAGGTGGCGTTGGGCACGAGGAGTAAATGGATTTGGAATAAATATAAAACCTACAAACAACACAGACACGCACACATAATAATATTATTATTATTATTATTATTATTATAGGTTTTAATAGATTTTTTTATTGTTTAGCTTTTTTTATTTATTTCCTAAACATCTATACTACACAAATGCATATCTTTCTCTCTCTCTTGTGCTTTTTATTATTTTTGCCTTACCCGGAGAGCTCTTTAGCCCATATGCTTTATGTGCTCTATTCTCCCATTCTGTATCATGTTCACCAAACAATGATGAGAGTGATCGAAGGTCATTTGTAATATGTAATTCAACAATCTCATCATTGATTCTTTTAAGATTGTTGTCAAGATTGTTAAAGTCGACTACATGACTGAGATCAGGTGGAGGAACTCGAGATTTGAAGTTGCGTTCAACATAACGAAATGGGGTCTGGTTCACATAAGTATCCGCTTTTTCTTTCCTTTCTGCGTATTGGCGTTTTTGTCTTTCGAGTATTTTTTGCTGTCTTTTTGAGATGGGGTATGAAGATGTTGGAGTGCTCTCAGTCATGTCTATGTACAGTTTTTCCCCTTCTTTGTTCTAAACGTATCTTTGGGTGGGTACTCACAAAACATTTGAGTTACAAGCCACGCTTAAATAACCGTATGTGTGCGTGCGTGGGTTACAAGTGTGTGTCAGTAGGGGACTACCAGGGCCTTTTGAATTATAATATGTAAGATGCTTTAATACAATCGATCTCTTTTAAAACAACAACATTAACAACAGAAATATGATGTTATTTATCCTTGTACATCATCATTTTTGAATTGGATGGAAATTGTTGATATGTAATTTACAGAATTTTAACTCCAAAAGCTTTACCATCGTTTTATAAATTAAATGTAAAATAAAACCCCAAAATAAAACAAAGCATATATGCGTACAATGAATAAAGAAAAAGTGAATTCAAAACCTTGCAATTTGTTTATGATTATATGTATGTTTACGTTGTTATTGTTGTGTGTAATCTTTAGAATATATAATATATTATGAATCCTTGGGTTTAGTAATTACGGGAAGATCGTAGCTGTAGAAGGCAAGCTTCAATGTTAAGGCAAAGATACCATGAGCAGCCAAGATAGCCAGCAATAGAATACGAGAGGTCTTTGCGTCTGCTCGTGAAATGACAATGTAGAGGTTCTTGACCAGGAAGAAAGCTACACCAATAAATCCAAACCACACGTTAATATCCAATCAGCTCAAGCAAACACGCGCATTAAAGTTGGCCTAGCCTTTTCCTTGTCTCTTTATCCTTCTCTTTTTTTTTCATGTGTATACATTACCTGTCAAAGCAAATCCAATGGAGACAAATGCCCAGCGTGCATAATCAAAGGGTAGAACACATAAAAGCTAACGCAGAATCGCAGGTCAATTTCTTTCTTTCTTTACTTCTCCTCCCGGTATTTTTTTTAAAAAAAATACTCACAGATACTGGAACCCAAACTGTGAGACTGTAGCCATAGTAGTTAATTATTTCCATAAGGCTGGGTTGGCAACCATAATATTTTGTTGCACCCCAGAGAAGAACAGGCGAGAGAAAGGTGTATGTGTAGACCACAAATACAGCATAGCTAAGTAATCTGAAATCATACACATGGGGGGCTCCGGCCAAATAGGCAGCAAGGGATCCAGCCAGAGAAGAGCACACAAACACAAGAAAAACTACTGTAGTAGAGAGCCAGAAAGGACCGTACATATCTGGTTGGTTGTTGAGTGTATCTGCGGCATAATCGCCAACAGGATACAATGTCTTTACACATCTTTCAATAACCTACACACATATATGTATATATTGTATCAGATATATTCTGTTATAAAAGTACGTGCTACATCCGAAGCTGTAGTCTTGATCCATTCGAGGGTCTTCTTTTTACCTGGGAAGTGTCTACATCAAAAAATCCTGCGTAGTAATCCAATGACCAGATAGGCTTTCCAACCCCTCTAGAGCTGCCCTGCTGCTGTGGTTCAAAGAAATCAGGAGCTCTCATAGAAAGTGGGGGTGGAGCTGTTTTTTTTTTGTTATTATTAGAGAAATAATGGTGTTATTTTGGCTGTTAGTAGATAGTAAGTGCGTAAATCATTTTCTGACATATTATCTACCTCCTGTCGACTTGTTGACACTTGGGCTACTTGAGAAGTCTTATACATAATAGAATTAATGAATAAAAGTATGTGAGTACATTGCTTGATGTTGAAATCTGGAATGTCCTGCATTTTACTTTTCATTATAAACTTTTACCTTGGAATTCAAGCCCATCGCTCTCAATAGTGGCAGGCTTAAAAGCCAAAGATACGAGAAACGAGTTAAAAAAAGTTGGTTTTATTCGTCCAAAGACCATATAAGCAAACTACTCCTAACCTGAGTGTAATTGTCATCCATGTCCACCAGGACATTGTATTGATTCTTTCCGGACATGCTTATTATCACTTTTTATTATACTAAATTGTGGGCTTTGTAGCTCTGCCCTTTTTTTTTGGCTGGTGTGGAAAAGACAAAAATGTCCGTTATCCCAAAGCGGAAGGTGCTTCATGACGTGTTCAGGACCGCTGTGTGCGGTGTATTTATCGTTATTTCTTATGGATTGATAGTTTATCGATTCTCCTAGGGGGCCGACGTTTTTTTCTTCTTTTGATAAATTAAAGTTTTTTTGTGGGACACGACGTTCTAATTTCATCAGATTTGTTAAGGGAAAAAGGTTTAAATCCCTGAGTTTAACATTATTACACCTAGTCCCTAATTACCATCAGTTTCTTATGGATAAAATCACCTTAATAGACACAAAATAACCATTTTAACTCGATATAAAGAAGTATATTGTCAAGTGTTTACTTTTATATTTATAGCTTAATACAACTAATAAAAATATTATAATACAAAGATGTGTAAAATATTAGGTGTACATATTAATTTTTCTCTTTGAAAATATTGTGCCCAGCAGGAAATTCTGGCTTCTATCCTATATATTTAATTATCATATTATTTTAATCCTCATTTTGAAAGATCAAACTTTCGAACTTTTTCTTTCATTTTTTTGATCTGTTCACTCCAATTGACTTTTAAATACAAAAACGAAGAACAATTGTAGCGTTGTTATACTTTTTTTTTTATAAATCAATTCATTCTTATGTTCGGAAAAGTGCAAGAGAAATGATCAATTTATCTTTAAAGAAAATTTGTACTGTCACTATATGATGTTAATTCGACCTTAATTTACCTTTATTTGGCGAACTTAATAAATATGGAAATAGAATGTGTACTGCCACATACATCCCTTTTTATATAAAAGCCTTGGACTTTCTGATATACATATATATATATATATATATGCGCGTGTGTGAAACTGTTACAATCATTCGTCATCAGAACTTCATTGACAAGATAGGTCTAATAGCAAGATCCTAATAGCCCTGGACCAATAGACTAACCACATGGACAGGTCATTTTCTTTTATATATATATCTTTCTCTACTGATACGGTACCGATCCTGTTAGACGTTATATTTACTCTGCTGTTCCAATAAATTGACGGGTGTTATTCATTTATTTTTGCGTTCAAAAAATGTAAATTTTAATGAACACAAAAGTAATATAGGCAAACCCAAATAAATACATATTTTATCTATCTATCTATCTATCTATCTATATAAATATTTCCCTTTACAATCACCTCAAACTATTTTATTAGCCTCTCTTTTTAATCTTATTCATTTTCCTTCTTCTTTCTATTTCTCTTTGTATTCCAAAAAAAAGGAATAAGCACTATTACATTCCAATGAGTTTACTCTTCGCAAGAAAGGCCTTTTCTTCTGTAAAGCTTGGGCATCCTTTATTTCGTTCGTCTCGTCTTGTGGGAGGATGTCTACCCAGATATATCCATAGTTTACCGCCAGGATTTATTTCTGACCCAAAGTATGATAAAGCTGTCCAGCTTACAGAGCTGAGAGGTGTCAATATTACCCATGATCCATTATTATCTAAAGGTAAATAAAGATACATACAACGAGGTGCACCACGAGTAATTATTAACCTACAAGCCTTGTTTGAATATATATATATATATATATATAACAAACAAATAAACAAACAAAAAAGGCACGGCATTTTCAATGGACGAACGTGAGCGTCTCTCTATCCGTGGGTTAGTTCCTCCACGCCAACAAAATATGGAAATGCAACTAAAGCGTGTGAAACGTAACATGGCACATTGTGAAACACCATTATCCAAGTTTATTTTCTTGAATGCATTACAAGACCGTAATGAAACCCTGTTTTATAAGCTGGTTATTGATAATATCAAAGAAATGGCTGGAATTATCTACACACCCACAGGTAGCCCAACTTAAACTCATATATTTAAAGGCCAATATTCTAGCCAAGCCCATTAATTTGTTTTAAAAACTTAAAATAACTTTATTATTGTATCCTTATTTATATAGTTGGCCTTGCTAGTCAAAAATCTCATTCAATCTATCGTCGATCTCGAGGCATGTATTTTTCTGCCCAAGACAGAGGAAACATGTCTGCTATGGTATACAACTGGCCCCACCCGGATGTAGATGTAATTGTTGTCACTGATGGATCGCGTATTCTTGGCCTGGGCGATCTGGGTGCAAATGGAATGCAGATTCCTGTGGGAAAACTCAGTCTGGTTTGTCTTTATGATGCACTAAATGACAACTGATAATTATAAAATTAATGAGTCTTGTTTCGTATATCTTCTATAGTATGTTGCAGCTGGAGGTATTCACCCTCGTACAGTTCTTCCGGTAGTATTGGATGTCGGAACAAATAATCAAGAATTGCTTCATGATCCATTATACCTTGGTCTACCTCAACCACGACTCAAAGGAGAAGAATATTATGCAATGGTTGATGAATGGGTTAGAGCTGTTACAGGTCGATGGCCAAGTAAGTATACTATCTAAATGTTTGTGTGTGTGTGTGCGCTTATATTAACAATTCATAATCGAATGTGTTTAATAGATGTACTGATCCAGTTTGAAGACTTTAAACATCCTCACGCTTACAATCTCTTGAACAAATGTAACATTTAATATCATCAACTTGGCAATACACCTTAATCAGGCAAAAATCTTAATTAACCATACATCCAAATCTCTATAGATCGAAACAAAATTACATGTTTCAATGATGATATCCAATCAACATCCACAATCACTTTGGCTGGAATTCTGGCGTCTCTTAAAGCCCGTGGGAGGGAACAAGAAGATCTTGCTAAAGAACGCATCATTTGTGTCGGTGCGGGGTCAGCAGGCGTGGGTGTGTGCGAAGGTATAATTGACTGCATGGTAACTCAAGGAAAAGTAAAATCCCGTGAAGAGGCCTATGAAAGTATTTTTATGCTTGACCAGGATGGGTTACTCGGCAACCATTCTCTTGCTATGAAAGACCCGTCAAACTTCCATCAGTCTTCTCAGCGCGAAGAACCATTGGACGAGCTCCAATTGAGATATGTTAAGAAAGATTTACCCGACCGACTTGGTCTCGAAGCTCTGGTTGAGACGGTTAAACCAACTGTAATTTTGGGACTAACCGGCATTAGAGGAGTATTTACTGAAAAAGCGATTCGTACCATGTCGCGTTACCAAGAAAAGCCCGTAATATTTCCATTGAGTAATCCTGACACACACGCAGAATGTACGGCCGAAGAAGCCTTTGAGTGGTCCGATGGGCGAGCTATATTTGCTTCTGGTAGTCCATTTGAGAATGTGGAGCTAAAGGGTGGCAAGATAGGACACACAAACCAGTGCAACAATTCATACAGCTTTCCTGTAAGTAGTATAGTTTATATTTCACCAAAAGACAAATTGTACTTATGTCGTATAAATAGGGTATTGGTCTTGGAGTAACTGTGTCAAAAGCCAGCCGAGTAACATCTACGATGTTCCTAGAGGCAGCCAAAGTTATTGCTGAACTAGCAACAGAAGATGAGCTTAAGCAAGGAATACTGTTTCCTAGCGTCAGTAAGCTGCGCGATGTTTCTCACAAAGTTGCAACTCGTGTATGCGAAGTTGCGTATACTGAAGGTGTAGCAAAAGCTACTTTAAAAGAGGGTGAACTTCTCAGTGATTTGGTAAAAGATTCAATGTACACTCCTGAATACGTTCCTTTGGTACACTTTGAACATGAATAAAACTGTTTTTTTAATGAATGTAATCTTACTGCTGAAAAAAAAAGATTAATACAAGCGAAGAGGTGAAAAACTAGATAGAATATATGAGATATAAAGAAACAAGAACAAATTATTAGTCAAGTATTAAGCTAAAAAGAATCCAAGTCAACTTGACATATACGTAATATATAGTAACACTTCTAGACCAATTTTCCAACCTCTCCTTTCTCCCGTCCGTCCTTCCTTCCTTCTTCCATTTAAAACTTTGCCAACGGCACAGCCGCAGGGCCCAAATGCATTCTACTCTTAAAATCTACTGGGTCGGTAATAATACAGTTGCCTTTCGGGAGTTTGGTGTGATCTCTTGCTACGGCCTCTTGTTTAGCGTTGAGTGCAACCGGATCAATAGCGTCCGCAGAAGATAGTCGACGTGCTGTGGCTTTGTTATCCACACTAACAAATGTACCATCGATCTGACCATTTACAGATGCATTGTCTGTCATACCCATCGCAGTTGTCAACTTGGCCATAAGAGACGTAATTTCATCTTCATTGGCTTTGCTCTCGTCTGTTAACTTTTCACGCAAAATTGCCAGCATAGATGCTTCGCCTGCATCCCCACGCTCTACAGCATCCCTCAAGTCATCAATGCTTAAGCGTGTAATACCCTGAGAGATCAAACAGGTATGAAGAGACTCGATATTAACTTTGTACTTTGGTGTAATAGTCTTCTGGGATTGGAGATGAACAGAGATCTTTCTAACTGTAGGAGACTCTGGGCTGATGTATTGGTCAATAAACTCAAGCATGGATTCCTTTGTAACAGACTTGAGCTCCTTAATGTCCGTTTCAACTGATAGAATAATAAACATTAGTATACTATGTTTATCTCTCATTTTTCTTTTCTGTTTTTGATTATTTCGAGTCAAATACAGAAATTATAGAGGTAGAAAGTTTACCTTGATCGAACTCATAATAACCAGAATGGATTTGGGACCAGTACTTGCTTGCCTCTTGTCCAAGATTCTTATCCTTTTCCATCTTCTTGGAGATCAGTGATTGAAGCTGTGCCTGGTATTCAGAGTCAGACATATTGGCCACCAAATCTCTGAGCTTTCCAAGGAAATTTTCGATACGGTTTTCAAGATAAACTGTATCCCGTTCACTCTGCAAAATAAAGCGCATGCCCATTGAGCCCGTTTGTTTTCGTACACCACTGATGACCAAATAGCCTTTAAAAAATAAGTAGCTTTAATACGGAAAATAAAACATATGGATAATATATATATATATGTACCTAATTGTTCCTTGGTACGCAACTGATCGAAACAAGGTTCTTGAGCAATCTGAGCCAACAGACCGAGTCTTGCACGTAATGGAATCTGAGTGACATTGCCAACTTGGATGAGATATTCGATACCAGAGTTGACATTGTTTGGATCTTCCACCTGGTGCTTATATACCCATTTTGTTCCTTTTTTTTTAAAAAAAAAAAAGTTATATTATTTAACTCACAGCATTTATTAGTGTGTATAGCCATTTTCACTCTTACCTTTTGGAATAACTACACTGCGATGACAGATTATTTGACTGGGGAGCAATTCCTTGGGCTGCAATGTATCTAAAGCTGACATCAGCATCTTTTCAGCATCTTCTTTGACGATATTGCCATGAACCAATGCTTCCAGATGAAGGTGTGACAAAATTGTAGGATAGAACTCTTGTATATCTTTAGCTGTGATATCGTCAAGTTCTTTAAGTTTTTCGGCATTTGTCCACATCTTATCTTGGGTGAAGTAAGAAAGATAGTAGAGGGCATGCTGATAAGGGGACTCTAAAGAAAAGTTCTTGTAGGATCTACGCAACTGATAGTAGTTCAGGTCATTGTTTCTTTCTTTAGCTCGATCTTCTCAATTTTGAATTGTGCAAAATACCCTTTAAAAAATACATACCTGATCCTTCAATAACTTGAACCGCTCAGCGTCCACTTCAAAGGTACACATTTTCTGTACAACCTTCTCCAACAAAAGAGATAGCTTATCGTTGTATCCACCCAAAGACAACTATGTGTGTATTCACTTAAGCTCTTTAGAAACCGCACAACTTTTAAAGATTCTCATCAAAAAATTACCAGCATTCCTTCCAATAGGTTCTCAATATTGTAACACAGTCCTGCTACTTCAGCATCATAAGCATACTCATTCAAAGAATCCTTCAACAAATCAGTGTAAAGTCTGGCCAAGAATACCAAAAAACAAATCCAGTTATCAATAGTCTTTTTCCTATGCACTGTTCCCATTATTATCATTATTATTACCTTGTCTTGACGCAGTTGGCAGGAGTTGCATAGGCGAGTGGGCTACGCAGCAAGATACAAACATTCGCTCTAGGAACCCAGAATGTATCATCTTTCTTGTGCCACAAACGCAGCTTTGGAGTGTTGACAATAAGTTCAGGCTTCTTAGCCTTTTCATCGATTTTCTTTTTGTTTATTTCAAAATCTGTAGGAATAAAATCGTTTGTGGCGGGAAGGTGAAGAGCGTCATCTCCCTTGAGGTTGTTCAAGTACTATATTTTGCGAACTTAGCTCAACCTCTAAATTATCCAATCTTCGTTTTTCTTCTTTTTTCATTCTTTTTGGTAAAAAAATAAAATAAAAAAAAACTTACCTGGTTGAGATTGTCATCAAAGTCTCTGACCTCGTATTCAGTTCCGTACCAACGTTCCTTTTTTGTGAATTGAACACCCTTGGGAGGTGTCTGGGAAGCCAACATTATACGGAAGTTATCAGGACGAAGCCAGGATAGGTTCTCTTCGATCAACTCTGGATTATATTCTCTGATCAGACTAGGTCCACTCAGGATGTACTCCGAAGGATATCCGTGTTGCATAAGACCTGCCATGCGGGAAGCATACTGGGAAGCAGGCGATTTCTCCTTGAAACGGAATGCAAGTGAAGCGAGAGATTGGACCTCATTGAATATGTCCTTTTGAACACCAGATTTTTTTAGGAGCTCGATGTAGTTGAATACGGCCAAAATGACCTCCTCATAATGGGCCAAGCCATCTTCTGTGAGGTCAATGTTGACACGCATAAATTCAAAGCCAATGCCGCCATGAATGGAGCCTGCCTGAATGTAGTTTGCCCACCCGTGCTTCTTTAGCAGTGACAGAACAGAGCCTCGTCCTTCATGACCAATCAAATGGGAAATATAGCAGCCAGGCTAAATAAAATTGTATTATTAGATCATATGTAAGCACATGGTATTTTATTGATAAGCGCAAAAAAGTTCCCATTTGATTCTTTAAATTTTTGTAGATCAGGTGTATTTACCTGAACAGCATAGAGAGGCCTTTGGTCCGGGAAAGGAAATGTCATCTCCAAAGAGCGAACATCCTTGACCGGTTTGACAAAAATTTGTTTCTAAAGATAGTCTGGATTAACATTGCGAGCCTTGAATATAGATTGTGTGTGTGCATGTGTGTAGCTTACCATAAGTTCATTTTTTGTTAATGGGTGGTTAGGGAAACTAGGAGGATCAATTCCCTTGTTACGGACATCCTTGAATTTCTCGACGGTCCATTCTGTTAATTCCTCAAGAGTTTCTAGAAATTACAAAGGAAAAAAAAAGGGGTTGGGTTACAATTAAACTCAACTTTCAATCTCGTAAATTTACCTCGTCCGAGTACAACCAATTTCATGATGTTGGCTGAGTAATAAGAGTCATGGAATTTAAGCAATTCTGTACGAATGTCTTGGCCTTTTTTACGAGGATCTTCAGAAAGGGTCTCCATGTTTCCAGTACCAAAGTGACAGTAAGGGTGATTAGGGTTGCTCAATGTCTTTTCCAATTGAAACATACGCCAGCTATCCTGCTGGATATTTTTCTTGTGTTCTAAGCTCAGCTGATGAGTATCATTTATGCATGTAATGACGATGATAGTGGAACACACACACACACACATTGTGCGTGTTTGTGATCCGTTATTTCCCTCTTTGTGATTTCTCTTTTCTTTTTCATTTATTTCTTCACAAGAAAAACAGACTTATCACTCACCAGAGTCGACAGCCTTGAGTTCTCTTTCCGTACAACTATCGGAAAACAAAGGACTGATAAAGAACTGTGCAAAACGGTCAAGAGCGCCTTCAAGATGCTCATGACCAACTTCAAAGTAATAGTTTGTATTCTCGAGACCAGTAAAGGCGTTAGAGAATCCGGAATGATCAGACAAATACTGGCCATAGTCATTTTCCTTCGGGTATTTCTCAGTTCCCATGAATAACAAGTGCTCGCAAAAGTGAGCGAGACCTTGAAGTTCAGTCTATGGTATTTGATTGAGTCAATAGGCAAATCAAAAGAGGTTTAGTTACCAATATAATAATTTCTCAGTACATCTTTTTTTTTTCTTTTATTAAAAAATTAAAGTGTTCTTCCCCGCAATTATGTTTTACACAAACACAGACACAAACACAAACACGCATACACACGCATACACATACAAATGTATATGTATGCACACGTACACGTACACGTACACACTAAATTACACTTTCAACTCATTCTATATATCTCTTCCCAAAATAATAACTTACCGGGTCACTCAAATGCCCGACATGAACATCCAATGCGGCACTTGACTTGTCAGTGTTCTTGTCATGCATGAGTAAGACTTCGAGATCATTACTTGTAAGCTTGATCAAGCGATACTGGCGGTCATCATTATCGGACTTTTCTAAGGGATGGGCATAAGTCCAGTACTTGCCCGAACTGGAGAGCTCCCAGCCGGACTGTTGGTTTGGTTCAGAAGGCATGACAAAAAATAAAGTGTTGTAATCTAGTTTCTTTTTGGTTTTTGCGAATGTACAAGGTAAATTTGTGATCAAGAAGATGAGAAAGGAAGTGAATTGAGTGTGCAAGAAAGGAACCTAGGCGACTTAAAAAACCCTAAAAAGAAAAAGAAAAAAAGAAAAATGAGGGATCCGTCATTATCGGTATGCAAGTTTAACAGTCACCTCGCTAGTGCGTGTGCACGGCATTTAAATACAGTTAGTTTGAAGAGGTATTACAGTTTTAACACTTCAAACACAGAAAATGCTATGTTTTTTTTGGACGAATCAAAATTAAAATAAGACAAAAAGTTTACCTTTTTTGGATAAAATAAAATAAAATTAAGTTCAGATATTTGGAAAATTGAATTCAGACGGAAAGATTACATTTTAAAAGATAATGTGGTTTATCTGTAGGGTGTAGGAAAGAGTTATATTAATCATACAATGCGTTGATTATCGTTATATGCTGAGACTTGGTACTGAAACCTGAACGAGCGGTTGTTATTGGCTATTTTAGAGAAAACAAGAAGATGTCAAAGATATTTTTCATAGCTAAAATGTCATGATTCCAAACAATATCACTAGCCTTTTTTTTTTGACACTACAATATTGAATGCACTCTTCGCTTTGATTCTCTAGGCATTACATTTTTGACATCTTTCTCTCTCCACAGAAGCTACATACTTGGCTTGTTCAATATTCATTTACCACTCAAAGAGAAATATTACTACCAGGATATCTCTATAAAGTCTTTATTATCGAATTCAATGGCCCTGGTCTCTTCCCTATCATGCTTGCCAAAAAATTACAGTAAAAAAAAGCAGCGATTGCTGTTATAGCAGGCTTTGAGCTACTGTTAAGGAAGGGGAGGAGTGTATAATAGGTTAAGCCTTTTTCTTTCTGTCTTAACACCAGCAGATTGTCTCGTATTGTACTTCTCACTGTTATAGGTAAAGCGCTAGCAGATTTCGTCCTTGGCTTTTTTTAATATAGCCTTTAAAATTGAATATTTATCGGTATAAGTTTTCGATAAGGCAGGTGAGTTGATTAGCCTTTGGTCTCTGCGGGTATTTTTTCAAAAACCTTTTAATCACAAAGGTTTCTTTCTTTTTACCAGCATCAGAAGATTACTCCATTTGATTTCTCTTCGTATATAATGTACCTGTTGATCTTTCTTGAGTATCCAAATCTCAAGAATATCATAAATTTTCAACATCGCTTTTCGTTTTCCGTTTAAATGTCTCAAGTGTATGCTGTTTATCTATTTCTGCCTGTATCTTTTTAGAAATATGATAAGGAGTGGCAGAAGTATATGCAGTAGGTACAGAGTTATAAGCTGTTACCACAGAAAAAAGAGCCGAGTTAACCAACTCGATACCTTGGAAAAAATAAGCAAAGGGTATTCTCGTTATATGAATGTTTTAATACTTAGTTTTCAAAAACTTTGGTATTTTTGATAGACTTTCAGATATACTCTCTTGATTCCGTTCGATTGATTAGTAACATTTTATACTAGAAAAAAATAGCATCGATGTAATAAGTTTAGTTGCTGGTGAAGTTGGAATATAAGCTTCGTTCATTCAGGAAAAAATCAATAAATTTATGAATTTTTTTTTGCTATTTCATTGTTTTTAGGGGTTTGACAGTTCACTTTAAGGGTATTGTCTAAATCAATTTTATTCTCGTAAACGGCTATTAGGGCTTTCATTCTCTTTATATGTATTCCATCTTTTTTGCTATATTTCTAATAGCTTATTCTCTGTCCTTTTAATTATAGTGTTCACTCTCCCCAAGTCATCTCCTGTCTCAAGATTTACATATTTAGTAACTTTTAATTCTAGTTCCGAATGTTTAATCGGAGTTTGCTTTTCTAAGTACCTGACTTTCATTTGTGTTTTATCCATAAAAAAATAGCATTTTCTGAATTTGAAGTGTAAAAAACTGTAATATGCAACGTTTGATGAAACCCGTTTACCCAAGGAAAAAGACATCACATCTCGAACAAATACAATATCTAATAATTAAGAGAAAATACGGGTTTGATCCCTGAAATAATAATAGTAAGAGTACATATAATATATACATACATAGTAAGAGACTAAAACGCCTATTAGTAAATCTTAAATAAAATCATAAATCATAATTCGGTCTCGTCAAAGAACCCATTTCTTTTGTGTGTATTTCATACACTATAAAGAACCTGCTTATTCTGGAATCAAACTGAAAGCTCCTTTATTTTTAGAAAGTGTGAAATACTATATGTGTTTACTATTCTCTTGGCCATCAAATTTATGGATATTATTTTGGTATTGGGGAAGTTTCTAACATCAATGTTGGGCATTCTTGGTCTCAATTTACTATATTTTGGATCTTCTTTAGCTTCTTCTTTTCTTAGTGTTCGATGGTCCCGTTGTACTAGAAAATATAGTCTAATAAGTCATCCAGCATGTGTTCTTGGGATGTCCGGCGCAGTTTGTACAACATGGGCATTTTTCTCTTCATTATAGCAATATAATACACAGAATTGAATTCATATCTTTGAAAAGACAGTTATAAGCTCCTTTGAACCAGCAATTAATACTCCTTTGCTATAAGAATTCTAGGCGCAACGATAATTATAGATACTAATATTAAAGCATTGGAGTTCCAGCTATATATCTTTAAAAAAAACACTTAATCTTCTGTCGAGAACTTCTTTGGCTCTTTTCTGTAACTAATATGTAAAAGAAATAGAAATAAAAATACTTAATAGTCTTTTATAACACACACGCACACATATTGAGTACTTAAAATGTCTGCATTGTGTCATAGACCCTCGCTGCCAAAAATGTTTGGATCCCCGCAAAAATGCAATAAATTAAGAAAAGTAAAATAAAAAGAAGAAAAAAACTTTTTCCCAATTTTATTAATCGAATTCAATACTCAAGATACCTCTTCACCAGAAAACACCTGCGGTCCATACAAGAAAAGCGATTCCTACAAATATAGAGTCGTTATGTACCTACATTTAACAGATTACACGGTAGCATGGACTTCATTAGTGGTAGGCATGAGTCTATCGACTGTCAAGTAAATCATTAAAAGAGTATATGAAACAAAATCTCCAAAGCCAATACGAGATTCCAGGCGACCTAAAAATATTGGCAAAAGGACAGAAATACATCTTGTCCAAGTAGTTTGAAAGGATCCCTTTGCCTCATATTATAGGCTAAAAGTCTCTTTAAAGAAGATGGAGGTATTTGTCTGTAGCAAGACAATAATCGGTTGCCTCAAGCGTTTGGGCTTTGGATTATATACCGCAGCCTGCAAACCGGCCAGAACAAAAACTCACAAGAAAAGACGATTGGATTGGACTCGTGAGCATGTCAATTGGGCGGATTACCAGTGGAAAGGTGTAGTGTGGTCATATGAATTACAATTTACAGTAGAGGGGAACGATGAAGGAGCTAGGTCGACCAGAAAAGTTGGTAAAAGGATAGCGTAAAGATCTGGCGCTGTTTTTGGGCCTTTGGTGCTCCTTTATTGCAACGTAAACCGAGACCAATATGTGAACACTTTGGCTCTGAACTTCCTCCCTTAGTCCCAAAATCTTTTGCAGGAACAGAATAGGCGCCTCATGTCCCAAGAAGACAACGCCAGATGTCATGCTGGGTCATTCGAGGTGGTAGAAAAAGTGATGAGAGGGCCAGTATAAACAATGTTAATGACTTGAAGGTTGTAATGCAACGAGAGTGACGAAGAATAGATGTTGAACTTGCATCAACTTTGATCGGCAGCATGCAACATCGATGCCAGGCTGTAATTGAGACCAAAGGAGGTCATACCAAATATTAATTTTTATTTATTTTTTATATCTCAATAATAAACATGCATATTATCTTTTATTTGAAGTTTGAAGTTTGAAGACTTTGGCTATAATTACTGATGAGCATTTGCATGTTGAATATATGTCATGATTTCTTTCATGGATTTTTTGGACTCAGAAGTCGAAACGTGTTTGACCGTGGCTGCAAAACACTATGCGTTTTTTTTGGACCAATTATAAGAAAAAAATAGGCACCTAAAAAAGGTATAGCTCTTCCATGCCTAAACTATTTTATTGGATTAGATTGAGAATAATCTAAAATCCCATAAATCGTATTTGCCAGAAAGCGAAACTAATAGGCTAAAATATGGAACGCTATTGGCTATAAAAATTACGGACTCTTAAGGGAATTACGAGGTCGGTAATCTTTAAGTCGGATTTATAAATCCTGCCATTTCCTACAGTGATATATAATTCATCAGTCATAAACCAAAACATATGGACTTCACTTCCAAAAGATGACGCTAAGCATAGAATTTAATTGGTGTAAAAACCATCGAGACTACTTTGTAAAACTGATGTTTTTTTTTCGGTAAGACATTTTCGATATGAGCTACAAATCCACTATATTTAGGAGCTTATATATATATATTGCATTTGCAATTGCGGCTACATTACCGAGTATGCTGATGAGTACTTTTACCCTAATAAATAATATAATTTTCTAAAGGGCACCATTAGGAAGAAAGTTTTTAAGTCAGGACTTGACGACTTTCAATCTTTTAACTTATCGGCACCCTTCGCAGATATCATCTTTTATTGGACAATAATGCGGGCTCAAAAGTATAAGTCTAAAGGCTTTAAATTTTAGCAATCTAAATTCTTCAACTTTAAATGTTTGAGCGATGAGAATTCTAGTAATATGTTGTGTAGTAATGAGAAAAACTCAGTGATAAAGAAAATTGAAATAATATAGGGCAGCTAGCTCATAGCCAGGTTATTCGAGCTACCAACCTCATCAGAGTTAAAAAAATATGATATGCACCTTTTCTTTTGTTAGGTAGCGTATTTTTGAATAAATATTTAAAAATATATATTAATTATGGATGGGTTGTTTCTCTTGGGTATTTGAAGGATATTTTGCAGCTAGTTGTGGTTTCCCCCAAATATAAATATATAATTTATACCATTAATAGTGTTTCGACCGTTTTGTCAACAGAATTGCTGTGTGCATGCATCATACATATTTCAGCACATGGCATCGGTCAGAAATTAGGTTATTATACCTTTTAATATGATAGTATTAAAATACGCTAGGAAATGTTGATTTGAATATGTCCCAGGTTTAAACCAGGTTAATAGATTCTTTTATACTACTTGTAACTCTTTTCTCTTTGTATGTATATACTAACTGACTAGTGTAAGAGTAATACTAAAACGTATGTTGAATAATGTAGTTAGGTGCATAAGTAACGGTAACCAAGCAAGATATGGTAGTATGTAAGTAGCAGTGGTATGTAAACACTATGTCTGAGTACCCCTACTGCTTTTTAAATGTCTTGCTATTCTTTTAGTGTACTTTCCAAAAAAGGACATGACCCTTTCATAAAATATGTCATCGCCAAAACAGGAAATTAAGGGTCAGAAATCGATATGTACCGTCCCTGATCAAATTATTATTAATATTTTTTTATTGTACTATACCAATTGTGAATTTATTGGTACTGAGTAGAGAGGATCGGTTACCTGCAGTACTACGCAATTAGATACTTATTGACAGACTTACTCTTCATTTTGTCCCAAAGTAAGTAAAGTAATTGGAAGTGGATCATTTTATCATTAGCCCTCAAATTAGCTTTTTTTTATCTTTCTTTTTCTCTATGTGTGTGTTTCTGTTTAGCTTTATATTTATTTATTTATTTATATTCAAAAAAATTCCCGCCTTTGCTATTTCTTTGAAGGGTATCCACCTGACCCTCCCGTCTTAACCTTTGCTTTCCCTCTCCCATTCATCCAGAAGATTACTGTAAAAGGCTTTAATATGTTTCTTCTAGTAAGATGGTCAAAGCGTCCCATATTTTCCAGTTCTTGCAGTAATAACCATAGTTTAATAAAAATAAAATAAAATAAAATAAAATAAAATAAAAAATATATATGCAAAAAATTAATACATAAATAAGAGCATGGATTCTCAATCCTTCTTTCTCTCTCTTTACCCCAGATAAACTTTCTTTACAGTCAATCACTAACCCAAAAGTAAAAATATAATAGTAAAAATAAAAAGCAATATCTCGGCTATTTTCATACCGTCTTTTTTTTCCCTTTCCTTCATTCCCCCGTGTAAGACGACCAATAGGCGATTTAAGTTCAAACGCTGTACATGTGGAGACTATATCTATTTCTCTACTGTTGTGGCTTTTTTGTTTTTTTTTAGCTGTTGGTTTTCTGGGGAAGGAAACAGTATCAGATTGATAAACAAAATGTGCTACGTCTCATATAATAGGGTGTCCAATCCAAGCACAGTGTGATGATTGTGTGAGTTACCATGGTGAAAAATAATAATAAATAAGTTTTCCAACCCTGGTCCAGTGTATTCCGCGCAGCCCCGCCTATTTTAATTGGTCGCTGAAAGATACGGAATGGTGCGGGCAAATTTCCCGTGCCACGTTTGTGAACCTTATCAAAATGCAAGTATTTTTAAGTACGTCGAAAGGTTTTGGCTAGATTTAAGAGCCACTCTCCCCCTTCTTTATTTCAGGAACGAACAAATCAAAGGTCATCTTCTCCAATTCATATATATATATATATATATACGTTTTTATAGTAGAGATCGAATACAGACAGTTTTATTTCGGTCACACCTACCAGGGGGGGGGGGGGGGGGGGGGTTACTTTTATATCCCAAATTCAGGTTTGTCTTTTCTTCTTCTCATGAACCGAAGAATATCATTAGTGTAAAGAATAAACACAAACCGTAAAGCTTTATAAAACAAATAAGCTAGATAGCTAGCTAACAATTCCTAGCTGAATCCTGGTGTTAATTGAATCCTAATTCTGGGATTCTATTTAATAAACTTTGGTCTCTTGTCATTACCACATCATCGCCAACTATAAAACAAAACCGATTTATAGATTCATATACATACATACATACATACATAATTAACTACGTTTTTTTTTTGTTTCTCCTGCTTTGAAATCCGTTCCAAACTGCGTAACTGAGCTGAGCTTTAAATCCTCTCAACTCGTTCTTACTAAATAAAGAACGATTGATGATGACAGTGATGAACTTGTAATACAATTTTTTTTAAAAAGAAATTAAAGAAAAAAGAAGACCAAGACCAAGAGCAACACTTGACGATCGTAAATTGTAAGCTGTAACTTGTATACATAGTGTTCCTAGGTTAAAGTCTCAAGATACTTAGGCCGCCATTAGTTCTTAATCAAATTTACTTCTTTTCAGAGACATAAAGGGTGGATAATTTAACAACAAATAACTCTAAAACAAATTACCATCTTTTTGAAAGTCAAAATTGAGTAGTCCAAAGGACCTTGACAAGCCAATAAAAACTTTTCAAGGCACACTGTCTAATTTTGCTGAGTTTATCTCATAACCTGACAAAAGAATACACAAAAAAAAAGAGCGGCTTCATTTTTTCCTCTTTTTATAAAAGGGCCCTTGACTGTCTGACCAATAACTTTTTATTCCTCTCTTTCTCACTTACACACACACAACATGAATTCCAAAGACGCCAAGTTACGACCCTTTGTCGTACTCTGCGTAATCATCGCAAGTTTTGGTGCTTTGAACAGTGGTTTCAATACTAGTGCCCTGAATATCCCAGGCAATTCAGTCAAAAACTGTCCCGGAGTAGAACCCGGTGTTGTTACATATTATCCCAATTCTTCCCTTCCTCAATGTATTCCTATGGGAGACTGGATTTGGTAAGTGACTTTACAAACATACAAAAAATAAAGAATAGGAAAAATCAGCGGGAAATTCATCGACTTACATTTCTTTTATATATATATTTTTTTTATATAGGGGTGTAGCCACTGGTATGTTTGCTGTCGGTGGTCTTGTAGGCGCAATGATCTCCGGCCCTGCTTCAGAAAAATTGGGCCGTCGTGATTCTATGCTTGTCCTCAATATATCCTTCTTCATCGGTGCCGTCCTTCTCTCTACTTGCACAACAAGTGCCCAGTTCGCCATCGGCCGTATTTTTGTTGGTATTGGATCAGGTTTCATGACCGTCGTAATTTCAATGTACATTGCCGAAATTTCTCCCCCTGCGTATCGTGGTGCCCTTGGTTCTTTCCTTCAGCTCTTTATGACCATCGGTATTCTCATCATCGAATGTATCAGTATTGGTCTCTCATCTGCTATCGGATGGCGTATCATCACTGTTATTACCATCGTACCCGCTATTATTCAAATGATCTGTTTACCTTTCTGCCCTCGCTCCCCTCGTTGGTTGATCAACCAGAACCGTATCGACGAAGCCCGCACACAGCTCCTTCGTCTGCGCAACGGAGATATCGAAGAAGAATTTACTGACATGATTCTTGGTCTCACCAAGGGCGGAGGAAAGAAGACCCCTGTTGCTGTCGACGGATCTACTTCTAATGATGCTGACAAAGATTCCGCTACCTCTGGATTCGATAACACCCGTCATGAAGCCTCCAACGAGCCTTTCGAAGGAGAAGTTAGTCTGTCCTTCTTACAAGTCATGTCCATTCCTGTTCTTGCCTTGTTGACCATGAAGATGATGGTTGTTCACGCCTCTTCCCAGATCTCTGGTATCAACGCCGTCATGTACTATTCCACCGATATTTTCGAAATCTCATTCGGCGACACTGCCAAATACGTTACCCTTGGTGTTTCTGCCCTTAATGTCTGTATGACATTTGTCGGTCTTGCTCTTGTTGATCGTCTCGGTCGTAAGATGCTCCTGTTGATTTCTGCCGTCGGCATGTGCGTCTTTGCTGTTGTTATGACCATCTCCCTTATCTACACCGTCTCAGCTCTCCAGGTTGTTTGCATCATGATGTTCGTTGCCTCTTACGCTGTTGGCTTGGGTATGATTCCCTTTATTATCACTGCTGAAGTATACCCCACCTATGCTGTCGGTGCCGCCTCTTCCGCTGCCTTGGTTATCAACTGGTTGTGTAACTTTATCATTGGTCTTGTATTCCCTGCTCTCCAGAGTGCTTGTGGCGCCTATGTCTTCTTGATCTTTGCTGGTATCTGTCTCTGTATTGCAATCTTCATCTTCTTCTTTGTGCCCGAAACAAAGCGCAAGTCTATTGAGCAGCTAGGCCAAGAACTCGGATGGGCCAACCTCGATCTTGAGACTCTCTTGGCCAAGAAAGAAAAGAACTAAGGCCAAATGTCTTTATTCTTCTTACTTTTATTTTATTTTTATTTTATTTTTTAACTCTCACGCACGCATTACCTTTCTCTATTTACATTTTTCTCTTGAAGAAAAAGAGAATTCCCGTTTTTTATAATTAGTACTCTCATACCGGTAAAAGCCATTTCACCTTCTACCTTTCTATTTCTTGTTAGTTGACTGAATTATCGTCTTCTTCAAGCTCTGTATCTTTTTCCCTTATTCAGCATTGAAACAAATGCTACAATGTAAATTACTTATTTCCTAGTTTATTTTATTTTGCTTTACGACCTTGTCAATAGAGTTTCTTTCAAACCAAATACATTTTTTTTTCTCTATCTCTGTAAATCAAAAGCTTATTTCAGCTGTATTATAATATAATGTTGATATTGAATCTAATATGTCTGGCCTTTGTACAATGTAACATTTGATTTCTTCTTCTATGTTTCTCAGTCTTTAAATTCATTTTACTATCAACGTTTTCTTCAGAGAAAATTAAAGTATATTCCAAAACCTCAAAGTTTATATTTAATTTACACTGTATTTAACAAGACTCGGCTTTAAAGTAAAAGAGCATTGTGCTTATTACCTATGTGTCTATTAGCTCTTTTTTTCTCTAGTAGACATCTGTGGAACATTTGACTATGACAAATAAGCCAGAAAAAGTTTCAAGTCTATCAAATTCTCATAAGACAGTTGTCCCTGAGGTTTTTTTTTGGTAATATCTGGTTGTAATCCCATAGACACGACAGTACGGAACACAATTAATTAAATACAAGAATGGTTAAAGAAGGTGTGCTATGAAAACCAAAACATTCAAAGTCATCTAGTTAATGTTTTCAATACAACAGCACACACAGTTGAAAGCAACCATGCTTTCTTTTGGAATTTTCAGCCTAATATTAAAGTCGATTCAATATTAGGCAAGAAAAGAGTTTTGTGAGATAGAGTCTTTATCATGAGATGAACTGTCAGTTTTTCACTAAGATACAGTATAAATACGACAGGGATTACATATTAGTCTTCTGTTTGTCTTTCTAAAAATGTAATTGTGGCCCAAACTGAAGAAAAATTCGAGTGTGAAAATATTGTTTTTTTTTGTAAAGAGGTGTTTGAGTCCAGAATGGTAGAAATGATAATTGTAGAAGATTTAGTTAATTATTTATTTTTGTAAGGAGCAATCGAAGTTTAGGGTTCTATTGTGAGAATCACTATGGAGAGGATTTAATGCTGTATGAAGATAAAGCAATGGTTCTTTAAAGTCACATAATATTATTGCAAATATTACTAGACAAACTTAGAAATAATATTGCAAACCATGATTAAAGTAACAAGTCTTTTTGGTTTGTTCGATTCTACCATTTCGTTACAATAAAATATATAATTATTTTTGTTTGATCCAATAAGAGTATATTTTAATTTGTTTTACTGATGAAGTATTGTTTGACTTTTGTAAATAACAGCATAATGTTTAAACTTGATATTGAGACAGGCTTATTTTCTTTTAGTTTCTAGATAAATAGGGATTACTTTGTAGACTTACTATGTAAAAGAATTTAAACTACCCTTTCGGGCAAAACCGTTATCTGTACAGCAATTTCTCTTGTGAATAGCACGGGTCTGATATGACCTTTTCAGATCGAAAGAGGGGGGGTACTGAACATCTTTTTGGATATATTGATATTTCTATCCTACAGTATACTGTAGGAATACTTTCAAATCGAAAGTTTTATTGGGGCAAGCTCTTTCGTGCTACACGTAGACTTAGATAACATATAAGTTACTTTGCTTATAAAACATTCGTAGATGTATATTATTGCTGACTTGAATGAATTGCTTCTGGTTCTGATTTCGCCGTGTAGAATTGATGTTGGACCAGAGAGTATTCTTCTTATTGTTGGGGTAGTATCTTTTCCCTCCGTTCCGTCCCCAAAGACAACCAACGGCACTTATTGTGAGTTCTTGAATGTTGTCCTACACCATCTTTAAACCTTCTTTCTTTTTCGATCTTGCTTTTGTAATTGATCCTATTGATCCTTCTTTTTTCTCTCCGTCCTGATTTTTCTAAGCCTTGTTGTTTTCGTCTTGTTATATTCTTTCTTTTTTAAGCTTATAAAGAAATCTGAAAGCAACACCATGTCCACCAGTTTGTATATTGTAGCCGAAAAATACCAACCATTTTATTTAGGCCAAAAGATCTTTTTATACTAAAAGCTAGTGCGGATGCCTTAATATCTGCTTAATGTCTAGCTATATTCTTTTGAGGACTTTTTACCTTTTATACTTGAGTTTCTTTTTAAAGCTGAAAACAGTATTAAACGGTTTAATATTTGCTTCATAATAATTGATAACACTTACTTTTGTTAGTAATTGTAAATATTTGTTGTTGATAATGATATGATGCCAATATAGAGAACGCTATGAAGTGAGTACAAAGTTATATGTCATTTTCTTAGTGCTATTATTCCCTGTTTTGCATATTCTCTCTATATTGGTAAGGGCAAAAAGAACCCTAGAACAGGTATAAAACTGGCAGGAAAAGGAGCAATATTGACTACAGTAGGAGTTAAGGCCACCTTCTCTTTGAGAGTGGTACGAATATCAAGTATTTGGGTTTTGCTATTAGTATCAGCCAGGTTAAATATATTAGATCAAATAAGCGAACCTTACATTAAATAATTCCAAAAGTAGTCTTTAGCAATTCTCTTGATTAGTATTGACTTTTGGGATCTCTATTATAATAGCCATCAGTATTATTTAATCGCCTTCGCTTTATCTTTTTCTTTTTGTGTTGGGTCCTTTTTCCTTTTCTTCGGCTACACCGTATTGATTTTTATTATGCGATTTATTTATGTGAATACCCTTATGTTGCTTGCATTGATAACTTTTCTTATATGGCCTATACCAACGTTTCTGATTTCCAAAATAAAATACTCTTCAATCCCTATAAATTTGCAAAAAAAACCTGTCTCATAAAATATCGTTTATTTCTATTTGCGAGGTGATATTGGCTAATATATATATATATATATGGACTTGATTAGTTTTGTCTCAAAAAGTATCTCAATATTAAATAGGTTTATTATTTAAAAAATCTAAGTCTCCTCAATCTCAAGTAGAAAAACTGTGGTCGTAGTAGTAGGAAAAAAAAATCAAAACTCTTCAGATGATAGACCAATAGAGAAAGCATGATTTTAAAATATAGCTGTCACTTACAGTCACATGTATTAAAATGACAAAATGAACTGTAACGGCTCTGTAATGTCAAAATCATGAACTTTTGAAAGAAAAGATACTTGGAGATATGAATATTTATTATTGATCACAGCGCATATATTTTTTACACATACACTCACATAGAATTCATTTTGCTTTTTTAATATAATCTATTATATATATACAAAATATATGTATGGAATGTTTAGAAGTTCTCAAAAAACAAGTCTCCTTGAATAAATAGCTGGATATAAAAAATCGGGATGTTTGACCGTTTGTCACACTTGCCACTAAACACTATGAGCTTTGTCACCAAAACGTTACCGTATTGAAAAAATAAATGCTTAATTTTATCCTCTCACTTCTCCTACTCATATCAGTACATAGATGTATTTTATTTTAAAAAAGAAGACGGGTAAACAAACTTTTTTTATTTATTTATTTTTTCACATAAGAACCATAGTTTTTGTTTTGTTTATTTTATTTAATGGGTAATTTGTACAAGAATCTATTTATCCTTGTCTTTGACTACAAAAAAGTACACCGTTGAATTAGTTCAAATTTTTCATATAATATACACCACCCACACATTTAAGGACACTTACCGAGGAGCGCATCGAATGATATTATCAACTCTGAGGATCATTTCTGCTGCCTCAGATGCAGACAACAATACCTGTTTCTTGAGTTTGAAAGATTCGGTGATACCAAGAACTCTGACATCGGAAACCTTGCCGTTAACCATATCCAGACCACTTGTAGACTTTCCTTCGTAGTGAGCAGCTCTGAGCTGGGCGACGAGTTCGGAAGAATCGAAACCAGCATTGTCGGCCAGGATAGTGGGCATCTGGCGGAGTGCCTTGGCAAAGGATTCAGCAGCAATAGCCTTCTTACCAGCAGTCTTGGCAGCGACCTCATCAACAGCCTTGGACATCAACATCTCGGAACAACCACCACCCAACACAGTGCGGGGCTCTTTGACAGTTTGAGAAAGGACAGAAAGAGCGTCATGAAGAGAACGCTCGGCCTCATCCAACAGCTGTTGAGTAGCACCACGAAGCACGATAGTGCATGCCTCACCAGCAGCAACACCAGAGAATTTGATGAGCTTATCTTCACCGATGATAATCTCCTCAATCAAGTCACAGTGACCAAGCTGGACAAGTTCAGGGTGGTCGAAAGTTGAAGCAATCTCACCACCGGTTACGAGAGCCAAACGCTCAACACCCTCAAAGTCTGCATGTTCAATAGTAGCAACACCAGCATCAGCAAGAAGCTGCTCAGGCCAGTTGTAGATCAACTGACGGTTCACGAAGCAGTTGACACCGTGAGCCTTGATCTTGTCAACCTTGACCTTCATCTTGTTACGTTCGGCACGTTCCAACTCAGCAAGCTTGCCAGTAGCATCAACACGAACACGGGCACCAAAAACCTTGATTTTATCGGTATCCATAGCTAGATTAGAGTACACCCACAACTTTATTAGTCTTGCTTCTCTCGCTTTTATTTTCGTATATTTCTTAAAGAAAATGAGACTTACGGGTGTTGGCAATCAAGATAGTGGCGTTTTCAATACGCTTGGGGCAGTTGACACCAATCTTCTTGTCAAGAATGAAGCCTGTTGACACGATTTTTTTTGTTCCAATACATCAGTCAGTCCATTTGTTATTATGTTCATCGTATTTCTACAAATCAAATATATCATCCGATCATTTTACCTTCATCAAGGTAAGAATCCATAAGCTTTCCTCCGGGCTTCTTAATGATTTGAATATGTTCGAGGTTGGTGGATCCCTTGAGACGAAGGACGGCATCGACAGCCAATTTAGAGAAGTATTCTTTGTCTTGAGACAAAACCTTTGAACTCAAAGTGGTCTTAGCAATGTTAATCAAATCCTCGCGGAAGGCAGCCTTGTCCTTGCTGTGATCAATTGCACTCTTCTCAAGAACATTGTAAGCAGCAGCAGATGCAAGACGGTAACCTTCAATGATGGTCTGGGGGTGAATACGCTGGTTGACCAGACGTTCAGCCTCACGCAACAACTCGGCAGCCAAAACACAAACGGAAGTGGTACCATCACCAACTTCATCATCTTGAACCTTGGAGATGTTCACAAGAACCTTTGCAGCAGCATTGTCCAGAGCAATGGACTTTAAGATGGTGGCACCATCGTTTGTCACCAAGATTTCACCTGTAGTAGCAGATTGCAAGATTTTGTCCTTTTAATATAAAAATAAACATAATAATAAGTATTATTATTATTATTTTAAAAAAATATGAGATGAGATGAGTTGTCAGATTTGTAATACGTAACCAAAAAATCTACATCTTAAATCGCACAACCATTTTCTTTCTATTCCTTTTATGTTTCTCCTTTACCCAATCCTGATAAAGGAGACTTTGATTTGAAGAAATATATATATATATATATAATATGATGCTTACCATGCCCTTGGGACCCAATGTGCTCTTTACAAGATCACCGACAGCGATCGCACCAATGAAAGATGACTAAGTTGTATTTACTGTTAGGGATGATGCTCTAGAGCAAAATGTATCAAATATAAAAGGGTTTTACCAAACGAGCGTTCTCAGCCTTCTCCTCGCTGGCCTGATCCTGGAAGATCTGTACTGGTGCTAAAGACTGTGATGACAAGAGCACAAATAATATAGGAAGGGAAAAAAGTGTTAAATAAGGATGATGAGGTGATGTTTAGGGTTTATAGGGTCCTTGATGCGTGAAAAGCTTAATAAACCTTACCATCTTAACTTAGATGATGAAGACAAGCTGTCAAAAAAATATGAAAAAAGATGAACGCGTTTGAAATTTTTGCTTGGGTAGTTACTCAAAGCGGAAAATGTGACGTCGATAATGTATGCCTCATGGCAACCATGAAAGCACGTTCACGGTTGCCCCTTTCCTTCAACACTCACGGACCTTGGAAGTTTGGATTTATACTCTTGAGGATTTTATATTTTTGTGGGCCACAATAAAACTTGTAGGAATAAGTTAAAAAAATAAAATAAAGTATTTAGCTGTACAATTACACGCCTGGATATACCAAGTGAAGGAAGATAAGAAATATAAAGTAAAAAGAAAAGAAAATGAAGAATCCCAAAGGGTTCAAGAATGAAAGAAATAAAGATTAATAAGGAATACTATACAAGAAAATAAGCAAGATATAAAGATATAGATATAAAGGAATTAATAAAAAAGATATATATATAGATATAGATATATATAAAGGATTGGGAGTTTTTGTTTTTTCTTCTAAAGATCTTTTGTTTTTGCTTGTTTTTTGTTTTGTTAAGCTGCAGCTTCGTCAAAAGAAGCAAGTAGTGGTAGGAGCATTACATCTACATTTTCATAAGCTACATTGCAGCACATCGAAATTAGCCTCTTGTATTCCTGGTATCGCTTCTCTGGCCTTTCAGATTTGAGACTCATAAGCTCGTCAACCTTGGCCTGTCTCGCCTTCTGAAGTTTCACAAATTGAGACAAGAGCTGAGCCTTTTTGTGTTTTAATGTGGGTACATCTGTTGTAGTCAAAGGAGCCTGCATGGATTCTGTAGTTTGGACAAGTCTATTTAGCTTCTTCTTCTGGACATACTGTGTAAGTTTGCGCAACTGGTGAGCTAGCTGGGTTGCTTGGATCTCCGTCTGGGCCAGCAGGACTGGGTCTGCTTCAGTGTGATCCAGCACGTGTTGTGTGCCGACCAGTCTCTTGTGAACCAAGTCAAGCTCGGTCTTCTTTTCTTTAAGATCCTGCTCTTTTTGTACTAACTCACGCTCGTAGCTACTTGCAAATCCATCAAATAACTGCGAGACAGCCGGAACAGAGCGATCATTGGCCAGAATAAATTTAAACATCGATTCAACCTTTTGGCGCAGACGAGTACGAGCAGCCATTTCAGTTCCAGAAGAATGCGGCGAGGACTGATCACCATCCTGGTGGCTGTGGCTGTTACGGGTCGATTCACGCTCGATTTCCATCAAGTAATCTTGGGACGTCATACCTTCTTCATTGGCAATCTCTGTACTTGCTCCTGCGTCTACTAATAGGCGAATAAGTTTTTTGTTGCCTATACGCGAAGCAATCGTCAATGCAGTATCGCCATAAACATCCTGTACATTAAGAATAGAAATCAACTCGGATCGATTATAAGCAAGCTTGTCAATAAGGCAGTCCATATAATAACGTGATGCATGGACCTTTCCCTTCCAGCTGGCTGTGGATGCCACATGGTGGAATACAGTTTGATCCTTCTTATCAATATTAAAGATGGTTTTTTGTAAAAGATCGAGTAAAAGTTGGAACGACTTTGTGTCAAAATTATTGGTGAAGAGGACACTACGCATGAGAGCAGTTTGGCCCTTGTAATTGACCCGATAAATATCTGCCCCTTGATCTATAAGTAGCTTCACTATTTGAATGCGACCAATGGCAGCTGCCCAGTGAAGGCTGGTGTGCCCCTCCTCATCAATAATCACATTCACATCGAGATCGCGTGGTGGGTGAAGTAAGAATGAGGGAGGTCCCTGAGTCTCGGACACAAAGTAGCGCAGCAGTCTTTGTGCGTATGTTCTCTCCACGCCCTCCTCTTCTTCACTATCCTCCAGCGCTTCTTCTACAGCTGCTCTTGGTCGTTTTGTGCGAGAAGATTGTGTGGGAGGTAGAAGGTGGTTGGAAGTACTGTTATTTGCATGGCTGGTACTTTCTTCGTTGAAAGTATTATCACGAACCATGGTTGAGCGAAACAAGGGAGATGGTGAAGGTGAGCCTGTCTCAAGTGAGATGGGTGGGTCATGGTCATGCAAATCACTGTACTGAGATGAAATGTCGCCTTCTGATACGTCTTCTTCGAGGCGTTTGGCTCGCTTTCGGCGGGTCTCACGAGGTTTCCGAGGGCGTACGGTAGCAGCTGTGACATGTTTGGGAGCAAGTGGGGGACTTTCATTGCCTTTAACAAACTGTAGGATAGGTTGAAGGAGATGGTCTACTTGGTATTGCTGGGCAAGGGTGACGCCTCGAATAAAGGGAACCCAGGTGCCTAGAAAATAATCATATATCAGTTGGTATGTTTTTATTTATTTATTTAGTTTATTTCCATTATGATATAGCTATCATATTAATGTAAATAGGAATATTTACCTTGATATTTTCCGTAACCACCCTGAACCTTTTCATGAAGACCTGTCTGCACTTCTCTCTCGAGGATGCGGGTTCGCTGAGGCTTGTCGAAATCAGCCACTTTTAGGATCTGAGTCGCATTAAGGTATGAATCCGAACGGCGTCGCATAACTGCAATGCCCTTGCACAGCATTTCATACACGGGAACGCCAGAATAGGTGGCTTTAAATATCTGTGGTTGGGACATGTATAGAATAAAGGAAGAGAAGAGTGTAATTGAAGGTGCCCTTGGCCGGTGCATGAAATTCACTTATTTTTTTGCGTTTATTTTTTTTTTTGCGGTCGCAAAGGCACGTGCCTCGGTTCTCTCTGTCTGTCTTCACCTGTCTTTTTTTTTGGTTCATCCCCTTTCTCTCTCTCTCTTTTTCTCTCTTTCTCTTTCTCTCTTTCTCTTGTCTTTCTATATTTTTTTTTGGTTTTTCTTTGTTATCTTTGCCTATTGTAAACTTACTCATCTAAATGTCATCTGATGCTGAGTCCCCCTCCGTGAACCACACACCTTCTACTCTACCTGGAAAGGCCAGTCAGGTTAAACTTGTTTTACTCGGTAAGCCCGGCACAATATGCCTATGACATTTAGTTTATTTGCAATACAGCGGGCAAAAAATTCATTTTCTGCAGGTTATCTTGCCGTTTGATTTTTATTAATTTATTTATTCCTTAATATCTATATACCCGGCTGTCAAAGGCGAATCTGCTGTAGGAAAATCTAGTCTTGTATTGCGCTTTGTTAACCGAGAATATGTCGATAACAGAGAACCTACGATTGGAGGTACATCTGAAATGGATGTTCTTTTGCGAGCAATGGTGGTGGACTGACACTTTTTTTTATTTTCTTTTTTTTTGTGCACAAAAACAAAAATAGCTGCCTTCCTAACCCAAAAATGTCATTTGAATGACCGGTCGATCAAATTCGAAATCTGGGATACAGCTGGTCAAGAGCGTTTCCACTCTCTTGCACCAATGTACTATAGAAACGCTCAGGCTGCTGTAGTTGTTTACGATATTACGAAATCAGTGAGTATAAAGGCAATATTTTGCTGAAAATATACATAAATAGGTCAAAGTACGTGTTTGAGTTTACAATGGCGTGTTTGTTGTGTATGGTTATTATTAGGCAACACTCGAAAAGGCTAAATCATGGGTCAAGGAACTCCAACGTCAAGCTCATCCTGAAATTGTAATCGCCTTGATTGGTAACAAACTCGATCTTGTCCAGGGCGAGCCTGAGAGTGAATGTCTCCGACAAGTTAATAAGGAAGATGCTCAGGCCTATGCTCATGAAGCTGGTCTTTTATTCTTTGAAACAAGCGCAAAATCGTCTGAAAACGTCGACCTTGTATTTGCTGGGATTGGTAAATTTCAGCATATTTCTTTTCTACAAAGAATCACATCCTGTATCTTGACGTACACTAACGATTAATTATCTTATTTCCTTTATGTGTGTCTGTGTGTGCCTGTGTACCGATAGCCAAAGATATCCCGCTCGAACACATAGTGATGCAGGGCCGAGGTGCCCACTCAACTCGTGGAGGTAATCTCAATGGTAGAGTTGACCTTAACCAGCAAGTATCTGGCTCAGGATCTAGCCGCTGTGCCTGCTGAGTGATTTCAACGCTGAGCAAGAAACATAAAACGCTAAGCCAAAAAAATACCCATCTTCCATGAATCAAGAAGTATCCCCCATCCCTGTTTACCTTCCATTTTTAATCACCCCTTCTTTATTTTTCTATACATAAAAATTCATTAATTCGAGTACTCGAGCCTTTTATCTGATATGTCAAGTTTTCACAAATATTCAAATCATGTTATTTTACACAATCATATTATTTAATACAAACACCCTAAAATTCAATACATAAACCAATAAAGCCAATAAATCAATAGAGAAATTGCGATGTGATTATCATTATTATAATTGTAAAAGTCATTTGATTCAGACATGGCTCTTATACTCATGCTCAACTTTGGCATGTACAACAAAATAAATAACAACTTTCCCACATTTTGTTTGGGTCATTCTTGCACGAAATTAATATCTTTCGCACCTCAACCCCTCTTTTCTAGGGCTTAGATTATTAGTATTATTATTATTTTTAGTTTCCCTGCCTGAAATTCTCATTCTGCAATTCATGGTAATTAGAGCTTGATGACCTTCTCCTGTAAATCCCATTGCCATCTTGTGGACCATTGCATTGAAATGACTGAACAAATAAAAAGGATATGAGAATTCACTATTCCGAATAGCCTCCGTTCTTCTCCGCTTTCTTTACACTTTTCCAACCTGCTTTAAATCACTCTTTATTCTATGAGTAAATGAGTGTAGGGCATATATTTGTCTGGATAACCCAACTACCCACACAATAAATACAAATGTATTGCTAGTAAATTTATTCAATTTATCACTAACTAGCATTAATTTATATACAATTACTGGACAAATAGCATTAACCTCTCAATAATTAACAGTTTGGAAGCATTATGTTCTCTATAACGTATATTATTGGAAAGTTTTATTTACTATATTTCCAAAAAAATTCTGTATAGTTAAAAAAATAAAATAAAAGCAAAGCCTTATCTATAAGATCAGCTCTAGCGATTTGGCGTTATCGCTTCTGCTGCTCCTTCGGCTGCTGCTTCTGCTGCTGCTCCTTCACTCTTTTTGATTGGTCAAAATTTCATCCATTTTAAGAAAATAAAGCCTCCTGATTTTAAGGCCCTTCTCCATTCACGACAATCATTATTTTTCAATGACGACCAAAGTTATTCTGGATCTTGTTTCTCAATTTAAGGCCGACAATGAGAAAGCATTTTGTATATTAATGTCAGCAGTAAAGGGGCTTACTGAAAAGGTCGAGTCTCTCCAACAAGACAATTTTAATCTCAAGGCAGATTTAAATGCCCTTCGCAAAGAAATCTCTTATAGTAAACCAAATTTTATAAATGATTCAATCGATGATCGCCTTGCTGTCCACAAAGAATACGGCATTTTTACTGGCATGGACTTCCCTGTCAGATTTCAGTTTGAACCAAAAAAACCGGATGGTCAAAAGATGAAATTTAGCTGGGCTATTTACCACCAACTTATTAAAGACGTCCTTGGACCAGCTTCCTCTAAACTGCTGGATAGTGGCATAGAAGCTTGCACAAAGAGTGTTAAGGATGGAAGGCTGATCTGTGTGGTTAAAGAAATAGTGTGTAAAGAACATGATATTCCTTTATCTACTATGTGGGGAGCCCTCTCAGCTGAGGCGCAGAACAGCGCGATTCTTCATTTAGAGGAAATGTCCTCTCCCCATTTGCCACTACGTGTATGCATTAGCAACTGGGGCGCTAAGCTTCTCTTAAGCAAGTACTGGAATTACGAGCCAAGAACCGCCAAAAAAGTCTATAGCGAGACCAACGCATCTACTACTTCACCCAACGAAGGTATATGTACATTATGCATGCAAGTACAACGATGGCCTATTAAGTCTAATATAGCCTATTTAGAACCAATTTCTGTTTATAATACCACCTCCTACCTGCCACAGTACCCACATATTAGGTAATTCCAATAATTGTATCAACAGCCAAAGCTTATAATTTATGCAAAGTAGCAATGATGTTGACGTGTATATGGAGGTTATGCAACACAACTTTGACCAGGGAGAACATCCGTTAAATTATCCTGCAAACGACTTGTTAGAGCATGTACAAAAGAAAAAGAGAGAAAATCCGCTGGTAACGTACAGTGGTAAGTTCCATTGGGTCTTCAAATTGTACTGCACTAAACCTGTCGCATTTGAAACAGAATATGATTTACCACATCCAATAGCTGCCCCTACTCGAAAACAGCGTTCAGACAAGGGAAAAAAACGTGGGGCCAACAAATGTATTCAAGCCTAAGGGGATCGAATTACGGATAAGCCATTGAGGCTTAAGATTGTACCTGTGCGTAAATATAAACAACTGTATACCCTGTCGAATGCTATTTAGCTGCATTCTAGCTTAACACTAGGAAGTGAAATCTGACTTTGACTATTATTTTGGTCAATTTGGGATTGATAAATCAATGCCGCCAAAAAGAGCTAAGGTGGGGTCGAAATAGTACCCTGTTTTCCTAGTGTGGCTCAGAGCAACCACTGAAATCAATAGTATATTTGGCTTTGAACAAGAGAGAGAGATATATATATAAGAGTCAGTGTGAGTATCTCGGTGTAATACATAATCATGAAAAACATGGCTTAATGATGGTAAAAACGCTTTTATCATTTTAGCTTATGTTAGTAAAATCAATGTGTAGAAAATTTTATATTGCAAGCCATTCAATCCACAAGACAACTTAAGTAAAGAGAAATAAAGAAAAATATTAAATAAACTTTTGGACGATCTCATATAAGAATAATTGTAATAACAATATCCTGAAAAAATTATAACGAGAATTATATGTCTGTGCGTATAAAATTGTTAGATTCGTGAATAGTAAATGCGAGACGGTTTTAACTCATACAAGACGTAAAATTAAAGTTAATAAGACTGTATTGAGATGACAGGTAATAAGTATATATCTCTTTTATATTCAACTTGGTTCAAACCAATGGTTATAGTTTGTGAGGTGCAAATAATCTAGCTCTTTGTTCCTTTAAAATAAAAAGTATTGGCCAGAAATAGGCACAAAGTCTCGTATAGTAAATTTTTGCTAGAAAAAACCTTGGTCAAAACCACGTATCCTCAACAACACAAGTATATATAATATAGCTAAGAGCTGTAGTCGTACGATAAGCAAGGCTTAAAAAAAAACTAATATTACATTAAACATATCACTCGATTAAAGGTAGAAATTACAATAGCTTCAGATGTACAATTAATAGAATATTATTTTCAAGACGCAAAATATGATATTCTACTCTTTTTTTTACTAGAAATGAGTCAATACCCTATTATTGATCAATAAAAGCTTCTTGTACTGGACCAAGTACTCGTCTAGCATCTTATTTATATTTAGATTTCCATTGTAATGATAGCAATTCAGATATCTCTTCAAGATATGCAGCAAAAAGTTTCCAAGGAACTTTTAGGGAAAGTAGAATACGTTGAATACACTTTAATATATTAAAAATTATAATCTCATTTATTTCTTCTTTATTTATAAAGGCCGAGATTGAGGAAGAATTAGATGCGTACCCGTATTTTTTTGGGCTAAAACGTGTATCCTATCTATACATTTTTCATATAGCTCTACCTTAAACAAAAAGGTGGATATATACGAGAGAAAATTAGTATTTATACCCCAATAATCAATATACTTATAATACATATTACTATTATTATTAAATATGCATGTTTGTTTTTGGAATATACCAAAAATCACAGTAAAATATTAGTGGGCTAAAAAGCTTATAAGAAGTGTGTCTTTGCTGAATATGATTAAAAGTTCGACAGATACCCTGGTTGTTCGCAATTAACTTTATTCATATATTAGCATAATTAGACTATAATTGAAGCTTAATGACCCATAGAAATGTTTCAAATCAATCATATATAATTTTGCCAGTCTAAAACATATAGCTGTATTTGACACATGGCATCGCGTCTTTTATAGCAAAGATATCTAACTAAAAAAGCCGCTAGAAAATCGTTGTTCAATTATTTCACTCAAAATACACGTATCGAAAATAAGACCAAGCGATCTAAACACTCTGTGCGTGTCAATTGTCATTTGAGGGAACTACATGCGAGAGCTAGCCATTTTATTTTAAGGATACCTTAAGCAAGTGAGGATGACTTAAAGTAAAATTTCACGACTTTTGTGTATCATAAATAATTATTTAGGATGATGCCAAATCTAATTATGCGGCAACAACTGGAGGGCCTATTGTTTATTGTTTTAAATAGCCATTTGATGATCTCCTTCTCTCGTTTTGCGCCCTTATTTTATTTTTATTTTTATTTTCTGTTCCCTTGCACTCACACTTTCTCAGTAGTACTAATGGTGTAACGGATCGACGGATGGTACACAATATCCGGGGATTTGAAAGGATTAAATATTCTTCCTAAAACGGAAAATTATCTCGATGCTCAAATATCTGACAACAAAATACATGTTACACAGTTGCCATAACTATTCTTTCTCGGATATCAAGGAAGAATCAACCCAAAGTAAAAATAGCACTTATTGTATAGTGTGTCTAGGGTTTAAAGGTTTAATATTGGAAATAGCAATACTTAGAATATTATATTATTACCTTCGTTCTGGGAGACAGTGTGATATTAAGATAAAATTATTTTCATAACAATATATGATGCAGTAATGACAATAAATATGGTCAGTATTGCTTTTGGATCGGAAACCGAATGCCTATCGAGGAAAAAGAAAAAGAAAATAAAATAAACGTATGCCTCTACAAGAGTAGGACTTTAAGAGAGTCTCTTTGAATAGTCTCGATCCATAAAAGCTACTAGTTACCAGAGACCCCTCCTTTCTGGCTTAACCATAAAATGCTTGGTGTAGAATGATAATATGCTAGTTTGCTATAGCTCATGCAGGGTTGTTAGTTCAGGCACAGACTAGTAAACAAATCAAGCCAAGAAAACTAACAAATTACCTGGTATTTGGAGAAACATGAGAACATGGCAAATATAGATATATATGTATATAAAGTATTTAAATTGTGGAAACACACATTAAAGTCAGTTCTTACCCACCTTCCTCTCCCTTTCATTTTCTCTTTCCCTCCCAGCCACTCCTTTCGCTCACCTTACAATCCTTTGGCTGTTATGAAGTTAACAGCAAGCATAGCCACTCTTTTAGCGGTCACCTTATTTACCATCACAGATGCCGCCTCTACCTCAAAAGCTAAACCTCTCCACTTCAATCTCGACGCCAATCCTTCGTATCGTCGTAATGCTACTCGTTCCGTCCTAAGAGCTCGTGGAAAGTACGCCAGTCATTTGACCGGCTTAACAGAGTTCTCTCGCCCAGGAGCTGTTGCTATGGCCGACTACGAAAATGATATCGAGTACTACGGCAATGTTAAGGTCGGAACTCCAGCCCAAACTCTTAAATTGAACTTCGACACAGGATCTGCTGATCTTTGGTTTGGTAATATATATACTTATACGTCTATGAGTAACCATTAACAAATATATATACTTTATTTTTTTTTAGCTTCTACTCTTTGTTCAAACTGTGGAAGCAAGCACAAAAAATTCAACCCAAAAAAGTCAAAGACCTATAAAAAAGACAGCACCAAATGGTCAATTGGCTACGGAGATGGATCTTCTGCTAGCGGTACTATGGCCTATGATACTGTTAATCTTGGTGGAATTTCCATCAAGAAGCAAGGCATAGGACTCGCTCAGAGAGAATCTTCCGCCTTTGTTTCTGATCCCGTTGATGGTCTGCTTGGCCTTGCCTTTAACAGTATAATCACTGCCGAAAACTTCAAGACTCCTATGGATAATATGATCTCTCAAAAGCTTATCAAGAGTCCTATATTCAGTGTCTATCTCGGAAAACAAGCTAAGAAAGGTGGAGGTGGTAAGTTTAATAAGGAACCTAATACTATTATACAGCGCACAAATTCTGAATATTATTTTATTTATTTATTAGAATTCCTCTTTGGTGCTTATAACTCTGCACATGTTGGTGGCAAGTTAACTACTGTTCCTGTTGACAAATCCCAAGGTAAAAAAAAAAGAAGAAAGGCAAAAAATCTTGTTATTTACATCTACCCAAATAATGTGATTGTCAAATCTAAAACCAAATGTATTTTTCATCTAGGCTTTTGGGATATCAAGATCAGCAAAATGACTGCTGGAAAGTCTAGTATTGGATCCTTCAGAGGTATCATTGATACCGGAACCACTCTTTTGCTGTTTACCGATGAAATGGCCGCAAAGGTTGCCAAGGGCTACGGTGCCAAGGACAATGGGGACGGTACTTACACGATTAATTGCGACCCTAAGAAGCTTTCTCCTCTCGTCATGACCATCAATGGAGCTAAATTCCAAATTCCCGCCGCCGACCTTGTGTTTGATAAGATAGGCAATACTTGTTACGCCGGTTTTGGATACGCTGGTCTTGACTTTGCTATTCTCGGGGATGTCTTTATCAAGAACAACTATATCATCTTTAACCAGAAAGTACCTAATGTCCGCATCGCACCTGTCAAATAAACAATATCAGCACCCGAAAAACTCTGTTAATTTTCTTTTTCTTTGATATTATTCATTCGCTTTTGTAATAAAATAGCTAAAGTTAATATTAAAGCAATAATCTTATTCATATATATGAAAATATAACAGCATTTAGAGTATAATCTTTATGATTAAGTAAAAATCTCGTTTTTATGAAAAATACCTAGTTCAGGGTTTAAAGAATTTTCTTTAAGTGAAAAAAAGTGACGATAATATCATATACATATATAGTTCTAACACTAAAGACAAAGAAGCTGATTAAGCACTTTTTTCTACTATATATACAAAGCAGAATTGCAGGCATGTGGAAGAAAATCTGATATTATTGCCTTTAATACGGACTTTTGGATTGGTTATTTTTGAATATAATTACAAGGAGATAACTAGAATATTATTAATAGTATAAAGTATATTGTTTTTCTTTCTTTAAAAGATTAAGTCAAAAACCATTTGAGCTTATAATGTATCAAACAAAGCAAAAATCTCTGACATGGTTTCTTTGTAATAGTGATCATTTATTAGCAGAAGAAAAAGGAATATAGTTACATGTAACAAATAAATAAAATAAAATAAATAAATAAATAAATAAATAAATAAATAAATAAATAAATAAAGGATATAAGAATCTCAATATGCTAAAGAGTATCATCAAAAAATAATATTATCAGTTAATGTCTCCTGGGAAGCAGGAATATATTGAGATAGCTCGAAAAAGCTGCTTATTTGACGGGAGCAATCTGGAGCTGGGGGACGGCTTGGTTGAAAACAACATAGTTGTTCTTGATAAAGACATCTCCGAGGATAGCAAAGTCCATATCAGCATAACCAAAGCCAGCAATGCAAGTGGAACCATCTTGCTCAAACACAAGGTCAGAGGCAGGAACACTGAACTTGGCACCGTTAATAGTGAATACCAAAGGAGAGAAGCTAGAGGTATCGCACTTGATGGTGTAAGTACCATCGTAGTTGTCGGTGGCACCGTAAGCCTTGGCGACCTTGGCGGCGACAGTGTTGGTGAGGATGAGGAGGGTGGTTCCGGTGTCGACAATACCGCTGAAGCTTCCCAAGCTGCTTGAGCCGGCAGTGAGACCACTGACACTAATGCTCCAGAAACCTGAAATGCTGTTAGTATATTTACCTCTAATATTAAGTTTTTATACTATTACCATCTGATTTATCAACAGGGACGGTTGTCAAGGTTCCACCAACATGGGCAGCGTTGTAGCCACCAAAAACGTACTCTATTAAAATCGAAGGATCATGTGAGCTAATAATCATTTATGGCAACATATGTGCGTACTGACATGTTTCTGTATTACCTCCGACATTAGTAGTGCTAGATTTTCCAAGGTAAACACCAAAGATAGGCTGGCTGATCAGACCCTGGCTGATCAAGTTGTCCATAGGGGTCTTGACACCAGAGGCAGTGATGATGGAATCGAAGGCAAGTCCGAGAAGACCATCAACAGGGTCGCTTTGGAAAGAGCTAGATTCCTTCTTGGCAAGCTCAATACCTTGATTAGTGATTGAGAGACCACCAAGGTTGACTGTGTCATAGCCAACAGTTCCACTGGCAGAGGATCCATCACCGTAGCTGATGGACCAGGTCTTGGTGCTGGATACGTAAGTGCTGGACTTGGCAGAGTTGTACTTGGTTTGACCAGATCCGCAAGAGGTGCAGAGAGTAGAAGCTACGCAAAATTGTTAGAAGCTGTCTATTATACCAGAAGTTTTATTTTATTTACCAAACCAGAGATCAGCAGAGCCAGTATCAAAGTCAAGCTTGAGAGACTGAGGAGGAGTTCCGACCTGAACGGTACCATAGTACTCAACATCACCCTCATAATCAACCATAGGAATGGTTCCAGTAGCAAAGGTAGTTGGGTCGTTGGAGAATCTGGCATACTTTCCCCTGGCCTTCAAGATGGCACGAGTAGCATTGGGCTTGAAGCTAGGGTTGCTGGTAAGAGTGAAGGTATGGGTTTTGTCAACTGGGACAGTAGAGACACCGACAGCAGGGGCAGCCTTAACAGCGGAGAAGGAGGCAATTGCCAAGAGAGCAGCAATGCTAGCAGAGAGCTTCATTGTTAAAGAGAAAGAAAGAGGATGAAGAGGATGTTTAGTGAAGATAATTTTTAACTGAAGGGGTAGCAGATGTACCTTTTATACTTTTTTTTTTGCTTCTCACAATTTATTATAGGTGTTGGATACACCGACTTGTAGACCTTTGCTTTGTACAAACATTATACCATTCAGATGTACACATAGTATTGCGCAATTCATCAACGTTCATTAAATTTGATAGAGACTAGCGTAGTAGATATCAATTGATCGAGATTCATGCACTAAAATTAGAATATATGTGTAATGTAACTCGAATATGTATCCATCTTTAGTTATGTCTTCTTTTGGTCAATATCGCTGTTTTGGTAACAGATCTTATTAATCTCACGGGTAATTAAAAGACGCGCCCTGGGAGCAGACTATGTATTATAGTGAGCTATTTTACACAAGGATTTTCTTTTGGAAAAAAACATTTGGGTACAATCTATAAGACCCTCTGTTTTATGAAGCCCTAAAGATTATTATATTTCACGCCATTCCGCTCGATTATTTTGATATCGTAAATGCTTTGCTCCGACATATCTAAATGGCCATGGTTACATTTGATACTCTACATATTTGTGCACCCAAAGTTTCACAGTCACCATCTCGTTGGTATCATATATTTCACTATTCTCGGATTAAATAACCCAAATAAAGTGAAATAATCCAAGCTTGTCTACCTATCATACGTTCAGATGTACAATATGCTCTTGTGTACATTTAATATATTTACTTACTCTTTTCCGCATTTAGTTATGTTCCCGCATTTGTAGATTCATTTCCATCTAATAGCACAATCTGAGCCAAGCGTTTTTTATTATACTTTATTTTCCCGAGAACCGGATGTTATTTTGGATACCCAAAGCCAAATGAGACATAACTGTGGTTCCAACAAAGGTTCAATTACCTTGAAAAGGAACAATAATAATAAAACCATCTCGGTGTAGACAGAGATCTATATTAAGGAGGGCGTTCTATATTCCGAGCAGCAATCTTACAGGGACGACATTTTCAGGATGGGGCATTATCTTTTTTTTGCTGGACAAATTTACCGTGACTACCTGTCCGACGCCCGGTATCTTTTCTCCAATCCTTCAGAGCGAAACGGTGTGTTATGAAATTCTTAATTCAATATTTAAACATTAAATCTTTTCTATTGTATACTCATGTCATAAGAGCTATTATTTAATTGTATTGGGAGAATACTATTTTTCTCGGAGATAACAAAGAAAGTACTTTGCTCATTGCAAGTTATCAATTAAAAATCATGATGTTAATAAGTACTTTTAAGAAACGCTAATCCTAGGGAGACGACATTTTGATTTTACCAGACCATAATTCGTGACTTGTTTTCCGGCATCAAGTAATTACATCTGGTCCCTAATGATTCATACTTACCTTAATAAAGCTACTTTAATACGAAAAGATAATAGCTTTGGCCAAGCGTAAAGGCACCATATTAAGTGTGTAATTTTATACATACATATCTACATTATATGTATACGTAATTTGATATATGGAAAGTATAATAAAATAGCTGCCTATCATTACACTTTAAGACGTTATAATCTAATACGAAAATATCGTCTCCCACACTCATTTGTCTGAGTTTATACTTTGGCCAAAACGTCGTCTCCCGAAAGGCACAACTTTTCGTATCTTACCCATTGAAAACAAGATCTTTGATTTGAATTTCTTTACTAAATACTATACTGAACTTATACTATCCTTTAATTTAATAAATATTACCTTTCTTTAATCTGTACTTAAGATAAAAAATAATAAAAGTTGCCAAATCTTCTTTAAAAAAGAAAAACCGTGTTGCAAAAATGCCTGAGGATAAATATAGTTTAATACATCACGCAGGTTATAAAGCATATCTAATAATTAGTTATGTTTATGGATACTCCTGCTATTCTCACGTTTAATTACCCTCTCCTCCCCTCCTCTCCACAGTCGGACAAGGTCTGCAATACCACTGTGTCCTCGTATATTATTTTGAGATGCACTCTCAGTGCAATATGGGAAGCTCACTTCCAATATGTATTCAACGATATCCCCTTTGTCAGCAACCGAATTGCTGCCATTGCAGTTTCGCACATTCGAAGACTCGAACTAGAAGAATTTCTTAGAAGAGCGACTTAATTTTTTAACTTCCTCGGTTTTGGGTGGACAGTTCATTCAATAAACAATACAAAAAATGTAATTTATATTTTTTCAAAAACTTTCATAATGGATATAATGGTAATGAAGCCTTGTATGCCTGAAAAAAGTTTGCATAACAGTTAAGCTAATATTCCTTTACAAAATTCATGTGTTTATTTGTTATTTTTTATTTTTATTTCTTCTGTAAAAACTCTTTTTTTTTTATTTCCTTACATGTACACGAGATATTTTATCAAAGATACAAAAAAATAAAAAGTATTCATAAAAGACCAAAAAAAGGGTCTCTAATTACATATATTCAGATAAAATATGAATTCAATAAAAGTTTTATAGAGAAAAATGAAAAAAAAGTGATTCTACAAGCAAATACAATATTTTCTTTTATTGAAAAAATGCAAATTTTTGAGATATTATGTTAGTTTTCTCATGATCAGGATTTTCAATTCACCCAAAACTTTTAACACACAGATTTATATCTGTATACTACTTGGATCCAAAGTTATATAGAGCCAACACTTGAATCAATTAAATAAATAGATAAAAATGCATAATATAACATATCTGAAGATACTTTGGTTAAATCCGTGTAACGCCATCCGACATTTATGCTTTTTAATTCGCTGGATGTAGGTGTAGCTCATCGCTAATCCCAGGGGGACGACGTTTTGATTTTGGTCTTGTTAAGGCCCTGGCTTGTGACACCATAAGTTCCTTAAGAGAATTTTGTATAACCCGCTGTACTAAGCATAAGCTTTGTATATGTTTTAATATTCAGGTTTAGGATTTCAGTTAATACAGCTTGCATGTAACACACAATGTACTTATCTTACTATTACTCTAATGCTTTGAAAATGGGGTTTACTTTGTTAAATACAGTAATGTCCCTGGAAATTGTCTACCTTTAATTTGATAAACTTTCTATGAAACACTCGTTTCTACCCTTTTATTCTATGCATGAAAAGCAATATCTACATTCTTTTTAAATAATAATAATAATGAAGAATAGTTTATTATAAAGTCCAGAAACATAGGTAGGATAAGTCAAGGACGAGAATAGTATTGATAAACTTTGAGAAATTTGCAAAACATTAGACATACATAATAAGCTCGTCTGTATTCCAAATTTTTTTTTGCATTATTTCAGGACATTTCTTTTCAATATATGCCTTAATGACAAACTGGGACCATTTATCTTAATTTGGAATAGTTAATGCAAAAAAAAACATTAATAGAACATGTTTTTAAATAGAACTACGATTATGCTTCTTAGGATACAATATTATGGCTATCATATAACATAGTAGAGAAAGATTAACCAGGTATACCAAAGTATATTCTCTATTGAAATAGCCATCACCGTTGTAAAAAAGTGGCTTATGTAGGTGTATTTATATTGAAAGTTAAGTTTACTATGGTTAATAATCATAATAGTAAAATAATAATAGTCATCTTGTATAACTTTTATGTGAGATAAGATGAGCTGAGCTGAGCTGACATGACTTAAATTTAATATCTTGACTAAGACATATATTTGTTTGCTTTTCCATAAGTAGAATAAAGAGATATTCTAAACAAGCAAAATTCACTATAAGAAGAGCTATACTTAAGGATATGATTGTATATTTAAGGGTTACACAGTCTATGTACCTTTTTTTTTGGCTTTTAGTGCATTTACAATAGTCAATCAATGTCTGACAAATTGATCGTTTAATTAATGTCAACATACGGCAATACATAGTACAAAGACTAGTCTTTACTTGAGTTAACTTAACTTTAGACTGAATAAGTCTGATAGTCAACATAACGAACATATTAAAGAAAAGCAACTATCAAGAGAGAGAGAGAGAAAAAGGATATATAAAGAGTAAGTACCAATACCTCAATTAACGATATCTGAATTCGACATCTACTCCATCCTCTACCCTTTTTTTAAAAAAAAATGAAGCTCTCTGCTAGCATCGGTGCTCTCTTGGCAATCGTCTCCTTCTCAGCTGTTAAGGCTGCTCCTGCTGTATCTACTGTTCTTAACGGGAGTTCACATACTTTTACTCTTACCAACAACCCTAGCTTCAAGCCCAATGCTACTCGTGCCATCTTGAAGGCCAGGGGAAAGTATGCCAGATTCTCCAACGACCCAACTACCTTTGCTACTGGAACCATTCCTATGGTTGATTATGAGGGTGATGTTGAGTACTATGGTACCGTTCAGGTCGGAACTCCTCCTCAGTCTCTCAAGCTTGATTTTGATACTGGATCTGCTGATCTCTGGTTTGGTAAATAAGGTTATATTTTTAGTGTTCCAGGCAGCTTCTAACAGTCACTTGTAGCTTCCACTCTCTGCAGCAGTTGTGGATCCGGCCAGACCAAGTACAATCCTTCCAAGTCTGGCACTTACAAGTCTAGTTCCAAGACCTGGTCCATCAGTTACGGTGATGGATCCTCTGCCAGTGGAACTGTTGGTTATGATACAGTCAATCTTGGTGGACTCTCAATCACTGGTCAAGGTATTGAACTTGCCAAGAAGGAATCTAGCTCTTTCCAAAGCGATCCTGTTGATGGTCTTCTCGGACTTGCCTTCGATTCCATCATCACTGCATCTGGTGTCAAGACCCCTATGGACAACTTGATCAGCCAGGATCTGATCAGCCAGCCTATCTTTGGTGTCTACCTTGGAAAATCTAGCACTACTGGTGTTGGGGGTAATGGAAAAAATAATCAATAATTACATACACTACAATACATAGCTATTAGCTCATACAGCCCTTTTTATTTTAATAGAGTACGTTTTTGGTGGTTACAACTCTGACCATATCGACGGTGACTTAACAACCGTCCCTATCGACAATTCTGATGGTAAGAATGCATATTTTTAATACCGAATTCTAAGAGTCTAACATTATACTAGGTTTCTGGAAGATTTCTGTTGATGATGCTACTGTTGGCTCTTCCAGCACAGGAAGCTTCGATGCTATTATTGACACTGGAACCACTCTCCTTGTTCTCACCCAGAGTGTTGCTGATAGTATCGCCGAGATCTATGGTGCTACTGATAATGGTGATGGTACTTACAACATCGATTGTGATACTTCCAACTACGAGCCTTTGGAATTCTCCATCAATGGTGCCACATTCAGTGTCCCTCCCGAAGATATTGTCTTCCAGCAATCTGGCTCATCATGTGTCGCCAGTTTTGGCTATGCTGATATGGACTTTGGCATTCTTGGCGATGTCTTTATCAAGAACAATTATGTTATCTTTAACCAGGAAGTTCCCGAGGTCCAGATCGCTCCCGTTAAATAAGCATCATCCTCGTTTAGACTTAGTATATTCTTTCCAATGAAGGGGTATTAGTTGATGACAATATTATTGTAGCACACCTTCCTCAACATACTAAGATTCTCACAATCTTTATTTATTTACTTATTTATTTATTTATATATTTGTTACTAGTAACTATATCCTTTTTCTTTTGTTAATAAATGATCACTATTAGAAAGGAATCCTAGTTTATTACATACTATCATTTTTTTATAATACTATATTATACCACTAATATTTATCAGAACTAGCACTGTAGTAAATGGCAGAAATTCCTACGATCGCGGAGTTGTAATGTCTGCCAATAGAATATTGGCTTTTAGTAAATTAAAAGTATTTACAGCGAATACTATTTATTGGAGTTAAAATTACTTTTTATCTAATCCAATAAAATCGTTTAAAGTAGCAAAATTATACCATTTTTAGGTACATATTTTCCTTTTATAACAAATTTGGACAGTACAATTCGTTAAATCTCAGATTATTTTTGCATATAATCCAATCAAATATTCTAAATATGGCAAATCTATACCTTCTTTTAGATATCTCTATTCTTATAATTGGTTCAACAAATACACGGTTTTATATTGGAATTTTATAGTTTTTATTGATCAAAATAATACAAGTTGAATATAAAGAAGTATGGAAAGAAGAAGTACTATTTTTTATGATATTTAGTAGCAGTTTAGGCTATAAAGCTACTAAATAATATACATATATCTATTTCTATGTAATACTTTTTACATTTTTTATCTAAAAAAAAGGCTATTCTCTAAGTACTATGATATTGATGAAGGTATGTATATTGCTTAATTGATTCTTTTTATCAAATAGTATAAACCAGCTTTGTGTTAACATTGTCATGTCTGATTCCTACTTTTGAAAAAACAGAAGACAGATTCCCTGCGATTCTCGAAATCTACCGAGATCTCAAATGAGCATGCGAGCAATCTTGACAACCAAATTGTACTTGATGCAGATATTTTTCTGTCAATTCTTCTCAAGTTACTTTCTTTTGTCAACTTTGCTGATTCGTATTTTATTAATACTAGCCTCCATAGTTATTAAGTGTGTTCCTTTTAGAGACTTTTAATAATTTTAGACCTTGTGAAAAAAAAAATAGAAACAAGTCCTTTTAGATGTACCAATCTAAATTGTTTGGAGAACATGGAAGGGTCAGAGGTTATGCATCGTTTGTGGAATCGGGATCTTGCTGCTGTCCTGAACTTCCGACATATACTTAACAACCTGAGATATGATGGGACTATACCTGTAAGGTTCACCCGCGTCATTCGGATTGGACGTATCAGAAGACAAGCATAAGAAAATCTCCAGGAGGGTCGTCGTTTGACAAAGACTGACTAGACTTCAAAGAAGATAAAAAATTCCGTCCTGGTTACCGCTTAGGACCCACCCAAGCGACCGCTGGTAATCCATTAGATTTGAATAACAATATTTAGTTTTTTAATGGGTTGAAAAAGCTAAGAAAAAGATGTTTTGCTTTGACTGCAAGAAACATGGTGGGGTAAAAAAAAAGTAGAATATAAAAGAGAGCGAGAGAGAAATTGGTGCTTAATTAAAACTCAAGTACAAGACACCTTAAACCCCGGAAAACTTGCAACAATTCACTAAAATCGCCTATTTTTTTTTCTATAGGGTAGTGCATTGAGTACTGTGATTTGCATCGAAATCGCCAGAGAAGTTGCTCTAAATTCACTCCGTTTTTTTTTGCTTTATAAAATATTGTACTAATATTATCTTGAACAAGTTTACTAAATTTTATAGACCACAATACGTTCGTAGTCAATAAAGTACATTCTTCTTGTGTCATAGCAATAATTTATCTACCCTTATCTTTCGACTACCCTTCTTTATACGAACAATATTGATTTTGATAACGCAGGTAGATTTATATTGTATATTTGAAAAAGAAACTAGAATACGAATAATTATGCCGATAATATTATGCTGGAAACTGGGATTGACGTATTTGAAATATGCTTGGTACTAATTTTTAGTCTCCTAAGAACTAGCAAGGTCATTGGATTTTATTGGTCCAATGAGAAAATATGCAAACAGTTTCAAAACTTAAAAAACTATAAATCTAATAATCATTCTGATTTCTGATTAAATTCTGTTCTCTTTGATTACAAAAAATAGGTCCAAAAGGAAACAGCTACCCTAATATCATCCAGCACAAATTTATTTAAAAAAAATGCCATGTCTTGCTCACTTTGAAGAAGCAATCATAAGCAATTATAAAGGAAAACAGACAGACTACAATCTCATCCAAAGTACCATGTATAAACAACACTCACTACGACCGATATTTCTGACGATGAAAATACAATTTTGAAGATTGATATGATAAATATGCTATGAATAACTATGACAATAATAATATCGAGTGGAACGAAACGGATGATATGTATTTCGATAACCAAGGTGTAACCCGTTATCTATATGCGAATTTTGTGCAACAACATATTATCTGCGACAAATGTCAAACTCTCGGTGGAAGGCGGCCTTGAGGTATTGTAAAGTGTAACTGAGCTGTATTGAATCAGAAATATTTTTTATTTTATACTCACTCATTCCAAAACCTTTAGCTTTTATTTCTACCAGAGAATAAATTGCTACCAGAATCAATCCAGATAAGCACAATTTTGGGAAAAATTTGTTCGGAACCAACCCTGTCCTAAAACTGCATAAAAAAATCATTGAAAAAGGATAACCGTTTCCAGCTACTCAGTTTTGATGCACTTTTGAACTATCAGAGCAGGAAAAAGTCCAATCTCCCTGTGCTCGCTTCGACACCTGTGACGATTAGTTTGTCTGATAACAAGTCTATCTTCGCGTATGTAAACATTCCCTCCGAGAAATTGAAGCTGCTTTCCGCGAACCCTGTTATAGCAAAGTCCATGTTTTCCATGCCTGACCGTACGTCTGACCAGTTCGTACGCTTACAACAAGGCGAAAAATGGAGAACGCATAGGAATTTCCGGCCGCTGATATTTACACATAACGAGATTGACTTTTGGTCTGGTTATGTTTTTGAGTTTGTCGGCGGCTCTACCAACATCCATTTCTTGGTAGTATTTTCATACGATGGGAAACCCTGCTGTGTATATTTAAGGCTACATGGCTTTAACTATCTAAAGCGGTCATTTCATTGCCATCGAAGTCAACCCTACTAGCATAAAGCTCGAAACTCTTCTCGGTGTTGACTCGACCCCTGTTAATGTTGCCCTATGCTACAGCGTCTCTCCTGGGAAAGTGTTCCATTTGATTTCCAGGCGCAAGACCTTGCTGGAAGAGCCCCATTTCTTAAAACGACATGTACTATACGAAACCGGAAAGCCGATCGATCCAAAGTTGTTTCATAAGGTGAGGATAGCGCCCATTATACTCTTCACCGACGACACCTCCGGAAACCGATCAAAGCAGTATAACCCGTACAAAAGCTGGTCGATGAAGTGTGCTGCTCTCTCCTACGAAAAGAGATATTCAATTGAGAACATCCACTTTCTCTCTGTGATCCCCAAGAAAAAGAGGGCAAGTGGAATGTCCTTGTTGCCTACAATCGTCGAAGACTTCAAAAGGCTTGAAAACGGACTGATGATGTTCTCTACCCAAGACAACGAAAACGTCCTAGTAGCATCACCACTCCTTTGGGTCGAAGCTGACACACCATGCCATTCCGAACTCTGTGGTCTACGTGCCTCTACTTGGCTGTACCCATGCCGGAAATGTTACGTGGTGTTACAAAGAACTACTGAAAAATTGAAGGATGAGGTACACTATATGGGTAGACATGATAGCAGGACCAAGGAACATTACTTAATTGCTGCGTCTACCCTGGACAGAAGTTACACCGTACCAGATGCTCCCCTGACTGGTAAAACTTTTAAAGCAAGTAAAGTAAGCTTCAGAAATAGGGCAACTGATGCATTTGAAATGGAGTACAGTAACAATAACGATTCGATATGTTTCAATTTAGGATTGTTGAATAGACCCGCTATTTGTATTGTTGTGCCCCCGTAGTTGTAGCGGGACATTTGGTCCGTACCGATCGTAAAATAAGAAACATTATAACTAATAAATAAACCTTTTTTCTGTAAAAAAAAATCCCGTTTTAAATTTTGATAATTGATTCGTGCCTTCAATAAAATACATTTGTAAGGCGCACAATTCGAGAAAATAAGGCGCATTCTTGAGATAATTCTTTTTTTCAGTTTTTTATTCATAAATAAAAAGTTGAGCATACATTATATAAAAAAATAGTGCCAAAATGTTTAATAAGTTAATAACCTGAGAATACTTCTGTGCTGTTTATTTGAAAAGAAGTTCCATTCATAACGGTTAGTAACTCTTAAAAATGCATCTTGTATAGTGTGTTTTACTGTCCCATATATTTACTTATCTAACTTATATTTGACTCGTCATGACTATTTAAGTCTAAGTTACTATTTCCTTGAGATTGGTTACTCTTGAGAAATCAACATACTCTCATTATCCCCCACCAATATTGAAAAATGATCTCACTATTTCCAACTGTCGGTATAACCTTAATTCAATAAAACTCAACCAGATATTCAAAATCCCGTCAACTATCGTATTATGATGAAATCCAGATAATAGAGAGGGTGTCGAGTTATGATAATTTCAAGATGACTAAAAAATAATTATTTGTGAAACCCAATCAAAAATAAGAATAAAGCTCAGACACAGTTATGAATATTATAAGTTGAAAACATTGATACTAAGAAATTTAGAGGAAATAGACCTTAATAAACTTGACTTTCCAAGGCCTATTTTATTAAGTAAGTATGAAGAAGATGCTACTGGCTATCATACATTTTGTTTTGAAGTGGGAAAAATAAGCCCAATTTTTACTAGAAATTTAGTGAGCATTTGAAGTAAAAAATCAGGGATTACCTAACTTTTGGCTTCAAATGCTCACTAAATGGTCTCCACCATGAAATTTGCAAAACAAGTATTGGAATTTAATTCGCCGCGTAAAATAAAAATTTGCAAACTGCAATTCAGGCTCGAAGACACCCTCTCTAATATACTTGTATAATTTCTGCTTTTTTCGCTGCCTTTCATTTACTGCTAACTATTGCTTTGATATATACAGATATATATTTACTCATGACTACTTAGCTCTTTTTTCTATATACTTGTGCAAGCAAAAGTAAAAAAAAAAAGCTTTCTCTTGTGCTCTTGAACAAGAAGTGCACAGACCAGTTTAGAGTAACCTACAAATCGCCGTTACAGAATTTTGTACTCCATCTTTTGAGCCATTTCTATACCGATCAAGACCAAACCCTCCATTACTTCTTTAATTCTTTACTCCTTTACTTTACTTTACAAAGTCGCTTTCATAAGTACTTTGAGTAAATATTATTAGCCGCCCTTTCTTTTGTGGAGCAGTCACACAATCTCAGTAAAAAGAATATACAGTCATATCACGTTTGCACTGACGTGGGCATCTAAGACTGACAAAAGGCGCAGTCCTAAACTTTAATCTCAGATAAAAAAGTTTTTGTTACATATACAGACCCATATCAGTACTGAATAAAATTTTAAGATTCCGCCAAATCAAGGCATCACCATTACACTACTTTTTATTTATTTTTTCAAAGCTTTTCCTCATTCGAATCTCACCATGTCTCACCAAAACAAAAAGGAAACTCTTCCCAAACGAAAGCAGCTTTCAGATTATCAAAGAGGACTGATAATTGGTGGTGCTATAGTAAATGGCACTGCTGCTGAAATTTCTGAGAAGAATGGTATACCTCTAGCAACGGTGTATTCCATAATCAATAGATGGAGAGATACTGGAACCGCATTTCCTGATAAGCGAAAAGGAACTTTGAAGATAATGGATGAGCGAGATGAGCGTCACTTGATTAATGAGATGAAGACGAATCGTGAGACAACACTTGGGGGTCTTACCACCTTCATGTCTGACACCCTAGGGCATCCCATCTCCAAGTCTACCATTCGTCGAACTATTCGTAGATCTGGATTGTCTTCTTGTAAAGTTGTATACAAGCCACTGCTATCAAAAACACACAAGAAGAAGCGGTTGGCATTTGCTAATCATGCCAGAGAGACCAATCAGAGATGGGATCGCGTCATCTAGAGCGATGAGTCAAGGTTTATGCTTTTCAGTAGAGATGGCAATACTAGAGTATGGCGGTATCCTTAAGAAAAATACAGAGAAGAGTTTATTAGACCAAGACTGCAGTGTGGTGGAGGCTCCATTATGGTTTGGGGCTGTGTATGGGCAGGAAGAGTTGGCCCATTGAAAACCATAAAGAACACGCTTGACCAGTATGCATATATGGACTTAATGAAAAGGAAGCTTCTTCCATTTATGGAATCTCTTAGTGAGAACAATGATGGGGAGTTTATCTACCAAGAAGATAATGCTCCTTGTCATAAGTCTAAGCTTGCAGAAGAGTGGAAGAAGCGTCAGAACTTCCCAGTGATGGTATGGCCGCCGAACAGTCCAGATCTCAGCCCCATAGAGAATTTATGGGCATATCTTACCAGAAAAGTGAAAACCAGAGTCCCCTCTCCAAAAAATCTTAATGAACTGGAGAGGGCTATTCATATAGAATGGAAGAATATTCCGGCTGACGTTTGCAAGTCACATTGCATGTCAATGCCTAATCGCTTACATGAGATGAAGAAGGCTCGTGGAGGGTCAACACATTATTAATTTTTTTAATAAATTTACTTTTTATTTTTTTAAGAGCCATATCTTAGTATATATATGTTTTCAAACATGGGGTGTTAAGTGAATATAGACAAACTAGTGTAAGAATGTTAAAGAAGTTGATGCCTTGATTTGGCGGAATCTTAAAATTTTATTCAGTACTGATATGGGTCTGTAGAACCCCTCCAACGCGTGTCGTTTGTTTTCTCCTTGAGCAACAACAGTCCCGGTTTCATAGTGAGGCGTCTCTTGCGACCGTTGCAGGGAGATTCTTCCATGCTACAAGCATCGGAAAGTGAAAGTTGTTACTCGCCAGCTCAGTTAATTCTGAGAAGTCGTGGGGCATGGTCTCTTTTCATTTTTGGAAGGACTACTGTGTACATCGCATCGCCAATGTGGAATCATGATGCTGGGGGGAGGGAGGTCTAACCTGTGGTGAGATGTGCTGGCTCTTCACTACTAACCTGACTGAACTCTTTAACGGCTGACGGTGAAGCTACTGGTAGTCGAATGAGCTGGGCCTTATCACCTAGTAGTAAGTTCTCTGGCGAGTTCGCACCCACATTACTCGGTGACGAGATGTGGGGCTGGATGAACGGGTGCTTTCCGTTGGTTTGCCACCATTCCAGCACCTCCTTCGCTACCAAGTCAGGTTTACGTCCTGAAGGAGATTGAGCCGCGTAATGCGGGGACAAAGAACTTGGTGTTATGCTTTTTATTATTTTACTCATGTAAAAGAACATTAAGTGAAATTAAATCAAATAGAATAGTTTCTTTACGTACATCTTTAAATAAATAAATAAGGCCTTTCTTAACTATTGTCAACTTTAATAAAAAAACACGCTTTTAAACTTTTTTTTGCTTGATTGAAGAGTTCAATGTTGTAATTAGGAGGGCTCATTAATAAGAAGAAATTAATCTAGTCGAATAAATCTGAAAAGAAATGAAGTAAAAACGTAGTCTAAGTAATATAATGTGTGAGCTCTTATCATTATGTCAATCACCGTGTTTAACTATAGATGCCGTTTTTGTTTATAAAGTCTGTAAGGAAAATTCAGAATAATTCTTGAGAATGACCATGGCACAAAATATATATTATTGAATCTGGCTAATCCGGATGGTCATTGTAAAGAGAATGTGTTTTAATGAGATAAAGAAAAAGCAGAAGAAATGCGAAAATGCGAAAAATGATAGACGAAAAAAAAATGAAAAGAGATGAGAGGAAATAAAGAAATGCGTGTTTGAAAGAGACACATAAAAGACTGTGTGGGTTGAATATACAAGTAATGTCCCCATTGTATTTATACAGCGTGCACAAAAAAGTTCAATTTGGATATATTTATGAAACGATAATCCTTATCTACCAATCTTTTTGTACTTTGAATTTCAGTGAATGCTTGGTATCCTCCATTATTTATTACATACACATATGCCCAATTATATTCACAGTGCAAAATGTTATTTGAATTCAAATAAGAAGAGTAAACAAGTATTGATAAGCTACAAGACATAACCTTCAATATTCGTTATAAAAAACAATTCGCCAAAGATGTACAGGCAGTTTTTATATTACGGTCCTCAAATATAATCTGACAGACATAAAGTACATTGAATAGCAAGGAGTCTCTATTATAAAATAAGCGCATTTTCATATTGAGTTACATCGAGTGGGAGTTTACATGCCAACTATTACAGACAATTTGTTAATATAGTTTGTGTGTTGTCATTTTTTTATTTTTGCTTAGGTGCAAGTGCTCAAAGGACACTCACTTAAATGGTAGGTTGTATATGGAGAAAGAGAGAGAGCGAAAGGACGGCAAGGTAGAATGAGCAAACTAAGCTGTCCTACCTGAAATATATAAAAAAGAAGACATCCGAAAACACAAATTAAACAGTTGCAGTACATATATTTACTCCAAACCATAAAATCCTCTTTTTATATATAAACTGCTTAATCAATCGGTTGTGGTACAATAGACAGTAGTATTCTTAAGCAAGCCTTTGAACGCCTATATGAACCGGTGACTTTCCTTGATGATTTTGAAAACGTTTAATAACTGCCGTTGTGATCTTTTTACTTACTACTGATAAACATTTGTGTCTTTTTCTTCTTAAATCTCAAATTTTTTATTAGCTCTATCCCCACTCTTATTACTAGTACTATGCCTGTGTCTACTTTAAAGCAGCCAAGAATTATTGAACTTCCTTTTGAGATCATTATCTTGATTTTATCAAGCTTCAGTGAATATGATATGAAGCAATTCAGCATGGTAACAGCCGCAGCATCATTATATATCGAGCTCTAAATACTGCACAGACCTGTCACAATTTTAGACAGTTAAGCTTGGATCAAGAAGTTTGGAAAGCAATGTACAAGACTAGATTTACATCTGGTAAAGAGAACACTCTTCGATCCAATACCAATTCGTTATGGAAGCAGAGTTATCTCAGAAAAGGTATATATTCTATAATTATCTACTAGTATGATGGTCTAATGATATTTGATTATGTACACACACACACACACACATACTGAAACATGTATAAAACTATTATTTCTATCTTTCTTTTGTAATTACTTTTGTGTAGCTACTCTACGACTATCGGCTGTAGATGATATGGAGATACCACACATGAATACAGAATATTGGGAGATTGTGAAAACTGAATCCAGCATTTATGGTCATGTAGCCAGATTGGATTTCGTGTGTTGGTTCAAGGTAATTTTAATTAAAGTCCAAGTCTGACAAAAAATAACAAGAACAACGATCTAATCAATCATATATTCTGATTAATTTTGTTCAAGATGATTGGAAATTTAGAGTCTGTTCCTCCTGGAGAATACAAAGTTCAATGGAGAATACGTGCTACTGGTAGGGCTGCATGGAGTGGTGCCATTAACCTCAGGGATTCTTTAGAGGTAAATATAATAATTTTATAGTTGTATTAGCATAATAGTTTATTTTTAGAGCACTTATGTCTCTCAGTATTAATGTAAAGAGCTAATGTATTTTTGTATATAGGAAGCTTATGAGGATACCACAATAACTGAAGACACACATGATATGCCCTACGGCCTCTATTCAGATCCATCAATAATCGGTTATGATTGGCTAGTCCTTACTCTTCCTGGAAGATTCGTTATAGACAGTAAGCTTGGATTCTCGAAGGTTTACTTTAGTCATGATGATATAAGCATATCATGGAAATATAAGCTGGTAAATTTTAAATACACACACACACATATATATATATATATTATCTTATAGCTCACAATCAGTATAACCTACTCTTATTATTATATATAAATAGGACTTTGATTGGGTTCGACTTGTTCCTGTATCTCGTACTAAAAATTATGCTGACTCGAAACTATACGTCAAAATGGACAATGGCAACCACATGGTTTATGTACATGACGATTCAATTTTCGGAAATATCTACAGATAATTTTGAAATAAATAATAAAAAAGTTAATTGAAGAAATTTTTCAAGAGAATTCCTTTTTCTTAAAGAAAAAACCAAACTCGACTTAAATAAGAATCTTCAAACCGAATACTTTGTTTGGTTGTGTTCTGTACAACTCTGAAAATTTGATTCTACCAACCTCTTTAACTACTACTACTACTACTAAAACCCTTTTTATATATCTAACTTTGAAGAGATTGAGAAAAATATTTTTTATCAAGAAAAGATAAAACATTAATTTATATCGATAGAAAAACTCCTATGTAATTGTTATATTTGAAGTGTTTAATAAAAAATATTTCCAAAATCGTTCATACTGTTTAGAAAGTATTGTATTTCGGTAATACTTACTGAATATTACAATATACATAGCTAACAAGAGAAAAGAAAGGCATTAAATTAGAGCAACGTCTCCAGTTATTCCATTGTAAGTTATGTTACTCTATGTATTAGTTCTGGTAAATATTAGTGGTATAATCTAGTATTATAAAAAAATAAGAATATATAGTAAACCAGGGTTCCTTTCTAATAGTGATAATTTATTGGCGGAAGAAAAAGGATAAATCTACTAGTAATAAATAAATAAATACTGTAAGAATATTATTCTGTTAATGAAGATAGGTTCAAACAACATTCGCTATCAGCTAATATTCTTTCAATAAAGCGAATATACTGAAACTAAACAACTATGGTGCTTATTTAACGGGAGCAATCTGAACCTCGGGAACTTCCTGATTAAAGATAACATAGTTGTTCTTAATAAAAACATCACCAAGAATACTAAAATCCATATCAGCATAGCCGAAACTGGCGACACAAAATAATCCAGATCTCTGGAAGACAATATCTTCAGGAGGAACACGGAATGTGGCACCATTGATGACGAATTCCAAAGGCTTATATTTAGAAGTGTCACAATCAATTATGTAAGTACCGTCACCATTATCAGTACCACCGTAGGACTCGGCAATACTATCAGCAATGCTCGGGGTGAAAATAAGGAGAGTAGTTCCAGTATCAATGATAGCATCGAAGCTTTCTGTGCTGGAAGAGCCAATAGTGACATTATCAACAGAAATTTTCCAGAAACCTAATATAATGTTAGTATCTTTGAATTCGGTATTGAAGATATGCGTGCTTACCGTCAGTGTTATCAATAGGGATGGTTGTCAAGCTACCATCGATATGGTCAGAATTATAGCCGCCAAAAACGTACTCTATTAGAACCCAAGAGTTATGTGAGCCAATGACCATTTATTGGAGTATATGTATGTATTGATAAGTTTTGTATTACCTCCAACACCGGTAGTGCTAGCTTTTCCGAGGTAGACTCCAAATATAGGCTTGCTAACCAGACCCTGGCTAATTAGGTTGTCCATAGGGGTCTTGATACCAGGTGCGGTGATGATAGAATCGAAAGCAAGTCCAAGAAGACCATTAACAGGACTACTTTCGAAAGAACTTGATTCTTTCGAGGCAAGCTCAATGCCTTGGCCAGTGATTGAGAGGCCGCCAAGGTCGACTGTATCATAACCAACAATACCATTGGCAGAAGATCCATCGCCGTAACTAATAGACCAGGTCCTGATGCTAGGCTTATAGGTGCTAGACTTGGAAGGGTTGAACTTTGTATTGTTAAGTCCGCAGTCGATGCAGAGAGTGGAAGCTACAAGTGGCTGTTAGAGGCTGTCAGTCGCACTAAAAATATATTTCATTTACCAAACCAGAGATCAGCAGATCCAGTATCAAAGTCAAGCTTGAGAGACTGAGGGGGGGTTCCGACCTTAATCGTGCCATAGTATTCAACGTCACCCTCATAATCAATCATAGGAACAATTCCAGTAGCAAAGGAAGTTGTTCTGTTGGAAGATCTGGCGTACTTCCCCCTGGCTTTCAAGATAGCACGAGTGGCATTGGGCTTGAAGCTAGGATTGTTGGTAAGAGTGAAAGTATGGGTACTTTGTTTAGGAATAGTAGGTACTAAATGGGCACAATTAACAGCTGAGAATGAGGCGATTGCCAAGAAAGCAGAAATGCTAGTATATAGCTTCATTTTTAAGAAAAAGGGAGATAATTAAGGATATGTTAAATGAGGGTATTATTAGTTGAGGGGTCCTTATCTGCCCTTTATATACTTTTTGTTTTCAACCTCGATAGATGTTTTAATTTGATATTTTTATTATGCTGCCTAGCAGACTTTTGCATTCTGCACTTCCTTTAATGCAAGTAAAAGATGGTCTTTTCATGATCGATCGCAGAGTGTTGATATTAATTGAGCTATAAATTTGTCAGACATTGATTGACTATTGTGAACGCACTAAAAACCAAAAACTAAGATAAAAAAGTACATCAAGTTTCTAATCCTTTAATCTACACACACCCTTAAGTCAAGCTCGGATAGTGAGGTTCACTTTTTAGATTCTTTTTTACTTTGGAAAAGCAAACAAATATACTGCTAAGCCAAGAAATTATACTTAACTTTTGGCAGCTCAGCTTATCCCATTTCATATAAAAATTATATGAAATAGTTAACCGTAGTAAATTTTGTGTTCGATATTTATACATCTACACAGCTTACATTTATAAGATTGTGATTACTACTTCAAAGGAGAAGCTACTTTGGTATATCTGACTGGGCTTTCTTTATTAAATTATATGATAATCCTATTGCTGTATCTTAAGCACCACAATTGTATTTTCTATTCAAAGAGGTATGTTCAATTTTTTTCAGCCTTAACTATTCCGGATTAACAGAAATGAACCCAGTTTGTCATTAAATTATATATTGAAATCCAGGCGAGCTTCTTATGTATGTCTAATGTTCTGCAAATATCTTGACATTTAGTAATACTATTCTCCTCCTTGACTTATCCTGCCTATGTCTCTGAACTTAATAATAAGCCTTTTTTTGTTTTGTTTTTTTTTAAAAAAAAAGAATGTAGATATTGCTTCCCATGCATAGAATAAATGGGTAGGAACAGGTGTTCCATTGAAAGTATACCAGGTTAAAGTGAGACAATTTCTGGGGATAGTAGTGTATTTAACAGAAAGCCTAAACCTGAATATTAAAACATATACAAGGCTTATACTTAGTACGGTGGGCTATACAAAATCATTCTAAAAAAAAACTTGTAGTGTCATAAGCCAGGGTCTTAACAAAGCCAAAATTTATTAAATAAATATATTGGCATGATACCCTATATATAAACAAGTTGATTATATCAACTTATACAACTAGCTTTGTCTTGTACTGACATTATAGTGGTTTATTTATTATATAACAGCATATCAAGCCTTGGTCCTAAAATGTATAAATTTGGGTATTTTAAAAATGATGTATACGTACTAGAAGTATTCTTAACCCTTGTTTGTTTAAATAGACCATAAGAAATGTTATATAAATATTAAACCCCCCCTTTAAATTTAGTAATACATGTCTATTCAAGGTTGAAAATATCTTTATGAAGAATACCTTCCTGAAGATCTCTTTATCTCTTTTACCTGTTAGATATCCATTCGGTTCTAAAAAAAGAGTATTTTTTTATTAATAATATGTTTCCAATATAGCTCAATATAGCTGAATTATTACATTATATATATATATTATTCGCTTATACGTAGGGCTTATTCATTGTAAATTCCAAATAAATTAAATACTATAGAGAAAGCTATGAATTAATTGGAAACTTAAAGTAATATGTTTGACTATGTAAAGTATTTTGAAACATATTTTCCTTAAAATATAATCATTTATTGTTAGTATTATTATCATTTAGAAAAAAAAGCCGAATATTTAATATTGATAAATATATATATTGCTGATGTATAAATTTCAGTATACTAAAAACCCCGTTTAAACTAATATTAATATTAATTAGTATGGCTTTAGTATTAAATCTGAACTAATAGGAACAAGAGAAAAAAAAAAGCTTATTTGATGGGAACAATGTGAGTCTCAGAAATCTCCTGGCTAATTATAAGATAGTTCTTCTTGATAAATCCAACTTTCAGAAAAGTAAAGTCCATATCAACATAAGCAAAACTAGCAGTGCATGTGAAACTATCCTCTTCAAAGGTAAGGTCTGAAGCAGGTACATTGAATGTCGAACCCCAAAATAGCAAATTCCCAGGTTTAAATCTAGAAATGTCATAAGAAATTGAGTAAGCGCTATAATAATTGTCACTTGTGTCATAAAGGCTAGTAGCATTAAAGGCAATATCATCAGTAAAGAAAAAAATAGTGGCTAGATTATCTATAATAGAACTAAAATATTTTGGGTTGGAGGAACAGACAGTGAGGTTATCAACAGAAACTTCCCAGAAACCTTATGGAATGTTAAGTATCTATGAATTGGGTACTAAAAATATAAATCCTTACCATCAGAACTGTCAATAGGAACAGTAGTTAAGTTACCATTGATATGATCAGAGTTGCAACCGCCAAAGACATACTCTATTAGAACCAAAGGGTTATGTGAGCTAATAGTAATTTATTGTAGTGTATATACGTATTGATAGTTTTTTATCATCTCCAACATCATTAGTGCCAGATTTTCCAAGATAGACACCAAAGATAGGCTTGCTGGTCAGACCCTGGCTTATCAGATTGTCCATAGAGTTTTTCTATCAGAGGCAGTGGTGATTGTATCAAAGGCAAGGCCGAGCAAACCATAAATAGAACCGATTTGAGAAGAATTTAATTTCTCCTTGGCCAGTGATTGAGAAGCCGCCAAGGTTGACTGTAGAATGGCCAACAATACCACTGGCAGAGGATCCACCTCAGTAGCTGATTGATCAGGTTTTGGTGCTAAGCTTGTGGGTGCTATATTTTCGAAGAATTATACTTAGTCTGGCCAGATCAACAACCACCGGACAAGTGGAAGGTACAAGTGACTATTAGAAGCTGTCTAGCACACTAAAAATATAGTCTTATTTACCAAACCAGAAATTATCAGATCCACTATTAATGTCAAGCTTAAGAGACTGAGAGGGGTTCCGACCTTAACGGTACCATAGTACTCAATCATAGGTACAATCTCGACAGTAAAGAAAGTTGGTCTTTTGAAGAAAATGGCTTACTTTCCCTTGGCCTCCAAGATGGCACGAGTACCATTGGGTTTGAAACTAGGGTTGTTGGTAAGAGTGAAAGTATGGGTACTACCATCAAGAGCAATAGAAGCACTGGTAGAAAGTGCGGCCTTAACAGCTGATAATGAGATAGTTTCTAAGAAAATAGCAATTATTGAAAAGAATTTTACAATAAATACAGAAGAACCGTAGAATTGAAGATCGTTTTTAATTATAAAACGCATACCTATAAATTTCATACTCTTGCTTTTTACTACAGTTAACGGAAGAAAATCACCCCCCCCCTTTTTTTTTTAAGTTTCCGAATTTGTCAAAAGTATGTAGTTGGGGTGGACAGATTGAAAAGGTCAAAACATGGTCAAAAACGGTTGAGATAAGGTTATCCAATCAAAATAATTCTCGTCTGTCTATACCATTTTTTTTTAGATCGCCAAACTTAGTTCAAGGTACACAAAATAAAATTGAATGCTCATAATACAATTCTTTCTATATTACATAAGTCTACTCTCAATGCAATTAAAATAACTAGATACTAGTTAATCAGAGCTGTTTGAGCTTTTTTCTGATCCTTGTCTTGAAATGTCAATTTTTTTTAACCGTTTCGACTTGTCCATATCGTGTATATTAAATGTTTACAAAACCGATTGAGTATTTGTTTTATACTTTTGTGTTATATTCTATTTTTAATTTAAATTGCTTTTCCACATGCTTATTAATTGAAAGAAAATACATTTGACTTTGCAGCCCGTAAAACAGCCCAATGTAAGTAAAGGTTTCATACAAATATATAATACTAAAAGAGTAGTATATATAGAAGTTTGTGTATGTCCAATATAAAAGAAGTGAATAATTAAGCCTATATTATTTATAGCTTAATCTATAAGTGTGTAATAGAGATCTTTGATTGTGGAAAAAAAAAGTGTATTTTTCGACCCTGATATACGGGTGATAAATTTTGAGATAGTGAATCAACTTCAGGGTTTATATGATTCCGTATATTTCCAAGAATAATTCGTTTTAAAGTGTTTTTTTTTGGTGGCATGTCTTTCCTTTTCTGTGCATATACCACATTGCGTTTCATTTGAAAAGATATAGGAGAATATTATTATCGTTTTCAACGATTCGCTGAAGAAATATCCGACGATATGCAAACCCTTTGATAACAGCGCTTAATAACGATCAGTTTGAATAAAGGTTTGTGTCAGTATCATTAAAATTAAATATGTATTCTTTTTTCTTTATCTCTTTGTGACACAGGCATCTTTCGTTTTTAACACTGCGTATTACGAGTTATTTCTAGAAATATTAGTAAAAGATATATATTTCTTTATTGATGCTATTCTTTATCTAGCTAATACGCACAAACTATACTATATTTTTCTTTTAATATTTTATGGTTCTACAAGAAGTAATCAGTGAGGTGCAGATAACAATAATATCAGGCTCTCCATATACATCTATTCTGTTTCCGCTTCTAATCAAGTCAAAATTAGGAATAATTGATGCCTTGTAGGTGCAAAACTTTGCTTAGTGTTGAAACCAGGTTAAATTCAAGAATTCCCCCCGGGGATTAATAAAACACACGTATTCTCTTTCTTTTATAGTCCCAATACAAAATTAACAACGTCGCTATCATTTTCAGGATCTCCTGAAGGTAGTACTGAAGCAATTAGCCCTCACTGATGTGGAAAAACAACTGGCATAAATTAAGCTGTTTTGTAAGACTAGCCTAGTCTAGCATGCTGATCCACAGTGACCCAAAGATGATGAGTAATACAATAATTAGCTATATGAGCCTTACTTATGTATAATCTTCAGTCATATTTTTCTTATGTTCATACTGCCCAAGTAGCTTTGAAGAATATTAGGCTTTGGTATTTTGTATGCTCCAACAAATAATACAAAAGCATTAATACTTAGGTCAGCACTTTAAACTGTGGCCAAGATTTATATGAATATATTTACTTGATAAAAATGTAATTTATATACATATAGATCATTACTATTATTTGGATGGTGCAATAAGAACACCAGGCTCTTCTAAATCAAATATTACATAGTTATTCTTCAGAAAAACATCTCCCAGTATAGTAAACTGGGCATTAAAATAGCCAAATCCGGCAGTACAAACAGAGTCAGCATCCTCAAAGACAAGATCTTCGGATGGAATCTTAAATTCTGTGCCACTAATGCTAAAGACAAGAGGAGAAAAACTTGAAACATCGCAATTAATAATATATGTGCCACTTCCGTCATCTTTTTCAGTGGCATTATAAGCCCTAGCCACTTCATTAGCTACATATTGTGGGAACAGAACGAGAGTTGTACCAGTGTCAAGTACACCTGAGAGATAGCTGGAGTTATATAGTAAGCAATTGTCTCCAATATGTATGCCATCAATTTCAATTTCCCACAGACCTTTTTTAATAAAAAAAAATGTTGTCAAGATATTAGTCTAGAGATTATGTTTTGAGCAGCTCTTACCACGAGTGTTATTAACAGGAGCATGTTTTAGATGACCATTAACGTGAGCAGGATTGTATCCACCGAATACAATTTCTGTTATTTTAATAGATTAATACAAAAAATTGGTATTATTATAGTCTATCTTATGGCTTTCCAATTTCTATACTCACCGCCGCCGCCTCCATTAGACTGTTTCCCAAGAAACACACCAAATAACGGCTTACTAATCAGACCTTGGCTGATCAGGTTATCCATGGGTGTCTGAAAACCCTTAATTGTTGCATCAGAGCTAAATGCAAGTCCAAGAAAGCCATCCGCTGGATAGTCCCCAATGATAACAAAAGCATTAGAAGCTAATTCAACTCCTTGGTTGCTGATTAAAAGTCCACTGATATTAACAGTATCATAGCCAATAATTCCACTGGCCATTGATGTGTCACCATAAGCTATTGACCATGTAAGATTGGTTGGTACATAGGTACTTGACTTAAAAGGATCAAATCTTTCTGTTCCAACATTACAGCTAATACAAAGAGAAGAGGCTATGACACTCAGTTTTAATTAGAGATATTGTGCTTAGAACTTTATTTATTTTTTACTCACCAAACCAAAAATCTGCCGAGCCAGTATCAAAGTTTAATCTGACGGTCTGACCTGGAGTCCCTACCTGAATTGTCCCATAATATATAGAATCAATTCCAGGAGTGCTTAAAGCAACAGTGCCAGTATCAGGAGAACCTGTAGTAGGTATGTTACAGTACTTCTTATATTTATGATTGGCCATCCACACGGATCTGGAGGCATTGTGATGACAATCGCGGTTAATGAAAAGAGGGCATGAATGTGTTTTCTCGGAAAGAACAAGCTTAACAGATAACAATCCGACTAGTGTCAAGGTAAAAAGATAGTTCATGGCTTTAATGCGTTGTGTAATTAAAGAGAGTGCTATTTATTTTATATTTATATATATATTTGTATGGGAGGCTAAAATAAACATTAAGACCTAAGCTTTTCAAAAGACAATATTCCAAGAAGGAATTTATCAAAAGTAACATGTATACATTTAATCATTTCGATATTTCCTTTAAAAACGAAGATGCCTATTATCTAAAGTCTATCATATGATATTGATAGATAGAGTGTATTGTTTTATTACTTTAAGGAATATTCATTATAAGCTATAGAGTTAAAACCTGGAATACATATAGGTAAAATAAATTAAATATATAGCAAGAATTCATAGTATTGCAGATTTATCAAGGGATCGATATCTTTTTTTTTCTATGCAATCATTTGATTTTACTCTTAGTACAAAGCTTGTCCAACTTACAAGCCTTGAGCGCACTTGTTTTTTGTATAGAATTGCTGATATACTTGATGCGATATACTATGAGCTGTCTATTTAAATATACTTTAGCTCTTAATAATTACAATTACAATAAATACTTTAATGGGCAATTGATCCCCCTCCCCTCGCCCATCTTTCTTTTTCTTAAGCAGTAAATAGGGAAAGCTATTTTGAAGGGGCAATATAAACGCTGGGTTTCTCGTGGTCAAATATTATGTAATGGCTTTTGAGAAAAACATCGCCAAGAATACCAAACGGGGCATCAATAGACCCAAATCCTGCTATACAAGATGATCCGTCCTTTGTGTAAATAAGATCCGCAGGAGGAATAGAAAAGTCAGAGTCCCCGATAGTAAAAGTAAGAGGAGACAGCTCGGAACTGTTACAGCTTATGGTGTATGTGCCATCTTTCTTATCTATTGCGTTGTATGCTTCAGCAACTTTAGTGGCCATACGACTTGGAAATAACATTAAAGTGGTGCCTGTGTCTAGGACTCCTTGAAAATGACCAATGTTTCTAATGAAAGGCTCTATACCAGCAGTTGTGGCACGTATATCGATTTCCCAAAGACCTTATCTAATATCAGTATCTTGGTCGGAAAGTAAATATTGGCTAATACTTACCGAGCGAATTGTCAACAGGGACCTCAATCAAGGTTCCATTAATGTGGTCGGGATTGTAGCCGCCAAATATAATCTCTATTTGGAAAATAATGACATGTAAGTTATTTGAATATATGTACTCGTAAAAGTGTCTGTGTATTTTACCGCCATTGTTGCCTATGCTGTCATTAGTTCCATTCGATTCTTTTCCTAAGAATAATCCGAAGACAGGGTAGTTGATTAAACCTTGGCTGATCATGCTTTTTATAGGTGTCTCAACACCTTTTGTGTGTGTCAAAGAGTCGAATGCTAGACCCATTATGCCATTGATCGTAGTGTTTTCCATAAGAGCGGTGGTATTTATGGCAATCTCGACACTTTGTCCAATAATCGATATATTGCTAATCATAACGGTATCATAAGCGACAAAACCTTGGGCAAAACTTCTATCGGCGTATTCAATTGACCAAGAATCGTTTGTGGATACAAATGTCGTCGATATTAAAGGATTAAACAGAATATTGGAGGTCTGACAATTTTTACAAGATGTGGATGCTATAGTATATTTTGTGTTAAATTTTTATTATTATTATTTTTGGAAAACTAAAAAATGATAGTTACCGAACCAAAAATCTGAAGAACCACTATCAATAATCACATTAATTGGCTGGGCAGGAGTTCCAACTTTGATAGTTCCATAATATAAAGCGTCCACTCCAGGTGAACTCAATGGGAAAACACTGTGGTTTGAATTGTCTAATGTGGTTATATTACAGTACTTGTAATATTTATCGCGGGCCACTGAGATCGAATGTGTAGCGTTTCTTTTGGCTTTTGGATCAAGAGAAAGAGGACAAGTTAATGTTTTATCAGTTGAAACGTCGTGTATAATCGATATTATAGCTATTTCCAAAAGGATAGCTATAATTTTTACAACAGTCAGGATAATGGTAAACATACAGATGAGATAAAGAATGTAAAATTCGAGACTTTTATATTGATCCCGTTATTATAAAGTTGAATAGCATGTACGTCTAATGTTATACCAATAGAAGGTATGTATCATATGTAAGATCTAAAAAATAAAAACTTTTTATTTGATAGCAAAACAAGCCCATTCTAGCTTTGTAATATTTTTGAAATTTATACAATCCAGAATTGGCCTTAGATCTTGTAGCAGTCAAAAAAAATCGTTTAATAGATCCAGGTTTATAGAGGGGTCACTCCTGCAGATATTGAGCGCCATTCCGTTAATATTAGAGAAACGACTTGACTATTACCCCTCTTTCTTTCTCTTTCCCTCTCTACCTTTATATATATATATATTACATATTATTATTTGATTGAATGACAATAATATTTATTGCTGTAATTTAATATATTAAAGAGTAAATGTCATTTTAGAATTAGCTGTGATAAGCTGTATAATCTATAGACAGTTATGGACGATATACGTTTGATAGTATCTGTGGAAAGATAATGTCAAGAATGATAAAATAATATTAGCTCTAAGTCAGCTTGAAAATCTGTACAAAGCCCTGACGATCAAAAGAATGGATGTTTAATAGGTCTGATAAATAGCAAGTGATCGAAAAGAAAGTATCCTTTTCGATAGTATTGTTGCTGTAGATCGATATAGTACCGATCTTAATGAGGACAGTGCGACAACGCAAAGGTGGTAACTTTCCCTCTTGTTATAAAAATTAGGACCCAACAGATATTAGCCTGGTATTTAAGAATAAGATGCTTATAAAAGACCTTTGAGGAGACAATAGCCTTTTGAGAGTAAAAAAATTAGTAGGTAGAGTTTTCTTAATTTATAGATTTACCTCTATTATTTAGAATATATTTTTTGAAATTTTAAATTTAAGACCATTCTTGTTACTCGGCTCCTTGTCAAGATCGTAGCTTAGATCCATAAATTTGTTTAAGTGCTTCGTTACCATAAAATTGTTTCTCTAAAATAGTAGTATATTTTTTCTTTAAAAAAATAGAATTATAGTAATTATATGACCTGACTTAGTAACACGCTTCAAAAATCCGTTTATATTTGCGAACTAACTATGTTTAATTGAAACCATAATAATCAGTATATATATATACATGTCTGTGTATGTAAATGTATAAATAATAATACAGTCTTTGCATAATGCGAATGATTTTTGCTTTACACAGCTTTACAGTCGGTCATTTAATCAACTTCTTTGGGTAGTGCAAATATCGATATTTGCATTTTTAAATCCATTGATATCTCTACAAATATTGGTTTATTGTTAATCAGATAAGCATTGGCCATCATAGAATGACTTTCTACACAACTTTACTTAAAACGAGCGGCACGTACTCTTAGATTTTGTTTTGTAAACGTCCTGAGAGAACTTTGGGATCAAACATGACTACGTGGTGTAAATATCCAAAAATATTAGTAAATGTTTTTGAGGGTGAAAAAATGAGATATTTTTATCAATATTTGAGCAATAAATGTCAAACAACGTTTAAACAGTAGATTGTAAAGCTATTAATCAGATTAATGTAATATATAAAGAAGCTTTACTAGACCAATTTAGCTGTATACCTAACGTCTAGTAAACAATTAGCTATTTTAATCAAAATGATCTTTTTTAATAAATAATTATTCGTTTCAGCGGCAGAATTCACCAATCTTCAAAGCATATAATAAATATTTGCTTAATTAAACATGCTTTCAGTGATCTTTCTGTTAGGCGAAAGTAGATAAGCTAGGCTATTGGAGTTAGAGAGGTGTATTTTCTACTCTTGATTGATTTGATGTAATAAAAAAAAATATAATGACCGTTAATATGTATCTACATATTATTAGTTAAAAGAATAAATAAAGTCGCAAGGTAATCATCATACTGCTCTATATGGTGATAATAGTATTGAAATGCTATTTCTTCTATTACTATTTTTATACCAAACCTTGAGGGTACCTATAAAAGGCAGAAGGAGAAGGAGAGGAAAAACCAAGGATTTCCTTCTAAACACATTTTTTTTCGGTAGTGATGGTCAAGCTTATTACTGGAGGTCGCTATACAGCCAAGAATATTATTTTTCTATAAATTAATAAATGAGAAAGCACAAAAAGCTAACGCTGTAAAGAAATTATTGAATATTTTAGTTTAATCCCAATATTAGTAATTTTACGCAATGTATATATGACTCTGACTAGGCCATTGATTTTAGACAACGTTAACATAATGGTTTATTATTAAAATTAAAGTTAAATATTGGGTTATTTGACAAAAGTCAAAGAATAAGTTAAAATAAGAGGATAAATTATAATGACAAGTGAGAACAATAAATAAAGAGGCAAGGGACCGCTTTGTCATTAAGAAGAGCTATCCAATTTCTTGAAGGCATGGGCCATAATGTTTCCATTTACTTGGAGAGAGCAATCTGGACATTGGGAACAGCCTGGTTGAAGATCACATAGTGACTCTTAAGGAAGGCATCACCAAAGATAGCGAAAGGAAGATTAGCATAAGCAAAGCTGGCAATACAGGTCGATCCTCTGTAGTAAATGAGATCGGCAGGAGGAATAGTGAACTTGGCTCCGTTGATAGTGAAGGTAAGAGGAGCAAAGCTGGAAGTATCACACTTGATTGTGTAGGTACCGTCATAGTTGTCGGTAGCACCGTAGGCCTTTGCAACCTTGGTAGCAATGGTGTTGGTGAAGATCATGAGGGTGGTTCCGGTGTCGAGGATACCCTCGATAGCACCAAGGCTGGTGGTAGTTGTGGTGGTACCAGCAGTAGCGGCGCTGGCAGTGATGCTCCAGAAACCTATAATGAGGTTAGTGAATGCTCAAAGTATTATCAAATAATTGTATATGTATATACACTTACCATCAGAGTTATCAACGGGAACAGTAGTCAAAGTACCGTTAATGTGGTTGCTGTTGTAGCCACCAAAGACATACTCTATTAAAATAATAAAGATCAAAAGTATTCAATTGGTTAATGTGCTGCCTAATTTTTACAATTGTGTTTTTGGCTTACCTCCAACGGCATCAGTGGTCTGCTTTCCGAGGTAGACACCAAAGACAGGGCTAGTAATCAAACCCTGGCTGATAAGGTTGTCCACAGGGGTCTTGACACCAGTGGCAGTAATAATGGAGTCGAAAGCAAGACCAAGCAAGCCATCAATAGGGCCGGTTTGGAAAGCGGTGGCTTCCTTCTTGGCAAGTTCAATACCTTGACCAGTGATTGAGAGACCGCCAAGGTTTACGGTATCGAAGCCAACAACACCACTGGCAGAAGAGCCATCTCCGTAGCTGATGGACCAGGTCTTGGTGCTGGATACGTAGGTGCTGGACTTGGTAGAGTCAAACTTGGTCTGGGTAGAACCGCAGTTAGTGCAGAGAGTTGATGCTATAAAAAACAATTGTCAATTATTGCTGTTGCATGCAGTATATATATATATATTTACCAAACCAGAGATCGGCAGATCCAGTGTCAAAGTCAAGCTTAAGAGACTGAGCAGGAGTTCCGACCTTGACGGTGCCATAGTACTCAACATCATACAAGTAATCAATCATAGGAACGGTACCAGTATTGGCAAAGGTACTGGCACTGTTAATGAATCTGTTGTACTTTCCGCGAGCTTTCAAGACAGCGCTGGTAGCATTGCGCTGATAGCTAGGGTTTCCAGTCAAAGGGATAGTCAAAGTCTTGACAGCAGGATCAGTAGAGACAGCAGGAGCAGCATCAACAGATGAGAAGGTGGCAACGGCCAATAGGGCAAAGATGCTTGCAGACAGCTTCATAGTAAAGATAGAGAAGATGATTGGTTGAGAAGATGAATGTGGGTTGAAGCATCAATTTGCGCGTCCTTTTATACGATTTATGTCCTGTTTACTGCATTCATTTTTTCAAATACTTTGTGTAAAGTACCTATGAAGCGGAATATAAACATAGATCTCTTAACGATAGAATGAATCCTGGTACACTCAACAACTTCCTATAGCAAAGTAATTAGATGTAACTTGAGAAGAAAGACACAAAAATATTCTTCCTGTTTGAGCTGAAAATACAAGATACCAATCTATATCAGGAAAATTGCCTATATTGAGATTAATTGTCTTTCATAGGATATATATTAACTTCAATATTGTATTAAACTAGTGTATTTTAGATATATAAGAGTGTTTTGTGAAACAAAAAAGTATTCATTGCTCAATACCGGGAACACATTGATATAAATTATACGATAAAGGGTAATAATCTACATATACGGGTTTGGCGTGTCCCCGGATAATCATATTCTCTTCATTCATGCACGATAAAGCCTCGCGATTTACACGCCATTGCTTCTTAAGATGCCCAAAATACAATTTATTATGCACTACTACTGTGCTCTTTCGAGCATATGCTTATATGGCATGGAGCCAGCGTGCTTGATATATATCGCACACATTTGGGTTAAATACTAGTACAACTATGGCACACGCTCTTATTCTCAAGCTATTATACAAAATTGTCTTGTATTTCTTGTTTTGAGTCTGCGCTCCAACACCTTTCGATAGAAAGATCCTTTTTTTGTCGATCTGTGAGACTCTAGTTGGCGATTAAAAAATATTCTAGTGGTACAGGAGAATGAAATAGATTTATACAGGTATTCTTTACCCATCGTCTCTAGAAAAATACATGCTTATGTATTTATTTTTCTATCGATAATTTGTAGCTATGTAACAGAAAAAATATATTTAGCTTTACAAAAGATGTTCTTTACCGACTACTGTGTTGAAACTATATGTAAGTAAGGCTGCTACGTAAAGCATCTGCCCATACAACAAAGTGTCTGTTGTTACCAGGTATTTTACACACTGTGTTACGATTTTCTATTATACATTTTAGGATATATTTTGTATATCTCAGAAATTGTGATATCTAATCATATATACTCAACTAAGCACTTATACAGAATTTACATAAATTCCCACTATTTATTTTTCTTAAATCAATAGGGTGTTTTTGTGTTTTATTAAACAAGCCAAATAGACGCTCACTATACATTTGGGTTATGTGCTATAATTTTGTTTCTTTTTTTTTCATGAGGAAAATATATGGATGGTATATCTGAGGCTATAAACTATATTCATAATGAATTATAACTGTGTGGGTTAGATTCGTTAATATTATTATTTTAAATGTAATTTCCTTTAGTAGACTCATAAATATGTACATATGCGTATATGTTGTACTACAGAATGTACAACAATATCTTTGAAAGTTACTGATACTACTTACCATAATGAACAATAAAATTCAAAACACTGGTTGTGTGGTTTGTTCCTGTATACATTGTACAAACATTACTGATCCCAGTGTGCGTTTCGTCATGCAAATAAATAAATTGGTTTATCCAGGCATTTTGTTCAACGAGGTACATTCTAAATTAGGATAAAAAAAGGGCCAATATATGTTTGTGCTTTTCATATTACATATATAACCTAATTGACCAAAATGTCCCTTTTTTCCTAATATGGGTATAACCGCTTTGGCTTTATGATCCAATCATTAAAGAGTGGTGAATATATTTTACTTTGAGTAAACTATACACTACTAGTTAGTTTTCCAGCAACTGAATATCCGGTTTATTTTCAAGGTCTGTCTTTAATAGCAGACAAAAATCCAGGTATATTTCAACAAAATTAGCTTAGGTTAATTATATTAAAAATATCAGTTTAGTTACTTATTTTGTTATATAAATATACAATATAATAGGGAATATCCAGACTAGACTCGGTTGTTATTTTCCAATACTTCTTGGAAAACAAAGGTAAATAGGTAGGAGCTCATATTGATATTGCATTAGTAAAAAAAAACCGCCGGGGAAAACATCTAGCCTTGCGCCAATATCAAAAAGAATGGCTTAGTATGTATCTATCAGAAAATTGTTTGAGTCGGGCAACTATGAAAGCTTGCAAGGTTATTGAGAAGATCGATTGTCTCTATGTGTTCAATCGATGGAAGTACAGATACACGTACGAAGGTTGTACACGATCATGATAAAATATATTAGATCATTCAAATCATTTGGATTCAGCTCACTGTGTTTTTATGTACATTTTGTACGCTGATGAGTACATATGTATAATCAGGGCCTTTTCATCTTCCAACTTTACAACCTTACCGGCTCATATATCTATATCATCTATGTCATTCCCACATACGTGTAGACTTGAGTTCTCTGACATATCAATCATCCCCTTTGATCCACAGAGATTATAGACAAATTTGGGAAAAAATTAAACAGATCATACTTGTAATATAATGAATGTGCTCATATTTCTACTTTAAACTTAGTTTAAGAGCCCATATTGTCTAATTTGCATATCTAATTGCGTTTATATTCGCCTAGTCTAGACCAACAATCTAATGTCGCGGACATTACATGGTTTTGTAAAATAATATGTAGACAAAAACGTAGTTTAATATTATTTATTTATCCTGTACAATATGTACGTTGTTTTGTTTAAAAGAAAATAATTGGATTTTATAATTGGATGTTTAACCAGAAAGTAGACACACATATATCTAGACATGCTTGTGTATATTTGATCTGTATTAAGAGATTTGACAAAGCTAAACTGAACAAGTTTTACCCAACAAATAAAGCACAACTCTTGGTGTGAGCAGCCGATTGAGCGGAGTGCCTCGTTGGTTTTAACCCTCAGTAAGATAGCTATTTTGAACATAATAAAGCATCCTATCTGCAGCTATTTTGGTTAGAGTTGCATATTTTAATACGTAAATTTTAGGGGACAAGGGTTTTTTCAATTTAATAGACAGGGTGTTACACACTATGAACAAGTGGTATTCTAGCAAATGTACCCAGATACGACTGCTTATATTCAGCCCAGATCGCGTCTATATCCGTGGTGTACAACACAACCCTGTCTTTTGTAGTGTGTTTTTTTTTCACATATCAATAGATATATTTTCCCAAAATTTAGTTTAATTTTTACATATACACAAAAACGAGTCTATGAATTTAATTGGACAAGATGTCTAAAATATAGATAAAACAACGATAACAATAATCCTTAGACAGCTTATCAGTTAAAAAAAAAGTAAGTTTTCTTAAGAAAGAATTGTGTTTGATACAGAAATATTAAGTAGAAAAACAACAAGAAGTAAAACAAAATAAAGAAACAATTACTGCTAAGCAAAATATAAAAATACAATTAATGTATCATCTTTGAAGCTTAGATATTACTGAAGAGCCAATTTTTAAAAAAAAATTACTCAATTAAAAAAAAGGTAACCTCATTAATAAGCATCCTTTGTCTGTTATAAGCTTAGGATATCACTCCAATCTTATTAAAAAACGTTTCCATGGTATCTACAATTATTTAGTCTAAAATACTATGAAAGATGTCCCGAACAAAACAGTGAAGAAGTCCCTAACATACATAACAGAGCATAAAAAGATTATCCACTCGAGATGATAAATCTTTTTCTGAATATTTTACCCGTATAAACTCAACAATATCAAGTTAGTGTTGAGTTTCTATAGAAAAACCCAAATTCTCTAGATAGGAAGCTTTTTTTAATCATCTATATTCTTAGAAAATTTGGCCAGTTAGATTCGCATACTCGATTCTCTGTATATTTAATGTACAGACACATACAATAAATGAAAGAAAAAAGTTTAAACTCAACTAAATAGAACATCTTTAATGCAAAGTTGTTGTGCTTTTTTAAAAACTCTTCTCATTCAAATCTCACAATGTCTCAGCAAATCAATAAAAGTATTCCTAAGAAACGAAAAGAGCTTTCAGACTATGAAAAAGGACTTATTATCGGTGGTGCTCTCCATAATATTTCATTGACTGCCATTTCGGAGAAGACAGGCATACCCATGACAACTGTACATAGCACAGTTCAAAGATGGAAACAGAATGGCACGCCATTAACAGAAAAACGCCAAGGACGTCCATCAATTTTGGGTGAGAGAGATTTACACCAGCTTAAAAACGAAATGAAGAAAGATCGTAATGCCACACTTGGAGAACTCACAAACGCCATGAGACTCATGATTGGCAAGTACATTTGCAAGAATACCATCCGCAAAGCTATTCGTAAGATCGGAATGTCTTCTTGCCATCCTGTGTTTAAGCCAAGGCTATCCAGAACACATAAAAAGAAACGATTGTTGTTTGCTAAACGTTGCAAAGAAGCCAATCAAAGATGGGATCGTGTGATTTGGAGCGATGAGTCTCGCTTTATGGTTTTCCCAAAGGATGGAAACCTTAGAATTTGGCGCTTTCCTCTGGAGAAGTTCAAGTCTGATTGTATCATGCCTAGAGTACAGTTTGGAGGTGGTTCGGTGATGGTTTGGGGCTGTGTGTGGGCAGGAGGAGTAGGCCCACTAAAAACGATTATTAACAGCCTTGACCAATTTGGCTATATAAACCTTTTGGAAAGAAAGTTGCTCCCATTTTATGGTCGCCTAAGTGAAAGACATGACGGGGAGTTTATTTGCCAAGAAGACAATGCTCCTTGTCATAAGTCAAAACTTGTTGAGAACTGGAAAAAGACCCATAATGTACCAATAATGGAATGGCCGCCGAATAGTCCAGATCTCAGTCCTATTGAGAACCTATGGGCTCATTTGGGTCGGATGGTAAGGGCAAGAGTACCAGCTTCAAGAACTATTAAGGAGCTAGACAAGGTTATCCATGAAGGATGGAAGAAAATACCGGTTGCAGTATGCAAGGCCTACTGCATGTCTATGCCAACTCGCATAGCCCGTATGAAGAAAGCCCGTGGTGATGTTACTAAATATTAAACTTAATAAAAATTATTTTTCTTAATATTTAAAGGTTATATATTCTTATTCCAATGATTTTGAAAGTGGTTTCTTAAGTAAAAGTAGACAAACAATGAAGAGAGAGTTAAGGATGTTATTTTTTCACTTTGGCGGAAGCTAAAATTTTCTTTCATTTAATTGATGAGACTGTAGGATCAGGCGGATTTTGTCGTCCATTTGTTGTTATCATTTTTCTTTTTTGGAAGCAACCACGGGCTATTAATAAACGTACTTAATTTTGTCTGTAAAGTTTGTTGTCCATTCACTATAGTCTGTTTTAACCTGAGAAACCTTGTTGTTCCTCCCATTTATAGTTTTACCCTTATTCTCTCTCCCGGTTCATCTTCACCTTAACGCTTTTTTTTACATCTTTCAATTAAATTATTATTCGTAGTAAACTATACCACAAATAAATCCTTATCACACAATATTCCAAATCCAGTGCCTCAACTGTAAAGTATTATAATAATATAACAACCTGCTTTATCCATTATAGCTAACAAATTATATTACACGAATGTTCCATTGTTTTACAAATAATGAAAATCGCTTAACGTAGGCACACATATGATTATAACAGTAAATTCAATGCTAAAACAATTTATAATTTTTTTAAAAAGAAAAGGAAAATAAAGATAGATGCGGATAATACAGAACATTGGTGACAAAATAAGAAAAATCTAGATGATTTGTACTTTGAAGTATTTTTGGAGCTTGTTTGCTTGGATACCAGCTCTTGTCTTGTACTGGTAGTTGATACGCTGGCTCATAAAAGCCTCGGGGGCACTATGTGCATGGTTGCGACCATCTGTGAGTAGAAGTTGACCAGCTCCAGTTGAAGAACGCATTGATTCAAAGGTATCGTCGCTTGTGTACTGTCCGATCAGTTTGTTAATCAGTACAGAATCTCTAGTCTAATAAAAGTAAAGTCGGCAAAAAATAAATCATTGTCAGTAATGTTAATATTAATTTATGACCTTTTTAAGTATTATTTTCCTCTTCATTTGTATTCTTTTTAAAGCTTTATGCAGAGTAACATATCATACATATCCACCCCTTCTTATCTGTTTCCTCTATCCAAGCACGCCATTCATCTAACAGCCGAATGGCATGTGATATTCTTACCTCCTCGGGCTTCAGCTTTTGGTCATAGTATCTCTTCAAGCTACGGTGTCCTACAACCGAACCGTTAGGAAGAACAAGAGACATATCATCATCTGCGAGACGCAAGGTGTTTGTAAGTGCAGAAAGCTCGGCATCCACATCAACTTCCTCGTCGCCTTCCTCTGGTTGAGGATACGAAGAAGAGAAATCATAAAAGTCGACAATATCGGCTGCGTCGTCTTCGTCTTCATAGGCAATCTTCCAATGAGCCTTGTCACTCTGTAATTATTTATTTTGATAATAAAGGTTAGTTTCGACGCCTATGGATTAGAGGCTAAATTTTGTCTATTTCTAATGTTTATATCCAGTAAAGCTATATCCTACTTACCATGTGGCCTCTGACAGCCTCGAGAGATCGGTAACTGCGTCCTTTTCCGTTACAGAAAATACAAACATTACCCACACTAATCTTTTCTCCGAGGTAACGAATCAATCCTCTCAAGTCGACCAAGTAATCGATATCTGGAATAAAGAAACTATGCACAGTAGTCATGTGATCCATGTTCTCTTCAAATGTAGTGGCCTTGTGGGTACAGAATAGACAATCCGTTTCTTCAAGACGAGGAGCTGCCTTGATCTTTTCATCGATCTTTGCTAGCATTTCTTCTTCGGTTGTCTCATCTGTCACAAGGAGACTGGCTTGATCAACCTTTGGCTCAGTAGCAACAACAGGTGCCTTCTCTTTCTTAGGCTGTAAAGCAAATTTGGCAGCCATTTCCTTGTGTTTCTTGGACTGTTCATGATTAGCATATGCATTCTGAGAAGCAAATGGCTTTCTGTAATAGTTATAGTAGTTTTTATTTTGGAATAAAATGTTAAATTTACGTAAAGTTTATAGCCATTTGCATTTGCATTTGCATTTGGTTATTGTTATTTTTGTTGTGTGAAAACAAAATTAATTACCTGCAAGCATCGCAGTAACCCTTAAATTCTACAGGCTTCTCTTTGACTTCTGCTGCCGATTTCTGAGCTACGAAAGTTTGAGGTGTATATGTAAATAAATGTCCAACTGGAAAATGATCGTGATCGATTTATTCAATTACCATCAAACTTTGACTGGAACATGTCACTTTCGACAGGTGGCAGTTCAGCCACTTTTCTTTTGAGGTTGTAACGATGCCAGTCTGATCTGTAATGTATCCGTTGTCCTTCAGCTGATTCGAATGCAACCTGGCATGCCATGCAGGTATACAGCCCGGATGTAGGTGCAGCGATCTCTTGACCTGGCATTGTTACTATATTTGTAGGTATAAGTTCGGTCTAGTAAAGGCAAACCCTAAAAAAAAGTTAAAAAAATTTCGTCTCCTGGGGAATAGTAAACAGTCACTTTCCTGCGAAACATCTTGTCTTGTTCTATCCTAGGCCATCTTCTGGATATCATTAAAGTTGCAGAAAGTATTCAATAAGTATAGAAACATATGATATAAATTGGGATTTAAAAGATAAAATAATACATAAAAATAAAGGCTATTATCCGCCTGTAAAGATAAAAAAGAATAATGTCGACGCAAATAAAAGGAATTGGTGTAACAAGGTAGGATGCATGAGCCATACAAAATGGGTTGCTGCTAAAAGTGCAATTTGGTTTAGTCAAATAGGTAAATCGGGTATTGTAGTGTCAATTGGGGTGTTCAAATGTTGGAACTAATTTTGCTTTTATAAAAAAAATCACTGGCAAGGTTATTACACTTCTTTGTCTGTTTAAAAACGCTTATAATTCTCGTCTTTTTACGTTGTTTTTTAACCCCGTGAAGCATATATATATATAAGCATGTAGTATGTCAAAATGCAAGTTATTTGGCACTCATTTTTTTAACATTTTCTTGTTGCTTACACTAGTCGGTCGTATATTCTTCCCTTCTATATTTCGACTTAAATTTATTAATAGTAATACTAATTAAATAGCTATTCTTATGATACACCTAATGGCCTTATACTCACTACAAGAAATATAAGCTAAAATATTTTAATTACTCAAAGACAATACGATATTTGATAAGTGGTTATTGAAACAAAGAGTTTATTCTCATAAGATATATTTTTATTGACATCAGATTCTAAAAAATGAAAATGAAAATTAGACTTTTGTGCATTTAAAAAAGCTTGTATAAAGATAAAACTTACTTTATATGAGGGCATTTGCCCATTTAATGTATTGTGCCATAGAAAGGTCAACTGTATTGCACGGGATATTGACGCGCAATACAGACAAGAGCTGTTACTATACCACGGGACCTTGACGTGGACATACTAGCCTAGACTGCCATTAGAGGAAGTGACGCCCCTGTCCTATGACACAATACTCGCCATACCTTCCACCCCAGTAATGACAGCCGTACATTACGGAACCTAAGTGTGCCATGCAGAGAAATCAGAGTCAAATAAATAAAACAATTAGCATTGGACGGTGTATTTCAAAAAGCTTGCTTAAAAATAAAACTTACTTCAGATAATGGTCTTGAAAATTTAATGAATCGTATAATAATAAGGTCAACTGCATCTCACGGAATCTTGACATGAAATGCAGACAAGAGCTACTAGTACATCACGGAACCTTAACGCACGTATACTAGTCTAGAATGCCTCTTAGAGGTCTTAATGCCTGTCAGCTATGATACGACGCGTTACTTTAATATAAATTTCAAACATGAGCATTAAATTTGGTTAGTTAAACGCATTTCATTGCTTATTTTAAATACAAGCCATTGTCCATTGTAAATGTGCAGTTGAAAGATATTGTGGGGCTATTACAGTTAATACCTCACAATTATATTAGGCCAAACATCTGTTGGCTTATGCAAGCAAGAATGATGCAATCAGTCACGTGCTCCTTGAATTCAGAAGCGATGACCTGGTATAGGCAGATCAGAACGATCAAATAAAAGTATCAAAATGAGCTCAGCCTATAAAGCTAATTTTTCTCTGGCCTTACCAATTGATCAAGGTACGCTTTGTAATGGCTAAACACATAAATACTACTATGATGTATATAGTGTAATACCTTTTCCTATGGGAAATTTATATTAAGTCTCAAATCCGGATATCCAGTATTCAATAGAGTATAACAAAATGGAAACTTAAAAACACAATATGCTAAAATATAACATATTTAAACCAAGTGAAGCAAACTCGATAAATAGTCGCAGTGAGAATTTAATAAGCTCATGCCTTCTTTACACTTTAAATATTAATTTCCAAGACCTAAGCAGTATAAATTACAGTTAGGTTTAAGTTCCATTCTATAGTAGTTTACTAGGTGATTAAAGTACCCGATGTTTTTATGTAAATGAAAATATGATGAAGGAAATGAATTTAACAATGTTAGCAATGCCAGAGTTTGAATATCGTAAGGAGTGCAATTGTTTTGCTCTTGTTTTAGATTAACCAGTATAAGTTAATTGAATGACAACTGCTTTCTACGGAGACTCTGAGGGATATTTCAGATATTAAAAAGTTAAGATAGTCTACCATAGGCTGGCAAAAAAATAGGATTTATTGCTTCAAATTTTGATATGTATCAATAAATGTATGCAATTTGAGCTTGGCCGGTTAAATTACTGTATTGCACGTCACAATACTATGTTTGTCTCTTTGCTCTTCTCTTGCATCTCTCTGTAAAGCAAGACATCTCTCATTATGTCAGCAGGACCAATCAAGTACCAGTATCTCATCTCCAGGTAATTTCAGCTTATAGTTTACATTTTGGTATTCTTACAGCAAAGTCTTAATGATGCGCTTTTGTTTTATTGTAAAATAAGAACCGGGGACATTGTGTTTTCACTTACTGTTGGCACACTGGCATACTTTGTCAATGAGAGAGACAATTTCCGTGCTCAGAATGGCAACTCATTACGCGAGTTAATATCGAGAAAGCGAGAACGGATTATTGCTCAGCGTGAACAAAAATCCGCATCAAATTAAAAAGAAAAATAGCAAAATAAAAACTGGATTCCTCTTCCCTTCTTGGAGTGTATATTGTATTTATATTATATTATTAAAATGAACAATATTTGAATTATTTGCATCCATTATATACATATGTATGTATGTATGTGTAATATCTGGATATGTCTTTAATTGAAATGTTACTATAACTAATCTCACGCTTTTTTATATGCCAAAATAAAAGACACATGTATATAACACAAACGATAACTAGATATATATATATATATATAAGTATCAACCTATAAGCTGGTGTACTTCAGGGATTTACCCATGGATTTATTATCTTCAATACCATCCATTAGATGACAATTTGAAGTTTTTTTTTTGTATTATTATAATACCATGCTTAAGCTATAATAATACAACCCTTTGTCTTCTTAAGAAAGATCTTTTACTCTACCGTTTACCTTTTCTTAGCCGCTGTCCAAGAATACTATATGTAATCCAATTAAATATACAAAATGTGATCACAGAGTATTTGATGCAAAATAATTTGCAATGGTTACTTTATAAATGATTTTAGTAAATTTTAAATATTTATTTTTATACGTTACAGTCGAAAAGCTAACACTTGGTAAGCACATTGTTGAAAGTATTATATATTTGTGCTTTATTGAGAGTAAAGGTAATCGAAAGAATTTTTATTAATTATCCTTTAAAAGAACATTATACCATTAGAATATAGTACAAATCTCATTTGTTATATTAAAGCTTAATATTTTGATGGGCCAAGTTGAACGCTGCTAAATAGAAGGATAGATTATTGGTAGAACATTTAAAAACATAGAGAGTTTGGGTTTCTCTATTTTGTCTGCGCTTTATAAAGACTCTTTGGTAATATTCCACCTAAGGAATTCAACAATATCCATGAAACCATAAAAAAAAAGAATTGTGTAATGAGACAAGTTGAATTTAAGGACTCCCTTTTTTCGTATCATAACATTTGGTTTAACGAAGAAAATCTGTATTATCCATATATCACAGTTATTCGAGTTGTACTTTCTTGTGAAAGAGACATGGGAAAGCTTTACCGCGGAAGCAATTACAAGCTAGCTATGTGTTACACCCTCATGTTCTTTAGTCTAGCTATAAACTGTGTAACTCCTTGAAATCAAAAGGTATACATTTGTCGTGTCCTTTATCTCTGTGCTGTATTTAGCGAAACATCGACAATTTCTCACATCTAAAATTCTAAGCGTATAACTTGGTCTGGTCAAAAAAGTCCCAACGAGAGACTTTGGTCGAATGTTTGTACATAATCACTGGAAACTTCAATAACCAAGACTTATATATATGTGTGTGTGTGTGGATGTGGATCTTTTGATCGGAATGAATAAATTGATGAAATATAACGCGATATATTAACTCTTGGCTTATTGCATTATACGCTTCTCCTTTCAGCCAAATACACATAATTATAGCTTCCTTTTCCCGATTATCCTACAGAATATAATATCTGGTGCCGTTTAAATTATTTTCCCAAGAATAATATACTTGTTCAACAACATGGAAAGGGATTGTTTCGTATTATTGTCTCTAAAAGAAAAAGAAACCCCCATCAATCACATTGTGGATCCCTGTAAAGACACATAAAAATGAGACGGAAAGATTTGCTTTCAATGTTTTTTGGTGCTACAATTTATGCCTATTTATCTTCTAAAGCAAATACTCCTCATGTCACTTTTACAAGTCGGTTTATAGTGCAGTATTGTCTAAATTAATCGAATTTAATACGAGTTGGATTTACTGTGCCTTTAACAATCATATCTTCTGGTGGTGGCATAGATAACAAAGATTCTCCAGTTTTATACACACAAGAAAACAAATTTCTCCTTTAAAATTAACAAAAGATGAGTACCTTTTTATCCCAAGTTGGATAACACATGTTCGTGATTGGCTTAATGATGACCGCCAATGTTCGATGTAGAAGTCTGGGTTGATATACGAGATTGAGGCCAATGGGATCCGTCCTACAGTAGACCAAGATTTGCAAATGTCATGATTTCAACACACGCGAAGCACAAAAAAACAGGCTGTAGGCAGTTGCAATTCCAAGCCAAACCGGAAACTTTTTTTTGTTCAACTTTGGACACCCCGGATAGGACAAGTACCAAACTCGTGTTTCGAATAAAATAAATCAATCAATAAATCATATTTTAGGCTTGGGCTGTGCTCCTATATAAAAACTTGTGTAGATGTCAATATTGCAATGAAATCAAATAATAATAAGGAGGAAATTAAACAATAACAAAAAAAAACCCCTCAACATCGACGTTTCTTTCTCTTTCTCTCTTTTTCTTTTTACTTTAATAGATGTGTCGCCCTCTCTATGTCGCCAGTCTTGCCTGGCTTGCATTAACAGCCACATCTACAGCCTTTCCTTTAACTCACACTTCAACAATCGATACCCTAACGCTCACCAACTCCTTGAGCGATTATTATGAAAATATTGTTAACCAAGTAATGGAAACGATGACAAGAGACATTGTCGTGTCTGCACCACACACCTTTATGGATATCCATTCACATACTCTAGGAGACCGTAAGTACACCAAAGAAAAGAAAAATCAAAGCACCCTCCCTTTCTTTTAATATATAAAAATGATTTTCTAACAAACCAAAAAAAAAACTCTAGATAGCTGCCGGACATCTCTACGGGCATTTATTCGTTCACTTCACACCCAACTCGATGGACTACAGACGCATTTACTAGACTCAGTCCGTCCTCTAGTGGAATCCAACCTCCCCAGTCATGCAAGACCTAGTCTCGATACAGCTAAACTCAACGATGCAATCATTATCCTCAACCGCCATATAAGCTTCCAACTAGATATTATTCTCAATCCACCAAACACTGCTCGTCGAGTAATTCAACAGTCGATAACAAAGATTGATGATCAAATGTGGGATGATACGCTTGTCCAGAGACCGATACAAATGACCAGCTCCTTATTGGAAGATTCCACTCTCCGAGAAGCATCTGAATTGACTACTTGGTTAGCAGGCTCCCTTTCTGAGATGGGCGGTATTCTCAGAGTAGAGTTTGATGGACGAGTACAGGACGCAATGCAGTCAATGATGGAAGACTTCTTGGAAGACGAATAACGATAATACCTTTTCACAAAATGAAAATAATAATAATTGTACCTTTCTTTTTTATACCTTCTTTTTTGTATATATATTATATATTCTACACTTTATTATACCCAACTTCCCACCACACAACACTAATAAACAAAGCTCCAGTTTCTCTATTTCTTTTTCTACTTTTTTCTTGTCATTTCCGCCCCTTCATTCTTTATACATTGAAATACAGCAGTAATATATGTTGTCCAGAGAAGAATTTGACAAAGCTGCTGAGTCACTTGTGATTGCTTCAAAAGAAGATTGGACCCTTGTAGGGCAGCCAAAGGTAATTTATAAATTATTATAATAATACTAAAAAATAAGAGAAAAAAAAAGGTTTTTTTATACAAGAAGTCTAGTATAATACTACCAAATGGTGATGAGGTTAATGAGGCTCAAGAGGAAGATGAGGTTAATGAGGAAGATGAGGCTTGCGGGAAATTGGGACTATCCCAGAAAGTGTTGACAATGGAGCACCATGTTGTGTATTCAGCTACATACTGTGTACCTGTGCTGTATTTTATGGGATATCATGCAGGTGAGACTAAGAAACACATCATTTGGGCAGAGAAGTAGCTAAAAAATAAAGGTGGTGTGAATAGATGGAGTTCCATTAAGCTTTGAAGAGGTCTACGATTGGGTGGTTCCGAAGTGTTACCACAGTAACCTTCGATTGGCACACACTAGTGTACAAGGATCTTTGTCGCAGACCGATCATCCTCATCTTGGAATGCCTGCTTGGTTTCTCCACCCTTGCGATACTTCTTCTTTGATGGCTACTGTGGGTGCAGAAAAGCTTCAACCCACCGGGTATCTTATTTCTTGGTTGTCTATAATGGGCCCTGTGTTGAGCTGCAGTGTATCGACCGACCTTTTGCTCAATAGCGTAACCTTAAAAGCCTATTAACTTGTGACAAATCCCCCTCCTATCCTTCTCCCCCAATAAAATAAAAATAAAAATGAGCAGATCACCTGAATCGGGAAGATAAAAAAAAAGGCGAATAAAATAAAGATCTGAATAGGATGCGGGCAGCATCTCTTTATTCTCTCTTAAATAATGCCAAACGAATCTGCTCAACCTACTCGCCGCCGTGCTTGGTGGTGGAAAAAATCAAATAAGCCAGCTGAAGAAATCAGTGATACAGAACTAGAAGGTGAACAACCTATGCTTATCCTCTTAGCATCCCAGGACGCAGCATCTTCGTTACAAGCCCATCGCCCACGTTCAGAGCGTTCTAGTGCTATGTCTGTAGTCGAATCCACAGCTTCGATCTGGAGCAAGCCATGGGTTTCTCAAACACATGAGGAAGGCCAGCTTGATAGACCTTTAGTAGCTTCTGTCTCTGAGCCTACTCTACCCCAGCAGCGCAGTTCTGGTAGCAGTGTATGGCCAGGTAAACTAAAGGTATGAAACATTATTCTATAAATGTATCAACCATGAGGTCTAGGATACATTATGGCCTTTTTTTTTTTATTAATATATATATATATATATATGTACACATATTTCTTAGGCAGGGTTTGGAAGACTGGTAGGGCGGAGTCAGAGTGATGACAAAGAGACGAAAGACCCCAGTCAAGACATCCTTTAAAGAACGCATATTCACACGTAATGCACAAGCACACAAACACATACATATACATTTACATTTACATTTACACATAAGCACAAGCGCAAGCGCAAGCACAGATGCACACTTGGTCAGACACATATACAGACAAAGCACACCTACACATTTAATACAGCTGCCTATTTTTTTTTATATATTATTATTTATTATTTACAATTTCTTTGTGAGTTGGGATTTATTCGATCTTGGCGAGGATTTCAGAGTCACGGAAGAGAAGGAATTCCTATTGCAATAATGAATCAATACACATACACATACATACATACACACATACATACTACACGGGTATCATTTCTCTCTCTTTCTATTTCTATTTCTTTTTTTTAGTGTAGCATTTTATTTACCTCATCCTGAATCTTGACTACGCTACCACCATAAGGAGGTAAGATGATCTTGTCACCAACAGAAACCTGCAAAGGAATGTGTGCACCCTCCTTGTTAAGGGCACCCTTGCCAACAGCCACCACATGGCCCTGGTTCAAAGTCTCCTGGGCTTTTTCAGGAATGAAAATACCGGCAGCGGTTTTCTATTGACATGTCAAGTCAATATCATGTGCTTAGTCACATTGTTTTTTTTCTATTAAATAATATCTTTATTTATCTTGTTACCTCCTGGGCTTTGATACGCTGGACCAAAACACGGTCAAGAAGGGGAACAATGTTCTTAAGCTTGGTGGCAGACTATAGCAATAATATACATGAGCATTTCAATTATATATATATATATCGTAATTTTCAAGTGTGCTAACCATAGTAAAAGTAGGAGAAGTGAAGAAGAAAAGCAAAGGGCGGGGAAAAAATGAGGTTATATGGACATCCATGCTTCCAGTGCTTTCTACTTGAATGACTGCTGTTTATAAAAGTCACATCTAGCTGCTGGGCTTCCTCTTCGTGTGTAAAGAAGATGAACAATTAACTCCTGAGAAAAAAAAATGAATGGGCGATAAAGAATTTTGTAGAGCAGCCTTGAGTCAGAAATACATAGGAATGATAATGTATAAAGATAAAGATGTATAGATGTATAAATTTATATATCACTCAAAACAAAAGAAAATAAAATAAAATAAATATATGTCACTATAGTAAAAGATAGCGATCATCGATTGAACAGAAGGCGTCACACTGGCATTCAATTGAAGCATAACTGTCTTCTTCTTTTTTACACTTGAAAGCCTTTAATCTAAAGTATAATGAATGACTGGGCACCTTCCTCTATTCTCTTACCTCAGGGCCCACCAAAACCCTTTTGTCTGATTCAACTCAATCAGCCCATTGTCCATGTTCATCTTTTTGAACGCCTCTGGGCTAATGGTAACTGGCAATCTTTCTTATCTTTTTTTATGGCATTCATCGTTAACATTGCCTGGAATTATCCTAGCAACCATACGCCTTTGTGCTGATGGTGGTACTAACAGGCTTTATGATGCCTTTGAGAATTCACCCGAGAAGCGGGACAAGTAAGATTGGATAATATGCATAGTTGTCTCTTTATCTAAAAGAAAATGAAAATGACGGGAAATTATTCGTCTTTCTATTCTTTTGCTTTTACTTTTTATTTATTTGTTTTTTTTTTTTAAAAAAAAAAAGGCATCTTCCTGATGAGATTAGAGGTGACTTAGACTCGATTCGCCCTGAGGTTAGAGCATTTTATGAAGCAAAGGCAAGTTCTTATGACTGATAGATCGAGAGCTACTATAAGCTATTGTAATCATAAGCTTACAAAGAGAGTTGGTGCTTAGGGTGTGACAGTAACGCGGATAGAGGATCAAAATTCAACCGATTTCACAAAATGTGTGTGTTTGATGAAAGAAAAAGAGGCCAAGTTGGGAATCAAAGATCTTGATGTGGTGGCCATGTCAGCTATTGGAGGCCGGTTCGACCAGACAATAGCAAGCATCAATACGCTTTATTTTATGAAGCATGAAAAAAACCGACATTATGTGCTAGTGAGCGATGAGAACTTGACAATTCTTTTAGACAAGGTAACAACCTTTAAAAAAGATCCTGATTACATATTGTTACTGTACTTACAACACAATACCGTTATCCCCAAACTACTTCTTACAGGGAATACATCATCTGCAATGCTCTGAATATGATGGTAAGACTATAATACATACATTTGTTATATATATGTGTGTGTGTGTATATATATATTTAAGTGATTCTTAGGTCCTACATGCGGTGTTATGCCTATTGGCTCCCCAGCAACAATTACAACTAAAGGCCTAGAGTGGAATCTCGGTAAGCAAACATAAGCACTTAACTTTACGAGTATTAACTCTCAAATATATAGACAATACTCCTTGCTTTTTTGGCGGGATGGTTAGCACTTCTAACGCTATTGCTGCAGAGTGTGTTGTCATTGAGACCGACTCACCTGTAGTGTGGACATCTGAACTTAGACCAGAAAACGTAAAATAGAATATATATATATATAAGAAAAATCAGTTTTTAACTGTACATATTCGTTAATGTATACCTTTCAAGTAATACCGAAGAAGGTATTCGAATCAAAGCTCACTATAAATAAGAATATTTAGGTTGTTATTATCTTTTTACTTTCACACCAAAGTATTACCTATATAAGCTTTATATAAATAAAGAAACAATTCAAAAACCTCTTCCTTTCCTTCCGTCTCCATCACTTTTACCCCACTGTGTATTACAGATATCTATTTAATTTGTATGTATTATTTTTCTCAATAAAATCAATCGTTTATCAGGAGATAATATAGCAGCGATTCTTATCTGTTTATTGATGACTATAAGTATTATCAACAAAGACAAAAAATGGGCATAATTAAATCATATTTTAGGCTAGGAAGGGCAAATATATTTAGCGTGATAAATAGCACTTTCTTTTATTTAGGTACGAAGGGCTATAATTTTGAAAACACATTCATCTAATGAAATGAATTTAGATTTTGTTGGTATACTTGCTTGTATAAAAATACATAATGAATACTTGTATGCAAGTTGACCGACTTTTTTTTTATAATCAAATAGATAGATTTAGCCTATCACCTTAATAAAAGAATAATCTACTACATCAAACAAATAAATAAAAACTATACTCAGTTTGACTAAAAAAATATATATAAAATAATTGTGCTTGTATGAATCTAATTTCATGAAGAAAGATAATACTTGATCTATCACTACTAAGAAGAAGAAGAAAAGGTTTGGGAATAGATACAAAAGAAGGTGGTTTGGTTTCCTTTTCTTTCTTCTCCTGTCTGTCATTAATAATTATGTATTTCCGCTATATAGCGAATATTAAGCTTTATTCATTTAATAGCATATCCTTCTATCGATGATTTTAGTCTGTTCAAACATTGTCTTTCGTGCTCCCATTAATCTCATAAAAGGTTCAAGCAAGTCTCCAACCCTCGTCCATATGCCCCCTTTCAGACACCCAATGTAACCTTCCGTGGCTTTCTAAGGTAATATTACCATAATTATTCTTATAAAGTGCTTTATATGTACCAATCCAGTCTGTTTGGAATAAATGGTTTTTTCTTTCTACAGTTTGTGCATCGTTTGTGGAATAAATATTTTGCCGATAGCTCAAACTTCGGGAACACCTTTATCCAGCTGCAACAAGATAATATTATTCCTTACAGGTTCACGCCTGTTTATCAAGTTAGGAGTGCCACAAAAAAGACTACCAAGTTTCAGAAGAATAACACTACCAATAATAATGAAAGTATAAAGCTTCCAGAATGTTTATTTCCGGCTATTTTTAATATGATATTTAGTAAGTCATTACACCCTTTGGATTATTCAGTATATCATCTTGTTATTATTCTCTATACTATGTGGAAATGAGGGAGAATGAAGGTGCTTTGTGTAAATTGTAAAAATATGCTTGGATAATCATTAGACATAAAAGGTATTTTTTTATTTTAACTTAAACTTAAACTTACAAAAGAAAAGAGATAAGGAATATTGAAATTTAGGCATATATAAAAGATTGAAGAAGGAAAAATAGTACTTAATCAAAGCTAAACCTCAAGAAAAAAAAACATTTAGCCGTGAAAACCTTGAAAAAAAAAGTTTCTACTAAAGTTGCCCATTTCCCCCCTATCATAGTATACACTTACTTGATAAACCTGGAGAATACTGACAAGACAGTCATAAAATTTCAACTAGGAAGTTTTGAAAGGTCTTGGTAATAGTACAAGGCTCTCTTTGGTTTTGATGGCTTCAGTGTCTGGAAGATTTTGAAGTATACTTAAATCAATGCAAGTATACCAGCTGCTTATTTACACAATTAAATCCTTGTTATTCATATTTGAACAATTTGTACAGTAAAGTATTTTTATGACAAGAATATAGTGCAGCCATCATACTTGCTCGTACACAGTCCAGCGATAAAAAAAAAGGACAAATAAATTGTTTTGACCATTGTTATCCCAGAACCCAAAATCGAACACAATTAAACATGTGTGTAATGAGAAAAAAAATTCATATACAATGTTGAAAATATAAAGACTTATATTTGTAAAAGGTTTATAGTAACTGGATTTGAAGTTTAATGTAAAGCATTATTCAAGTATTCTTGACAGAAGTAAGACTATAATTACTGCTCGTAGTGTAAGCAGTATATATTAAACCCTGGGGTAATTACATTCTTGCTTTATGTATATGATGCAAACATATACATACACTTTGATAAGTATCCCTAAATATATCATTTTAATCCAGTCAAATAAAATAGTATATATTTATATACTTTTTGATAGGTGATAAAATATAATTTGGAGTTGGGAATTATTTACGTAAATATAACATAGTTAATGCCTTTGTATTTTTTGAAAAAGTAAAACATTAATGAGAAATGCACATGATTACGTGGTATGTAATTTTTGCAAAACAACAGAAGCTCCATACTATAGTCAGACCCCCAGAATAAAACAACCTCTTTTTATCTGTATAATATAGACAGGTCAGATCTGGTACCCTCGAATACATATACATTATTATTATTTAAAAAGAAAAATGATAAAACTCCTGATGTTTATTTTTTATGGAAGTTTGGTTAGAGGTTATATTATGCCTTGAATTTTGACTTGCAAATTATATACTAGCTAGTAAAGAAACTTGATTAATACCTCTTGGGCAATATCTATCCGTACCCTTTTCTTTTAAAAAAACGATACTTGAATAGTAACCTAAAGTTTATGTAGGCTCTTAAATATTCTTTCTATCCTATGATCTCTTCATAAATACAGACTTCGGTTGGCTATACCACAATTTGATGCTAGCAGTTATTAACCTGTGAGAAAAATAATATTTGTAATAAGTTTTTTTTTCACACTATAAAAAAATTAATTCCGATGGCGACTTTGAAAGAAAAAAATCCCCACGATATTCTTCAAAATCGCCATAGGAATCGCCACTCATTTCCTGTAGTGTCAAATATTGAATTTTTTTTTAGTAAAGAACTTTCTCTCAAAGTTATCTAGTAATAGATTTTTATCAATGAGTTATATGGGATTTCTGAATGGATATATTGAAAGCTTTTACTACATAAAAAAATAGGCAAAATATTGAGAATATACTTTAATATTTTACCTACAATAGAGAAATATTTAACAACCCAAGATTAAAACATAAAAAAAAAGTATTGAAAACGATGTTTAATCAAGGTATTTTCCTAAACATACCCTTAAACTCTACCTAAAGTTGATTTCCTCCTCTTTTTTTTTTACTGAAGTATATGTTATCCTAAAACTTCAAATGCTTTAATAGAAATTTTGAATTTTTGGGTGCTTTCAGTAAATGTTTATTAGTGTCAGCAATAACACTAGAATAGTATATTTTTATCACTAAGGTGTGCTATATTTTCTTTGTTGCTTTAAAATCAAAGTATTCTTGCATCCTCCCTTTAGATAAATCTCATAACTTCTGTTAAAATACTCATGAAATTATCGCGCACATACGTCCCGTAAAAATGAAGATACTAAGCTGTTTTGGTGCGGCTGGTGTATTCATATAATTCCCAATTTGTAGTTTTTTTTTTAAATATATATATATATATATAGTTTTATCACGTAATATGAAAGGCACAAGTACATATTGATCATATTTTGTCTTGATTTAGAGCATGTCTCGTTTAGCAAATCGTCTGAATAAGTTTATTTATTCATTTGCATGACAGAACACACGTTACGATCAGGGCTCTTTGAAAAATGGACACAGTAACAATCAACATATTTTGTTACTTTTTTTAGGAGGCGAAAAATACTGTCAACCGTTATTTTGAATATAGATGTGCTTTTGGTGGTGCAGAACATAAATATATATATATAAATTTATTTATTTATGAGTCCACTAAAGGAAATTTTATTTAAAATAAGAATACCAATAACTCTAACCATAAAGCTATAATGCATTATAAGTATAGCTTATAATCTCAAGAATATAAGCTACATAGTTATACACTATGGGAAATAGGTGGTGCTACATATTTTATGAGAGAAAAATATTGTTACATCAGGTAAATTAAATTTAGAGTAAGCACCTACTTTCTCAACAAAATAATAATCTAAAGGAAGCCTTTATGTGTAAACATATATAGACATATAGATAGTATAAGAAAAAAGTAGTCAATATTTGTGTATATTCTATGGAAGCTCCTCGTTGAGTACAGAAGATTACATATGAAAGCCTTTGAGATACAAATGTTCCTAAAATGTAGAAAAGAAATTGTACCACATTGTGCAAAATCCCGGGTAACAACAGCCACTTAGGTTATACGAGTAACTGCTTTTCAAAGAATCCTTTTATTCACATTGATTACCAAGAAATTATCCAGTAGATATCTTTTCTTTTCTTTAAATATATACTGTCAGATTTCTAAAATGTATTGGTAAAATATTACAAAAGCGGGCACCTTTTAGGATAGCTTGATGAATATTAATTATAATAATAATAAAATCATTTAACTAGTCTGTGTCATTAAAATCTCACTTAATCGCCAATTATAGTGTCACAGATCGATAGAAAAAGTTCTTTTATCCAAGAGTATTGGGAGCGCAGACTTAAAGAATTAGATACAAAGGACCCCTAGGTACAATGGCTAAAGAATGAGAGCGTGTGACATCGTGGTACTGATATGTAATCCAATTATGTACAGTACATACTAAGCACGCAAAATTGATGCCTTGTAGACAAACATCTATAGGAGCACAACTGTAGTGCATACTTAATTAAAATCTAGATCACTTAAGAAGTAATGGCGTGTAAATCGCGAGGCTTTATCTTGCATGAATAGAGATAATAGGCATATCCGGGGATACGCCAAACCCGTATATGTAGATTATTTCCCTTTCTTGTATTATTCATATAGCTACATATCCCCGGTATTTAGCAATTGATCTTGTTTCTGTTTCACAAAAAAATTGTACATCCCATAGGTACACTGTTTAGCCAGGCCGCTGAAGTTAATATAATGCTTTATGAAAGGACAATTAATCTCAATATAGGTAATTTTCCTGATATAGATAGGTATATTGGGTTCTTTGCTAGAGAAAAAGCAATATACGTGTGCTATCTTTCAAGTTACATCCAATTACAAAGCCGTAGAAAACAATCAAGTGCACTAGGATTCAATATATCGTCAAGAGATATATGTTTATATCCCGCTCCATAGGTACTTTACACAAAGTATTTGAAAAAAAAAATAGACACAGTAAATGGGGCATCAATCGTATAAAAGGACGCGCAAATTGATGCTTCAATCCACATTCATCTTCTCAATCAATCGCCTTCTATATCTTTACTATGAAGCTGTCTGCAAGCATCTTTGCTCTATTGGCCGTTGCCACCTTCTCATCTGTTGATGCTGCTCCTGCTGTCTCTGCTGATCCTGCTGTCCAGACCTTGACTATTCCTTTGGCCGAGAACCCTAGCTATCAGCGCAATGCTACCCGTGCTGTCTTGAAAGCTCGCGGAAAGTACAGCAGATTCATCAACAGCCCTACTACCTTTGCTACTGGTACCGTTCCTATGACTGATTACTTGTATGATGTTGAGTACTATGGTACCGTCAAGGTCGGAACTCCTGCTCAGTCTCTTAAGCTTGACTTTGACACTGGATCTGCCGATCTCTGGTTTGGTAAATAAAAAAATATATATACTGCATGCAACAGCAATAATTGACAATTGTTTTTTATAGCATCAACTCTCTGCACTAACTGCGGTTCTACCCAGACCAAGTTTGACTCTACCAAGTCCAGCACCTACGTATCCAGCACCAAGACCTGGTCCATCAGCTACGGAGATGGCTCCTCTGCTAGTGGTGTTGTTGGCTTCGATACCGTCAACCTTGGCGGTCTCTCAATCACTGGTCAAGGTATTGAACTTGCCAAGAAGGAAGCCGCCGCTTTCCAAAGCGGTCCTATCGATGGTTTGCTCGGCCTTGCTTTCGATACAATTATCACTGCCACTGGTGTCAAGACCCCTATGGACAACCTCATCAGCCAGGGTTTGATTACTAGCCCTGTCTTTGGTGTCTACCTCGGAAGACAGACCACCGATGGTGCTGGAGGTAAACCAAAAACACAAATGTCAAAATCACATAGTATATTAATATATGGAACACTCTTGTGGCTTTAATTGGCTAAATAGAGTATGTCTTTGGTGGTTACAACAGCAACCACATTAACGGTGCTTTGACTACTGTTCCAGTCGATAGCTCTGATGGTAAGTATATATATATATATATATATATAACTATTGTAAGTACTTACTAACATTATTATAGGTTTCTGGACTATCACTGCTAGCGCCGGTACTGCTGGTACCACCAGCCTTGGCTCTTTCTCTGGTATCCTCGACACCGGAACCAGTCTCATGCTTTTCACCAACACCATGGCCGCCAAGGTTGCAAAGGCCTACGGTGCCACCGACAACTATGACGGTACCTACACAATCAAGTGCGATACTTCCAGCTTTTCTCCTCTTACATTCACTATCGCTGGCACCAAGTTTTCAATCCCTGCTGCCGATCTCGTTTACTACAGAGGAACCACCTGTATTGCCAGTTTTGCTTATGCTAACCTTCCTTTCGCTATCTTTGGTGATGCCTTCCTTAAGAGCCACTATGTGATCTACAACCAGGCTATTCCTAATGTCCAGATTGCTCTCTCCAAGTAAATGGAAACATTATGGCACATGTCTCTAAAAATTGTGGATAATGCTTCTTAATGGCAAAGTGGTCCCTTGTCTCTTTATTTATTGTTCTCACTTGTCATTATATTTTGTCCTCTTATTTATTTTAACTTATTCTTTGACTTTTGTCAAATACCCCCAATATTTAACTTTAACTTTAATAATAAAATTATTATGTTAACGTTGTCTACAAAAAAAAGTCTATATGATTAAAAGCTTTAAAGTACTAGCTTGATTAATTTTGCTTGATATGAATCACATCAAGCATTTAACCTGCGACCTTAAGGAAGAAATGCTAGAAATATATAAAAAATAGATCTTTTGCAAAAAAGAAAATCTTTTTAGTAAATCTTAGGAGAATCTATAGGAATAAACGATGATATTGGACAATGGGTAGGCAAAGTGCTTGGTTCCAAAAAAAGTGTAGTCAAAAGGAGGGATACCAAACAATAGTCAGTTTCCATGGTTTGACAGACAGTTGTTATAAATACCCTTTTTTTTTGCTTAGAATAAACACACTAACTTTATTATTATTATTACTTTCACTAGAAATGAATGGTCTTTTTTTTTCTCTCTCTTTTTTTTCTTCTCCCTTTCTTCCCTTTTCTTTTTATTGCTTGCTGTCCATGGTTTTTTTTTAGCACAACTAATATATAAAAGCCAATGTTTATTGGATAGGCACAAACGCAAAAGTACTTTTGTCTAGACACAAAACATACCCTCAGCATTGTAAATCAGATACTTTTAGTAAATCTGAGCCTTTCATTGGCTCCATACAAACAAACAAATCCTCAACATCGCAATACATTTTAGGAGAGCGCAAGTTATATTTGAGGTGGCGCATATAATTGTTACACGGGTACCAAGAAGGTATATCTTTAGAATATACCGGTATACTTATGGAATATGACGCAGTTTGTAACACTTTTTCAAAAATATCGAAGACAAAAAAATGTGATCGTTGACAGCCTTCCCTCCCAACCTCCCCACACCACAGTTATATGCTTTGTTCCATTTGTCTGCTTGCTTCTACGATTTTTAGCTATAGGAAACTTGTAGCTAGAGAATTATATCTTCTTAAGTGCTCAATATAAAATTTAATATTTATATCAAAAACCGCATTCTTAAAAAAACAAAAAACACAAACTTATTTATAGGTTTCTGCTCCAGTACTCACATAGAGGAGTCACAAAATGCTTCCCAGGGGAAGAAAAAAGAAAAGATAACACGCACGAGCTGGACATTGAGCACAGAACAACATTTATGAATATATTCTGGTGTCACCCTGTCCATTCAATTTTCACACCAAGCTCTGCTATATAGATATATTATACATATACATACATTAATATAAAGCCATTAAAGTATTATACAAGACGTGTTTAAAGCAAAAGGACAATGAGTAAAATATTTACTTCTTCAATTCTGTCACCCAAGGGTTCTTCAGACAAATTTTGTTTAATTATACTTAATCAACCTATTAAGCATGTTCATTTGTTTGAACGTGTCTGGGCTAATGGTAATCAGCTTAAACATGTCATGTCATTCAATTAACCTTTTTCTCTCTCTTTCTCTTTCTCTCATTATAATTAATCACAATTTCTATAACTATAATATTTACCTTAAAATTATTTTAGCAACTATACGACTCTGTGCTGACGGTGGTTCTAACAGACTCTATGATGCCTTTGAGAATTCGCCCGAAAAGCGGAACCTGTAAGCTTTTGAGCATTTATATTTTTATTTATACTACAGTTTTGCTTCATACATCCTAAAAAAAGAAAATAATTAACTCCGTAAAAGAAAGGTATCTCCCGGATGAGATTATAGGGGATTTGGACTCTATTAGATCTAATGTAAGGGTATTTTATGAAGCCAAGGCAAGTTGTGGGGGTTTATACGCACATACTTCTTTTCTACAGCTTTGAGATTAAGAATAACTTGCAAATTAATGCAAAATTGGGGGGGGGGATACTTATTGCTTTATTTCTTACATGAATTTTTCCTTTTCCTTTTCAGGGAGTAAAGGTGACTCAAGTGAAGGATCAAGAATCAAATGATTTTTTAAAATGTATAGCTCTGATGGAAGAAAAGGAGATTGCGTTGGGTATCAAAGACCTAGATGTGGTGGCTGTGTCGGCTATTGGAGGTCGTTTTGACCAAACTATTGCAAGTATAAATACATTATTTCTTATGAACCACAAATCAGACAGAAAGTTCATCCTTATGAGCGATGAGAACATCACGATACTGTTAGACAAGGTAAAAAGATGGTCCGGAAATAAAAATAAAAAAAGAAAAAAAAAACAGATTGAAGAGTCATATCTGTATTCACATTTCCAATGTATAAATATAAATATAAATATACACAATATAAATACTTAAAAATCTGCAGGGAGTCCATTACTTACAATGTTCAGAGTATGAAGGTAATTCTACAACTTATAATGCATAATTCTCACAGTGTTGCTTCTGTTCTTATTAACTTAGGTCCCACCTGTGGTATCATGCCTATCGGTGCCCCTGCAACACTTACAACAGAAGGTCTGAAATGGAACCTCGGTAAGTTACAAAGTAGACAAGATCGTGATTGCTTTTTTTGTGACGTTTGATATCTAGACAACACTCTATGCTGCTTTGGTGGAATGGTCAGTACTTCCAATGTTATTACCGCCGAATATGTAACAATCAAGACAGACTCGCCTGTAGTCTGGACATCTGAGATAAGGCCTGAGAGAATAGAAAAGCAATTGTATGCAAATACAAAAAGCTACAATTAATAGAATAAAATAAAATAAAATTAAAGAAAGGAAAAAAAAATAATTGATGAGTAAGATATTCTTTTGCTCCGTGAACATGGCAACGTTTGAGCGTTGATTTAAAATATAATAAAACAAAAAGAATTGTTCCGCCTGCACCATTCTTGTTTCTCTTTAAGTACTATACTACTACCACTACTATGAATAGCCCGCCTGTTGGCTGTCTCTTTGTAACCCCAGACGTATCTGCTGCTCATCAGCCTGGAGCCCAGGATATCTTGAGAGATCAAGACGTACTCGAAATCTTTCGACTCATAAAGCAAATATTACGCCACGACGCCGACCCTGAACGACTTGCCAGACTACTCTTTTGCGTCTTTTATGCCCTCGGGGACAGTGTTCAATTCAGTAAACCTGCCCATGAGAACATGGTTCTATTCAGAGCTTACACTGGGCGTTCGTTGTTGGTTCACGCTGTACAATTGCCAAAATATAGTTCGTGCTGCCCCTCCGAAACACCAACCTGGGAATTTTCCAGGGACTTATTCCCTGAGAATAGTTGGACGGTTACGACCACAACTCGTATTCGAGATCTACGTGCGGTTTGCACCTCTCCGGTCGAAACATGTATGGAGCCTCAAGAGCGAGGATTTTATTATCAAGACGGGCGGATCCAGCGTGAGCCAACGTTATTGCAACGCTATGCTGAGCAAGGTCTTCTCACCCAAGCATCAATTACACGTAAACGTCGTAAGCCCAGTATAGCATCTTTTGACAGCTTACAGCTATCAGTGGTACGTAAAAAGACAAAAATCCCCCATCGGCACGGCGAATTCGAACAAAGAAGTAAGTAAATAATATGATGTTTATCTTTTGCTTTTATTTTTCTATTTCTCTTTTTTGATCGATAACATTTATTTATTCCTTTATAAATATGCTTTATATACAAAATCAACTCAAATCAACTCAAATCAACCCAAATCAATTAATATAAAAAAGGAGACACTATAGTACTGAGACTTCAGACAGTCTCTTTGCTCGAGCTAGAAGAAAAGGCGGTTTCTTTACCAAGTGATATTAGTCTTGCGGTTGATACTGTCCCCTTTAATGATCTCGGACCTGCTCTTCAAGTCCTGGTCGACCACGCCAACCAAAAACCACACCTCGACAATGGAATGAACCAATACGGAATATATTACAACATTGATTACTACAAGTTGTATGTGGCTTTTGAACAGTTCCAGCAGGTTTTCGCGGCCTTGTATCCAGATCAAGTCGTCGCTAGTCGCCTACCAAACCCCGACAGAATTCCCAACGATCGTGAGCGCAGTGCGAACATGAAAGCTTACCGCCCCTGGATCGAACCATTATTATCTGAAGAATCAAACTGGGCTGCCTTTCGACGTAACATCATTGTAGGCGAACGTATGGTCCAATTGGCTCGCCTGGTTGGACAAGGAGTACTATTGATGACAAAAGAGATAAGCGGGTCTAAACTACATCTCACGTTCACAAATAAAGAGTGGGCCAGTTTCTTGGACGAAATGCAGTCGGGAAAATGGGGTACACCTGAAACCGCCGGAGCTGACTGGCTCCTGTCAGTTCAGCAGAAATTAGCGACACGATATTGGTTTTCTCCTATTGGAAACCCAATCACCCCCACAGAACGTAAAGCTCTGTTTGGCTTATAGCATTCAAGTCTTTCCGGTTAATTGGTAAATTGGATAACGAATAAAGAAAAAGAAAAAAGAGCAAAAAAAAGATAAGATAAAATGAAAGAAATAGAAAACAAACAAACAAAGTATTATTACTGCTATTGTTGCGGATTTTGTTTCTTGTTTTGCTTTTATTGTAATATTTTTCAGGTACACAAAACATGTCAATCCATGTTTTTTTTTTGCTGTTGTGTGCTACGACGGTGTCAACCAGTGCTACATTAATAGAAACAAGAATATTCTAAAAAAATGCTGGATTTGACATGGCCAGATATAATAATGAGGAGCTAAAATGCAAAAGAATAAAAGAATAAAAGAATAAATATACAAATATACAAATATACCCTCTCTAGGCTATATTTTCTGACTTCTATTTTGAATTATACATGTTTCAGTACACTTGTAACAACGACAGTAACGAAAATAACAATAATGTCAAACTGAATTAGGCATATATACTTGGTCTGTGTGAAAGACCAAAATATGAAATATATATAGCTGTTTCTTTTTGTAAAATAGTTAAAACAAGTAGCTCCTTCCCTATTTCCTCTCTTAGCGTGGCTTACTATTCGCCTTAAATAAATCTACTTTCCATGAAGAGGGCTGGATATAAACTTTTAAAACAATGTTTGGGTGCCAATGAAGTCTCTAAATATATCAAATAGATTTAAATAGAAAATATTTTATTCAGAGAGAAAGAGAAAAAAAAAGAACAGGATTAATAATCAAACGTCAAAGACGATTGGGTTTTTCAGAAATGGGAGTTTTGTTTTTAGTTACTTATTGTTACTGAAAATACGCTATGTAAATATCCAACTTTTAATTTTTAAAAATTATAAAGTTGTAGTATTATTATCAATTATCGCGCTACTTTACTGCTTGTAGTTATTAAGTCTCACAGTTCTTTACGAACCAATTAATAGCAATTGGATATTTAAACTACTTCATATATATAAAAAAAAAAAACTCGACTTTTTTTCTTTTTCAAAAATAATATATGCATATATATATCTTTTCTATATTTCTACCAAAGTAACTATATATGATAATTATGCCAGCAAAATAAAATGTCCTCTGAGTAATATAAAATGTAAGAATATTTAAGCTGCAATATGTGTATGTTGGTTTGATTTGGTTTTTTATTTTATTTTATTTTATTTTATTTTATATTATATTATTTCTTACACACACACACATTATATAAAATCAAAGACAAATTTATGGTGCATATAGAGTTACCCTTTTTTGGGATTGAAGGGGGAAGAGTCGTCACCCATCTGCACACGCGGCCTTTATTTTTTACGTCCACGCTTTAGACTGTCGACAACGCAAGTTCATCGCTTTTCTTTTATTTATTTTTATACATCTTATTTCGATTCTACACAACAATGACCTCGATTGGTACTGGTGTAAGTCTAAAGAAATAACCTCTATTTCTTTGTGTGTACATAAGAACAAGCACGACCTTTTTTGTCTCTCTCTTTTATCCTGTCAATTAACAGCCTAAAACGAACCATTAACATAGTATGATCTTTCGGTGTCTACCTATTCCCCTGATGGACGCGTCTTCCAAGTCGAATACGCAAATAAGGCCGTTGATAACAGCGGGTAAAGATAAATAAACAAATTACACAATGCATGTGGACCTACACGCACATATATATATCTTTATACATAGAGGAAAGAGATAGAACGATATTGAAACAGAAAACTGGTTCAAGAAAAGAAGAAAAGAATACAACCTTTTTACCCCACCCATCCCGTCCCTTCCCCCCCCCCCCCTTTTTTTTTTTTTTCCTACAACTTTATTCTATTATCTCTTTTTTTTGGTGTAAAGAACCTTGGAGAACTGAACATTACTGCTTACACTTTTTTTAAAAAAAAATAGTACTGCCATTGGTCTCCGTGTCAAGGATGGTGTTGTTCTTGCAGTAGAAAAGTTGGTCCAGTCCAAACTCTTGGTCGCTAATGCCAACCGTCGCATCCAGAGTGCTGATTTGCACATTGGCGTTGTAAGTTAAATGGTTTATGATTGTAATGTATAAGGTGACAACACACTAATCTAATTACATGCATGCATCAATACACTGTATTATCGTATGCTTTATTTTTCTCTCTTTCTTTACTTTAGGCTACTGCTGGTCTTTTGGCTGACGGTAGACATTTGGTCAACCGTGCACGCGATGAGGCACAGTCCTGGAGAGATATTTATCGTCAGCCTATTCCCGGCAAGGTAATATATATATATGCATATGCATAAAAGAGTTCTTCAAAAAAAATAAGAATAATCAAATGCTTATTATAAATATGTGTACCAAAAAAAACACGCACGATATTACTATTGGTAGGCTTTGGCTGATCGTTTAGGCCAATATGTTTCTGCTTATACTCTTTATTCGAGTGTTCGTCCTTTTGGTTGTGGAACCATTGTTGGATCAATGACCGAGGGTGAACCTTCGTTGTACCTTATCGAGCCATCTGGTGTCTACTGGGTAATTTCAACCGAGAAAATTTAGAAATATATATATATATATACATTGGGGGTAAAAGTCTTGTATTTTTTTTATTAATATATATGTTTGTGTATATAGGGTTACCGTGGTTGTGCTGTCGGCAAGGGCAAGTCTGTTGCCAAGACAGAGATCGAGAAACTCAAGATGGAGGAGATGACTGTTCGCGAGGCAGTTAATGAGATTACCCGCATGTAAGATTCAATTCTATTGTTATCATAATTTTTTTAAGAAAAAGATGTGGATAATATTTTGACTTACTAACAAACAATTATTATTATTATTATTATAATCGCGTATCTATCTAAAAGCATCTATACCTGTCATGATGAAGCAAAGGACAAAGATTTTGAATTGGAATTGAGCTGGATTTGCCCAGAGTCCAAGTACAAGCACCAGTTTGTGCCAAAGGAGATTAAGGAAGAGGCCGAAAGACTTGCCAAGGTAATATAAATATATATAGATAGATAGAGAGGGAGAAGCAGACTGATTGCGAAGTGTTTTTAACTAAACTAAACTGAATTCTTACTTTTTCTTTAGGAATCTTTGGATGATGAGATGGAGGACTAAGAAAATACTAATAAAAATAAATAAAAAAAAAAGAAGAAGAAGAATAAGGGAAAAAAAGAAATAAAGAAATAACGACGAGCAGGATAATAAAAATAAACACACTATTATTCTCAGAATTGAATCATGACAAGTTAAAAACAAAAATACAAAATACAAAACATAAAAAAAAATTGTAAAAGATGTGGTAAATATACTTTGTGAGGGAAATGTATTGGTGGTGGTGGTTTAGTGGGTAGAAGAGGGTTTTCCTTTTGGTTAATTTGATGGCGGTTATAATGGTTTATATATATGTATGCATATGCATATATATATATGTGTGTGTGAAAGTGAGTGAATGAGTGAGTGAGTATGTATGTATATGTATATATGTGTATTTTTTTATAAGAAAAAAAAAGAACAAGCGAAAAAAAAATAGAGAGAAAAAAAAAGAGAGAAAAGAGGAACGAATGTAGAGAGGGGAAGGGGAGGATTTTGATCAAGAAGTTGTCTCTCGTAAAGGACCATCATTAAATGATGAGTTTACGATAGTAGAATCAGTACCGTTTGTCCGTGCGGTTGACATGTTACTACTATTATTACTGCTACTGCTACTATTGTTGCTGTTATTGTTGTCGTCGTTGTTGCTGCTGCTTTCAATGCCAGTCATTGGATCATCCTCTTCTACAGCTTCGCCAGCTTTTCTTCGTTTCTTACGCTTGCTCACACAGTTTTTGATAGAAGCTTTCATCTCCATCATTGTGAACGGCTTACTGATAAAGTCATTCATTCCGGCGTCAATACAGATCTGTCTGTCCTGCTTGGATGCCGAGGCCGTGAGTGCAATAATATATACATCCGAAGCATTCAACAATGGACGATGTACAGCCGAGGTTTGTCGTTCATTAATGATTGCCCGGGTTGCCTCAAGTCCATCCAACTCGGGCATGTACAAGTCCATCTGTGTATATACATATCAAACCAAAAATCCAATCTATTAATCTTGAGAACATGAACAGTATAAACACACACACACACAATACTTGCAAATATAACGTCAAACTTTGTAGTCCGCATGAGATCTAAAGCTTCTCTTCCATTGTTTGCAATTACTGCATCATGATAACCAAGTCTTTTGAGTATACTTATGGCAATCTTCTGATTCACTATTGTTTGGTTAAATATAAAAATCAATATATACATATATAAGAAGTTGTTGTTGTTGTTGTTTCTTTTTTTTTCGCTTACAAACATTATCCTCTGCCAGCATAATCTTGATGGGGAATTGGACAGCAAGATTTTCTTCATTATTTGTCGATTTGCGGTGATGATAATGTTGCTTGGCAACTGCAGCCCGAGAAGTCCTGGCTTCGATCGTAAGTTTGGTCTTATCAGCGATGTCCCGATGTGGTCTTGCCGAGGGCCGCTTGGTGTCTATCGATCGACTATGTGTAGCATACATATCTACTGCAGGAGAGACAGAAAGGGCCATTGTGGGTATAGGCGGAAGAGCACTGTTGCTATTATTGTTGTGGCTATTATGGTTGGTGGTTGTGGTGGGTTTGGTGTTGTTAAGTGGAGCGTTCAGGGGTGCCCAGAGAGGGAGAGAGATGTCTGCAGATGATCGTTGATTGAAGTAAGGAGAAGAGCACGAAGACGAAGAAGGAGGAGAAGGAATATGAGGAGAATGGGTGTGATAATAACCTCCTCCAGGTCCGACGTTGATGATAGCTGGAGACACGAGCGGATCAATGCGATTTTCGTTTATACTTCCTCCTCCGTCTGATACAGTCGAGCTTGGAGACGGTGGGGATGTCAGGACGACTGAAAAACTATCTGATGGAGTACGCTCCTTGAGGCGCGTGGGGGCAATTGTCATCGGAAGCGTCAGGGCAAACCTAGATCCCACACCTTCTTCGGATTCGACCCACAAGCCGCCACCCATCCGGTTCACAAGAGTGCTCGAGATTGCCAGTCCCAGACCAGTCCCGCCGTAGCGGCGGGCTGTGGAGATGTCGATCTGAGAAAACGAGCGGAAGAGACGTGGCAGACGGTCAGCCGGGATACCTATACCTGTGTCCGTGACGGATATCTCAAGAATAACCTTGTCATAATCTTCGGTCTCGTCATCGCTTGCGCCAGCGCGAGCGTCTCCGTCCTTTTGCCGTCTTGTCTGCTTGTTTCCCATCACAATGGACCAAATGGTCTCCATCTTGGCATCGTATCGCTGTTTAAACGACATTCGAGATGATTGCTGCACTGCTTGACTAGGGATGGGCACATACCGCTTGATGCCCACGCGTATTCCACCCTTTTTTGTAAACTGCACAAAGAATTATGATTACAATTATTATTATTGTTACTATTATTTTTTTGCTTTTTTTTTTTACCTTGACAGCATTTGAACACAGATTCAATAGAATTTGAGTGAGCCTCATTGTGTCTCCCATCAAATGATCTGGTACGTCTGCATCGATTTTGTATAATAGTGGAAGGACAGTCTTTGTCTTATGTACAGGCAGGGGCATGTATTCCAACTCGGCAAGCATTTGGGAGAGCGGCATATTTTCATCCATATCAGTTGGACATTCGAATACTGACACGAGTTTGTTCTGTTGGCTCATGGATGCTTGATGACGAGCCATATTCAAAGCATCTGTTTGGATTTTTTGTTGTTGTTTTATATATAGATAGATATCAAATACATAAGATACATCAGATATATGTATCAGGCAAAAAGGAGATTTTTTTGGGGGGTCAATAATCATTACACACGCACATAATATATATACATAAATATACCTTTTACACATTTACGTAGGCTGAAACGCCTGCTTTCCAATTTGAATTTTGGATCATGGTTGATCTTTGAAATGTCGAGAATATCGTTGATAACCTACACAGATGCACACCTCCATGCACCATTTGTTAAAACAAAAAATGTTCAAATCGCAAGTCAAGCAAGAGGAGCAGGGGCACGTTACCGTCAATAGATGATGACCACTGGTCTGAATGACTTCAAGATGCTCGGTCTGTTCTTCATTTAAGGTAGACCTTTCTTGAAGGAGTAGGTCTGTGAGGGCAATCACTGCATTCATCGGCGTCCTGGGGTCGATTAGAGCAAGATCTTACACAATATAATATAATATAATAACTTTTTTTTTTGGTTTTTTTTGGGCTTTGTTTTGTTTTGTAACTGTGCATATGATATATGCTCTATCATGTCATGTCATGCTATGTCATGCTATGTTATATTCCTATTCTGCCCTTATTATATATGTATGTATATATATACGTATATACGTATAGGTGTATAGGTGTATACTTGTTTGTTTGTTTGTTTGTTTTATAGTCTCCATTTGGTTTTATTATTTACCTGATCTCATGGCTCATGTCTGCTAAGAAACGGATTTTATTTTCTGCATCCAGTTTGGCAGCATCCTTGGCTCGTTTGAGATCTTCTTCTTCTCTGATCCGACTAAGTTCGCGAGATACGCGTGGTTGTACTGCGTGGAGTAAGGTTGTGGCTACAGAGAGGGCTTGAGGGTGCATCGGCGTGTCTGTCATGAGGCAAAGCAGTCCGAGAACCTGACCATCAGTGTCACTGTTGCTGCTGCTGATACGTACCCCCGCAAAACTGTGGTGGGCAGGCATGTAACAGGAAGTCTCTTCTACGGTGTCCTGTAGCCCAAACGATCCTTCTGTCAGCACCTGAATATAGGGTGTATCTTGGAGTAGTTCAAGGGGAACAGATGTGTGTTGTTTACTTTTTATGAATAATAAGAATGATTGCTCGAAAATATATATATGTGTATATATATAGTAGGACTTTTTTTTCGTTGTTTTTTTATGCTTACATTGTCTCGAGGGGTGATGTCGAGTAAACTGCTCTGACAAATAGATGGTTTTGGGAGAATGGAGGACTTTCGTCATCATGGTTTCGTTCATCCCCAGACCGGTCAAAGGTTGGTGATGGCAGGGGTGGAATCGGCTGGGTGGTTTTGATAAATGAGATCCTCTTTGTTTGGGTTGATTGAGATTCTGTTGTTGTTGCTGCTGCTGCTGCGTTTGTTGCGCTTTTTGTTTCATGAGAGTTTTCTTCTGGTGTAAGTATTTCTTGTAGGATCACTGTTTGGGCTAGAGTAACTTTTGCAATCTCCCGTACGAGTACATCCAGGAAGGGTTTTCCTACATAGTCATACGTTGCAGCATACAATGACTGTAGTAGAAGTGAGGGGTTGGCTGTAGAGAGGGAGTGATTTCGGTTGTCGATTGTGTCTGTGTGTAGTTCTCTCGCCTGTAAGTCCATTGTTTAAGGAATCCTGCAAGCAGGTTAAAATGTATATGTGTAAAAAAAGAGAAAAGAAAACAAAAGAAAACAAATTTATATATGTATTTATAAACAAATATAAATAAAAGTACTAGTAAAAGTAGTAGTAATATCGATAGCAATAGAATTGGTAGTGGTAGCAATAATAATAACAATAATAATAATAATGAAAGTGTATATAAATATATATAATTTTATGTATATGTATATGTATAATATATATATATATATATATATATATTTATATATAAAATATATATATATATCTGTGTTTGTGTGTAGAAAATCAGGAAGAAAATAATAATAATAGAATATATATTGGTTGAAAATAAGCTTTGAAATACAACAAAATATATATATATATATATGTGTGTGTGTGCGTGTAAAAATTGGGACTATTTTATGAAAATTATATATGTTTGCAGATATATATTGTAATAGCAATATTTAACTTCTTCTTTCTTAAACTGTATACAGATACACACAAACTGCAATTCGTAAAAGAGAGACGATTGGTTGGTTATTGTATGGTTGTATAGATATCAATAGCAATGTAAAGCAAAGCAAAGCAAAGGTAAGTGCAAGAGCAAGAAGGAAAAAGGAAAAGGAAAAGGGGAAGGGGAAAGAAGCGGAGTATATGGGAAAAGCTTCTGGACGTCACGATTGAATTTGACAGACCGAATAAAAGAAAGAAAGAAGAAGAAAAAAAAAGGTCTAAAGAAGGCATTAACTTTCGTCTTGTGTACACTGAATCGAAACAGACAAAACACAGAAATATACATATACGTATGTGTGTGTCTACGTAGGTGAATAAATGAGCAAAGTGGATGAGTTTGTACTTGACTGTATTTATGTATCTTTGCTTGTCTGTCTGTCTGTCTGCCTGTCTGTCCGTGTGCTTGTATGTATGTCATTTGTATGGTACATCTTTTTAGGAAAAAGTAATATATAAATACTTTTGCAGAAAATATAAAATAAAATAAAAAGTAGAAATTGAGATTGATGACGACAGTCTTGAAAGTTTGCTTTTTGAGTGTGTGTATTCTCACAGTAATAAGTAAAAATAAATAATCAATAATCAATAAATTAAATGAAATGAAATGAAATGAAATTCACAAAATTACAGCAGTAATTGTAATATCAAAATTTTAATTTATGCACACATCATGTTTTACATATATATATATATATAAAGTGGCAAGAGCGGTTTGATTAAACCGTATAGTCAAACCCCTTTAAAGTATCATTAAGGCTATAGAAAGGATAAGAAGGAAAAAAGGGTTTTTAGATAATTATCTACATGATCCTGCAATCTGTAATGTATATTGGTTTATCATTCAAGCTCTTCACATCATTCAACCCATTTAATCTTATCGACAGGACTCATTAAACGCTCTTACATCCCCATCCTCATTTGCTTGGTTAATTTTAGACTAATCCTTCATCTTCAATTTTAGATTATGAATTTCTGTAATCTCTTAAAATTTTGTCATCCTCTAGAATATGAGCCTATTTGTGTTTTATATATATTGCTACACCAGCACACACATACATACATAACAAAAAATAAAGTTGTAATAAGAATTACGAAATAAAATACAATATGTAGGAATAAACTGCTGATTATTCTTCATTCGCCAGAGACTCTGGCCGTGTTACCATCAATTCTTTATTGAGACGAAAATTTTAAATAAAAGCTTGCTATTGCTATAATACTATTCTTTATCATCTTTTCTTTCGCTCCTGGTATTCAACCGCTCGACTTTATCGAAGATCCAAGTTATGACAAATGATATCCACGACACTTTACAAGCTCTCCTCGCCCGCATGGAAGCTTTGGGAGCACGCTCTGCTGCTCCTCCTGTGGCCCTTGATGGTTCTCCTGCTGATGAAGACGACACAATGCTACCTACCGACCATATTGTCGAACGACCTATCGCATCTGATCTCACTCCCTTCCCCGAACTTATTAAAGCCATTCCCGGGATGGAGCGCGACTTCTTCAGGCAACCCTTGGACGAAGCCTCTCGCCGCCGATTCCTCCTTAACTGCCCACGAAATGTACTTCGTCAGTACCAAGCCCTTGTTCTCAACTACAGTGGCGTGGGAACTCACACCAAACGTACTGATGCCCAACTCGCTGATATTCAGTTCCGCCTATCTGGTCTCACCCGTCCCATCGACCTGTTCGCACATGATGTGCTTGTGGAAGGATCTATCCAGGTTACACAGGCGTTGGGTTTTGCCAACACTATGCATGAATTACTATCAGACCTTGCCTCTGTTGTCACCCAGATGCGTAGTGATAATATCTGCCGAGATGCCAATCTACCTATCACGCCAATTGTCACCAACTCTGCCTTGGAGCCCAAACCACTTCTCGACTCTCAACGAATTGTGGAACAAGCTAAGCTCCAGCGTGCTTTGCACGACGCCGCACGACCTTCCCGAACGAGAAAGGGAAAACGCACCGGCCAATCAAACCGGACCAACAAACCCACTCAATCTGACCCGACTTCTGCTATCTCAGTCCCATCTTACCAGCGATCTTCCCGTCCCCACGACTCGAAGAAGGTTTTTCACAGTCGCCCACAGCTGTCCAAGTCTCAGACAACCAATACACCACAGTAGGTGGGCGCCTTCAACTATTTCGCAACGCATGGACCAAACTCACAAACGAACACTGGGTTCGACACACCGTCGAACAAGGGTACGACATCCCTTTCACTCGTCTGCCACCCATCTCCTCGTCCGGACCGTTGACGAACCACAACCGGATGGACAGCAATGTGATCGAACAGGAGATCATGTCCCTTCTGTGCAAGAAAGCCATCGAGGAAGTACACGAACCAGGGTTTCGTTCGCGCATCTTCACAATTCCGAAGAAGACAGGCGACCTCCGGCCTGTCCTCAACCTACGACCACTCAATCAGTACATCCCGAAACAATCTTTCAAGATGGAATCCATCAAGCACGTCTGCCAGTTGATCCAGCGTGGCGACTACCTCACCAGCGTCGACCTGCAAGACGCTTTTCTGCACATCCTGATCGCCAAGTCCTCTCGCAAGTATCTTCAGTTCTCCTGGAAAGGTCACATTTACCAGTTCCGCGTTTTGCCGTTTGGCCTGTCCTTGTCCCCATTGGTATTTACGAAGATGGTTCGCCCAGTACTTCGTTGGGCACGGCGACAGGGGATTCGTCTGTCGGCTTACCTCGACGACTTGATCGTGATTGCCCGATCCCCAACACTGTCCCTGCAGCACACACAGCGAGTAGTGGACAAATTACAGTCACTAGGTTTCTTGATCAAAGCGACCAAATCTCATCTAACTCCCTCAACCTCCATAGAGCACCTAGGATTTGTGATCAACAGCAAGGATATGACACTAATCATCCCTCGCTCCAAGTTGAGAGATATCCGGAGAGAAGCATCTCGCCTTCTCCACAACCCGACAATCACCTTGAGACAGCTTTCCTCGTTCATCGGCAAGGCCCAGGCAACCACTTTGGCAGTCCTTCCCGCGCGCCTGCAAACCCGGCAACTGATATCCATACGCAACCAAGCCTTGTACCGCGGATTGCAATGGACCAGTCCGATACACCTCTCTTCCATGGCTCGGCAGGAACTTCAGTGGTGGATCGACCAGCTGAAGGCATGGAATGGACACTCGTTCCTCCCAGAAGTACCTCAAGTCGAAGTGTACACCGACGCCTCGGAGACCGGTTGGGGCATCGTGTACGACAACACCGTCCTGTCTGGCACATGGACCACAGACCAACAAACCGAGCACATCAACTACCTCGAATTGATGACCATTGCCTTTGCCACCAAGCTTCCACGCCTTCAAGGGAAAGCCCTTCGCATCTACTGCGACAACATGACCACGATTGCCTATGTCAATCATTTTGGAGGAACCCGGTCTGCCAAACTCATGAATCTGGCCACGGACATGTGGAAGCAATGCCTTGTCACTGGCACCCGTGTCCGCCTGGCGTACATTCCCTCGCCCTTGAACCCTGCCGACCCTCCCTCTCGCAGCTTGATTCAGCAGCTGGAGTGGAGTATTTGTCCAACGTTCTTTCGGCACTTGGACTCACTGTGGGGTCCCCACCACATCGACTGCTTCGCATCGAGCCTGAACACCCAGCTTCCGACGTACATGACATGGAAATGGGATCCGCAAGCATTTGCGATGGACGCACTTTCTGTACCTTGGACAACCTGGCCTCGCCTATATCTTTGTCCGCCGTGGAACCTACTTCTCCACATACTGCAGAAACTACAACGAGAGAAGGTTCCCGCTACGTTGATAACGCCCAACTGGTCGAGCGCCCTCTGGTATCCTCTCCTCCTCCAGCTGTCGTCCCGCCCGCCAATACCCATCCCTCGTCACCTGGTCCTTCCCGCACCAGGCTGCGCCGGCCACGTTCTCCTGAAGAACCCACACTGGAACATGATCGCGTGGGACATAAATTACGCAGGTTAGAAGACCAAGGATTCGATGACAATGCCAACATCATCATCCTCAACCGCGATCGCAACCACTCCCGACGATCCTATAACCGTATTCAACGCGCTTACATCGACTGGGCACACCACCACGACGTCGACCCTTTCATTCCTAACCCCGTTCATATAGTCAACTATCTGGCCTATGGTGCTACCCATTTGAAATGGAAAGCATCCACTTGTCAAGCCTACCGCTCCGCCATTCTTGATTTGTACTCGGATAAAGATTCTATTGTCAAAGACTCTACCTACATTGAATTCTTTTCCGCGCTCAACGAACAGAACCTACTGTCTTTCCACCGTCCAACATATGATATTGCCCCGGTCATTCGGTTCATTCATAACCTTGGTCCTAATGACACAATGAATGCGATAGATCTCACACGTAAGTTGTGCTGGCTACTTGCCATTTGTGGGTTTCTGCGTCCCGCCGATTTGGAACGAGTCGATGACCGCCGTACATCAAGAGACAATGGCATCCTTCGCTTGGTCATTGTTGCCCCCAAAGAAAAACGTTCAGGTAGACGCATCGAAAGGATTGTCGCCATTCAACCTCATGAAGACCCCTTACTTTGCCCCGTCGCCACCTATCTAGCCTACAAGTCCAACATCGCCTTCTCGGTCTGCGTTCGGCCTCACCCTGTCCTCTCTCAGGTGACTTTGCAAAGATTAGTACGTGACGTCCGTAATTACGATAGACCCATTGGATCAGAACGGATATCCAAGCATATTCAATTTCTCATGGAGAAGATCCCTCGTCCTTCTGGTGTCCTCCTCCCCAAGGCCCGGGCTCTCGGACCTACTCTTGCTTTGGCTTCTGGTGCTTCGGTTGAAGACATTCTTGTACACGGTTCATGGGCTTCCTCCGCCGTTTTTGACACATTTTACCGCTTGTCACGACAGACTGTTAGCAATTTCTCTACCATGACTTTGACTTCTTCTAGCGGTTATCTGGACACACAGCCAGAGTCTCTGGCGAATGAAGAATAATGGTATTGTTGGCCGAGGCCGAAGGCCGAAGGCCTATACCTATTATTCGAAGAGACGGAGACTCTGGCTGTCCCCTCCCTTCCCTTCCCTTCCCTTCCCTTCCCTTCCTTATTATAATATATACCACTCGCGAATAGATGATAAAGAATAGTATTATAGCAATAGCAAGCTTTTATTTAAAATTTTCGTCTCAATAAAGAATTGATGGTAACACAGCCAGAGTCTCTGTCTCTTCGAATAATAGGTATAGGCCTTCGGCCTTCGGCCTCGGCCAACAATACCATTTCATATTCATCTAAGAAATGACCACTTGTAACTGCGCTTGTTCAGTTCATTAGTTGAAGAGGATTTTGTTTTACCGTAAAATTCACTCATTAAAACGCGAAGGAAAAAAGAAGGGGAAAGGGGGAAGGTGCTCAGAATGAGCATGTTATATAGCTTCCGTACGTATAATGAGTTGTTGTTTACTTGCCTGCTTTATATATATATATAAAAATTAAGGGTAAAGTAAGTGATAAAATAGGGTCATTTTTATTTTATTTGTTTCAAATATCTATATATGTATAATAAACTTCATAATTAAAAAAAAATAATATGCTTCATCTTCTTGGGCATAAGTTTCTTTTTCTTTTTTTTTCTGTATATTTCTTGTATTATAAAATTAATTAAAATTAAAATTAAATCCTAAAAATCCTAAAAGAATAATGATTATGCTTTAAAACTCAGAATATGTCACATAAAATATTGCATATGCAAGTTGAACATTTATCTATTGAACTTTTTTTATTTATTTTATTTTATTTTGTACACAAGTTAATTCTTTAATGCACTACACATTCTTCATACTACTTACTATACCCAAGAAGTTGGTTTTAAAGACTTTATATGTTAAAGCGTATTGGGGTAAACAATTAGTAGTTAACTGGAAGCTTACGAACATCTATACGTATTATTTTTTTAGATTATACTATTTCTTAAATGTATAATATGTGTATATAGTGTATGCAACATTAATATTTTTTTTGATATATACCGTCTTGCCAATACTGGCCTTTTTATTATTTAAAGAAAAGAAAGTGACACACAAATTTGATTAATTAACCCTGGAAACAGCGAACGGGCCTCTTCCAAAAGAAAACGATGTTTAGGATTCTAAAGTAGGCACCCGAAAATCGATTAATCTATTTTGACAATTCAGAGAAAGTTACAATTGAACTGTATCTCAATATATATATATATATATATATATTCTTAACTTGTTTATATCCTTTTCTTTCTTTCTTTATTAGAGTATCAATAAATAACGTAACAGTCTATATTTTATACGACATTAGCTATTAAGAAAATCCTCTTTTATACGATCAACTAAATATAAAGCATAAAAGCATTAAGAACCAATTACACTTTTTTGTTAATATATTATTTCTTTCATTTATATTCTTCTTCTTCAAATATCATTTTTTATATCTAGTCTTCTACTTCCTATATAAGATTCGACAAAAAATCTAGAGCTAAAATAATACTACTATTATTTTTCGATTTGACATTGGCTATACGTTTTCTTCTTCTTATTTTTCTTAAAAAAATAGGTAACATAAAGGTTATTTAACGACTACAAATATTCTTTCAAGACAATCTGTGCCAAAATCCAAATAATGTATATACCAACCTGAATAAAAGAAATAAAAGAAAATATTATTCTTATTGTTGAATAAGACATGATATGATACAATATTCGATTATTTATTCATAAAAGTGTTACTTTTGTCTATCTAATTGTTGATACATGTAAGAAAAAAAAAGATCAAATAAAAAAAAGATTTACAAGCATTAGGATATTCATTAATTATTTTCATATAATAGCGTTTAAAGTGTATTAGTAGAACTATACGAATCTAATTCAAATTTTAAGCACTAATACAGTAAAGAGGTGTATTTTGTCATTGTGATTGAAAATAGATTGCCTTATTTTTTTTAAAAAAAAGAGCAACAATATAATATAATATGTATATACTACTCGCATAAAAAATTAGGATCAGTACAAGGTTGTACCGAGAAGGTTTGGTGATAAATCCAAATTTTAGTAATATTATTTATTTTTTATTTATTTATATACATGTACATATGTTTAATTTACTGAATTGTGCTCATCGACCCAATTACTGTATCAATCACTCAACTTTTTTTTAATCGATACATACATACATACAGTCTTATCATTGAAAACCCAAAATAAAAATAAAAGATAGTCCTCCCCTTATTTCCATCGATAGCAACGGTGTTCAAATGCCACAAAGATATAATTAAATGACCTCCGAAAATAAAATAAATCTGTGAATTAAAATCAGTATAGAGATGTTATTTATTCTATTTGGAAATATTATTATAAGAGATGTAGAAAGATTGCAATTGAATTAACATCGTAGTCTTGAAGCGATATCTGTAGATTAGAATACTTATCGTTTATACTCGAGTTTTACTAAATCACCTTGTAAAGAAAGAAAGAAAGAAAAAACACTACATACACATACTATTCATATACACCACACCACACTACATATATACTTTTATACATAGATCAAGGATACTTGATTTATTAAAATAATATTTCTGTTGCCATGGAAATATTAAGCTTTATTGAAAGATCGATAAAACTGATAACGACAAATGTGTGTGCGTGTTTTTTTTTCTTCTTCTTTTCATTCTTGTGTTGAATTGATAGGCGGGGTGTCTTTGAAGAGACTGGATCCAAAATAATAATAATAATAATAATAATAAATAAATAAAATAAAAAAGAGCAAATGTGAATAACATATATTCTGTTTCTCCTCCGCGGATAATGGATGACACACCACACCACTCAAATCAAAATCAAGGGTCCGGGCACCCTGATTTTCAATGATTGTATATCGATTTTGCCTTAATGAGTATCACTGATGAGACTTGATTTGTCTAATCAATCTTGATTATTTCAACAGCAACAGCAAAACCAACAACAAAAAGCGCATATTTTTTTTAGAAAATTAATTTTCTATACTCAAGTCAATTAGTTTCACATATACATATATAATTAAATTGACTAACTAACTAAAGCACAAACCTATCAGATTCACAATTGACAATTGACAATTGACAAGTGACAATTTCATGATCCACAATAATAATCTCACAATCATCTAAGAAAATTATGGAATCACATAGTAACAACACCAACAGACAAAAATAATAATAATATTAATAATAATAACGTTCATTATTGTTATTATAATTGTTAGTAGTAGACAGCTCATGATAAGAGAAAATGGTTTGATTTTACGCGCCCATTGATGGGGTTTGTCCTGCTAACTTTTTTTTTAATTTTTTTTTCGTCACAAGGCTCACTATCACGGCCATCTCCGAGGATTTGAATAAGCTGTAGGATTGGCTCCGCCTATATATCCCCCATAACCCTCCTCCTCATCAACCACCCCCTCCCCCCCTTTTTTTGTGTTTTTATTTTATTTATTTATCCCCTTAATCGACCCGTGCAACTTGTTCTTTTATTCTTGTATTGCATCATGCACAACAACAACAACAACAACAACAACAAGATAGTGAAATATTTTTTTTTCATTGCAGAATATATATATGCGTGTTTTGAATTGATAAACAATAGAATATTCATGAATGAGATGTTGGGGGAGATAGATCAATATTTACATTTGTGCATTGGCGTTTTGTGCTATCAATAATCATAACCATAACCATAACCATAATCATAATCATGACAATAACAATCACACAGAATAATAGCAATTGTTCTATTATTCTTATTATTATTCCTTATATATATACAACAACAACAAAAAAGGGACCATCAATGTTGTTATTTTTATAGTGTATTTATAACGGGTTAAGACTCGTAAAAAAAATAAGCTTTGAGATCCAATCTTACAAATATAGATATTTCGAACAATAAAAAAAAGGTTACCTTGGCAACCAAAATGATAATCAATAAGTTGGCATAGCAACTACTTGTATATATTTTTTATTGTTGTTATCATGGCAACCAACTTTTTTTTTCTATATTATTACCATGACAACTAAATTAACTTTTTTTTCGGTTTTGGTTTTTGGTTTTTGATTTCGATTTCGATTTTGATTTTGATTTTTTTTTTGTTTTAATTTGTTATCTTTTATATATATATTCTGTAAAACCCAAACATTCACTTACTGATATATATATATATATTTGTATATGATAATAAGTGTACACAAATACACATTAAGCACAAGCACAAACATGTATATGTATATGTATATATATATATATTTTAAATAGTTCTTATTTATTTTGTTAAAAAAAAACATTTTTCTTCTCACTTATGTGTAAATCAAAAATCAAAAATCAAAATTCATTTTTTTTTATATATTTATATTTATATTTATATTTTTTATATATGTATTTTTTTAAAAAATAGAATAAAGAATATAAATAAATGTCTATTAAGCTTGGGTAGAAAGTATCATTGTATCGCTGCATACATTATAAAATATATACACACGCATAAAGAGAGAAATAAAATGCAAGAAAGATGCAGAAAATAAAATAAAGTAAAAACAATGGCTTAAGGGAAAATATATGCAAGTAAAATGACAAGATTATTTTTTTATATAAAAATAAATGAGGGAATGAATGAATGAGTGAGTTTGTATGATAAAGATATATATATGTAGAAAAAAGAAAGAAAGAAAGGATGGCATAAAATAAGTGATTTTGGTTTTTTGGATTTTGTTTTCCAGTCATGGATCTCTTATATATATATAAAAAATGATAGATGTTTTTGTTTGTAAAAAGAAAAAAAAATTAAAAAAAAGGTGATGAGGAGCATATATACAAGGTTTGTCTTTTTTTTTAGCCAAATGAAAAAGAAAAAGAAATGGAATATAATGGAAAGCTGTAGAGTTAATGAGAGAGAGTGTGTGTGTGTGTTAAAGAGAGCAATATAAAGAGAGGGAGAGGGAGCAATAGACAGATAGAGAGAGGATATAAGAAGAAGTATGAAAAAAAAGAAGTGCAAGCGATTCAATGACACAAACAAGCAAGAAAAAAAAAGAAAGAAAAGAAAGGAAAAAGAAAGAAAGAAACAATGAGAGGGGACATATATATATATATAATATAAATAAAAGTGAGATCATAGTATAGAATGAATGGGCGGAAGTGTGATTGGCTCAAGTGAATCTGACAGGATCGGTATTCTTCTTGTCCATGGCGAGAACAGGTGGGACGGGGACGGAAGAGACGGACGATCAACGGAAGAATAGGCCATACTACACTCTATAGGTTGTGGTTTCTGGTCGATCAATGGCGGTAGAGTGAAGATAGTTCTGGGTTGAGTCGGGAAAAAGCGACGGGAGGAAGCGGTAGGTTGTGGGCAAAGGGTCGGAGAGCTGGTGGGTGTGTAGGCAATTTCACTCTCAGAATCCGAGCAGTATGGAGTCTGCGTCACCGCAACCGCAGCCGCAACCGCAAGACTAGATTTTGTTGTTGTTGTTGTTATTTGAGTAGGAGCAGGAGTAGGAGGAAGGGAAGGATGTTGGTGGTAATGATTGTGGTGCTGGTGGTGAGGATGAAGTGGGAAAAATGAACGTTCCTGTGAACACTCGAATGAAGAGGATGAGGTAGAGAGTGCAGGGCTCGGGGGAAGTGAGAAGTGTGGAGTGGTGCTTATATTGGTTTTGTTGGTGCTTATATTGGTGCATATGTTTTTATTTGCTGTGGTGGTATTTGTATTGGTGGTGGTATTTGTGAGTGGCCGGGCTGGCTCGATGGTCGGGTAGGACATGAGTGTTTGTAGGGGGCGAATCATGGTTGTGGTTGTGGTTGCCTTGCGTTCTCTACGCTTGTTTGGCGAGGTATGGATTCTGGTGTGCCTGGTAAGTTCGTCCAGACGAGAGAAGCGCTTCTCGCAGCCATTAAATGTACATGAATGAGGTTTCTCTCCAGTGTGAGTGCGGATATGGCGTGTCTGGTGCTCTAGGCGATAAAATGCTTTGGAACACATTGGGCAATTGTAAGCCCGACGTGTAGTGGTCGATCTCTTGGTTCGGTCAGCTGTCATGGATATAAGATGAGTTATGTGGAGATAGAGAGGTAGAGGATCGGTTGGTTTGTTGCTAGGTTTGGTTTGTTGCTAGGCTTGTTTGTTTCTAGGTTATTATTAAATGTTGATGTTGATGCTGTTGATGTGAGGTAGGCAGACAAACAGACAGGCTTTAAGTTAAGTTAGGTCAAGTCAAGCCAGAGTTAAGGCAGGTTAAGCCAAGTTAAGTAAATAAGAGGAAAAAGAGAAAAGCAACAGTTAAAGGAAGATGAGTTGGTTTAGTTTTATAGTGATAAGAAGGGCTTGAGATTTTATTTGCTGACACTAAAGAGATATCGATGAAGGGCGAGAATTGTCTATCAAATAGAATAATTTTTTTATTTTATTTTATTTTATTTTATTTTATTTTATTTTATTTTATTTTATTTTTACTATTCAGAATGAGTAGATCTGTGCGATAACAACCATTTTGCCACGCGCGGATGATTAAAAAGGTGTTCGGGTCTATAATAAGGGCCAAAACGGAGTCAAAACATCATGTTTCTTTTTTAGAGAACATAAAAAATAATAATATAATAATTTGCGCTCCATATTTTGCTTTGGTGTGATGAACCAAATAAAATAAAATATAAAATAAAATCTCTTTATTTTTGCTTTGCTCATGTTTGTCCAAAAACCGAAATTATCATTAATATTAATATTTTTGTATTTATTGTATAATTACATTTATTACAGCCAAACTAATGTGCTGCACATTTATAACCAATACAAAAAGCACATCACCACACAAACACACAATCTATATCCACACACACACACACACACACAGGCACAGGCACAGGCACAGGTACAGGCACACAGGCACACGCTGCTATAAAAAATAAAATAAAATAAAATATATAAAATAAAATTCCCAGTCCTGTTTTCCCCATGGGCCATTTCACCTGCAAAATACCAAATAATCCTTTATCTTGACCATCTATCCCCCCACCCCCCTTTCTTTTCTCCTTCCTTAGTCTTTGTTCTTTGCACTCCAAATCCCCCTTTTATTATCATTATATTATTTTTATTTTTATTTTTATTTTATTCTTCCCTTATCACCTCACACAATTCAATCCCCCCTCCTCCCTTTCCTTCCCTCCTTCTTTCTTTTTTGGAGTCTTTATCAACAGCATCATCAGCATTATCACCAGCATCACCATTATCATTATCATTATCATTATCATTAATATCAGTATTGTTATTACTATTATTACTATTCTTATTACTACTACTACTACTACTACTACTACTACTACTATTACATTTGCTATTACATTTGCTATTACTATCATTATTGATATTGATATTAATACCATTTATTATTCTCTCTCTCTCTCTCATTTTTTTTTTTACTTTTTTTTAAAAAAAAATATCGTCTTGTCAAGGCTTGATGGTTTGGTTAACAAGTACATATAGACTGATAACAAGACATGGAATGGAATGTGATTCAGTCTTGTTTGACATTCAAAGAAAAAGAAAAAGAAAAAGAAGAGAGAGAATCAAGGTTCTAGGACTCGGACAGATTCCCGTACAATTAACTACAATTTTTGTACTATAATCTCAAAAAAGGACATCTCCAAATCAAAAAAAAAAGAACAACAAAAACAATCAATGGAGCACTTTGAATTCCACATGGCTACTTTTATATCTTGGTGTCACCGGGCCCGTACGTTTTCCCGTACAATACAACGCTATACAATACAATACAATACAATACAATACAATACAATACAATACGATATGATATGATATGATATATAATATATGATATACCTACTAATCAACTAATAAGCTAACCTTTTTTCTTCTTCCTTCTTACGCCAGGCTTTGTCGATTGATTGTATAGAGTAAAGTTTTATGTATACATATATAGATATGTACGTATAAATAATTCACATGAGAAGGTTATACAATCAACGCATCGGCTCGAAATAACAATAACATGTATATATACACACACCCCATTATTGCTATTTGCCACACAAGAATCTGCATTGTCATGCCACTTGTAAGCGAAATCTCCCAGTTTTGGGAAAATTTTTGCGTCTTTCTCTCTTTCTCTTTCTTACACACATATAGTATACCTTCCACCCAATAAATAGTGAATATACAAATACACATATGTACTGAGTTACACCGTTAAATAGGTAAGTTATATATTGTATGCGCGTGTGAATGTGTGAGCGTATTTGTAGTGCGTCTGCGTCTGCCTCTGCGTCTGCATCTGCATCTGCATCTGGGTATTTACATGCATATCTGTAGTGCATGTATGTGTATTTGTAGTGCGTATAATTCAACATTGTATATAAACATTTATAATATCTAATTAGATAATCTGCCGGTTATTTATTGTGATCGATCCAGGTGAATGGATTATTCATTAATTTTTGTTATCGTACAAATCTAGAGTGCGATTGAATCTATACAAAAAGGTGCAAAGGTATAAAATATTTAAATATTTAAATATCCTTTTTTTTTTAAAGAAAAAAAGTGGAATGCTCTTAATTATATATATATACAAAAATTATTCAATTTTTTTTCTTTAAAACAGTGATTTTGAGTAGCCGGTTCAACACTGTAAACGTACCTGACTGTATATGGTCATGTCCCGAGCCAAAGGCTTGTTACACGTATCTGTAGAAATAATCTATATAGATTTTGAAAATAATACAATATAGTAACATTATGTATGGATATCTATACAATTGAATGAATAAAGAAGCAGGTAAGTAATTTATAATAATTCACAGCTAATTTCTCATAAAGGCGATTCAATATCCTTTTCTTTTCTTAAATAGAAAAAAGAGAAAATCAAGTGAATATAGCAAGATTTCAAAAATTTCAAAAAAAAGTATGTGAGTTTTCCTATAGAGTGATTATGATTTCTCTCTCATGTCCAACATCCCTCATCAACCTTCTGTTGACCAAAAATGGAAAAACCAAATCAAATCAAATCAAATCTATATTATTATTTTGCGGTTTATCATGGTAAAAATAATAAGAATAATCTATTCTGCCCAATAGACAACTCGCATATGTTGTCATTTTACATCCTCTGTAAGTTTGTCTGCTGTTCTCACCTGCACAGTAAGAAATAAGAGGCCAAAAATATCTATATTTTTATATCAAAATACTGTGTGAATCACCAGGCAAATATAATCTTGTGATTTACAGTCAGAGTTGGTCAGTCCAGACAGTCCAGACAGTTCAATTCAGTGAAGTTCAGTCTAGTCTAGTCAGTCACTTAATCAATCAATCGATCAATCAATTGATCAGTTAATCAAGCAATCAATCAAACCGAACAATATCAAACCAAAGTGTTTTCACCTTTCATTTCATTTCATTTCATTTCATTAAACTTCTCTTCTTAAAAAGAAAGGATTTCTATTATAGATCTCTTAAACCTCTGGCCTTGTAAAAATAAAATAAAAAATAAAACAAATAAAAATAATAACAAAATGAAATAAATATGAACCATGCGTGAAATTTTGTATAATCTCACAAGAGCGTCACAATTTAGTCCACAATATCCTTTCCACCTACATACTATTGCACACACGCACACATACGTACACACATAATTTCCCTCCACCTTATTCTTCTTTCTATTCTTTCTCTTCTTTAGCCCCCCCCCCCTCCTCCCTCTTTTTTTTTTGAAGAGATTGATAATCGCTTATAGTATGATCGAGATCGATGGCCAAGAATGGCCCACAATCAATCTGGCAGAGATTCGCAATTCCGATCCAAAGATCCTTGTATGAATCTACAAAGTCAAAAAAAAAACGAGAGAAAGAAACATTTATTTAATCACTTTCTATATATACATATATAAACTCAAACAGATCAAGGAATATAATTCACATTCAAAAATCCGAATCAACAAGAATAAGCTAACCGCCAATCGAATCCATGAAAAAGTCGGTCTCTCCCTTATGCATCTAGACAATTCAAAGGAATGGCAAGAGTACACACTCGATGACTTTACATTCTATTCCTCAAACGTAGACAGACCTCATTCACTCAACAGCATGTTGGCAAGAATGAGATTTAAAGGAACCATCACTGACAGCATAGGAAGATCGGTGAAAGTGCACAGCGGAGAAGTGACGACTAGAAGCCTGACTGGAATGACAGATGATTCAAAAGATCTAAAGGTCTGGTTAAGAAGTTCTACTTTAAAAGATGAGATTTACTATCTTCTCAAGAAACCCAGCCAAGCATATAAACCGCTTTTTGAAGATTTTTTATGGAGTGTACGCCTTTCAAAGATAATTTTGTATGTATTAAGAAAAAAAGATGGTTGCCAAGACACCAAAAGAAAAAGAAAAAAAACCTTATTCACTAAATTACGCTTCACCACACTACACATCTTCACACACATTTCCAAGAAGAAGAAAACAAGAAACTTATGACATCAATAATAATATCTTATATGTATATGTATATTAGGAGCTTCCTCAAGTCTCATCCGAATGCAACCCTGGAAGATACAAAATACGAAGGAATATTAAACGAACACGTCTACAAAGAATATCCTGAAGAACGTGAGATTACCACTGCTAGTCTCAATCCTGATTTGTTGTTGGGAGAGAGTGTTTTTTCTTTTCTTTTTAGAAAGAAAGAATATATATATATATAAGAATAATTTTGATTAACATTTTTGTGAATTGTATTTGATGTTGTCTATTTATCTATTAGCCTGGGCAAAATGGAATTTGTTCCCTCATATCATCGAAAACGCGTTGAACATCATCGACCATATATTTTATTTGGTAATGGATTATACACACAGATAGAAAGACAGAAATATTATTCATTATATAGACAATTTTCTGTTTTCTGTTTTTTCTAACTAACTTTCTTTATCTATAGTGTGAGGATATTCCTGATGAAATAATCTCCCATCAATTTTGGAACAGTAAGTTTATTGGTCATTTATCTGCACATTATATAGATGTTAATATTCTGTTTTTATGTGTGGTTATTTTTTCTAGACAGCCTTTTTGAAAAGATACAGAATAAGCTTAGTGGAAATGTAAGCAGTCAATATAACATACAATGTATATATATATACAAATTGTATGTAGGTTTTTTAAGATACAAGATGCTTATTTTATTTATATATTTTCAGCCTATTAAACCGCCACTTTATAAAGATGAATTGACAGCTGTCACCCCTGAAGCACACACGTTCTATTCACCAATTTTCAACAATTTTTTGAAACTAGTTAAACATAAAGGTTTGTAAAAAAACATTTCTCTTTTTTACATACACACACACACATTATCATTACTAAAACCAAAAAAAAAAGATTCTCCAAAGGTCAATATAAAAGAATTACCAGCTGCTTCAGCTGTAGTCATAAAAGACATTTTTAGGGAGCAAAAGATGCAAAATAAATATAGAGTACTTGATTCCAATCTCTGGTGCCTAGAAGATCCACTTGGATTTCGAAATGGCTGCGCTAAATTTAACAAAGTATTGGTTGACACCGAATTTATCCATGTTGGCGATTGTGTCCAATTAAGAAACGATAATAACGAAATCTGGATAGCGTAAGCCAAAGATACAATCATATGCTTATATAATTAGTTATTGTTGTTGGTTACTAAATCTCATTTGACTTTCTTTCTTTCTCTTTTTTTTGTAGTCGAGTTACTTCTATCTTTTATACCAATCCAAAAAATCCCTTGATTACAATTCATTGGCTTTACAAAAGCTGTGACACCTTACTTGAGTCTGTAAGCAACAGAGACGAACATTTCTCAAAAAAAGAACTTTGGTACACCCATCATTGTGAATGTGAATCGAGCGAAGAACTATCTGTTACTGCAATTTATCGCAAGGTCAATGTTAAATTCAATAGTAACTGGTGTCCAGGTAGAAATACTCCTCCCCCTTTTTTTTCTTTTTCTGTTATGTTACAATCATACACATTGATAAAAGTTTTTTATCTGAAATTGTTGCTCTTGTTGTAGACAAACTACATCATTACTTTTGCCAAAGCTTCTACTCTCATTTGAACGCTTGGTTCGAAGGTCTCAAACCAACCCATCTCAAAGTTTCAGATCAATGCCAGTGCCAGCCTCTGTCTTTTGAAGATTCTTTGGCCGAATTCAAAAAGCGTGCAGTCGGAGATCTTGTTTATCTCAATCACCTCCACCCTACCTTGTTAACCTTGCACGAAATAGTATCACTCACAGATGCTGCGGTCGAACTTCGCCCTCTGCTTTTAATTGATCAACTTCCAAAGGAACACATCTCCTCATGCTTACCTCACAACGGTCGTCAGTTATACAACGAGGTCGTGTATTCCAAAAAGACCGTGAATTACTCAATTGCCGAACTTGTCCAAGGCGCACATCTCGAATACATCGATACAGCTCACCTGGAATTCTACGACCCATATACTCCGTTGCCCAACAACCTGGCCCACAATGGAGCAGGACATCATGTAAATTGTCTCGATCAATTTGGATCAATTTTAGGATCATATAAACTCATTTGATTTGATTTGTTTTGTTTACTTGTCATAGTATTATTTCAACAAAGTATTTGACCCCAAAGTAAACATTCTGTCTCCTTTGACTGCTTCGGACGAATTCGGTGCAAAGTATCCTCCCTGGAAACCAAGCGCCAAAAAACTGGCAACACTCGATCTATTCTGTGGAGGTGGAAGTTTCGGTCATGGTTTAGAAGATGCTGGTGTCGCCGAATGCAAATGGTACTTTTATATATATATATATATATATATATATATGTGCTTGTTTGAAATATCAAAACATTTTCTCAATAACTTACTGATTTACTTGATTACTTAATTACAGGGCAGTTGATGTATGTGATCCAGCATTAGACACATACTCAATAAATACAAAAGGATCCCATACTGTTTATTATGAGAGTGTCAACAAACTCTTGAAAGAGACCATCAATAACAACCCTCGACCCAACTGGCCTATAACAGTAATATTAGCTAGATATATATATATATATATATATATATATATATATATATATATCTGGCTCTGTCTGAATGCCTAGTGAAATTCCTTTTTAATCCTTTTTATTTTCTTCTTCTTAGGGTGAAGTAGATTTCATAATTGCTGGAAATCCCTGCCAAGGATTTAGTCGAATGAACCATCATAATCAAGACCCTTCATCTATCAAGAAAAGGTATCGACTAGACTAATTGACTGGGCTGATTTATTGATTGACTATCATCACTTTTTGGTTTCATTAGTCATTGATACAAAATGAGGCATACTACTTATACTAATACCAAATCCTCTACCACTGTTACTACTACTGTTATTATTATATTATTTATCAAATACTGATAATAATAACAGTGCCTTGCTGGCTAGTGTGGCATCATATATAGAACACTATCGTCCTCGTTTTTTTCTAATCGAGAATGTAGCAAACCTGACCCGATTCCAATACCAACATGAGAAAGGTTCAAAAGGACTCTTTCCTTTCAATCAAACGATCGGGTTATTCGTTAAATTAGGTTACCAAGTTCGTTGGGGTGTCATTGACGCAGCTTCCCACGGCTTACCACAGGTAAAATTAACACACAGTTAAAAGTCTATTTTATATCTAAGCATGTAATAATCTATATATATATATATCATATTTTTTGTGCTTCTCTATAGGCTAGAAACCGTGTCTTCATTTGGGGTGCTGGTAAGATTTGACTTTTTTTTTTATTGTTTCAAAAAAATTAATATACATATTTGGCTTATTTGGCTTATTTTTGTAGCTTCTGGTGAAAATTTACCACAATTTCCTATGGCTTCGCACGTCAAACTCAAAAAAGGTCTATGGGGAAAGGGAGTTTCTCTTCCTAGCGGTTTGAGGTCAGACAGTGTGATTCAGGACAATAAGACTGCATTTCAAAAAATGACAATTAAGCGGGCAATTGAGGATCTTCCCAGTATTCCTAGAAAGAGAAAGGTAAGACTAGAATATATATATATATTATTGTATTTATTTATTAGTGCCTTTTATTGATCGATTGATTGATTTATTAATCTGGATAACTAATTCAACAATATTATTTATTCATTTTTTGGTTTTAATATATATATAGTTTCCCTCAGAGTGGGCTGACCATGAAACATTGTCTGTTGGCAAAGATATACAAGATATAATTAACATAATTCCCGTAGACCCTGTAGGGCTTGGGTTACTGGAGATTTTGAAGTTATATCCAAAACATCCTAGTCTGAATTCGACGTAAGTATTTTGTAATCTATATGTAAATATGTACAAAAAAAAAACAAAGAAATCATTCAAATTAAACTCATTACTGCTGTTTCTGTCATTTATATCTATCTATCTATAGTTATGTCGATAGGTAAGCAATTTCAGAGGATGAAAAGAAATATATAGATATATTTTATAAAAAATATTGTTAATCTTATTATTTCTTATAATTTTTATTAGATTAAAGAAGATAAAGAAAAAAAACCCAGGAAACAAATTTCGTGACTTGAAGCGTGTCAATCCAGACAATGTTATAGCTACCGTCACTACCTCCCCTTCTTTTAGAGGCGTTCAGTCTGTGCCAGCTATTCACTACTCTGAGGCCCGACTATTGAGTTTACGTGAATATGCACGAGCGCAAGGTAGGAAAATAAAAAGAAAAATTGTACCCAAATATATATATATATGCCAAATTTCACAAAACTAATAATTAACAAACTTGGGATATATCTATCTATTATAAAGGGTTTCTTGATACCGATGTTATAATTGGACCCCTGCGTAACAAACATCGTATTGTCGGAAATGCTGTGGCACGTCCTGTAGCATTCGCTCTTGGGCTAAATGTCAAAGTCTAAACTTGCAAATACGTGTTTGTTTTTGTGTGTGTCTGTGTTTATTCTTGTTGCATGTGCGTGTATGTATGCGTGTACATGTACGTACTTCTATATTTATTCTTCTAGCTACCAAAAAGAGAAAAAGAGAAAGAAAGAAAGAAAGAAAAAGGGAAAAGCAAAATATATAAAATGTGTGTACATCAAATACATACACAAGATAAGCAAAACTAAAAAAAAAGGGTTTTTTTTATGTATTTGAATAAATTTTAAGGCTATCTTTCTTTCCGTACCTTTCTATTCTATCATTTTCTTATTTCGTTCCTGAGTGGTACCAAGAATTCGGGTATCCACACAAGGTAATCCCAAAAAGATCGACACCCGAGTTTTCGGTAATAAACGGGAAACGGGAAACGGGGGGAGCAGGGTCAGGGTGAGGAGAGAAAGGGAAAGGTTGTGGGGGGAGAAGGGAGGAGAGAGGGGGAGAGAGAGAAAAGATAGATTTTCTTGTGTAACCACCGTCCTCCTTGAAACATATTTGGTCAAAGTTAAATCTCAGATGGATTACAACATTACTATTATTATAATGAATATATATATGTACATTTATACAAGCAAAAATGTATATTTAAAGTGACTCTTGACACGTTCCTTTTATTATTTTTATTATTATTCAATATATATATCTATATATACAAAGTGCCTCAAGCAGGCAATGTTATAGCCAATCAAAAGTGCTGTTGTTGGAAAAATAAAAATCCACATCATTAGCCAATTAGAATCAATGCCATATATATATATATTTTTAAGAAATTAAAAAATCGCATATTTGCACTTAAAAAAAAAAGTCTTTGCAGAACGACCAAAAATTGGATTTTTTTTTACTGCTTATTACCTTTCTTTTGCTTTTCTCATATCAAAGCCACATTTTTCTTTAAAAAAAAAAAATAACATTTCATGTCATCAATAGAGAAACAAACGACGGAAAACATACCTCGCCGCGAGTTGTCAGAATTTTTACGTGGAGGAATTATTGCTCTTCATAAAGCCAACCATTCCCCCGGAGAAATCGAAGACATCTTGGACATCCCTTATTCGACGATTAGGAGCATCATCAAGAGATGGGAATAAACTGGAACAACTAACCCAAGACCTAGGTCAGGAAGACCAAAGAAAAATAAATAAGAGTCATCGATAACACGCCTGCCCTTTGTTTGAGTATAAGAAGAAACCCATTTAAATTTGGAGGGAAAATAGGAATCCCCAAAGTAAGCTTGACATATAATTCAGTATACGTGTTTGTCGAGAGGCAGTCATTAGATATGCTTGTGTCAAACAGGTTCTTGCTCTTACATTCCCAGTGGCCAGACTAAAGTTGACAGCTGAAAAAAAAACACATATGAAAGAAATGGGCTGCGTTGGGCAAGAGTCCGGAGCCAGTATAATGGTTGGAAGACTAGGGATGAGTGATATGGCCAGATGAGTTATTGGGTTTATGGAAAAATGAACTTCCCCTGACCCGTCGGTAATCGGTAAGATTGGAAAAGATGTTTCCATCAAAAATACATAGTACGAATAGTGAAATTTGCAAATATATATATATATATATATATATATATATATATATATTCAATGATGGTATAGAGAATGTTTTCTGGGCTGGAGGATTTGGGACTTCTTTGTTAGCTATTGAAGACTCTTTCAAACAAGATGTACATGTCGATTGTTTGTTCAATATGGGCTGAAGTCCTCCAGAGGACTTATACCCACACACACACACACATGCATAGTTTTCCACATGAAATGAAAATCAAAAAAGGGTGAAATGGATTAATAATATATGTGAAATGACAGGATTTATGGTTGACAAAAAGCTACTCTTCTTTTAATTTTCATAAATCAGTTTGTGGAAAAAAAGATACGACTTTTTCTTTTTGTGCTATCCAATAATTACGATTTGATTTTTAGGCAAACGATGTGGTTTCTAAAACAAATAAATGCAGTTACTTTTTATTGGCCTGAAATACCACTTTTTTAATTTGCTAACAACATTGGTTTTGATTGGATGCGACATTGCTTTAGGAAACAGTGTATATAAATGAGTAATAAAGGGTTTCTATGAGGGAATATAATCAAGTTACAAATTTATTACCATGGCTACAATCTGACGTACAGATTGCTTGTTCGATGGTGTGAGTTTCTCGAAGCGATGTTGTACAAAGTGATTTGTTTCCCATTTTTGAATACTAATATAATATATTCTCACTATCGTATTTATCTATAGAATTTAAAATGTGGGGTGCATTCTATACACTTTAATGGCAGATCAAAGATGACATGGATAAAAAATAATAATACACCTCTTCATTGTATTTGGGTGTTAAAATGTACTCTTATTTGAACTACTATTAATATTATCACTACTATTTTTTCTTAAAAAAAAGTTGGTTAGCCAGACAGAAAATTACAATAATGAATGAATTAATTTGTGATTTTGATTGTAGAAACTTATACCCGACATCTATTTTTGAAGGATCTAAAATACGGCACATATCGCTTCAGTTCATTCCGTTTCCCTCCCACCGTTTACGTTTTTACCCTTTAGGAACTTGTGCCGCCTAAACCCCAACCAATACACACAAATAAGAAAAATGTAATATCTTTGCGGCACAAAAAGGGAAAACAAAAAAAAACCAAAGAAAACAAAACAAAGCTTTCTTTTTCTTATTTTATTTTGATCCACGCCATTTGTATTTATTCTATCCACAAAAGATACCGCAGACTCGACTCTCACATGCGAGTTCGAGGCCTTTGCACAACACCACAACTGTACGTTTTTGTGCTTCTGTATAATTGTCCACTGTTTGACCTACAAACACGTACACGCACACGCACACGTACACGCACACGCACACGCAGACAGCACACATAAATCGCTTGTTCTATTGTTCTTTAGTATTTCGTGCTCTAGTACTCCCAATGTTTGTACATCCAATAATCAAAAGTTTGAGACATTTCTTTTTTGTATAGACAATCAAGAATAAGTCCAAAAACATAAAAATGTATATCAAAAATAGCCAAAAAACAAAAAATCGAATAATTATATTATGTTCTATTAATCAATACATTCATTCATTCATTCATTCTTTAATTTTTTGTTGGTTGGACTAAATAATCGGGTCTTGGCAAATTAGTATCGATCTCCAGATTTTCTTGCCTTAATTAAAACGTAAATTTTTATCTGCTGCTTAGATAATCCAATATTTGAGCAATTTATTTTATCGATCATATATACAAATCCAGGATAGCTGTCAACTCCTCCTTTTTTAAGCAAATAAAAAAAAACTTGTCAAGTCAACTGTACTTTGGAAGCCTCTTTTTATTTTTTCGGTCAAGGAAATAAAGAAGAAGTGGATAAACTGAGCTAACCTATAATATTCAACTGCAAATGGAACAAGATGTAATACTGTTGTCATATACACATAACAGACACAGTCCAGAACAATGATTTCCCATAGAGATCACCTAACTTATATATATAGTTGTATCATTAAACATGCAGTGAGTAGATAAATAATAAGCAGGGTGAGAAAACAGCAAAACGTATAAATTCAAGAGTATAGTAGAATAATATCTGTGTGATTTATGTTGCGATGTTTTTATTTTATTGAAACAAGTTTATTTGAACACATTTCATTAGATAAATGAAAGCACACATATAATTCCTCTGGACTTCCAATTGATTTGATTCATTGTATCGTGAGTATGTGCATGTAAATCTTTTGTTCTTCTTCTTTCTATTTTTCCCTATCTTGTTTTTCTATATATATACACAGATTTCTCTGTTGGGTATTGTGAGTGTGTTGTTGTTACAATTTTGATAATCCCTTTTTATCACCTTTTTCTTTCCAGCCAAAATAAACAATTTATACAGACCTAGGGTGTGCTACCCACGAGAATCTTACTGCTTTTCCAGCGTGGGATTCATGACCCTTAGAATTGGGTGATTTTGTTTTTTTTTATATTTGGTTAATTCTATTTTACCTTACTCCACATTCCCTTTCTTCTTATCTGTAATTTTTCGTCACATGTTCCCATAAAATAAAGGGAATCCGATAGTTGTATATGTATTACCCAATCAGAAAATGAACCAAAAATTCATGATACATGTCCTTTGTCTATCGAGCAGGCAAAGATAGGTCAATAACTATTAACAATCGAAAGAACATAAGCAGGAACCTATTCTCCAGCTGTTTTTTCTTTTTAGAAAATCATTTCTATAAAATAAAATCAAATGAAATAAATTGCCACAAAAAAACCCCGGGACGATATCGGTTTCAATTAATAATGTTTTTTTTTATATATTCTGTATATATACACTAATTGATTGATTGATTGATTGATTGACTGACTGACTGACTGGCTGGCTGGCTGACTGATTGGCTCTCGGGGAGTATTGACCATTCCGTTCCATTCCCTCTCTCTTTAATTAATACAAGCGTATATCCCCCCCATTATATATATTATATATTATATATACAGAGTTACCTTGATATGGTGCAATGAACCCATTCATTCACAATTATATAACATAATTGTATAATAGGCCCTTCAAATAATGAAAAATATCGTGTGCAAAATGGATGCCTAATAAAAAATGCTGCACTAATTTAATTCTCTTATCAGAACGGATCTACACCCTTCCATGTATTTCATTTTCTTTAGTAATCAATTTTTAATGAACCTGAATTTGTTTTAAAAATAAACAAATTATACGTTATATTACTATTACTATTACTATTTTGTAGCATGATAATAAAAGTACATAGTCTATAAACAAAAGCATGCTTTGTTTGTATTGCAGCCATTTGCCTTCACAAGTGCGTGGTAGTCAGCAAATCACAACCATATCTATCCAAATACCACTATTCTTTTTTAATTGATCGCTACATGCACGTCTTTTTCCAAAACATTTAATAGTAATATTAGGATACATATGTATTTATGTATCTATGTATGTGGACGTGTTTTCTTTTTGTTTTATCATTTTTATTATAAGTGTAATTTTTAATATTTAATTTTTGGTTTTGATTTTGATTTTTATGATAAGCTATACATGAAGGGAAGAATTCTATTGCAACATCCCGAAAAGAAAAAAAGAAAGAAAACAGAATATATATGAAAAGAAGAATAAGAAAAAGAAGAAGAAAAAAGCAAAGTCTAAACAATCTATTTGCTCTTTGCTGCCTCCTTCTTCTTGTACTCCTGGATAAGTTGTTCCTGGACATGGGTCTGGACAGGCTGGTGATCCTTGTACTCCATGGAGAACTCACCCTTACCCTGAGTAGCAGAACGGAGCTCGGTAGAGTAACCAAACATGTCGTTGAGAGGAACATCAGCAGTTACGTTAAAGTAGTCTTCCTGGATTTCGGTATCAACAACAGTACCCTTACGCTTGTTAAGACCACCAATAACAGCACCCTGGAACTCGGTGGGAGCAGTAATGGCAACGTTCATTATGGGTTCAAGAATAGTAGGCTTGGCCTTGGCAAATGCCTCGTTAAAGGCATTCTTGGTAGCGATACGGAAAGCCAATTCACTCGAATCAACAGCGTGAGCAGCACCATCCTCGAGTACCATGCGGAGACCGTTGACGGGGTGGCCAATAAGAGGACCCTTTTCAAGAGCATCGACGAAACCCTTCTCGCAAGCGGGAATAAAGTTGGTGGGAATGTTACCACCAATCACACGGTTTTCAAAGGCGACATCCTTGCCAGTCTCCTCATCAAGCTCCATTGGCTCCAAAACACCCATGACACGACCGAACTGACCAGCACCACCGGACTGTTTCTTGTGGGTGTAGTTGAACTTGGCAGCCTGGGTGATGGTCTCACGGAAGGCAACCTGGGGCTTACCGGTCAAACATTCGACATTGTACTCACGCTTCATGCGCTCAACGTAGATCTGGAGATGGAGTTCTCCCATACCAGAGATAATGGTCTCCTTGCTCTCCTTGTCAACATGGACACGGAAAGTAGGATCTTCTTTCTGGAAACGGTTGAGAGCCTTGGAGAAGTTGGGGCTCTCCTTGCCAATGGGGCTCAAAGAAAGTGAAATGACGGGCTGGGGAACAAACATGGAAGAGAGAGAGACCTGGACGGTACCATCGGTGAAGGTATCACCACTGGCACAGTCAACACCAAACATAGCACCAATCTCACCAGCACCGAGTTCATCGACATCTTCCATATCCGAAGCATGCATACGTACAAGGCGAGGAACCTTGATCTTTTTGCCGGTCTTAACGTTGGTAATGAAAGAGCCCTTCTTAAGAGCACCCTGGTAGATGCGCATGTAAGTCAGCTGGCCATAACGACCTTCTTCGAGCTTGAAAGCAAGACCGACAAAGGGGTTTCCGGAATAAGGGGTGAGTTCGACAGGCTTCTCGTTGTCAGCAATGTTAAGAGCAGTGTTGGTGACTTCGGTAGGGTTGGGCAAGTAATCGACAATGGCGTTCAATAAAGGCTGGACAGCAGTGTTCTTGAAGGCAGAACCCATCAAAACAGGAGTGAACTTGAGGTTGATGGTAGCAGTACGGATAGCAGTAATAAATTGTTCAGCGGTGGGGATTTCCTCATTGAGATAAATGTCAGCGATGTTGTCGTCCACATTAGCCAATTGTTCAATAAGTTCATGACGTTTTTCGGTAGCAAGTTCAATAAGATCAGCAGGAATATCCTTGGAAACCAAGTTTTCACTATTATACACCATAAAAAGAAGAAGGATATTAGTATACTGCCATTTTCTTTTTCTTTACATTTTTCCTATTCTTATATTGTTTATATACAAGTGTATGTGTGTAGCACCCTACTTTTCATAAAGAAAAAGAAAGCTTAAAACTAATTTGTTTACCCATTGTCGCCTTCGTTGTACAGAGCCTTCCACTGGATCAGATCAACGACACCACGGAATTGGTCCTCGGTACCGATGGGGATCTGGACAGCAGCAGCAGTCAACTTGAGCTTTTGTCTCATTTGGTCAATAATACGGAAAGGGTTGGCACCGGCTCTGTCCATCTTGTTGATGAACGAGAGACGGGGGACGTTGTAACGGCGCATCTGACGATCGACAGTAATCGTTTGGGACTGGACACCAGATACAGAGCAAAGAATCAAACAAGCACCATCTAACACACGCAAAGCACGCTCGACCTCAATAGTAAAGTCAACGTGACCTGGGGTATCAATAATATTCACATTGTAGTCACCCCAGCTAGCATAAGTAGCAGCCGACTGGATAGTGATTCCCTTTTCTCTTTCCAATTCCATTGAGTCCATCTTTGCTCCAACACCATCACGACCACGCACATCGTGAATTTCCTTAATACGGCCAGTGTAAAACAAGATACGTTCGGTACAGGTGGTCTTTCCAGAATCGATGTGAGCAGAGATACCAATATTACGAAGCATACTGAGACGTTTCTATACAAAAACACACACACACACAAACACAAAATATAAGTAAATAAAATTTGTCAACTTTCTTATCACCAATATATATATATATACTCTTTCCAACTCACAATGTCTGCACTGTCTGCGGGCTTCTCGGTCGAGGTTGACTGGAAACGACGCAACATCGAGACAGGTACGGAATAGGTTTGCTGGGCAGCTAAAGGTGCAGATGTAGCAACTGCATTGTGAAATGCAGCAACAGACTGAGCCCTTCCGGGTAGCCCTCCAAAGAGGGTTTTCACAAATGACATGGCGCAGGTTTACCCAAGGAAAGCAAGCGTCGAGAATACTGGTGAAGCCAATTAAAAAAAAAATAGCAAGGACCCCTCGTCCGTGACTGTTCAGGAACCAATCTGTCAAACGGAATGTGAAAATCTTTAAAACATATGTAAAACGCTGTACATTAGGGGGTTTCATTATCTGTTTTAGATTTTATTTTATTTTTTCTGGGATTGAAAAACACTAATTATTGGCTGGTAAAAATCTCTCAAAAAATAAAATCTCAAAAAATAAAATCTCAAAACTTGGCTTGATAATTTTAAGATTTTATTTTATTTTTAACTTAGCATTTTTATTCAAATATTATAAATAACAAAAAGCATTACTTTACTCATATTTTCTGTCTATTTTGATAGAAGTAGCACATTATATTATTTAATATGTCTTAAATATGCTTATTCAAAGACTTTTCATAAACTTTAGCCCATCAGTAGCTCTATGTAAATAGTAAATATATCTAGAATAATAAACAAAAAAAAGTGATTTTTTAAAAGACTTTATACATTAAATTAGCTAACATGAGGGGGGTTCAGTAATATATTTTTATATTCATTATTATTGGTTAAAACGTAAAGCTCGGAAAAAATAAAATAAAATCTAAAACAGATAATGAAACCCCCTATTGTGACCTCTAAGAAGACTCTATTTTTTTTTCTGTTATTGTTGCTGTTCCTGTTGCTGCTCTTCTACCGTGACCTTTGAGCCTAATCTGGAACTTTTCGATTTTTTTTCTCGTCTGTTTGACTGACTTTAAAGTTGTGGCAGTAATTTTAAGAGGAAAAAGTGTTTTTCCAAAAAAAAAAATTCATTCTCAAATAAAGATTGCCAAATTAGAATTAGCTTTTTTTTAAAAAAGGGTTGACCATTTCTTCAGAGTATTTTATGGTGAAAAACTTCATATACTATATTTTAACAGTGGTAAATATATCAATACTTTGTGAGGTATTAATGGAGCTAGATACTATGTTAATCGAGACAATATACCTAGATGCCATTAGCTATAGAAAATTGGAATGGAAATAATTTTTTATAAAAAAGCTTCCTACGCACAAACACTAGAGATTGTACCAGCAGAATATTCTTGGTTTAATTGACAGAGTAGATGATAGTAAGAGTGGGAAATGCAGTAAAAATAATACAATTTTTACTAGTGAGCAATACACATTAAGTAGGAGGGAAAAAAGACGATAAAATAATGTGTCTAAAAGAAATTTATTCCACCCAACCCTGCAAAAATTATATGTTTACTTGTATAAACAACTATTGATGATTAGGGACCAGATAAAAATGCTATATGCCGGACCACCAGCCATTTTTTTTTATGAGACTGGTAAATGATAAAAAAAAACCGGCGATTAAAAAAAACTTAGTGTTCCAAAGAAACGTCGTGCCTGAATAATTTGTTGGTGTGCACAGATTGAAAAGATTACCAAAAGATAAAATGTAATCAAGTGTTCATAATAAAATATCATAATATAGCACCCTCTCGGTATAGATTCTTAATGTATTAACTATTATTATTATTTATTTCAAGCAAAAAGTGACAGACCATGTTTTGTGGGAGAATAAAGGCATTACAATGCTTATCAGTATTGCTATCATTGTACTGACTTGTTTTGCGCTATCATCAACCACCTTCGTAAGATTTGCCTTGTTTTAACAAGAGTATGCTTTAAACACCATTCGTTTGTTTTGGCAGGTATCGTATCACTGTAATAAATGATAGAATTTCAAGGCATTCGGCGAGCTCACTGGGTCTTTGTCATAGACGAACCGCCCTTCCTTCCTGGTGTGATAGCAGCCAAGGCACTTGTGGTGATAAGGGGTTTATTAGAATAGACTTCTTAGTCTCTCTTTTTTTTTTAACTTTTTCCTTCTAATAGAACTATTGTAATGCAAAACTTTAGGCATACTAAGCCAACCCTCTCTATGCTTTGCATTGTAGCCGATCAATAAATACAAAATAAAGATTTATAACTATAAACTCGTAGAGTATTATTCAATCAATAAATCTGCTGGAAATACCAACTTTTATAACTTAGGACTCGCATAAAACCTACGCGCATATATATTTATAGCCAATAGCATATCGGCTTTTAGTTTTTTAATTTTACTTTTCAGTAAATACGATTTATGGGATTCTGGATCATTTTACATCTAACGTTGTTTGCTAGTATATTCTGGAAAACAGCAAAAAATGTCTTATTATTATTATTATTATTATTATTATACTAAGGTAAAAGAAAAAGACAGATTAAAAGTTTCGCAAATTTACAAAAGGAAATCCTACTCAAGTAATTTGCTTTCAAGACTATTGTACACTTCGATAATATATATGTATCATTAGAGTAATAGCATTAAATATAGGAGTTAGGAATGATATTACGAAAATCGATTGTAAGAAATACAAGGTTTTACAAGTTAATTTTAGAAGTATTAGGCAAAATAACACTTCTTTACATAAAAAAAAATCACGTAGAGTCTTATGGATTTGGAATCAAAACTTCATTAGACGAGTCACTTTCCAATATATCCAATAGGAGAATGTGGGGGTGTAGGAAATGGGGGGAGTGGTGCAAATAGCCCGCTCTCGCCACAAAGGCCGCCCCAAGGCCATACTGTATGTACCTTCTTTCTAGTTTGCCGATCGACGGTTTTCGCCATGGTAGGTAGATCTGGTTGACTCTACAGCATCATATATAAGCTAGATGGGATATTAGGAATGACCGATTGATGGATGAATCAAATAGCCAGATGGATGGAAGAAAAATCCACTCGAGAGATTATATATATAGACGGGGAGGCATATTTAAAGACATAGAGTGGAAAATAGAGCAAACACCGGGATTTGCGGACAATTTTACTTATTCAGCATCATCTGTAGGTTAACATCCCCAAGACCAGAAACACCTTCTGCAAGGGCGGTAAGTGCAAGAAGCACACCCCCCACAAGGTCACCCAATACAAGGCCGGCAAGGCTTCCCTCTTTGCCCAGGGTAAGAGACGTTACGACCGTAAGCAGTCTGGTTATGGTGGTCAGACCAAGCCCGTTTTCCACAAGAAGGCTAAGACTACCAAGAAGATCGTTCTCCGTCTTGAGTGCACTGCATGCAAGTACAAGATGCAGCTCTCCATTAAGCGCTGCAAGCACTTCGAGTTGGGTGGTGACAAGAAGACCAAGGGTGCTGCTCTCGTCTTCTAAAGCAAATCAATTCTATACATATATATATGTTGCTTTTAATAAAAACGAAAACAAAAACAAAACAAAAATACATTTATCATTCCAAGATATATGTATATATATATGTGTGTGTGTGTACTATAAAGAGGATGTCTCCAATATTTTGTGGGTTTATTGAGTATTGAGTATTGAGTATTGATATCAAATAGTTGAATTTAAAGATCTTCCATCTATCACGCCATAAAGCACAAGTTAACGATCAATGGGGGGAGGGGTTTCTAAAATAAAGGATCTCTTTTTTACACTAATTTTTGACTCAATTTTCATAATTAAATTGCATGGACCAAATCTATTGATTCAAACTACGCCCCTTTGTCATGTCAACATCATTCACACCAATCCAAGGCGGGGGTTCTCTTGTACTTGCCTGGCGAACAGCTCAGAAAAAGATCCTCATTGTTGGCGGTGGGAATGTAGCGGCACAACGTATTGTCTCTGTCAGGACAGCAGATGCACATGTCATTCTCGTATGTCCAGCACAAGGCTTAATCGACGAGACACGCTACCGCATTGAAAATAAAGAAGTAACATGGATAGACCGCAACTTTGTAGACAGTGATCTTGATGGAATGGACATGGTATTGACTGCCATGGATGATCATGAAGAATCAGCAAGAATTGGCCACTTGTGTCGTTCAAAGCGAATCCCTGTCAACGTAGCAGACGTTCCTCCATTATGTGACTTTTACTTTATGAGCCAGCACCGTGAGGGACCTTTGCAAATAGCTGTATCTACCAATGGCCAAGGCCCAAAGCTTGCTAATATGATCAGAACAAAGATCGCAGCCACATTACCAAAGGATATAGGCAAGACAATCGAAAAAATGGGTCTGTTACGTGCAAAGGTGCGTGAATGGGAACCAGCAATTGAAAACTCTGGAAAGCGCATGGGCTGGGTAATCCGATGCTGTGAAACCTGGGGACTTGAAACCATGAGCAAGCTGAATGAACTTAAAGGAAAAGAAGAGGAAAATCTGTACAAGGTACTCGAAGAATATTTCAAAAAAAACGAGGTACCACCAACCAGCCTCGTGTTTCCTTCATCTCCCGAGATTGCGTTGATCGGGGCAGGTCCGGGCGATCCAGAACTGATCACTGTCAAGGCCAAACGATGCTTGCTAGAGGCAGATTTGGTAGTTAGTGATCGTTTGATTCCACAGCAAGTATTGGACTTAGTTCAAGGGGAACTGAGAATAGCTCGCAAAACAACCGGCAGATCAGATGAAGCACAAGAAGAATTATTGGAATGGTGTCTGGAAGGTCTCAAGAAAAACCAGCGGGTCGTTAGGCTCAAGATTGGAGACCCCCTGCTTTTTGGGCGTGGTGGCGAAGAGATTCTGTGGTTCCGTGAGCGTGGCTATGAACCTGTGATGGTGCCTGGCATTTCTAGTGCATTTTCTGCACCAATGGCAGCGATGATTCCAGTCACTTTCAGAGGTGTATCAGATCAAGTAATCATCACAACTGGAAGAGGAACCAAAGGATCCATGCCTGATCTACCAGAATACGGCTCCACTCGTATGCTAGTAGTTTTGATGGCAGTTGGAAGAGCAGTTGAGCTGAGACAAATGCTTCTAGAGCGTGACTATCCCCTTACAACACCGATATGCTGGGTGGAGAATGCAAATTGCCCTGAAGAGAGAGTTGTTTTAGGCATATTAGAAACTATGGCATCCGTAGTGGTAGATAATAACATAAAGGCACCAGCGGTCCTGATTGTTGGAAAAAGCGTTGATGTCCTCACACGCGACAACGTGAAAATTGTATAAAAACCTTAGAACAAGTGTGCTGATTCCTAAATAAATAGCTTGTGCACCCATTCATTTGACTTTTGAGTTGAGTTGGCTAGAAGTGACGGACGGACGGACCTTCTTATTTCTTTGTCTCCTGCTTGGTCTCATCATCATAGTGTCTCCCCGCCTTTCTCCTCCAGAGGCGTTGATGGACTTGCTTTTCTCTGCATCCCAACCATGAGTACCATATCCTCTTCAAACCCATCGCCGTCTAATACGGCACACACAATGTCGGCAGCCATGAACCGATCCGGTTCCAATCGGTCCATTTTTCGAGACCCCACTGTCAGCAACCCACCCACCGGTCGAGTGAACCGGACCAGAAGAATGACAATGGGTGAAGATGACATGACACGCAACATTAGCGCAGACTACCAGGAGATACAGATGCGCACACTAACAAAATGGGTCAATGTCCAACTCAGTCAGGTTAATGACTCCATCCAGAACATTGCCACCGATCTCCGGGACGGAAAACGCCTATTAAAACTACTTGCTGTCGTTTCTAAAGATCCACCACCAAAACCAGAACGAATGAATATGCGGATCCACCAACTTTCAAATGTCGCCCAAGCATTAAGTTTTCTCGAAACGCAAGTAGGCGCAGACTCTATGCCCGATATCGGCAACGAGGCTATTGTCAACGGAGACATGAAGAAGACACTTGCACTACTTTTTTTTATTATGCTTAAATATCAAATACAACTTATTCTAAGTGACCATGGCAAAGACTATGGGACATCTCTTGCCGTAAGTTTGTTTGAATATGGGAGGGGCAGAAAAGCTGTTTGATTGACTGATTCCATAGACTCTCTCCAACCGTCGCACCAGTCTGCAGGATCTGCCCCTCCTGGCTACTGAGACTAGCCAGCAACCGCCATCTAAACCAACATTTACTCTTCCAGGACGCAAATCAACAGTCGCATTTGACAAAAACGGAGCAACCACAAATACTTCTTCTGCCACAGATTCAAAAGTAGCCTTATTATTTTGGGTTCGTATCCAACTCGAAGATTACATTGCTGCGAGTATTATACCATCTGTTCAGGACTTTTCAAGGTCCTGGAGAACGGGTCTAGCATTTTGCTTGCTCATCCATCGCCACAATCCACTATTGATACCCGATATCCTTTCCCGTACAGATAGCCAAGATAAGGCTGTCTGGCTAGAACTACTAACCCTTGCCTTTGATCTTGCCTCTTCTCACATGGGAATTTCGAATTATCTGGAACCAGCTGATTTGATTGATGTCGACCACCCACACGAACCAAGCGTTATGATGTACGTGAGCGAGTACTATAAAGTCATGTCTAGTGCACAAAAGAACGAATCTCCTACAGCACGCCAAGAAAAATCACACACGCGGCGAGTTCTTATAGCTAAAGCAACCGGAGGAGAAGTAGAAGAAGAAGGACCTACGTTTGACTCCCCTCCTTCAGATCTCACCATCCTGGCTAATAAAGCACCCCCAAGTCCACTATGTTTGAGTCCGTCATCTTCTGCGTCACTACTAGCCCCCGTACCAGTACCGATGCCATCAGCACGACGCAAAATACCTAATCGCCAGTCTACGTTGTGCGAAGAGGACAAAGCACGGATCAAGGCCGATCTCAACAGCCGACTTATGATGCAGTTGACAGGCCATCTGCCACACGGTGTCCATCCGGTGCTAGACCAGCTGCTCACAATTCACGACACAGTGCTAACATTCGTTAAGACCGGTACCCGGACTATTGACGAAATTCCTGAAGAATTCGAACGATCGGTTGCTGTAGCTGAATATATCGAAGCACTCGATAGTATGGAAGAGCAGTCAATAAACGAAGCCTTCCTTTTACAAACAGCTCAAGAGGCTCGCACAATACTTGTCACGCCACCTGAGACTGCGGATGATACTCTTATCCGCCTGACAGACCACCAACGTGGACAGGTTGTGCATCTTCATGACAACTTGGTTAAAGAATGGAAGGAATTTACTGAACTCTTAAGGTCTACAAAGACAGATCTCCTTTCTATTGAATCTGATCTTATGGAGACTGAAGAGGGTGTCAAACAGTTCCAACATGAAGCTGACATAATACAAGACTGTCTTTATCGATTTGCTATCCGTGTTACCCAACTCCTTCCTAGCAAAAACGGTCAGAAGATTCATCCTTTAAGTGCTACTTCGCTCGATTTGGAAGCATATGATGCTGATGTCAAGACAACCACAAAAGACTTTGACGGAATTGAACTGCGCTGGCGGGCATTTCGTTCTTTTATCCGTGGTTTAAGTCCGGCAGTTTTACAGTTAGTCCAGGGCCGTTCTAAGGATCTTCAGGAGAGGTTCGAAAGTTTGGGCGAGGCTGTGCGGGCATCGCGTCGCCAGTGCACTGACTATCGTCGAGCAATGACCTTCGCAGAACGCTTTGTGTCCTTGCATAGATCTCTAGAAGCTATTGAGGCTAAGATGAGCAGTAGTGAGAGAGCTACCACAGATGTAATTATTGTTGACCTTGAGAACAAGGTTAATCTTGTTCGATCAACGTTATATGCCTCCCGAGAGGAATATAGCGATCTTATGGAGCTTAACGATCCTCAGCTCCAAAAATGTTTTGACGATGTACACGATCGCTATGTACGAGTACGCGATTGGGTAGACCAGATCCGCCAGTGGTTTGGAGAAGCAGAACGTATCTCCAAGTGGATCAATGCTCGTACAAGCACACTAGAGATTAGGTTATCAGAACCATGGAAACCTTTGGCCCAAGAATGTATGCCAGAGAAACAAGCTGCGCGTCTACACGAAGAGCACGAGAAAATTCAACGAGAAATTGAACAGTTTAATACTGACGATATGGAACGCCTTAGAGCTCACGTTAAATCTCTTACTGGTGCTGAAAGCGATAGAAAACACGATCTTTCACCAGCTGATACTTCAACAATTGAAATCACTCTCAAAACACTTAATGACTTGAACCGACTTCTTGTATTGCTTGGAAAACGTACCCACTCTGTCGAACTTCTCTGGCAACGTTTACAATGGGAACGTATGTTAACAGCCTCTGTCCAGTGGATCGATAGTACTGATCAGAATATTACCGAGTTCCTCCAAAAAGATGCTTGGTGGCAAGAGAACGGCTCTGAACGTGAAATTATTGTATCTGGTTTGGTCTCACTTGAAAAACAGATCAGTTTATTCGATACCGGCGACTATACAACACTTTTAGAAGCTTATCAAGCAATGGAAGACCTTATCGGAGAGACTTTACCAGCTTACCTGGATAATCGGCAGTCCAACTGCGAATTATCTTTTGCTGAACTTATGACACGATGTGCATTTGCACGCAAAGTTGTAGAGCAGTGTTTAGTAATTCAAGATGTTCTTACCCAGTGCCTTGCTCTGAGAGAACAAGGTGACCAGCTGCGATCTGTTATGATGGAGGCAAATGAATCCGAAGATGATATTTACGGAGAAGCTGTTCAGAACTTTAAAGACTCTATGTCACACTGGGTGACTGAGGTAGCTGCCAATGTTCCTTACACTGAGGTTCCTTCTTCATTCCAGGACCAGCAAGACCAAAGAGTTGCTCATGAACGTATACGTACAGCACTTGATCAACAAAATGTGTCACTCTATATGCTCTCCGAGACTCTTGAAGAGCTGTTATCCCAACACCGACAAAATCTTTCATTACAGCAGCGTGCCACCCTTGCTCAGGAAGAAATGGCGCGACTCACAGTTTGGATGGATGATCGTACACGTACACTCGACAAAACAATTATTGCCACTGAAGGTTTGGTGGCAGAAGACACCTTAGAGCGTCTCGAAAAAGAGCGCAACGGAATTGCCGCCCAGTTATTACAAATGGAGTACGATGACCTGGCTAAGGCACGAGAGTGTGTTCGTGTAATAGAGAACGAGATTGACGAAACAAACGCTGTATCAATCGACCGACAGTCTCTTGTAAATGGTGTAGATGCCTTTGAACAGAGCTATGCTCATCTCAAAGAGCGTTTGGAAGAGAGAGAGAACGAGTTAGTAGTTGGAAAGAAGCGCATACACTGGCAGCGTGAGTTACAGGAAGCTAATGATACTATTATTGCTGTTGCCGACGCCATTTGGGACTTTATCATCAAGTACGCACGTTACGATACCACACTGGAGAGTCTCCAACCTCCACCGGATGAAGAAGCTTGGAGAGAGTTGATGGATCGTGTCGCAAATGTATGCTTATTAGGCGTTTTTTCTCCTGAAGGCATTTATAACGAGCTTGAAAAAGCGTATGAAGCTCAGGACGAGAGTGTTCCGGAAACAATTGAAATTCAGCAAAAGAAAAGAATTCAAGACAAGGACGATTTGGCAGCCCTTACAGAGTATGCATCCGACCTTATTACCCAGCACAATGATATTGTCGCTTTTCTGAAGCTGGCTCAGCCCTTATTGGAAAACAGCCAAAGTATTCGTAACACAATTGTAAAGTACCAACGACGCAATGAAAAAGAAGATGACACAGAGTCGCTTGATTTAAGCGTTATGGAGCTTGAGAAGAATACACATGAACTGTGGGAGAACAAAGGCTCAGTAATTACCTATCCTTTGGGACAGTCATGGCTGCAGCTTGAACAGGCACATGAGTGGATTTCAGAGCACAACGATCAAGTCCGCACTTTTATTAAACGTGTGTACGATGAACTTTTGGAAAGCACCGAAGATGTTCGTCGTTTGTCCGATTTGTATTGTGACACTACCCATAAGCGACAGCTTCGACTAGAGTATGAAAAAGAAATCACAGAATTACAACAATGGGTTGAAGCACAGTCTCTCTGCATCCGCCAAAGACATATATCTCTTGATATTGAACAGACTACCGACGTCTCCGAACAAGAACTCAATTATCACTCTGAAGCTCATAAAACACTTGCTGCCGATCTTGTTGTATTCGACTCATCAAGACTTGGCCCTCTTAGAGACAAAATTGAAGACCTGACTCACTTTAAAGAAGAGGATAACTTGACAAAAAATTTTATGCACCTGAAGGGAAGCTTGGAGCAACTTAATAAGGATGTAACGGAAGAAACAATCGGCCTAGCTATCATGACAGCACGAAATGACTGGGAGCAGACACTAAGAGCAAGTACAATTTGGATTGAGACAATGAACGAACAACTTCGTCAGTGCACAGCGCAGAAAAACAAATGGCTTGCACAAGACGATGGTACTGCTGACTGGGCGTCAATGAAACGCCAAGTTGTCTGTTTAGAAGAATGGGAGGCTGAGTGGTGCGGATTCGAAGGCAAATCTATCACGAAGCACTATGATGCGATTCTAGTTGGTCTTGGTATGCTGAATCGCCCAGTCCCAGAACACGTACAGTCGAAAATGGAGACCTATACCCGTGTAACTCGAAAACTCAAAGAGACTATCCAGTCGCGAGCAAAGGAGTTAGTACTTATTGAAGAAAGATGTGCTTGGGAACAAGACGCTTTAAAAATCTTAAAATCCATTGCTGCTCAGGAGGCAGAATTAAGTGCTTTCGTCGAAGATCAGGCTCGTTGGACACACACCTCAGACCACATAGACCCTGTTGTCTTGCGCGCTTCATGGGCTACTCTCAATCAAGTCTGCGCAGCCTATGAGACTACCACAACATCCAAGCTCAAGGCCACTCTTGAAACACTTCAAGAAACAGCTTCTATTTACACCCCACCCCTGATTTCAGAAACACTTTGGAATAAGCTCCAAGAGGTCGAGGAGGCAAATTCCGCACTTCAAAAATACCGGGAATTCGCTAATGCCATGGTCGACCAATGCTGCCTTGTTACAGACTTTTTGATTGCAGCGGATGCTTTAGAAGCCACGGCTGACGAAATCCGGGAAGAGTTTTTGATGGTTGATGAAGTCATTGAGGAGAGCGAGAGACTTGACGAGCTTGAAGCCAAAATTAAAGCTTTAGGTGCTGTTAAAATGCTCGAGATTCCTTATCCTGTCCGACCTAATCAATTAAATGCTTCCCAAAATGTGCGAGATGACACATCGCATGTAATTATTCGCGATATGTTAAAGATGAAAATCGAAAGACTTGTGGGTCTCACCGCTAGTTTGCGCCAACTGTTATTATCACGCGCATCAATGACCAGACGCCAGATAACTCAAGAAGATTATCAACAGCAGTTGGAAACTTGTGGTGCCTGGATTGATGCACGACTGAACATAATAAAAACACTGGAGCCCTTAGTTATCCAAGAAACTGTTGATCTTGAAAGTTTACGGCACGCAGTTAGTGGTGCCGAGAGCATGGTAGCTTCTATGCAGGGTAATGTCACAATGTTGCATTCGTTGACAGGGGCACTCGAAAAATGTAAGCTTGCATT